TATAATGGGGGTGGCAAAGTCAAATTTTAACAAGGGAGAGGGCAGTCTATCTTCTTTCTTTGTTTATGGTGTGCACTATGTGCGCATATTTGAAAGTGACACTTCTTACTAACAGCTAATAAACTGAAGGATTTGAAGGGCATGTTTAAAACAGTGACACATAATGCTGTTTAATATAAATTTTAATATAAATGTTATTCTCAATATATTTTTGTAATCTGTACATTTTTCTGTTTCCTCAATAGCCTGCAAATTTTTTGGAATACCACCCAAAATACACTTTTATTGAAATGCCTAATTGTTAACCCTTAAATTTATTTAGAGAAAAAATTTAAACCCTAGCCGGCCGGATAACCCTGGCAGCTATGGCCATTAAACCAACATACTACTACTAACCTAACCTACTATTATAGTGGTTTACAATTTATTAAATTATAGGAATATTCTCATTCATTATGGATTTGAAATAAATATGACAATAACCACTCAATGAAAATGCGGTTGCTTAACAATAATTCTAATTCCTGAGCTAAGCAAATGAAGCTAAATGTGTTCACCCTAGACCGTTATTCAGCAGCTACAAACCTATGATGAAAATATGCATGAAATTTACTCCCTAGCACACAGCCAGAGATATTGGTACCCAGGTAACAGTATCAAGTCTATTATAATGATTTTCTTTGCTTTAAATCAAATGTTTTTGGTGTTTTGTGCCATCCTTACCACCATCTTACCACTTTTTTCTCGCTAGCTCATGCGTCAAGGCATGGTCAAAGTCATGCCGTGTCAAGGCCGTGGTTTATCACGCGGCCTTGGTTACTCTCATCGCGCGTAAGAAGTTTCATGTCAAAACTTAATACTAATTGTAATTGTATTGTGTTGAACAGCTAGTGAATAATTAAAATATAAACAGTTTCCTAGGGCCCTTAAAAACATACCTTTGCGCGATACATCACAAATAAGATTCCAAGCCTTTGTATGTTCAGGTTCGAATGATTGCAATTTCACCACGCTGGCATAAGCTCTCTTTTTGAACTCTTCATCTTCATCAAAACGTTTTTTAGCTTCCTTATAAAAATTTTGTAGATCGCTTAAAGGTGGTGACTTGATTAAATAATCAGGAAATTTCTCCTGTAAATGCACTATCAACATGCCAAACTGCGTTCCCCAATCGCCAACGTGATTAATGCGCATAACGTCGTGGCCTAAAAATATGCATATCAATAATAAATAATTATAAACTGCAAATTACACACAGGGTGGTCCATTAGTGTGAGGAAGTCCAATATTGTCGTCATTGTAGAACATTTAAAAACAGTTTTATACAGATGTATGGTTTAAAATTTTAGAAAAAAAAAATGTTTTGTTGTATACAGGTTTTATTTAAATACAACAAACACCTGTATATTATTTTTCTTTTAGATGTAGAATTTTAAAATGAACATTTTTTTGTATTTAAAGTGTTCTTAAAGTATTAACGGCTCCGCAGATATTCGCGATATTGTAGTACATATGGCTCTTTGAACAGTAAATTTTTATCAAAGCAACCTAATGATTTTGTCTGAGATTTTACCATTGAAACACCATATGTACTAAATATAATGGTACATATACATTGGCGCGCCGCGAACGCGCGGCACACGCGCGTCGATTCGCCTCTATTGGTACGTGTTTCGTACGCGTAGTTGAGGTACGACCAACGCTCCGCGCACCAATGTATACATACCATAATACATCTAATATCTGTAAAACCTCTAAAAATTTAGGAACAGATTACTAAATCAAAAAATATTATTTTTTAATTTCTGCATCTAAACGAAAAATAATATACAGGGTGTAGTATTTAAAAAAATAGAGATACAACATTTTGTACGATTTTGTCGACGCCCTAAAAAATACCTATAGAATAATGTAAATTTTCAGCCATGAATTTATTCTTATTATTCTTGTTTAGGAATATATAGCCAAATATTAATAACGTTATTGTCACTCCAGTTTTAACCACTTTTCGGATGGTGTTCTTAACCATTAGAAAAAAACGGCAAAGTTATAATAAATCAGAAATAGAATGGCAATACTCCATAATACTTCAAATAAAATAATTGTACTATAATGTGCAAGAATTTTATGCTGAATACAATTATGTACAGAAAAATGGGTGATGAAACTTAAAAAAAACTTAAACTTTCATACCTTTGTGGACACCCTATATACAACAAAAATGTTTTTTAGGATATGCACCATTATATACTGTGCATCTCTATAAACTTTTTCATATCTTGCAACAAAGACGATATTGGGCATCCTCCCACTAATGGGCCACCCTGTACATATAGATTTTCAGACCCAACAGATTCATGTTTTATAGGATACATTCACATTTATAGGTTATCATTCCTCAGCCATCTATGAGACGCCTTTTTTAATCGTGTGGTACAATATATTTAAAAAAATTTGAGCGGTAACAAACTTACCCAAGTATTCCAATAGACGAGAAATACTATCACCAATAATTGTGGATCTTAAGTGTCCAACGTGCATCTCTTTTGCAATGTTGGGAGATGAAAAATCCACTAAAACCTTTAATTTTTTTACTACAGGAGGTTTAACTTCCCCAGATTCAAATATTGCGGAAAGGTATTTTTGAACATAATCCTTATTTAAAAAATATTTATAAAACCAGGTCCGGCTATATCAAGTTTGTTAACCAAAGGATGAGGTTGGATATGTTCAACAATCTGTTGTGCAATAACTCTAGGAGCAACTTTTTCTAAAAAATAAATTTATTATATATGAATTGAAATGTTAAACTTAAAATATAAATTAAAAACAATAACATACCTAACTGTTTGTATAGATTTGCCAATGCCATTGCTGAGTTACATTGATAATCACCAAAATTGGGCTTATTTCCTGATAATGAAATATCAATTATTAGTAAATCTATGTGAATTTCTGGACAAATAACTTAACAGCATTTCCAAATAATTTTTTTTTATTGTTATTATTTGTAAAATACTATCTTCCATTTCAATATTCTCATTTTTATTATTGGTTTCGAGCATGCCTTTATGGCCTACAAATATAGAATAAAAATAGAGAATTAATATTAAATAACTCATTTTCAATTAGTTTTGGTTTAGTTTGGTTTTTAATAATTAAATCGTCCATCCTTACCTGATTTAATACAGATAATCGATGTTTAAGTTTTATATTTTCTGTATACAGCTTGGATACTTCTGCATCTAAATTATATTGATTATTAATTTTTATACTGTTTTCTATTTCAGCTATTTGATTTTTGATATACCCTATCTGCTTTTCCTAAAAATACAAAAAAACATTTTTTTCTAGGTCAAAAACAAATCTAGTGTCTAGTGTGCGGCTTGACTTACCGCCTCGCAGGCTTCTTCGTTATATTTCTCAATAATGGCCAAACTCATAATAAAAAGTAAAATAATGAATAAATAATATAATTAATCTACAACAGTCTGACTTCCGTTTGTAATCTGATGTAATATCAGGTACAATCAGGTAATATACAAAAAGCTCAAAAAAATTAACATACGGTCTCTTGACTTTTGTCTTTTTAAAAACTTTTTTTTTTTTTTTTTTTTTTAATTATTTTTTCTTTTTTCAATTTCAATTTATTGGCTGTTGCTTGAAAGAGTACACTGGAATATAAGCCCAGGGCCAAGTGATAAAGAACATCTCTACCAGAGTCTCTACGAGTCGGCTATGATCTCTGATCGGGTCCGTTTCACTTTAGGGCTGTCCAAATTAACAAATTTTCTATAAAATAAAGTGGATATTCTGCCTTTTTAGACTAAAATAAAGAACTTGAGGAGGTGAGGAAAAATGCGATTTTTGTAAAATAAGCGAGAAAAATTTTCTAACCTCAAAAATAGTTTTGCGCTTTTTCATAACTTTTCGTGCAATGGTTTTTAAAGAAATCAATATATATAAAGTATATATAAAGAAATACCAAAAACACCAGAGACTAACCAACGCGATCAAAATACGCCTACGGCGTATTTTGATCACTGTTACCAACAACTCTAAATAAATAAAAAATGTACAAGGGTAGCGTAAATTTAAAAGCGTCCATGTTCCCGGTATGAGCATGCGCGTTAGAGCAACAAGACGCCATCCGTCAATCGGAACGTAAATATCGAACACCCGACATTACTGCGCCGCCTCCGCGTCAAAAATAGTACCCATTTCAGCCCATTTGTGTTATTTATTTTACAAAAACTGTTTTAAGAAATCGAATATTCCTCACCTAGTTCTTTCACAAATGTCTTTTACTTTGTTTTGGTAGCAAAATTTTTATTTTAAATGCAATCCTCGCGACAGCCCTAAAGTGAATCGTCACCCTCTGATCACTCTATGATCCGCTCCTAGAGGAAGCTGAGATCAGTGGTGCGAGTGGTGTGGTAGGTAGAGACCTTGGGTAGAGACTTGGTAGAGACCCATAGAGACCTTTGGTAGAGACCATAGTAGAGACCAAGAACGGTAAAATTAGCTGTTCTTGAGTAGAGACTACTAGCATGGTACAAAGAAAACAAGGTATGATCGATAGCGGCTCCAATTTCGTTAAGTTTGCGCATACCACCTGTGACGTCATACGCCATACAGAAAAATATCCATATTGTTCAATTGCCACTAATAAAAAAAGACCTAAAATAGGGAAGAATCAGGACATAACCCCAAAAGTTATGTCAAATCTTTGTCAAATTATCGAGCTTGACATTTGAAAAATTATTTTCGCGTTTATCGTGTCATCTGTTTGACAATTTGAAATTGGCGCGCGGAGCTTGCCGACCAATGGTGCCGTTTATCACCTGTGACGTAGTAACCAACCTGCGCAATATCATACCTTGTATTCTTTGTATCATGGACTACTAGAGACTAGGGACATTATTTTACCGTTTCGTCCCTTCACGCTAACTATGACGGTAACGTTATTCAAACGTAAAATTTTTCGTTGGAAAAAATCCATAGAAAAAATCAAGGGGAAAAAATATGGTAGGTATATACCGTATGATCGAAAAAAAATGGCGTCCAGTTGGCTATGAAATGACAATCGATGACATTTCCCATATAAATTTACATATAAAATGACAGTGATCTTCATTTCATAGCCATCGCTGACGCCGTTTTTATTCGATCATACGGTACTATGGGCATAAAAATAAGAAAGAATGTATTGGAGATATTTATTAAAAAAATATAAATAGGTGTAAAATACGCTTTATTATTATTCTTTATTTTTCTAAATATAAATTAAAATGTTATTATTAATTAATTAAAAAATGACTAGTCTAAAATATCAATATGTAATAAGGATAAATAGCAAAATAAACTATTTGTCCGTTGTTCTCTTTTATATACACAAAACCGAAAAAGAATACGCTTTATTCACCTCTATTTTACGGTACTGTAACGCTAAAGAATCTTTTTGGGTCGCCAACTTTCGGTTGAAATCTTAGATTAACGTGTTTTCCTTTTTGATCATCGATTTCAAAGAACGAATTCCAGTCGAGCAAATAGTAGAAACCCGTTTTGGCGGGTTCTGGTGTAGTTTCACGTTCCGTAGATTCCGTTACTGCGTCGCTTTTACCACCTAAAACAGATATAATTTAAAACAAGATCGTATTTTAATTTATTTTACAAAAAAAAACGTATATTTTTTTATATTAACTAACCGAACGAATCCTCTAAATCTTTTATAGATGGACTATCCTTAGTAGTTGTTGCTTCCGTCGATGCAGTTACTTCAGATTTCACAGTTGTACTTGAGTCTTGTCTTTTAACTTCATTTTTTCTTAAACCATCTACATCAAAATTAATTGGATTTAGGGAGTCTTGCTCGTTTAGAGGTACAATATTTTCAGCGGGTGTATTGGAGTTTGTTTTCAATCCATATCCAGCTGGATTAATATGTTGTAAGTCTTCTTTGATAATATTTTCTGTGGTGTTTGGAAAATGTTTAAATCTTTTTTTAATTTAAATTTCAGTCTAACACTGGGTTTTTACGCAACTGGTTACACAATGTTTAGGATATAATTTAGATACATATTTGAATCTTACAAGGATATTTCCAGGTTGACTATCTTTATAAAATATTTTCCACTTTCCGGCAGTTCTGGTTTAACCGGAAGTAGCTGTCAATTTATTGTTCAGCTAATCTCAATCAAGCTATCAATTATTATCTTAGATCCTATCGATAGATGGATAGAACCTTTGGATAGAACACTATATATTTTAAAATCAGTTTTGACAAACTGAAAATTGGAATTATTTTAAAAATGACTAGGTATTGGAACATTTGTACAGATGTTCATTCAGAACTGAAAAATAAAAAGAATATATATCTATATGTATACAGGGTGAGACTTAAATAAGTGCAAATATTTTCATGGCTAATAGATCTCGATAAAGACACATATTTTATCTTTACTGTTTTTCAAGTAAATCCAAAATAACCGAGTTATTTCACTTTGAAAATTTCCAAAAAAAAATATATATATAAAAAAAATATATATATTTTTTTTTGCTTAAATTTTGAGAACACTGAATCTTTTCTGGGTTTTCTTTCTTCTAAATTTAATCTACTACCTATATGTTGCTATATTATCAAGAAATTTTGTTTTTTTAACAAAAAACTAAAAAAACTTCCCAAAATTTTTTCAAAAAATTCCAAATTTTCACAAAGAAATTTTCGCGAGAAAAACTTATAACTTATAATCGTGTTTCTAGGGTCGATATACAGGGTGGTCCGAACTGTATTCCTGAAACTTCGACAGCATATCCTGCAAATAAAAATAAGTAAAAAAGTTTGTATAAATGTATGTACTAAAATGCTTAGTTTCGGAGATACCAGGGTATAGAAGTTTCATTTTTACTTCGATTTTTTCCAAATAATTTCTGAAATACCGTCAATATTTGGATAAAAATTGGTGTCTGGCAGTTTTTTGACATGAGAAATTTGATTTTGATGTTAATATGCTCGTGTTTGTAGGGGGCGCCATCTATAATGTGTTATAAGTGTTTTGAAGAGTAATAACTTTTCGTCCTTACCTGTATAAAACTATACTTAAAAAAACTACTGAGTAAAAAATATACATTTCCGTGGTTTTTTACGTAAAAAATGTCTCTTGGTAAAAATCGCTACGTTCTCAAGATATTTAGAATAGAATTAGTCAATACATGTCATTATTGACAAAAAATAAACATGTTGAGTAAATAGTGTTTTTTAAAAAAACAGTTGCCTGAAATAATAAATTTGGGAAATTTTTATTTTTTTTAAATTAATCATAAATTTTTCTGCGAAGAAGTGATGATAAAACAGTTTCTGTTGAACTTTTGTCACAAAAACATTCCAAATTTATGATTTCAGTCTAATAACTATTTAATCAACATGTTTAATTTATATCAATGATGACAGGTATTGATAATTTCGATTCCAAATATCTCGAGAACCAGTACTCGTAGCTATTTTTGCCAAGAGACCTTTTTTACATAAAAATCGTCGTAAATATATATTTTTTTTACTCCGTAGTTTTATACAGGTACGGACGAAAAGTTATTACTCTTCAAACCAGTTAAAAAATATGTAGGTGGCGCCCTCTACAAGTAGGAGTCATATTGATACCAAAATCAAATTTCTCATGTCAAAAAAGTTCCAGAAACCAATTTTCATCCAAATATTTACATTACTTCAGAAATTATTTGGAAAAAATCGAAATAAAAATGAAACTTCTACACCCTGTATCTCCGAAACTATGCATTTTAGGACATACATTTATACGAACTTTATTACTTATTTTTATCTGTAGAATGTGCTGCCAACCTTTGACTGCCCCTAAAAATATTTGCACTTATTCAAGACTCACCCTGTAGGTTTCCGAAAGTGCCAGCAGAGAGTAAAAAAATATTTTAGAAATAAAACACCAGGAAATATCCTTATCTTGAAACACTCAAATTCTAACTAATAATCTAAACTAGATCCTAAAACACTGCTAGTAAACTAGTTGCTCAAAAACTTTGAATTTTATGATTTACTTGTTCAGACTCACTATTGATTGGTTGTTCTCGAATTTTTCGTCCAGTTCTCGGCGTCGTTGATACGAATCCTATTTCTCCAAACAGCGACTTTAAATTATCTGGAATGACGTCTAGACTTATTTCATTCATTTTTAATGGCTCTTTTGAATCAATCAATGTAAGCTTCTTTCCTGAAGTGATATTATTACATTATAATATTTATGTTTTAGTTTATTGACAGTATTTATCACTATGAGTAAATCGAAGCAAAGTGAATTGTTATTATAGCAATAGAAATATAAATACAATTAAAAAATATATAAATTATATCGTGTGTCCAAGAATTCTGAATATGGAAAAAATCTATTTTATGTTTCTCAAAATTTTTTTGTTTTTGAACAAAACTTTTTTTTTCTTTATGTGTCTAGAATTCTTGGACACACTTTAAATATTATACCTGTTTTTGTTAACTTTCTTTCCTTAACGTTACTGTTGAGCAGACCAAACTGTTCTAAAAGTTTTTCCATGTCCTTCCGTGACTTAGAATCCTCCGGTAATGGTTTAAAACTAACATACGATTCGGGATTGGTCTCTGCGCTTTCGGGATTAAAGCTCAACATTTCAATTTCTTCTTTATTTTCTTTTTTACCATCGGAAAGTAGTCCTACAGGGTAAATCCTTAAAATTAATGGCTGCTTAAATATATCATTTATAATTTATATAAATATGTTAATTCCAAAACGCGCTAGATAATTTTTAACAAACATTAAAACAAAGATACCGTACGATCGAAAAAAACGGCGTCAAAGACTGCTGGGAATAACAACCGATGATAATTTTGGCAAGGTCAAGTCCTAAACGTCATTACTTGATTCATACTCTTATTTTTTAACAGCGTTTACTGCCAGTTTACTAGAAGGTTGTAGTTATTTTTATATCGAGTAAAAATAATTTTTAAAATTTTCATTTTTTCTAAATGACATCTAGGGCTTGACCTCTCCAAAATTATCATTGATTGTCATTCCCCAGCCGTCTTTCACGCCGTTTTTTTTCAATCGTACGGTACACGTCGTACCATCCCTGTGAATGTCTCTGGAAGTTGGTAAAGAGGAAAAATCATTGGTTTTGTAAAGTTTTATTATTACGCTGGTAGTCTGTTATAAATGTTATTTCTGTCGAGAAAAAAGGTTTAATATGTGATATATTAATGGACTGAGGAATATAGAAATATTAAGTATGTTTCTTTCTATTTTTTTTTCAATTTTAGTCATTTACTGATTACTGAAACACACGCTCACAAAATAAGTGTTTTTAGAGTTCACTACCACAAAAGGAAAAAACTATATACCGGGTGCGTCACAAAAGTGACTTACCTCCTATAACTTTTTTATTTTTTCAGATAAAAAAATCGAAATTTGGTATGTTAGTATATGACATAAATTAGCATTGATTAGCGAATTCAATTGTTTTTGGTCACTTCCTGTTTCACCGGAAATGACTACAACTTTTGATTTTTAAATGGCACCCTAGACATATTTCTACTTTATTTGATAGAAAATGACACTCTGAATAGTCATATGTCAACTTTTGACATTTTCGCGTATGGTATATTTGAAATTGTAACATGCGGTTCATAGCGACAATTTTACTAGAAATACCAAATGTCTGGTACCAAATTATTCGTAAAAAAATGCTTTTTCCAAATACGCTAATCAGCCAATATGATTTGAGCATCTTTTAACTGGCCAGGACAAGACACGAAAAATTAGACGAACAAAACAATTTTTCCAAGGCTCCTCGATTAAAAATGAGTGTTTTTAATACAGCCATGGCACTCTAGATTGAAATTTAAAACACGATTTGTTTTTAAGCGAAAATGTCACAAGTTGACATATATGTCATTCTATTCAGAGTGTCATTTTCTATCGAATAAAGTAGAAACTTTGAATAAGAAGACTAAGGAAGGAGCATAATGCTATCCATGTAGTGGGCGGAAAAAGCACCATAAAAGCACTCTAGGGTGGGGATCCTTGACAGTTCTGTTTGACGATTCATTTGACACATTTGAATTTGATTTGAAATTTTGTGTATTTGTCAGTCTTTACGGAGCTTATTTTATGTTATTTATTATTTATTCTACTACTGATAGTCGTAAAAAGGTAGTAAATCTAGATGGAAATTGTGGCAGCACTTAAATTAACAGTGACACTATCGCGATTTATCGAAAAAGACTCTAAAATAGTTGGTTGCGTAGCGTGCGGTAGATCTCGGCAAAAATTGAGTGAAATAATGGAACAACTTTTCGCTAGTAAGTGACTATATAATATACATACGTGTAGTAAACCGATCATTTATGAAATTCACTTAAATTAACTAAATTATATATTTTTCTTGCATTTTAGCTTTTATTTATTACTTGTCATAGATTAGATGTCAAAGAATTTAGATACGTTAATTTGACTTACCTGCTTCAGTAGCGTATCGGATGTTTGTGGTAATAAATACTTATTATAACTTATATATTTTTATAACAATTTTAATAACTACCAACATTTATTCACAACATAAAATAAAACAACAAATTATTGAGTCTACCCCACGTCTACCCTACATCATAGTTTTACATTTTTTAAATAAAATTAGAACGACACTGATAAACCGGAATTTAAGTCGGCCATATTTGAGGCCTATCGCGGTGTACCTAAGATTTTTGATATGCTCCTTCCTTAGTCTTCTTATTCAAAGAGTAGAAATATACCGAGGGTGTCATTTAAAAAAGAAAAGTTGTAGTCATTTCCGGTGAAACAGGAAGTGGCCGAAAACAATTGAATACGTCAATCAGTCCTAATTTATGTCATATACTAACATACCAAATCTCCTTTTTTTATCTAAAAAAATAAAAAAATTATAGGGGTGAGCCACTTTCGAGAGGCACCTGGTATACTATACATTTAATAAATCACAAAAAAGGGCCTTTATGCAAGGAACGGCGCCGGCGCTTAAACATGTTTTTTATTAATTTTGTGATGTATAGTTTTCGATTTATGACGAAGAATGAGAAAAAGCTGTTGTATGTACTTAAAAATTTGTACGGAACCCTCGTTGTGCGAGTCCTGCTCGCACTTGTCCGATTTTTTTTTATTTACGGTTACTTTCAAGTATCTTCTTACTAACTTTCCCCACAATCACGCTCTTATAATAGCCAATTAGATTTTTGATATGTGTTTACAAACCAAAATTTTTTAGTAAATCCTGCATATCTTGGGATAAACTTCCAGCTACTATTTCTGCGTCGGGCATTGCAGTTGTAGTGGACGTTGTTGGGCCGTATAATCCTATAGACGCTAAAATGTTTTGAATCTTTTCAGTTTCGTTTGTATCTTGAAAATGAGGTGCTGGAAAAACAGATTCGGAATCTCCTTGTATTGCACCCAGATTCAAATCGGCCACCACTTTTTTAAGATGATCTGGTACCTGAAACATTCATTTATGAGTTTTCAGTTAATTTCAACAATTTCCGACCACAGCGTTTCAACGGCAGACATCAGAAATTATCAGTCTGTATTTCACATTTTATCGTAATATTTAAGTATTTTATTTATTTTTTTTGAGACTATAAAAGACTCAGGTACAAGGTTTGTGTGATGTAACACTGTTGGGGTAGTAAAAAATAAGTGAAAAAGAATTCAAACTAGGCGTCGTGTTGTGACAATTTCAAATGTTAATAAAATTGCCGAAAAAATGTCAACGGACAAAGGAGAGCGTAATTAGGGCGTTGTTGGGTGCAATAACATTCAATAACTCAACTTTGCCGGATATTCAACTCTCCCGAAATAACATTTTATAGCTTCACAGTTTCTCGCACCGATTTAATCAAAAGCAAAAATGGATTCATTCGGATTCAAGCAGTTCGACGAAACAAGTGAGTACAGTACGTCTGTCCGTTCTGTAGGTACGGGGTATTCGTGAGAGGGGAAACGATATTCTCTCGATGTTCTTCATAAAAAATTAGGCGACGCGTCCCATCAATAAAAATTCGACAAATTTGCAAGTAGCCAATAAAACGAGTGGGCGGAGCGATTTGCGGTGACGTACTCGTCAAGTCGACGTATAAAATATATTGCTGTTTATTTAAATGTTTTTTGTCCGCATTCCTTTCATAGACACAGATCCAGCAGACGTACTGTAAACAAAGTGCTCGTTACATGATCACCAAAAAACACTATGAAAAGATAAAATATAATTTGCAATATTAATGGTATGCTTTTTTTAATCAACTAGTGATTAAATGTTTCATGAACATGTTCTAAAATTATACTTATGTACCTTTAAAAAATTTTGATATAGCCGAAATAGCCCCAATTATGCCCCACTAGCAAAACCGGTGATTAAAACTATGCTCGCTACCGTAGTTGAATTGATCTGAAAAGTTTTTTTAGCTGGAATAATAAATTATAATACTAGTTAGACCTTCTAAGATATCAAATTATTTACTTTTTTATCTTTATTTTTAGAATTTTCACAAATTATACTTCCTAACAATATTTTTTTAGAATAATTAAATAATAAATTTTTCGTATACTCGCTATTTAATTCCGTGTATTTGTATATGTTACGGCAAAAATGGATACTTGGCCAGTTTTCAAACCAGCCAGCTATTTTGCAAACAAATAGCAAAACCAACACCACAAACTGACACCTAACCAACAAAATAACAGCGCTTTTTGCAAAATAGCTGGCTAGTTTAAAAACTAACCAAGTATCCATTTTAGCCGTAACATATGTATACAGGGTGTCCCAGGCTGAGCGTGCATTAGAAGTTTCTCGAGAACTATAATATCTAGATCGGAGATTTTTTGCACATTACTGTTTCGCAACGAGATCTATCCATTAAAAATATTTTCAATAGGACGGCAATCCGGAAATAGCGGAAGTTGACAGCAACTTTCTTATTTTAAATAGGTACCCCCATTTTTTACTACATACTTAAATTCTCTGTAAAATTTTATGAATTTTGATATCAAACACTCTATACCTAACATTAACCGTTTTTGAGAAAAAAAAATATTTAAAATTTATTTTTGAATGAAAAAAACTACTTGTCAAAAAATCTGTATAGCCTAAACGACAAATTTAGTGATTACCACGATCACTATGGCATAAAGCGAAGACATGTGGCTATCTATTTCAAAAATTAAATTGTTCGAAAGTCATATAATATTGACTGTAGCTGTCATGGAATTGAGCGATTAAAACATTTTCATAAATCATTTTTTTCAAATGGAAACTAACTTTTTTTATTTCACTAGTGAAAAGGTTTTTTAATTCGTTACTATACCTAAAATAAATCGTTTTTAAGTTATTTAAGATTTAGTTTTAAAGGGTATATTTTTTTTTTTTAACCAGTAGCCATAGATAAATAGCTTATGACTTTAAACGTCACACGATGTAAAACTATATCTGGCCATGTCATATTGCCATTAGCTATCACTAAAATACGAGATATATTTTTATCAATACACTTTATAAAGTTTTACCAGCAGTATTTATAATATACAAAATTCAAATAATTGTTTTTTTAACAGAAGGATATAAATTGTCTGATGCTTTGACACTTAATGTCAACGGAAGCTAGATAAAATCAAGAAAAAATTACGCTTTAAAACTAAATCTTAAATAACTTAAAAACGATTTATTTTAGGTATAGGAACATGTACAATCAAAAAGTAACGAATTAAAAAACCTTTTCACTAATGAAATAAAAAAAGTTGGTTTCCATTTGAAAAAAATGATTTATGATATTTTTTTAATCGCTCAATTCCATGACAGCTACAGTCAATATTATATGACATTCGAACAAATTAATTTTTGAAATAGATAGCCACATGTCTTCGCTTTATGCCACAGTGACCGTGGTAATCACTAAATTTGTCGTTTAGGCTATACAGATTTACTATTACAGAAGTTTTTTTCATTCAAAAATTTTAATTTTTTTTTTCAAAAACGGTTAATGTTAGATATAGAGTGTTTGATATCAAAATTCATAAAATTTTACAGAGAATTTAAGTATGTAGTAAAAAATGGGGGTACCTATTTAAAATAAGAAAGTTGCTGTCAACTTACGGTATTTCTGGAAGTGCCGCCATATTGAAAATATTTTTAATCGATAGACCTCGTTGTGAAACAGTAATGTGCAAAAAATCTCCGATCTAGATATTATAGTTCTCGAGAAACTTCTAATGCACGCTCAGCCTGGGACACCCTGTATACTAGTTGTTTATGATATTCTATATTATACCTGGAAACGATATTATTATACCTGGAAATAACTTTAACTTGTAACATTCAAATTTGTATATAAATTAAATTCTTAAAAAAAAATGAACCGGTAGCGTGAGAAACCATTATACAGGGTGTTTCAAAAAACATAGCCATCTTGGAAGAAAATTATTAAAAAAAAACAAACGAAATGAAGACTTTAACGCCCTGTAGCTACCATAGATAAGAAAAGTGTAGCTACAAAACAAAGCAGAATCGGACCTATGTATGTTGATGTAAAAATAAAATTTATTTTTACGGGAGGAATCTGCTCACGGGACATGTTTTGTGAAACACCCATCTTATTTGTATTCATTGTATTCATCTTTATTATCAATTGCAATCATCAAAAAAAAATTATTACCTCAATTTCTATGGAAGGTTCAGACAAAGAACTCAGTTTAGTACTCTCAGCTTTATTAAGATCAGACGCGGAAAGAAATATTTCTTGCTGTTCATTTTCCTGAGGCAACAGATCTTCTAATTCGGCATTAATTTGAGAGGGCGGTATTTGGGCTTGAGACGCAAACTTTAAACCTGTACCAGGTACGTAAACTGGCGATGGGTTTGTATAGTCTATAGGGTATTTATGGTTAGGGTATTTTATTTCCTTCACAGGTTTTACCCGTTTCCTAAAAAGGCATACATGCAAAATAAAGAGAAAGAATGCTTGGATTTCGAAAGTAATAACTTTAACCGTTGATTGAAAGAATGGGGAAGATACGCAACCTAATGGGCAAATTCGTGATAAGGATGGTTTGATTTCCCCTTACGTCTCAAATGCTGTACGGTGGAGACACCAATAGTTCTGCGGTCAACGCATAAAACACTTATTTTCTCTAATTCGGTCAGCGAAGGCATATCGAAGACGGTGTGGATCTGAAAGCGACAGTGTTGCCATATTAAAATGTATAATATCTGTATACGTTTGACGAAAATATCCTTGGATGAAAAATCCGCATTTATGCATTGAAATTAATGTATTCGTGTTAAAGAGAGAATAAACAACAAAAATAAAAATTCTTTTATGATCGAAAAAAGTCGTTTAGTTGGCTTGGAAATGAGGATTAATAATTGACATTTACCATAATATTTTGCATATGAAATAACATCGATCTTCATTTCCAAGCCAACTCTGACGCCGTTCTTTGTTTAATCATATAATATTATATTAAATTGTTTAATGATAGAAAATCCATATTATTAACGTACTGTACCCGTAAATCTACGGATCAATCAAAAGTTCTGGCAACACTGTCTCCTGCAACCACTCACTCTGTCGACTGAAAGCAGAACCACGGCATATAAAATAAGAACTACGGTACAGTAGGTACAGTATTGTTTATCCGCTGCAGTGTAAACTACAATCAGCGCGCAGCGGCGTAAAGCTACACTAAATCTCGGAATTCTCGGACAGGCTGAGGGTAACGCCAGCTACATCTGGGGCAGGTTTTGTGCCTCGAAATCTCCCATAAGGTTGCGCATCTTCTTATTTCTTCAATCAACGCTTTAACTTATACCATTCAATTGTGTATATCTAAATTAGATCATAGAAGCTTGATTGCCAGTTTGCCAAAAACCCTTTATAATAGGGATGTTACCTTGGATGATAAGTTGTGACTGTCACTGCTTCTGTAGTACTCAGATTAGGTGTGTGTTTTCTTCTTAATTGAGGCGTAGATGAGATCTTGGTCGTAGACAATTGTTCAGTTGTGCTAATCTCGCTTGGCGTTGTTGTTTTAAATTGCACATTACCTTTAAAACAATAAAATATTATATTTTTTCTTCAAAATAAAACACTAATTCTCCACGATACTCCAAAATACTTTACTTCGGCGCCAACCATATAGAATCATCAACAGATTATTATAACTCATCTGCTAACATGGTTAGCGAAAAGCGCGTCCAGTGCAAAAGTAAAGTGTTTTGGTGTATTGTGGAGAATGAGTGTTTTAATTTGCTATTGTAACACCAAAGATTCCAAGCCCCAACTGTAATGTTATTTCTATATTTTATTTATAATACCTCTAAAAGGTCTTTTCTTTTGAATATCTTTTCTTTGTTTATTCTCACTACTATTCGTTGTTGACTTTCTATGAAAATAAATCCTTGCAGTAGAAGTAGTGGGAGGAATAGTAGAAGTATCGGTTAAACTGGTGCTAGTGGTGCTAGTTGTAGGTATTTTTCTAACTTGTAATTCTTCATTTTTGTCATCTACTATCGTTGTTATAGGATTTCTAGTATAGAATTCTTCCATAATCTAAAATAACCAATTATTTAGAAAGAATTAAATCATGTTTATGTATTAAGTAATATCAGCAAATACTTAGTAAATCAGCTCACACTTAGAAAGTTAGAAAGGATACATTTATACGTTAACTTGTTCTAAAAAGAAATAAGTAAAAAAAGCATCTAAAAATTAAAGTAGAATTAAAAAAAGAAGAAGAAAGAGACAAAATATAAAGGAAAAAAGAGAAATAAAGTAAAATAATATAAAATAAAGAAAAAAAGAAATAAAGTTATGAGTAACAAATCTGTAATAACGTAACTAGTACAGCTTTATCTCCAAAGTTCATATTGTCTTAAGGGTGTAAGGTTTTTACCTGTCCGGTTTCCATAGGTGTATAAGCCTTCACTAACATGAGTGATTTAGGGTCCCTGTAGGTTTGCTTACTAAAACTATCACCTAAATTATCACCATACTTTGTAATGTTTTCCAGTATATCCAGAATTTCTCCTCTGGTCAATCTAGGAAGTTGTGGATTCGATTTTATAAGATCTTCCACCTCTTTAACTGTATTTTCAATATTTTGTACCTAAAAAAACAAAAAGAAATACTTTTTCAAATCTTATTATTTAGGTTTTGAGCAATTATATCTCCTACTTCGACATTGTTATTGATCGATCTTTGCACTTTGATACTAGTTGGAATATCATTCACCTCTTCGGGAGACGAAAAATCGACAATTTGACTAGTTTGAATATTTTGCGGAAATGTATAAATGCTTCCGACATACCAGGCTACAAGCAGTATTCGAGATATCTGAAAATATGATTATATAATTATTAAACTCATATTTAATAGTGAAAGGGTAATTTCTACAAAATGTAGCAATGTAAAATATATAGTGGTGAAAATAGTAATTATCTACAACATATAGAATAAAATAAATTACTCTTATATAACATACGTTCTGGTATAATTTAATGGTAGATATACTGTATGATCGAAAGAAAACGGTGTGCAGTTGGCTTGGAAATGATGATCGTTGACATCCATATAATTTTACTTACGAAATGACAGCCATATGACAGCAATCTTCATTTACAAACCATCTCTGTCGTCGTTTTTTTTTTTGCGGTCGCATGATATCTGAGTTTGAATAACATTAGCAATGCTTTATTAAAATATATACAGGGTGAGTCTTAAATAAGTGCAAATATTTTCAACCCCAGAAACACGTCTGTTGCGAAAAAAAATTGAAAATTTGGAATTTTTTGAAAAAATAATTTGAAATTTTTTATTTTTAAGTTAAAAAACATAATATAAGTCGCATAGTTTCAAAACCCGACAAATCTATTTTCGAGAAAAATTAGTTATATACCGGATACGTCTCAACAAGTATTTTAAGTCTATATGGTCTCAACAGTGGCTCACCCCTATAACTTTTTTATTTTTTCGGATAAAAAAACGAGATTTGGTTATATGAAATAAATTAGGGTTGATTGACATATTCAGTTGTTTTTGGCCACTTCCTGTTTCACCGGAAATGACAACAACTTTTGATTTTTGAATGGTACCCTCGGTATGTTTTTCCTTTATTCGACGGAAAATGACATTCTGAATGACATATCATATGTCAACCTTTGACATTCTCCCTTAATAAAAAATTGTATTTTAAATTTCAATATAGAGTGCCATAGCTATGTTAAAAACACTAATTCTTAATCACTGAGCCTTTGGAAAAACAGATTTGATCCTCTAATGTTTTTATATAGTGTCTTGTCCTGACCGGTTAAAATCATATCTCAATTTTTAGCCGACCATACCAATAGGTATGGTAGGCTATTCAGATCGGCAAAATAAATACAAAATATTTTCATGGTGTCTGTCTGTCCGTCCGTCTGTCCGTCTGTAACACGATAACTCAAAAACCGCTAAACCGATTTTAACCAAATTTGACACAAAAATACTGTGGCACCCGAGAATCTGGCCATTAGTTTTTGGTGGTGGGGGGTGGTAAGGGGGTATGGGAGGAGGTTAAAATTTTTAAAAAATCGTAACTCCAAAATTACAGAAGCTAGCAAAACGCGGTTTTCAAATTAAGATTAGGAATAGTATTTGCAACAAAATTTGTTATAACATCAAAATCAATCAAAGTCGCAGTTTTTGAGATAAAAAAAAATTGGCGCCGGGAGGCACGTATAGCCGCCCATACTAAAATATGTTAATATCTCGAAAACTGCAACTTTGACTGATTTTGATGTTATTACAAATTTTGTTGCAAATATTATTCCTAATCTTAATTTGAAAACCGCGTTTCGCTAGCTACTGTAATTTTGGAGTTACGATTTTTTAAATTTTTAACCCCTCCCATACCCCCTTACCAACCCCCCACCCCCACCAAAAACTAATGGCCAGATTCTCGGGTGCCACAGTATTTTGTGCCAAATTTGGTTAAAATCGGTTCAGCGGTTTTTGAGTTATCGTGTTACAGACGGACAGACAGACAGACAGACAGACACCATGAAAATATTTTGTATTTAGGTCATTTATAACCCAAATAACTCATTTTGAGTGAAATTAAAAAAATGTTTTTTTGCCAGTCTTAATAGTCTACCATACCTATTGGTATGGTCGGCTAAAAATTGGAAAAATTCCTTTACTTTGAAACTAACAGAACTGCCTACCAACTTTTTATTAACATATTTTAGTATGGGCGGCTATACGTGCCTCCCGGCGCCAATTTTTTCAAATGGTACGAGGGTGGCTCATTGGAATATTTGGAAAAAGCATTTTTTACGAATAATTTGATACCACACACTTGGTATTTCGAGTCAAATTTTCGTTACGGACCGCAAGTTATAATTTCAAATAAGCCATAATGTGAAAATGTCAAAACTTGACATATGATATGTCATTCTATTCAGAGTGTTATTTTCTATCGAATAAAGTAAAAAAATACCGAGGGTGCCATTTAAAAATCAAAAGTTGTAGTCATTTCCGATGAAACAGGAAGTGACCGAAAACAACTGAATACGTCAATCAATCCTAATTTATGTCATATACTGACATACCAAATCTCGTTTTTAACTGAAAATTTGCATGGGATTTCTAACGCCGATGCACCACCCGGTATAAAAACAACTATTTTTTAGTTACGTCCTTTGAATAAGAAGACTAAGGAAGGAGCATAATGCTATCCATGTATTCATGCATGGTGGGCGGAAAAAGCGCCATAAAAGCACTCTAGGGTAGGGATCCTTGACAATTCTGTTTGACGATTCATTTGACGCATTTGAATTTGATTTGAAATTTTGTGGATTTGTCAGTCTTTATGGAGCTTATTTTATGTTATTTATTATTTATTCTACTAGTGATAGATGTATAAAGGTAGTAAATCTAGATGGAAATTGTGGCAGCACTTAAATTAACAGTGACACTATCGCGATTTATCGAAAAAGGCTCTAAAATAGTTGGTTGTGTAGCGTGCGGTAGATCTCGGCAAAAATTGAGTGAAATAATGGAACAACTTTTCGCTAGTAAGTTACTATATAATATACATACGTGTAGTAAACCGATCATTTATGAAATTCACTTAAATTAATTAAATTATATATTTTTCTTGCATTTTAGCTTTTATTTATTACTTGCCAAAGATTAGATGTCAAAGAATTTAGATACGTTAATTTGACTTACCTGCTTCAGTAGCGTATCGGATGTTTGTGGTAATAAATACTTATTATAACTTATCTATTTTTATTAGAATTATATATTTTTATAACAATTTTAATAACTACCAACATTTATTCACAACGTAAAATAAAACAACAAATTATTGAGTCTACCCCACGTCTAGCCTACATCATAGTTTTACATTTTTTAAATAAAATTAGAACGACGCTGATAAACCGGAATTTAAGCCGGCTATATTTGAGGCCCATCGCGGTGTACCTAAGATTTTTGATATGCTCCTTCCTTAGTCTTCTTATTCAAAGGTTACGTCTGGTTACGGTGCATATTTTTATGTGTCATTCTGGTGTCATTAAATAAAGTGTGTCAATGGTATGTCAATTTATTTAACAATAATTCATTTGCCAATGCAAAAGAATGATAACACACGGTAATAAATTATTCAAAATAACGCAACTCTATAAAGCTATTTCTCAATTAAAAATGTAATTAAAATACATTTATGTTAATGGTTTTGGTAACTTTGTTTTGACAAACTATTTGTATACCAAAAATCGATATACTATATACAGTTATTTAAGAAAATTGTTAAACCCAGTTAAACCGGTTGGTATGGTATTATAAGTAAAACACCCTATACCGGGTGGTGGTATCCTTAGATTAAAAATGTGGTATCGGCGGCGGCGTTGGAAACATAGGAAATCCCCTGCAAATTGTGAACTCTCCAAATATTGACTCCCCTATTTATTGTACAGCGAAGACGTAAATTGGGTTTTTAAAGGTCTGAGTATGCTGAATGGAATACACATCAGGAGCGCCGACTGCGTGGGTGCCCATGAGGGGAAAACAGTGGGTGCAGAGCACCCATGAACGTAAACATCAAAACTGATCAGTTTAGTAACTTTAAGCGACACTTATCTCATACACTGCAAGTCCAGACGTCGGTCAATAACTGTAAAAAATCCTTTGATACATGCATGATGCGCACTGTGGTAGTTTTTCGAAGAAATAAATTTTAATAGTTTCTAGTTAAAAAAGTTAAAAGTTTCCTCGGCTAGTCTTAGGTAGGTAGTTAAACAAATCTTGTTTTTCAACTTTTCAATCAGCAAGCAAATTGACATGAATCGTTATAGAAAATAGCCGTTAAGCAAACATAATTAAAAATAGATAATAATTATATACTGGATGTTCCGTTAAAAATATATGTTATTTTTATTTGTCACATTCTTTTTTGGAGTACGCGGGCGGGTATGTATATGTATCGTGGTATGCTATTTATTATTTTACAACTTTTAATCGCCTATTGTCTACCATACCATTGGCCATTTTGATTGCACCACCCTGTACATAATAATAGAAATAATTTAGGTAAAATTAAAAATTTGAAAAAAATGTTTTTTTTATAATTTAATGATAATAATTTAATAAATTTATATGTAAAATAGTTTTTATTTTTATAAAACAAATACAGGGAGCAAGCTAAATTGGTCCATTTAATAACAGATTTCTTAAATTCCTATCGCATCAGATCTCTATAATTTCTCTATAACCGGGTAAAATATAGGTATATGACGGGCCGACTTACCATAATTTTACTTTCGCAATCACTTTCTTTTTCACCAATAATCGAAATTTAAATTTAACTATATGATTATCATTAAAAACTATAAATAAAAGAATGGCCTATAAGCGCTATCGAATCACTGTTGGTTTAGAGTTTATTGCAAGTAATAGTTCGTTACAAAAAATATACATTTATCGATTATGTATACTTATAAGAAAAAAACAATTATAAACCGAATTAACAATTCAAGGCAAACAATAACTTTCACAAAACATCCGAGTTGGCGGCGTGCTGCAGCACAAGAAGTAGTACGCTTGACTAGAACAGTTAAGATAATTGCAACACTATCGGATAACTACAAGAGCAAACGGGGATTTTCCCCCAACACCTCTATTTCAAACTAAGTAGGGAAATAAGGCATGATGTCTTTATTAAGTAATTATCGCTATTTCAATATACACTCACCGGCACGAAAAACGGCCACCTTATACTTTTGACATAGTTTTATACAGGGCGTTTCAAAAAACATGTGCCATCTCTCGTGGGGAGATTCCTCACGTAAAAATAAGATATATTTGTCATATCAACATAGGTCCGATTCTGCTTTGTTTCGTAGCTGTAGGGTGTTAAAGTTTTAATAATCTTTAGATTTGTAATAATTTTCGATTTTTTTCAAGTTCTTTTAGTGATTTGAATAAAATATTGTGGAGAAAAGTTACTATAAGTGCTACATATTTTAATGTTAAAAAAATTCATCAGGGACGTACATGTGGGTTATCACTGGAATATTTAAAAAAAAAACATGTGCGCCACTGACTTTTTTCTTTTGATATAAAAATTGTGTCGGCCGTTTAATGCCAATTAAAAGTTACATTTTGATATTTTGTCGAATTCTGCCTCATTGAAGAGATAAACACAATTGTATTGATTAGAATAATAATTAATAAAATTAAAATAAAATAAATAAATTATATATTTTACTTAATTTATTATTAAATATTATTACTATTAGTCCAACATACAGCAATTTCAAATAAAAAAAATAATGGTATTTAAGATAATTATAAAAAATCTAATTTAAAAATTTTATAATGTCCTGTAACTCTAAAACTTTAAGCTAGCTAAATTTCCATACCCATGTTTATATTTTTTTCATATCTTTTGATGAAGAATAAATGAGTACTTATTTAAAACTTTCGCAAGTTAATGATATTACATTTATTTAAAGATTGCTATTAGACTTGGATCAAAGCAAATTAATAAAATTGCGTCTAGCTGATCAAGGAGGCCGAAATCGACAAAATATTCAGAGACAACTTTTAATCGCCATTAAACTTCTTATGGCGCGTTCTCACGACACGTGTACTTAGCAAGTACCGTATGATCGAATAAAAACGGCGTCAACGATGGCTATGAAATGAAGATAGCTGTCATTTTATATGTAAAATTATATGGGAAATGTCATCGATCGTCATTTCCAAGCCAACTGGACGCCGTTTTTTTCGATCATACGGTATTTTTTACTGGCCTACAGGGTCTGGCGGGAGTAGGTACGGCGTAGTTCCTATAAATAACAAAGAAATTCTGTATAAATGCCCGATGCACCGTGTATACCCTGTATATCAATTACAAATGTTTGTCAAGTACACGAATCGTGAGAATGCACTTTTTACACTATTTCGCTAACAAGATAAAAAAAAATCAGTGGCGTACATGCTTTTTTTAGAAAATTATTCCCATAGAGTTAAAAATTAATTATTCCAGTGATAATCCATATGCACGTCCCTGGTGTTAGCTATTAAATTTGTCGCATTTATAGTAACTTTTTCCCTCAAAATTTCGAAACGTTAAAAGTACTTGGAAGAAAATTGTAATAAATCGAAAAAATATTAAGACTTTAACACCCTGTACCTACGAAATAAAGCAGAATCGGGATATGAAAAATAAATCTTATTCTTACTTGAGGAATCTCCCCACGAGAGATGGCACATGTTTTTTGAAACACCCTGTACGTTGTGAAATATATGTTGTGTAGGGGATAGATTTTGATAATTTTTTAAGCAAATTGTAGCTAAATTATTTGACTTTTTAGTATCCCTTTCTAAAATGTTTCTAAATTAAAAATGAAAGTTTACATCTGTCAATTATACGAAGGAAAACAAAATGTTGATATTTTGACAAAAGTTTGAAAGACCCAGGGGCGGAACAGGAATTTATTTTAGGGGGGCCCAAAATAAAAAGCAATGTAGAATATGCTTTTTAGGGTGCCGTTTTTAACCCAAAAGCCTAATATTTTACACAATTTACAGATTTCAGGGGGGGGGGCGGGCCCCATGGGCCTCCCTCTGTATCCGCCACTGGAAAGACCCTGTGGAATATTTTAACAAAGCAAGCAATAAATAATTTTATCATTTAGGTGTATCTTTTCTCGATATAGTTTTTTTTGTTCATCTCAAAAGCTTAATTAAAGATATTGGATTTTGAAAGACATTAATATTTTTTTTTCGTAATTTTACGTTGAAACCATGCCCTTGCTTTTGGTCCTAGTCAACAGACTTATGAAATAGTTTTTATGATTCATGTAATGTTACTGTCGTTGAAAAATCTTTAAAAATAAAGTTAAATTTATTTTTAAAGATTCTTTTGATTTCTTCAAATATATATATTTTGTCTTAGATTCTAATAAAATATTAATATAAAATTGACATTTTGTTTGTTTTATCTTGAATTAATTCAAAACAATAAAGCAAGTTGCAAACTATTCATATTTGCTGAATTAGTGATCAAAACAATAGTTGCAATTTGCTTTGTGGTTTTGAATTATTCAACATATGCATCTGTAAATAAACCTGTTAAATTATTGCGATTTGAATGTAGCGCTAAATAAGGATTAGTACCACCACGCATCACGAGCGTCGCTACAAAATAAGTTTTAGCAGGAGATCTATGGTCAGATGGTTTTTTAAGATCTATGGTTATTTAAAATCTGTGTTAAAAATTTAAATTGTTCTCGGTTTAAAATTGTGCAGTTTTTTTCTCTAAGATACTATTTATTTAAATTTTAAATGTAGGCTTTCAGGTGTGTGTAATATAAAAAAGTATCAAATTTAATAAGAGATATATCTGACAGGCATCTACATAGATGAAATATCTAGATAAGAATTTATTTATATAAAAATGGATAGGAAAAAAATCTTAACTGGAATTGTGTGCGTATTCTTTTTATCATTTCATGGTGTTCAGGGGGTTCAGTTGTCTACCCAGTCATCGATAAAAGAAAATGGTATTGTCCAAAATATTAAATATAACCCAGATCTCGAATTAAATGTGGTATGTATAAATTTTTTAATTGTTTTTTGGTATTAACTGTGGTATTAATAATGTAGGTATATATCACAAATAGGAATATAAACAGTTAAAATAAAGCACACTCTAAAATATTTAATTCACTTATACTAACTATTTAGTATCACTACTGACTATTTAATTTCATTATTCAGCCACAGATAATTGCTCGTCACGGATATCCTTCTGAAACTCACATAGTTTCAACAGAAGATGGATATTTGTTAACGTTGCATAGGATTTCAGGATCCAAAAATGGAACGTTAGGCCATACACCAGTTTTTCTCCAACATGGGCTATTGGGAAGCAGTGGTGATTGGATTATTAATGGAAATCGGTCTTTAGGTAGAAACTTTAGCATATATACTATATGAAGCGTGTCTTTTAATATTCTATTAAGATGTAGGTAGTTTTTAGATACAAAAATTAACTCATTTTATCTATTTTAGGATTTGTTTTAGCCGATGCTGGATACGATGTATGGTTAGGTAATGCAAGAGGAAATACTTATTCTAAAGGGCACATATCCTTGTCAGTGAAAAGTCCACAATTCTGGAATTTTAGGTATATCATAACTTATTATACTACACAAGAATAATAAAATGTGTTCTAGCTGGCATGAGATGGGAACAAAAGACCTACCAGCCTGTTTTTCCTATATAATGAAAAAAACTAATCAGCAAAGTTTACATTATATTGGACATTCAATGGGTACAACAATGTTTTTTGTTTTTGCTTCGACCATGTCAGATATGGCCAAGCATATTAAATTAATGATTGCATTGGCACCAGTAGCAAATATGACTCACATTAAATCACCTATTCGGTACTTAGCACCATTCTCCTATGATATACAGGTCTGGATAATATAAAATTTCCCTACAAGTGCTTTTCTCTATTTTTAATTCTATTTTTTAGTGGATTTCAAAGTATATTGGTCTGAATCAGTTTCTACCAAGTGATAAATTATTGAAATTTCTCGCTTACGACTGTGAGATTCTAAATATTGACAAAGCTGTATGTGAGAATATCCTTTTTGTTATTTCTGGCTTTGATAAGAAAGAATTAAATCAGGTAGGTAAAATTATACTAAAGATATTGTGTTGATTAAGGCTAATTACTCCCGTTGATATATTGATATTATTTTTATTATTATATTTATATTTTATAGGATATATTACCGTTAATATTCACCATGTTACCAGCAGGAACATCGACTAAAACTGTGTTACATTATGCACAAGAAATTAAAAATAATGGGATTTTCAGAAAATACGATTACGGTGCAGAAGAAAACTTAAAAATCTATGGTCAAACAGTTCCTCCAAAATATAACATATCTAATATAAAACCAGAAGTTTATTTTATGTATGGAATGAACGATTGGCTTGCTAGTTATATTGTGAGTAAATTGTGAAGAAAAACCTCACATAACTCTTGTTAAAACAATGAATGTTTTTTTAGGATGTGGAAATATTAGCCAAGAATGTTCCCAATCTTCAAGGACTATATAAGGTGCCCATGGATAGTTTTAATCATATCGATTTTATATTTGGAAAAGACGCTGATACATTAATATATCAACCTATCTTAAAATTACTAGGTTCCCCAAGTCTTTAAGGAATTATTTTGTCATTGTTATCATTTATTATTGTTATCATTTATATTTTTGTAAATAAAGAATTTATAATAAGTATGAATATGAATAGCTGTCTGATTGCTTTGTTTCATAGTACCGTATGATCGAAAAAAGAAATGGCGTCAGCGATGGCTATGAAATGAAGATTGCTGTCATTGTATATGGGAGATGTCATAGATCGTCATTTCCAAGCCAACTGGACACCGTTTTTTTTTGATCATATGGTATTATATTTAGTCTTTGGCCTTTGGTATACCTACCTAATTTTTACTTTTTTATACCTGCAATAACAGCTGTTTTTCTCAGCTAATTTTATTACAATTTTTGTGCAAATTAAAAATAAAAGTGACACTACATGATTTACAGAATTTATTGTCCAAAGTAAAAGCGTAAAATTACATAAATGCATTAGGTAGATATTGAATAAATATGCCTATAATCTTTATTATTTTATGCCCACAATAGCGTAGGTATTAAGGTACATAGTAGTTTTAATTTTTCAAGTGTTTATTAGAAATAAATTTGATACCTACCTACCTTTTCTCCTTACTAAAAAAATATTTTTAATCAGAAACGAGTATACACAATCTGTCATGCGTCTATCCAATAATTTGTCATATGTTTTTTACGTTACGCAACCCACAAAGTAATTTGAAATACTTACGTTTTAAAAATATATAATTTTATAATAAGTATATACCTATAATAACTGTGTCGAAGATAATATTAGTTATACCTATATGAATAAGAATTCAGAAATTCATTTCTATCACTAATCACTAATTTCACGATAAATAAACAGAATATGTCAGCCGCCATATTGTTTTACTGGACAGGCGGCCATGCTGTGCCATGCCGGAAGATTTATTTTTTAGTGTGCGCGTTGTGTTTATCTTGTGTTATTTAAACAGTTAAAATGCTTATATAATACCTAGTTCACATTTGTTGTTAGGTAAGTAATAAATTAGATGTATTTTCTTTCTTACCAATCTATATTTTTATATAAATTTGTTATTAGCGTTGATTTCAAGTAGGAAGCCATTTTAGAAAACAAGTTTTAACATAACCCTACCAAATAATACTGACAATCACAGTTAAGATGTTTTCTTCTATTTGAAGATGAAGTTACACCTAATTAATTTATTAAAATATCATGCAACAAGGAATAATTTGGAATAATGCAATGTATTTTAAGTATAATAGTATTTTAAGTCAATGACAACAAATTCCTATTTTGACCATTTCTTGTCGTCATAACATTTTTGTAAATAAAATAAATGAATTTATAGGCATATTTATATACGTTTGTTTTACTTAAAGCTGGATTTAAAGCTCCGTAACTATTTGACTTCATACAGCCAAAATAAAGCATAGTTTTTATGTGTATGCATTTTACACATATTTTACAGAATCGTTCTTGCGAAAAAAATGGCGCCGTCGATTTTAAGAAGTCGGAATTTAATATTTTTATGGAGGATAAAAGATATTATGTTTGTCTGAAATTCAGACTCTGAATTTCTTGCACATTGTTGTCAGATTGAAACGATCGATATTCGGATACCTAACCAATCGTTAAAACTTGTTTTTGCTTTTAACGAATTACACGTGACGCCATATTGTTGAGTTTAGGAAGTATGGTTAGTTGTTAGTTCTTTCTATCTTTCGGTTGTCCATGAATTCTGTTCTTTATACCTACCATATGATCAAAAAAACGGCGTCTAGTTGGCTTGGAAATGACAATCGATGACATTTCCCATATAAAATGGCATCGATCTTCATTTCGTAGTCATCGCTGACACCGTTTTTTTTTCGATCATATTGTATTATTACTATTACTATATTATTTATGGGTTTGTCATTTACTTAATGTTATATACTATAAGTTTAGGAGAAACTAGCGTATAAGAAAACGATCCAAATAGATTAGACGAATATTTCTGAACAAAATCTAACCAAGAATTTGTTTTGAGATCAATGACTAGAGAATAAAAGAACGAGTGGCGCGCATATATACGGGATGAAACAAAATTTGTAATGTTAAATTCTGTGGTTAAATTGTAGGACGCCATTTTTTGGTGCCAAACAAAGGAGATGTCACCATTTATTAAGTATGACCATTTTGATGGGACAATTTTAGTAGTTTTCAACTCTTTGTTGTGTGTAGTGAACTTTATATTAACTTTATTACAGTGGTGATTTGTTCAGCTTTGTAAAAGCCGCAGCGATAAGAAAGATCCAGGAATTACGTTTCTTAGGTAAATAAATCAACAATTAATTTTCTGCTTTTTTTAATGAATTTGATAATTATTTTTCTATTATACTATCGACAGATTGGGCATAATAGTCCAGACTACTTTTGTAGTTTTTTTTTGTTTTGTTATGAACGTTAATCCTTTTTTGTTCAAATGATTGGCCCACAAACGAGACAACTTTAATAGGCTCTAAAATCGCGATATCACAGCGACCGCTTCGGGATCGAAGGGTCACAGGTTCGTGTCCCACGAATATAGAAACTTTTTATTATTTTTTTACAGCTGTCGGTAATAGCAGGTGGGTTGTAAAGTTTCACGGTCTGGCTAGATGTAAGAATTAATCTAAAATTATTTTTTTCGTAAATAACGTAGGTAATCTTCGTGTTTTTTGTCTTTTCTTTTTTTTTTCTTAAAGTAATGATCAAAAAAGTGAAAACTGACAATGCTGCAAGCAGTGAGTACGTGATGTTAGAGCTTTATGACAACTTTCCTAAATCCGAGATTTTCTCGGGAATACTGGACGTCTGGCAACCCTACGTAAAAGAGGAGTGTCCACCATAGGCGTAGCCGTAACTTTTATCAAAAATATAAATAAATAAAGATTATTACAATAAGTCTAATAATAATTCGTACCATTAAGTACTGAATTAAATTTTGTAAATTAGCCAATTTAGTCGACGCGTCTGGTCTTATTTACAAATTGAATTTTGTGAGCTAAAAAAATGAAAAATCAATTTTATTATTAAATGGCTGAAGGCAGACACGTAAAAAATAAAACTAAAAACCATTGAATAATAATTTTAAAGAAATATTTGGGAAACAAAATTGTAATTTTTATCTAATATTGTATTTTTATATTATCCCTCTGGCACTGCACTGGCCAAAGAGCTTTTGGTGTCAGCTGGAAACAATTTGGTTTCTGGTATGGGTTCCTGGTATAATTGGTCTTTGTATTCTTTAGTCATTGATAGGGATGGGATTTTTTTCGATATATCAATAACTATCGATAGTTAGCCATATATCGAATTACATAGGTGACTTTAAAATTATCGATATATTGATACTTTTTGATATATTGTTGCCTATCAATATAATGCCACTTATCGACGAATAGCATTTCCGTAATTATCGATTATCGATAACTATCGATATATCGAAATTTATTTTTGTAGTTATATTTTTATTTATCTTTTTAAAAACCTAGATATTACGTATTTGAGTATTTGAACATTTTAGGAGTATTGTATAAAATGTATATTGTTTAATAAGCTGTTCCTTAAAATAACAGAGCTACCCCCCATAAATAATACATAAAAATATTTTTTATAAAGATGCATATAGTAAATAATAATATTGTTAATCTCTCTAAAAAATCCTATATGGGTTTTTCGCCACTGCAAGAAAATCTACAAAATTTATAGAAAACATTTTTATTTAAAACAAATTTATATTAAACATTATGATATAATCACAGAATATACTAACGAAAAAGAAGCCCAAGTTCCTTGTAATAAATCGGTTCCATTTTCGTAGCGCCATCTCTCGACAAGGCTGACATTTACAGGTTAGCCAAAGGGGTACGGGGCCGGGGGGAATTGTATGTAAAATACACTTTTTTATTTTAATTATTTTTATTCGCTATTTGCAATTTTATTTTTAAAACATATTATCTGAAACAATCACATACTATGTCTTAAAAATAAAATTACAAACGGAAACAAAAGGAATTAAATAATCTGAAAATCTACAAAGTTTATTGATAAAAAAGTTAGGCTATGCAAATTGATATATTAAGTATAACCTCTTTGGTATAACATTGTTAAACAAACATTAACAAATCATAACATATCAGATCATAGAACTAGAAAAAGTACTATTACATAAAAACAGGTGATAAATACTTCAAAATTAATTTTAACATAATATCAAAACCGAAAAATCAAACTGCAAACACAACCACACTTATCACAAGAGAAATTAACACACACTTCCGCGGCAAGTGTCCAAGAAAGACTGATCATTCTGATTGGTCCGGTCCGGTCGTAGCTCACGTCGTATTGTCGGTAAGCAAAACCCTGTCAAAAAATCTTGACGATCAGCGCCATCACCCGTCATAATTGGGAAACTTTTGCTGGAACCATTTTGAATATTTCACTTACATGGCCCTGGATATAATGTCATTTTAACAGAACGTCAACGGTTTTTGTAGACGTATCTATAGTTTATTTTCTTTATTCTTTGTATTTTTTTTTCGTCCGAAGACGGAAAGAGAAAAACTTTCCGAAACGTTAAACATTTTGTTGTTCGTTACGCAAATTTGTATATCTTTAAACCTAACTTCTGACAAGTAGTTTCCGTTTGGGATTAACGCCAGAAATGTTTACATAAAATAACTTTTATTTTGTAGATTTTCTTGCAGTGGCGAAAAACCCATACAGGATTTTCTGGAGAGATGAATCCGCCACATAGGTATAGACATTTTTTATAATATTGTTAAGTACAAAATTTTTTTTTTATTTAATATTATTTACTCCAATGACTAAAGAATATTAGGACATGTAACGCTCATATACGGGCTGCAGCAGAATTTGTGACTTTAGACACCATTCTTTTGATGGCAAACAATTAATCATCATCTTTGCACCAGTGACAATTTTAGCGATTTTTAATAGTTTGTGTGTAGTGAACTTTGTATAAACTTTATTAAAATGGGTGATTAGTTGTTCAGCTTTCAAGTGTAAAAGCAGCAGCGATAAGAAAGAGCCAGGAGTTACGTTTCATAGGTAAATAAACAGTCCGCTCCACCTTTTTAGCGCTTTCTTATTGAATTCGATAATTATTTTTCTGTTATTATATGTACTTGATGTGTCCTATACGTCGATACTAGTTTTGTACCTTTTGTTAACATTTTAATACGTTTTTTCGTAATTAATTAGTATGATACCAACGTATACACCATAGGCGTAGTCAAAACATTTATCAAAAAATATAAATATCTCTTCAAACAGCTAGGTTAAGAAAAATATGTGCCACGCCACTGTTTGGTGACATCGTCACCATTTGCTCTCGGGTGTTATTTATCCTTGGATTCTTTAGTCGTTGATTTACTCTTACAAGATGAATTTACAAGCAAGACTATATAGATTAGAGATGAGCAACAAATCGCAAACTGCGATTCAATCGCAGCAATAGATGCGATTGGCTCTCTTAGGAAACTGCGACTGCGATTTTTTCTATTTGCGAGTTTCATTTTAGGCAACCAATATTACTATAGTTGCGATTTTGATGAGACTGTGATTTTGTAAATAAGGACCTTGATAACCTTTCTCTGCGAGTTTGAATTCTTAGGAGTTACGATTTTGTTGAGTAAACTGAGATTGAATTTTTTTCATTCAATTAATGACATGCTAATGTTTAAGGGACAATTCTTGAACCTATTCAAAGAAAGAAAAACTTCATATGAATGTATATCATAAACATTTTAACTTTTGAAATACAGAGTGCAGAGTGGTAAATTAAAAAAAAACGTTTTTCAATAATATCTCTGATGTTATAGATATATTTACGATATTTAATACACGTCTACAATGCATAAAACTAATTTTTTTATGTACAAAAAATTTATTATTAATGTTATTTTTTCTATACAGGTTGTTAACTCAACAGTTACTTATAGGGGAACAGAATGGCAACACTGCCTATTGAGAACGCATTCACTTATAGGGTTTTCTGCCGACTCGTCCCGTCGCGTTGTCTATCGACGAGCGGGCCGAGGTTGCCATATTTCAACCATAAAGCTCTTGCCGCGAGTAATAAACAAATTAACAACCTGTATATTTAATTTAAACCACCCAAATGACCTGATGTTTACCCCAAAAATAAACACGTTTTTTTTGTTGATGACGCACTTTTCTATATACACTTTTCTATATATCATGAGAGCTTGGCATGAATAATTCACCATGATCTTACTTAAATGATTTGCTAATGATACTGGACGATCACTTGAAAAAATTTGATGGTTTATTTGGTTTAATATAAGGATTAGAGTATTGTCGATTCTATTTTTTTTTCTGTTTTATAGACGTATTACAACCATGGAAGAAAACACCATAGACCTGACCGATCCTCTGGAGGAGCTTTTGAGGAGAACCGGTTGGACCCCTGAATATCTTCAAGAACGGCTTGTAAAAATGACTCGGAAAAACGTTAAGAAAGCAGAGGAAAAAGTGCCTTTGGAAGAGATTACTCTCAGTAATCTACTGGGTAGTAGTAAATTCTCAGGCTCAGAAGAAATTCAAGAAGCTTCAGATTGTATAGTAGTTTCAGATGAAGAAGATTCTACTAACAGAAAGAATACCGAGCACGGAACAAAAAATGGTTCAGAAAATAATTCTGATAAATTTACCATAATTGACGTAACTGATGACAGCCTTCCTGAAAAGACTGAACATTTAAATTTAGTCAAGGAAGGCGATCTTGTAAAACAAAAGGGAGGAGTTTCAACTAATATTGTTAATAATACTGAAAATATTATTAATTTGAGTAGTGATAGTGAAGAAGAAAGTGCCAGTATTTTATCTGATAAAATCTGTGGTGATATTAAAACAGATGTTTATGAAGAAAAATCTGTTTGTATAACCCCTGATTATAGTCATACGAAACCAAAAACGTCGGTAATAGACAGGGAAATTGAAATACAGCATTCTAAAGAGATAGATTTTGATTCAAGCCATAGTAAAACCAATAAATCAGTCGATTCACATATTCCGTTAAATGAATGTGATATTAAAACAGCCGTTAATGAAGAAAAATCTGTTTGTATATTTCCTGATCATAGTAAAGAACTTCCAAAAACGTCCGTAATAGATGAGGAAATTGAAGTACAGCGTTCTAAAGAGATAGATTTGGATTCAAGCCATAGTAAGGTCAATAAATCAGTTGATTCACATATTTCGTTAAATGAATGTGATATTAAAACAGACGTTAATAAAGAAAAATCTGTTTGTATATTTCCTGATCATAGTAAAGAACTTTCAAAAATGTCCGTAATAGATGATGAAATTGAAATACAGCGTTCCAAAAAGGTAGATTTTGATCCCAGTCATAGTAAGTATAAAGTAAATGAAACAATTGATTCACAAGTGCCGTTAAATGAATTACAAAACGTTAACTCTTCTAAGATCTCTGATAATTCAAAACAAATAGAAGAAAAATGCCAAAGTCTAATTACAACCGAAAATACTAGGGTATCAAGTGTTTCTGAAGAAAAACGAGATATTGAAGAATCAAAATTAGAAAAACTATGTAATAAGGGAAGTGAATCATCTGAAGAAAATTCGGCAGAAAATTACACACACGATAGTCTTAGCCATATAAGCGACGTATCGGATAACAAACCTTCAACGTCAGGGAATGACTCCAGTCCAAAAACAATGAGTCAGGAATGTGTTCAAGGTTCAAGCAGTATAAATTTGGTTGATGTTAATGATTCTAAATGTAGTAATCCTGATGAGGAACCAATTGATGATAAATTGACAGATAGCAAAAATGATGTTGAATCTGAGTTTGAAGTAGATTGTAATGATGAGCAGGAAAGTTCCGACAATTTAGAAAAAATTCGAGAAAATTTGAGGTTGCAACTATCTAACCTAAGGAATCGAAAGAAAACTAACCCATTGGATGAAATAAGAACTCGAGTAGTGGACGCGGAATATACAAGAAAACTAACTTTAGGAAGTTATATATCAGAGAGAACCAATCTAGCATCAAAATACAGTTGCAAAGATAAACCTTCGGAAGAATTTGAAAAATCACCTGAGACGGAAAGTGATGAACGAAATATTTCTACCGTTTATAACGAAATTCGAAAAATAATCAGTAAAAAGAAGAGTTCCGATACCTTATCGGATTTTAAAATAGCGGATAACCCAGCTTACACTCCGCTGATAAGTACCCAGAATACTAATAAAGATATACCGCAAATTGCCAAAAGTTCAGTAGATTTAGAAAATAACTCCGATAGATCTATGTCTGATTTGATTAAAAAAGAACTGGGTGCGCCTGTTACCGATCAGATTTCCCCATTTCTTAGTAATAGCTTAGACGAGTTTCTAACAGATGCGAAACTTAACGTTAGCTATGAAATACCTAAGTGCTATGCCGAGGAAGGATTGCGTCAACAACACGATAACGTAACAGTGATGCCGACAGTTGCTTCTCAAGTAAATACCGGAAAAGAAAAACAGAAGCAAGAAAATATAAAATACAAACCAAAGACTTTAGCTGAGAAAAGAAGACTGCTTGAAAAGGAGTCGCTAAAGCATATAAAACAATTGAGAAAACATAGGAATATAGAAAAAAATAAGCACCATAGTTACGTTATGTTTAGAGATAAGAAATTGTTTGTTAAAACAAAAACGCTACCGAAATGTTTAGCTAATATCGAATCTACTATTTTACCATCGGTTAAAAAAGAAGATGGGCCCCAAGAAATCAAGAAACCATCGCTGTTGGAAGATTTTCGAAGGAAAAGTTTGGAACTAACAAAATACAAACCTGGACCATTAAGTAAGAAGCCCCATCTTCAGAATCATGGCTTAAATTGGTCGACACTTGTTAAGAAATTACCCAGAATAATTTTAGATGTAACTCCGCAGATTAACAAACCGCTACCGAAAAATTTGCTTCATTTATTGCCAAAATGGGATGGTAATATCACAGATTCCCAATTAGATTTTGCCTTGTCGGTGGTTAAAGATAAGCGAGGTGATGGAACATCTAAAACATGCTCATTTGAAATACCTTACGAACACGATCAGGTGTATATTCTTGTTAAAAAGAAACATTTGAATACTAGGTTAATTAGTTTAGAAGATTCTACTACCGCAAATATCGAAGATGAAGTGCAATCGGTTATGCATAAGCTTCTGAATTATGTTGAAATTAATGCAATATCTCCATATTTAATAAAACAAACGGAAAATATACAGGAAACACCTCATGCTATTACTAATAACGACACGTTGGTTAAGCGTAAAAAACGTTCCAAAGTAGATTTAGAATTGTCAAGATTGAACTGTAAACTAATCAATGTTGAAGTGGATGAAAACGATTCGAACCAAAAATGTACCAAAGAATACTGCACATTAGGTTGCGTATGCAAGTCACTTCAATGTGATACTCTTATCGGAATGCATTGTCGAAAAGTAGAATGCATGTTTGAATGTTCCTGTCCGCAACGGAATATTTTCATTGATCCTTTAATAGAACAAGTTCCTGCTGGAACCGGCTTGTTGTCCATCGACACAGTCAGTAGAATTGAAGACGAAGCGAAGAAGGATTTAGCAAAAGAGGAAAAAGAGTTTACTCAAACTGTGATATGTACTAAAAACAGAGCGATCGTTGTGGGTTGTGAGAGTAAATCCAGAAGAATTTCTAAATTACCCAAAAAATATTCAAACTTCTTTGACGAGGAAGATTCTGTCGAAGCTTCAAAAGATTTAAACAAAAACAAACTGAAAACTGAGCCACAATGCAGTGTGGTTCTCGACAGGTGGGATTTTTCCGATATAATTCCTTATTGTTTAGTGCATTCTTTACACAATTGTTTTTGTAAAGGTCGGGCTACGTTTAAAGATAAAGTCATCAAGGAAGAAGTGAAAAAATCTGTAAAGATAGAAAATATACCTAAAAAACAAATCACCATCAATAAAACTCCCAATGTGAGTATTGATAATATGAAAAAAGAAAAACCAGAGGAATCGTTGAAAAATGATATTCGTAAAGCGGCCATTATCAAGAAAGAACATAATATAGACAATGGCCAAACTCTTTATTCCGTCACAGGCAGACCAATTCGGAAAAATAGAAAAATATACGATTCGGACTTTGTCTGTGCCGGTACTCGGGATAGTACTCGTTCAGATGACAAGCAAGATTCTGATAATGAAAAAAAATTCATCCGACCCCTAAAGTCGCCAAAAACCAAATTCATCGAGTTACCTCAAAACGTAAGGAATAAACGTAAGGCAATGGTTGATACCGATAATACTCCTTACAGTGAACAAAATAAGAAAAAAACAAATCCGTACTCTAATGACTTGAAAATTGAAAATGTTTGCGACAAGTCTACTCTGGATTGTTCTAGAACAAATGGATCGGTCACCTATTCAAATACCTTTAAAAAATTCAGTAAACTCGCATTAAAGAATGATTTCGTTAACGTAACCCAGTTAGATTTATCTCCAGATAAGGATGATAAACGTTTGTCGGAATCTGACAAACTTAAAATAGAACTAGTCGAGAATAAGAAGACTAGTAGTAGAACTGTTCTTAGGAAATCAATTTCTACTGATTGTGAACAGTCTAATTGTATATCCGGTTGCACGTGCCCCACTTTAACAGGCTGTTCAACTAACGACAATTCTTCGAGCGATAAAAAACGTAAACGTAAACAGGAAATGCTCGTTAGGTCGGATGATATAATCGAAATAAAAGATACTTCTCCACCACAGAGGCAGAGGATTGTTAATCCAGTATTTGATGGAGAAATTATCGTCCGAGATGGTCAATTAAAACTGACCGAAGATTACGCTAGGATTTTACCTTGGAGCGCTCTACTTCAAGGTTTCATTTCCAGAAAAATTAACGTTTATTGTATATTCAACTCTCCCTTAAAACTGGTTATAACCAAAGGCGTGAAAATGTCGGGACTAAACGTTAAGGATATTTACAGTTACGGAAAAAAGTTCGTGGACATCCCCATTAAATCGAAGAATCCCTCTTTTATCAGACAGTCAGAAAACGTGCAGGACATTATAAAGTGGTTACTCTCCGGAATACTACCTTTGACCTACGAAAAAACCAGTTTGGCGTTTTTGCTGGTTCAGATTACGCCTCATCATTTCGAAGTGAGAGGTATATGTACTCAGAAAGTAAATAATACGCCTAAGAATGACAAGTGGATTAATTCAAGGGAATCGATAGATTTCTCTGATCAGATCGTCGAAGTGAAACATAGAGGCCTGAATAACATTATCGGGTCGTTGTTTATCAAAAAAGCAATGTTCCCTTTAAAAGATCTGTTCGGAGAATTCGGATATTACAAAAAAAGTTTGCTTATGTCCGCAGATTTACCTGGAATATCTGACGTGGAAAAATGGAGGGTAGTTTTTTTGAACGAAAAATTCGAATATCTATATTTCAAAAATGTAAATTATTCTATAAAATACATCGACCTGCTTAGACTTACGGCCCTTGCGAAAGAACATAAATATACGTTAATTTTAAAAAATAACTACATCAGAAGATGTTCGACTCATAACTTATTCGGTTTGTATATAAGTCGCAAATATTCAGACAGAATATTCATCGGTCCGTATCAAATGAGCGACTATAGTGAGGATGTAGAAACGTTAAAATTAATTAATAAATCGTTGGTCAGTAAGGAATCGCTGAATAAAATGAAAGGAATGACTGCTACATGTGGCTGTTGGATGTATGAACCGAAAAAAATAGACACACCAACACCAACGCAATCATCCGTTGAAAAACCTTCCTCGGATTTGAAAAAAGAAAGTAGTACTGAACTTTCGCCTACCAAAAACATAAAAACTGATAAAAATGAAACATCTGAGATTTTAAACGTATCTCCCCGAAAAAACTTAAAATCTAAAAATCACCATATCCTAGTTCATAAAGGATACTCGATCACTATAAGAAAATCTAAACCTAGAAGTCCCACTGAATTTAACAGGTATAGGTGTTTAGACAATACAAAAAATTATTATAATACGATAATTTTTTATGTAGGTTTTTAATAACAAATATCCCACAGTTCGGTTATTTGGGAGCGTACCAGCTAGATGATTCCAATATTTTAGAGGTGTCGTGGCCTTTTGAAGAAAAAGTGCTTCAGTTTAAAAATTCTGACCATGCACTGGATTTCCTATTAGAGTAAGTATATGTTTTATACAGAGTGGCCCGAACTGCATTCGGGAAACTGCGACAGCATATTCTGTCGATAAAAATTAGTAAAAAAGTTCCTATAAATGCATATCCTAATGCTTCGTTTCGGAGATGAGTGTAGAAGTTTGATTTTTATTTCCATTTTTTCCAAATAATTTTTGAACTAATGTCGATATATCTGGGTGTTTTTTGACATTAGAAATTTGGGGATTTCAATATCAATATGACTCCTACTTGTAAGGGGCGGCGCCTTCATGTTTTTTAAATGTAATGAAGAGTAATAACTTTTCATCCGTACCTGTATAAAACTACTGACTGAAAAAAATATACATTTCCGATATTTTTAAGTAAAAAAGGCATCTTGGTAAAAACCGCAACGTGCAACTGTTCTCAAGAAATTTGGAATGGAAATTATCCATACATGTCATCACTGACAAAAAATAAACATGTTGTCTAGATAGTTATTTGACTGAAATTATAAATCTGGGAAGTTTTTATTATTTTAAATTAATCATAATCTATTCTAGGAAAATTATGATGAAATAGTTAAACACCAATTTTCGTCCATATATCGACGTTAGTTCAGATATTATTTTGAAAAAATCGAAATAAAGATAAAACTTCTACACCCTGCATCTCCGAAACAAAGCATTATAGGACATAAACTTATACGAACTTTTTTACTTATTTTTGGCTGCAAAATATGCTGCCGAAGTTTCCCGAAAACAATCCGGACCACCCTGTGTATTTTTTTTACAATACAGGGTGTCCTAGAAATATGTGCCAATATTTTAACTAGAATATATCGGCCCCTGAAACAAGCCTATTAGGTTTTTTTGCGAAAAAAAAATGTTGAAAATTTTATATTTTTCTTGACTTTTCCGGGAAATTTTATAAGACTTTTTATAGTTCAGTCATTGGGGATTTTTGCTTGGAAAAAAGTCCGGAAGTTTTGCAACTCTGCAGGTTTATAGGTTTTGGGGTCCCTAACTAAAATCCATAAAATGCACATTTCCAGACTTGCCGCCGGCGCCCAAAATCGGTATTTTGTAAATATCTCGAAAACTATGCGTTTTTCGCAAAAATTTGAGGAGAGCAAAATTAAAGAGAATAAAATTTCTTATAAAAAAGGTTCTATGGAAATTTTCGCGAAAGTCAACCATTCTCTGGAAAAAATCTTTGGAAATTTTACAATTTTGCTTAAAGTATGATATATTATGTATAGTCGATTTTCCGACATCAAATGTCGATTAGGGTTCACTAAAACTAGTTTTAGTTTAGTTTCTTCAATTTAGTCATAAAACAGTGGCATATCATTAATTTGTTTAATATAATAATAATTAATTTATGAATAATTAATTGTCGTGCTGGACAGCATTCATTGCGAACTTACCACCAGGTTCAGCATTGGTCTGGTTGTACCAAAGATGCCGAAGAATGGGGTTGGAAGAAAACAAAAACAGGCATTACTCCAGTCACAACGTTGACAGATCCAGCTCCAAAATCCCTATTGCTGAACCAGACTAATGCTGAACCTGGTGGTAAGTTCGCAATGAATGCTGTCCAGCACGACAATTAATTATTCATAAATTAATTATTATATTAAACGAATTAATGATATGCCACTGTTTTATGACTAAATTGAAGAAACTAGTTTTAGTGAACCCTAATCGACATTTGATGTCGGAAAATCGACTATACATAATATATCATACTTTAAGCAAAATTGTAAAATTTCCAGAGATTTTGTGCCTAAACGGTTGACTTTCGCGAAAATTTCCATAGAACCTTTTTTATAGGAAATTTTATTCTCTTTAATTTCTCTTCAAGTTTTTACGAAAAACACATAGTTTTCGAGATATTTACAAAATACCGATTTTGGGCGCCATCTTGGCAATATGGCGGCGCCGGCGGCAAGTCTGGAGATGTGCATTTTATGGATTTTAGTTAGGGACCCCAAAACCTATAAACCTGCAAAGTTTCAAAACTTCCGGACTTTTTTTCAAGCAGGCCCCTTTTTTGATCCCCAATGACTGAACTATTAGTGTCACTTGTCTATTCACTTGAGGCGTCGAATAAGGTGAAAAAACTCCTTAATAGCCGGTTATCGCCAGCAGCGGTTCTCAAAATATTGCTAGTATTTTCTTTTAAATTTTCAAAGTTAAATAACTCGATTATTTTCAATTTATTTTAAAATGGTAAAGAGCAAAGATGTTTCTTTTGACCAGATCTACCACCCCTTAAAATATCCGCACATTTCTGGGAAACCCTGTATATGGACCCTATTTTTATTTTTTTTATTTACAGGCGTTTCAATCAGCTGTTGCAACCAGTTCCAGAAACGTTTAGGATTCAAATTAAAGTTTTATTTAATCTAGATTTAGAGGAATACAAACCAGTAGATGCGAAAGTTTTAAACGGCCATTGTGTGAGTAATAAATTTGTTATATAAAATTAGAATTGGATAATATCGATACGTTTTAGCAGGGGCGGCTCATTAATAAGAGCGCCCGTGCACGCGCAACAAAAACCAAGAAAAATGTGATTTTAAAAAGTAAAGAGCATTTCCACTATTTTTTTATTACTGCCGTCATTTTGTCACATTATAATTAATCACCATTAACAAAACTATACTTCACATTATTTTTTTATTATAGATTTGCGGAGACTTTGGCACATATAATTTCAAAGAATTAACCGACGAATTTTGTAGAACGGAGCTTAAGATATCTAAAGCGGAAATTACGCAGCTTTTCTCTAAACGAGCTCAAGCTTACATTATAGATAAAATACAGGATTTAGCGGATCTAGTTGGACTGAATCAGTTCTCAGACAGAGAAAACTACAATATGCGTAATATATTGTCTAAGGTTTGTATATTTTCAAAGGGCTTCTATAAGTTATACACTACTTCTCGATTTAAGTGTATTTTGCATTAGAGGTGGGCAAAGATTGAACGAGTATTAAAAATGAATCGTGAGATTCGATTCACCGTTTAGAATACGGTTCATACGGCATATTTATGTAGCAGGGTATCAATAGACTCGAACAAAATCCCTAAACAAACATCATGTATATAAAATGCGAACGATGTGAAAGTTATTTACAAAAAAATATATCTATTTGTAGGCTTGGTGCATTTCAGTTGATTTCAACAAATTCCGACCGCAGTGCTTCAAAGGCAGAAATCAGAAATTATCAGTACGTGTTGATGTTACAGATCATGTTGACAGCATTAAAATTATATTGAAATCGTGGCTTTGTCATAATATTTAAGTATTTTAGTTTTTTTTGCTAGTGCAGTTATTGAGACACTCAGGTACGAGGTTTGTGTGATGTAACGCTGTTTCGGGTAGTAAAAAATAAGTGAAAAAGAATTCGAACTAGGTGTCGCGCGTCGTGTAGTGTTGTGATAATTTCAAATGTTAATAAAATTGCCAAAAAAGTGTTAACGCATAAAGGAGAGCGGAACTAGGGCGTTATTGGTTGCAATAACATTCAATAACTCAACTTTCCCGGATATTCAACTCTCCCGAAACAATATTTTATAAGTTCATAGTTTCTCACACCCATTTGATCAAAAGCAAAAATGGATTCAAGCTGTTCGACGAAACAAGTGAGTAAACAAAGTGCTCGTTACATAATCAAAAAATGAAATAGACATATACTATGAGAGGATAAAATATAATTTGCAATATTAATGGTATACTTTTTTAATCGACTAGTGATTAAATGTTTTATGAACTACTTTTAAAATTATAATTATGTACCTTTAAAAAAATTCATTATAGCCGAAATAGGCCCAATTATGACCCCACTAGCAAAACCGGTGATTAAAACTATGCTCGCTACCCCCACTACCGTAGTTAAACTCATCTAAAAAGTTTTTTTAGTTGGAATAATAAATTATAATACAAGTTAGACCTTTTGAAGATATCAAAATATTTACTTTTTTATTTTTATTTTTAGAATTTTCACCAATCATACTTACTAACACTTTTAGAATAATTATATAATAAATTGTTCATATACTCGCTATTTAAACCTGTGTATTTGTATATACTAGTTGTTTACGATATTCTCCGAGGATGGCAGCACCGGAGGAGAATGTACCAAGCCTATACTGTGATACGCGAAACGTGTTTGTTTGGTTTGTAGTTTGTTCAAGTGAAGGAATCGTAAGAGTCGACTCATTATGAAAAATCGATTCACTAAAAATAATCGTAATGCCCATCACTATTTTGAATGCTTAGCCACGGGTTGACCTACAATCGTTCATAATATTGTATCTGGATTGTATTTTAATAATTTATACATTTCAGGCAAAAGAGGTGATAAAAACGGCGGAATCTCGTAATCGGGAATTATTTCAAGAAATCACAAAACAAGAAACTAAGTTGGCAGAGAATGTTACATATATCCGAACACTCGCCAGCGATCTGCCGGAAAAATATCGTAACATCGAATCTTGTGTACTAAATGACACGTTACAAATACGACCGTCCACACTGAACTCAAACGAGGTGGTGGAAATTATCGATGATAATGAACCTGACGAAGTAGACGATGTCATTTGGATACCGGAAGAATCAAATAATGCGGACAAAAGTGATACTAAAAAAGAGGTAAGTCCTATAAAATTTAAATTTATTCTGAAAAAATCTTATGATATACTAAGTAATTTCAATGTCAACATCGGGAGCATGTTTTGTTCTGCAAATAAAAACAAGTAAAAAAAATAATTTCATGTTCTAAAATACGTTGTTTCGGAGATACAGGGTATAGAAATTTAAAAATTTCATTTCCATATCGGATTTTTCCAAATCATTTCGGAAGTATATTAAATAGTTTGGTGAAAATTGGTATCTAGGTGTTCTTTGACATGAAAAATTTGATTTCGATGTCAAAATATAATTCCTGCTTGTAGGGGAGCCGCCTACATATTTGATAACTGTTTTGAAGAATAATAAATTTTCTCTGTACCCGTATTACACTAGTACTTACTTAAACACTTACTGAGTAAAAAATGCATATTTCGCAGTAGGTACCTATTTTACTTATAAAAGGTCTTTTGGTAACAATTGCTACGAGAAATTCTCCAGATATTTGGATTCGAAATTATCAAATAATATGTCATCATTAACAAAAATTGAACATGTTGACTAATTACATTGACTATTTCCGTTCCAGATGTCTTGAAAATGGTTGCTCGTAGCGATTTTTACTAAGAAGCCTTTTTTACGTAAAAAAATGAAGGAAATGTATATTTTTCACTCAGTAGTGTAACATATTATACTCAATAGTGTAACATATAGCAGTCATGCTTCAGGCACGGCATATAAATCACACGGCAGGCTAACTCGCTTTGGCGGGAACGCTACGCGCATATCCTCGCGCACGCCGCCATTTGCGTTTCCATCAACAGAAAGTAACCAGTGACGTAGTTTTTTCAGCGACAACACACAGTTACGGCAGATTCGAGTCAGTAGCGTGCGGCTTAATTTATTTTGATTTTTTCTTGAGTGATATATTTTGTTTTTGTTGTTTTATTTTTGTTTATTATGTGATATATTTGGTTTTTCTAGTTTTATTTTCGTTTCTTATGTAATATAGTTGCCAATAGGTGCCCGGTGGCGTAGAGGTACAGGCTCTCGTCTACCAATCTCAAGGTAGTGGGTTCGAATCCCACACCCGGCATTTCATCAGCCGACAATTTTTATTAAAATAAAAATGGTTTGGGTACCTAAGTCGACTCAGCCTTAAATGAGTACTTGGGATTCACAATCCTGAGGTAATAATAGGCGGTTGAAGCGTAGTGCTAGCCACATTACCTTCCTTTGTATACCGAACGGCTCTAGTATGGCAAGCTGTACCTTGCTACTCCCAAGGCGTCAAACGCTATATACGGGAGCTATTATTATTATTATGTAATATAATTTGTTTTAGTAGTTTTATTTTTGTTGTTCAATAAAAGTTTCTTTCTGTTTCCTAGAGATCCTATTAGGTATGTATATATGTGATTAATTATTTTAACATATTTTAGTTGTGAAAAAAAAAACAGTAGTATACATATTAGGACATTCAGCTAAATAGGAAGATCTAATTAAAAATCTTAATAAACTTTAATATTAGTAAGATTTAATGTTAAATATTTAGTAAAATAAAATTTAATGTTGTATCTAGAATCTAGACATTAAAAATTAAATTTAAAAATCATTATATTATTCATTTAAGTATAATTATAAAAATAAATAAAATGATTATATCGAAAATAAGTTAACAATACATTTTTAGGGCAAGAACATGGGCAATTGCAGCTAATAGAGAAGACTTGATTGAAGATATAAATAAGGCCCACAAGTACAGGTTGTGTTCTGTTCACTTTGAATTTAAAATGTTTACCAATTTACTTTGTAACCGTATAAAATACAATGCGGTACCTACTGTTTCCTGCCATGAAAAAAATAGAAGTTTCTCAAAAAAAATTGTGGATTTATTAATTTGTGAAATTTGAATATTGTTGCGGACCCGTGTGGACTCGACCTAACCTAACTATGTGTCCCGCCCTCAGATGACCTTAACATCGCATTAAAGAATAGACACAGTAATGATTCATTCGTTCGAGAAAAATGGAGTCCCACTGGAATGGACTAGTACATACGAGAACATTCGAAAACCTTCTCTACGCACCTAACGATCTATGGACTATTCTAGAGTTCTTTACCTGTCGGTATAAAAGCCGGCGGCTGTGGCCTACAGAGGGCAGTTATAAATATACCAGTGCAGTTGACGCGCTAAAATTCAAAATAAATTCTTAGTTATAAATCGTTTGTAAATAGTTCTATAAGTCTTTTATCGTTATTATTTTTGTTAATTAGTGTTAAATAAATAGTGTTTAAATAAATTGTGACTTTCTATCCACACGGAACCGACGAAAAACGTTACAATATTAATAAAATTTGCTACGCCCATTGATGGGCATAATTTGTACGTAGCCTCTTTATATTGTTCAATAAATATTTTATTGGTATTTCTTTAATTCTTGTTTGTAACTCCTGGCATGTTTTTTAATTTTATTGTCTATTCTCTACAGTGAAATATTTAATTAATTTTTTCATTTTTACTTTTGGAGAAGTATGCGCGGTTAACGATTCATTTGTTTGGACAAAAGTATTGTAAATAAAATTCAGTTTCAGTCAATTACAGTATTTTTTTAATACGACCCTGTCGTATTTTCTGAGAAATTTTTTGATACGTTTTAATCCGGCCCTGACTAGGAAACGATAATGGCGCCGACAAGGTCAAATTTTAGAGAAATTTTAAACAATGGAATCTGAGTAGAGTTGGCGTGCCGATTGTTTTATGTGCCGTGCTTCAGGGCCTCAAGCATCCCCCCCAGTTCAACCAAGTAATACGATTTCCTTAGTCACAAACGACTCTGGAGTATGTACTTTGAGTAAAATTTCTGGATATATATCCGTATACTGGATCCGCCCCTGGTCATACTGACCTCTAAATCAAATTTCTCACGTCAAAAAACACGCAACTTTCATCCAAATATCGAGGTTAGTTCGGAAATTATTTGGAAAAAACAGAAATAAAAATGAAACTTCTACTTTTTTACTTATTTTTATTACTTATTTGCAGATTATTTTGCCGAAGTTGTCCAAATACAATTCGGGCCACACTGTATAGATTATTTCTGAAAAAATCCTATGATATACTAAGTAATTATACCGTGTGATCGAAAAAAGAACGGCGTCCAGCTAGCTTGAAAATGTCGATCGATGACATTTCCCCGAGGGGTGTCTCACTATTGGAATTACATGTACATTTTCTAGGCAGTCGCTGGCAGTCATTGGCAGTCTTACGGCAGTCGCCTATAATAATTACATGGCAGTCATTAGGCAGTCTTCTTCGCAGTCATTGGCAGTCACTTGCGAGTAACATGATATTTTGGCAGTACATGTACATTTTTACCCAAGTGAGACACCCCTCGCATTTCCCTATACAATTTTACATATAAAATAACAGCGATCTTCAGTTCGTTTTCGTAGCCATCGCTAACGCCGTTTTTCTTTGATCTATCGATATATTTTCGTTTCTTATCAATATTTATTTATATTGTATTAATTTGTTTCTGAATTCTTTTAGCAACCTACAGACGTGAATTCTGGACAAAACTTGACTAATACTACACCAGAATGTGGTGAAGTTCAAGAAGATTCTGCTTTAAAAACACCAGTTCCGACGTTAAGAGTTAAAGCTCCGTCAGAACTAAATAACTTGGACAGTAATGATTCAAGTCAATGCATTAATGAAATAGAGATAATTTTTTCGAGCGATGAAGATACAGAACCTGATGAATCAGTAGAGGAAATTGACAAACCATTCACTGAACAAACAGACAGTGAAAATTTTATACCAAGTGGTGATATCGTGATTGAAGATAGTGAAGTAATAGGTTATAGGCATGTTATAAAGCTTTAGATATTAGAAACTAATATCTAAAGCTCGTTATAAACATACAAAGTGTTGTATCAAGTAAAAAAACTACCGTTGAAAGACATTTCCGATTCTGAGGAATATTTGAGTAGTTCTTTAAGAACTTAAATTATATAAAAAGTAAAATAAACTTTTTCACGATCATAAATAATTGTCCATTAAATTCAGTTGGCCCTTATAAAAAAATATATATTCTGTCCAACGAGTCTGTGAAGATTGCGACAGACGACATCCAAAAAATGACAGAAAATACAATTTACCTGGGAGTTAAAATAGAAGACACGACAGTCGTTGTCCTTGACTCTCTCGTTGGACAGACTATATCATTCTTTATTATTATTATATAAGTATAGTACTTTCAAAGTCACTGGGGCTCAACATTTCGGCTCTGCCTTTGTCGGCATCGTCTAGACTAGATAAACTGTCTATAGTCCGAAACAAATCCAAGTCACTTTGGAAATACTTTATATTTTTTGTTATATATAATTTCGTTTTGTTATAACACATTTTGTTTTGTTAATTAAAATAATTATTGTAAGGCTGTAAATTTGTAAATAAATATATCTGTCAGTCTCTAAATTTGGTTATTTTTATCATTAATTTATTATTACTAGTGATTTATCGTCTCTAACTCGAACTGTAATAGTAAATCGATTATAAAACATCGAATTTTCTTAACCAGTATGGCTCCACGGCAAAAATAAAAAAGACCAAGGCGCAGAATAAGTTGTAGTGATGGGATGGGTGATTAAATAAAACTTCAGTATATTTACTTTCATTTCTATATTTTGTTTTCAGCCTTATAAAACTATTTGATAGTTTAAAAATAGATCGCGTGTTCAATTTTAACAAAACAATATTTAACGGTTTGCCTTTCTTATAATTAAGTTCCCCTTTGTTGGTTATTCATAAGTATGTGCGTTCATTTTAAAATGCATGAAATGTATAACTCTGTACAATACTGTCACCTTACCAGCATTTAAGCTAGCTTATGATTTTTTAGTTACAAGATGTAATTTTACAGTGATTGCATACTGTGTCTTGTAAATCTATTACTACATTTATACATAAAAACTGTATTTTTACATCACAGAAATCCTAAAGAGGACGCTAGTTAAAAGCTGACAAGTTTACATGTTTTATGACGACATAAAAATCTTTGGGACACTCCTTTTAGTATCTTGAATCTGAGCTTTACGCCCACTTTACGCCTAATATTATTTAAAATCCATACGGATATTCGAGATATGATTGGTCAGTGCAATTTATACAGATATAATTATTCTAAATCGGTGTCTGGGTTCTCAGGTCTAAGGCAATAATAAAATAAAACCGTAAAATTGAAAAATCCAATATGTTAAAAAGAGACAAAAAGTGGGTTGATATAGTTTCTTCGACGGTCTCTCAACGTTACGTCATACCAAGGGGAGGCAAAGGTTAGCCTTGGGTCGAGATTTCCGTATGTACAGTACGTTTGCTGGATCTGTGTCTATGAAAGGAATGCGGACAAAAAACATTTAAATAAACAACAATATATTTTATACGTCGACTTGACGAGAACGTCACCGCAAATCGCTCCGCCCACGCATTTTATTGGCTACTTGCAAATTTGTCGAATGTTTATTGATGGGACGCGTCGTCTAATTTTTTACGAAAAACATCGAGAGAATATCGTTTCCCCTCTCACGGATACCCCGTAGCTACAGAACGGACAGACGTACTGTAAGAAGAGTACAATGCCGTTATAATGAACTGAACAAAGAGAGAACAGTAAAAACGTTGCCAAACGTATGAAATAAACCGAGAAACTGTGCACATGAGAAGGGGTTATAGCAGATTTTCGTCGTGGTCGACTGGTCGCCCCAATCAGTACTTAAAATTCTAAGAAAGTGTGTATATCGTGCGTTCAGCTTGGCGATTTAATTACGTCTCGTGATACTTTATTTGTTTATTTATTAACGAGTCGTAATTTTCCCTATAGCACTTGCACTTTTGGTAAAAATAAGTGGAATTGAGTTGGTATTCGACAGTGGTTGCGCTATTAGAACTCTGAATTCAAAAATCAATATCTCGAAATTCATTAGAAAATAATGGGTTGTAGTTTTTTTTTCAAAAAAAAATATATTTCTGCTATATTTTCTTCGCAGACAGTATTGCTATATTCCGTCGCAAAACCAGGCGAACCAGACCGGTATACTAAGGTAAAGAGCGGTTTCTAAAAAACATCGGTTTGATACGGAACGGTTTGGTAAAATACTGAAAACGTCAAATATTGACGTTTTCTAAATTTCAATACCTATATTATAAAATTTATCTATTATGCATTTTTAATGTACCCATAGATAAATGAAACAAGTTTAGATTGGAAAGTGCCCATAAGGACAATGTAAACACTATTTGGCGCTATTCTTGCAACGGTCGCGACCCAAAACTTTTGAAAATTTCGGAGCGGTTCGGCTTTTTCCGGAATTATATCGCTAAATATTGTTTATTCAAATTTATTATTTTCTTTTAATTTTATAAATTAAATACAGTGTGTTGCAAACAAGAAACTTTGTGCGCGTTCAGGGAACACAGCGGCTGACCGACCGCTGAGTATTTTACTCAGTGGCTGACTGTTTTTGCGTGTAAAAAGAGACCGTTGAGGGAAACCTCTTACTCAGCCACTCAGCCGCTGACCGTCCCTGAACGCGCCCTTTATTTTATATAAGGACATGTATAAAATACCTATGAAACATTGGAAACCGACGTTATGCCACGATCCACGATGGTTTTTGCAGTTCACAGTTCACAGCACAGCGTTTTAAGTTTTTAATGCCACTTTTTCACACAATTATCACCGGTTGGAGTAAATAAAACTTGAATTAAACTCACAAGATAGCAATAATTACTTTGAAAATGGACGCTATAAACACTTTTCGGAATTTCTTTAATGAGAGCGGTTTAGATTTTGAAAGATTTTATGATTCTTGAAGATTCTCACTTTAACAAGGGAAAATTATTTCTGTTTTTGTTTGCCGTTGTTCTTAGCGACCGCTATAGCAGCGCCAGATCGCATATAACGGTCGCGACCCAAAATAATTTCGCGACCTAAAATTTTTACGGGCTTTCCAATCTAAACTTGTTGCATTTATCTATGAATGTACCTATTCTCTGCTTTTACGTTTGCTTCTTCTTTTCATTGGAGTTTAATATTGAAAAGTACTTTATTAATAAACTGTTAAACTCGTTAGACAGCTCAAGTGAAGATTTGCAGGTCCAATATTAAAACAGATCAATAATAAATAAACAAATCTAATCAATATTTATATTTTTGTAGCTTACAAAACATTCACGATTACTTCTTGTCTTGTTTTTCATGTTTTCTTTAAATGTTCCTAACTTTAAGAAAATTATAAGTTTAAATGATCCTAAAAAGTCATTTTATTTAGTTAATGAAATTTATTTACCTTTACTGCCTACCTCCATTGCTTTTGGATGTAAATACAAAATATTACTACAAATTTTAGAAATTTAAATGACAATTTCACTCAAACTTCCAATATTTGCTTGATTTCTGTCACGTAAATGACACTGATTGACAAACAAAACCAGAAAAACCAGCCTTCTCGCGCTGGTTAGTTTGGTGACAGTTATAACCGAATTTTTCAGGAACCGTGTTCCGTAATGAGAAAACTTTTAGGAAACCGATAGAAACGGAACATAAAACCATAACCAAGGTAAGCAACGGAATACACCCTAACATTCCTCGCCGATGCAGCGTGAATGAACAAACTCTCCTCGTCAAGCTTATTCATTATTTTCGCTTATTTATTACCATACGATCGAAAAAAAACGGCGTCAAAAACGGCTGGGGAATGACAATCGATGATACTTTTTGCGAGGGCAATCTCTAGACTTAATTTACTAAAAATTGATATACAACCATTTACAGTCCGTCTATCCGTTTTGTAGCTACGAGGCATCCGTAAAGGGAGGAAACAATATTCTCTCAATGCGTCTCGTAAAAAATTAGACGATGCGTCCCATCAATAAAAATTCGGCAAATTTGCAAGTAGCCAATGAAATGAGTGGACAGAGTGTTTTCTGTCGCTTCTATTTAGGTAGGTATTTATAAAATATATTGCTGTTTATTTAAATGTTTTTTGTCCGCATTCCTTTCGTCGACACAGATCCAGTAGACGTACTTTACATACATTACAACTTTCTTAAGGCTAACTGGCAGTAAGCCCAATAATAAAAATAAAAAAGAGTACGGGCCAAGTAATGACGTCTAGGGCTTGACCTCGCCAAAATTATCATCGATTATCTTTTCATAGCCGTTTTTGACGCCGTTTTTTTTCGATCGTATGGTAGAATGCAAATGCGTATACTATTATATAAAATATAAATTGATAGCGTTTATAATTATTAATGTCACTGATATGCATTCAAATTTATATTTCAAAAATTCCATTCATTCAATTCCAAGTTCTCTTTAAAAAAAAACAAGTACGACATACACATTGCGGTGCTTAACATATTTTTCATAATATCATTGTATATATGTTAATAATTTAAAATTAATCGAGACTTGTTTGATTAATTTAGTCTCATATTACAAAATAAATAAATCTAAAGATAATATGAACAGCGAGAACGGTCCAATTACACCCAGTTCTCTGTTCTTATTGCTCTATTCTCAGTAATTTATACTAGTGAATATTATATTTAGTGAATTATGTTTTATTTTTTTGCCACTAAAATTATAAATTACAACACAATAAAGGCTTAACATACCTACAGTTCATACCAAATAAACTTTTAGTCACGTGATTAAGCTTAACCTGCACAGCGTTGCCCACTTTTATATATTTTCTTTCAATCAAACTATTTTAGGAAACAAAAATAAATTAATTGTAATACAGCTATTATTTACATCAATAAAAATTACCTTGTTAATAGCGCTTAAGGGGCATAAAGGGCCATTACTACCGCTTTCCCGTTCAAAATATTCTAATAAAGTTGCAATGAGTTTTTACAGCTATTAAGCTATCTTGTATACTTCGCACTAAAAGAGGTTCTAAAAAGAACGATGTTCAACTGCAAGGTCTGCTAGTAAACATTTGCAAGCTTAAAGTATCATAACACTATTTATTTAAACCAAAAACTCGTAATACCAAACTAAAGTGTCAAAACGAATGACCATGTCAGGAAATAAAGAAATGCGACAACTTGACATTTTTTACAGCAGAGCTACCACCTGAATCCCCAGCCTGAAATTTAAATTGCAGTTAGCCAGCACGGCGTCGGCGCCGGCGCCGAATACGTCCATGGTTGACAACAATGTATTTAAAAATCGCGCCCTCAATTACGTAACTAAAAGTTTAATTGACATGAAATATACTTAAAATTAATATAAACGGAACACGTTCGATTAATAAATTCAGAACAAAAATGTTTTAAATAATATAAACTTATCTCACATACCCCAAAACTCACATTTGATAAAGAATGATGACGTAAAGTCAAACAACCGTCAAACAATCTATACCTTTAACGCGTAGACCTGCGTAGTCCTAAGACGCGTAGGAACTGAAACCCTGCCATTTCTTTGCGTCTCTATTTGTTTCTATCTCTAGAACGACAGTTTAAAATAAAGACCACTGATTTAAAATGACCTGGCGAGTATAACCAATTTATAAATAGGAGCTGATCTAATTCAAATATACAAATAGAAACGAAAAAAAGTATCAAACAACAAACATTATTTCAAATGTTATCAAATTCTCGAAACCCATTAAATTTATTAGGCGCATCTATTCCATTTTCGACAGTATCTAACACGCCTATAGGTTGAATAGATTTCCTTTTCTCATTTAGTTTTCCCAATTCCACTTTCAGTTTATTTAAAATCGCGTAATTCGGTTGGTTTATTGCGGCTTTACTTTGTAGAGAAGTGATTTCTTGTTCTTCCAGTTTTTTCTCTTTAAAACTTTTTATCGATCTGTTGCCATACAGTCGTAACAGAGATCCCCAAGAGGTTATGCTGGGATGTAACGCCTGAAGTATCGACTGAGACGCTCGTTGCTTTCCATCGCGCTTATTCTTGCACGCCACTGTTGTCGTGTACTTGCCTACGGTCATGGTAAACGAATTGCCTTGGTGTTTCGAGTTGTTTCCCTGATAATGTATTTTTAGATCGTCTAATCCGAAGTTTCGTTGTAAACACGTCAATAGGATGTCGTAAGGTGCGGGTTCGGTTGTTTTAGCACAAAATTCCGCCACTCTGGGGTCTTCTACACGGACCTCGTCAAAAAATGAGAGGTCTTGGTCCTTGTCTTTTTTTGCGCTCCCTGAAATTAAGTATCGATTTAATAGTATTTATAAAACTTAATTAGTTGTCATTGGTCTTAAGTAATAATTAAGCAAATTGACTCTAAATTTCTTAGAGCACTTTCACACAAAGCCACTCGTGTCCGACAACGGTGTTCCGATTTAGCAAAGCGTTGTTTAAAATCTACGTATACAGACGAACCACTAAGCTGACCACGCTGCTTTTAGTCACGTAGCGATCGTTGTGTAGTGTCTTGCCCTCGCCACAAGCCACTCGACACTGTTTTTGTTTTATGCCGCGACCGCACATGCGGCATTTGGCGATTTCCGAGCGCTTGTCAACGGGACTTTTTCGATTTTCCGATTTTCGATCAGTGTGGACGAGGAAGTCTGAGTTCGGCGACGAGAACGAGCGCTTGTCTTTATGTTGTTGAATGACCCTTTCTATCAGAGCTCGGCCATGCCTGCATGTGTGGACGTGTGGACGGAAAGGCGAAGTCCGATGACGAACTCACGGTAGTTGACGAGCGCTCGGAAATCGCCCACTGCCGCATAATATGCCGTCGCGGCATTAGTATTACATTGTTTTCATATGAGACCAGCCATATTTTGTGTCGTGTCTTTGGTTTGGTATCAATCAATGACTAAAGAATATAAGAACCAACACTCGGGACCAAATTGTTACCATGGCTTCAAACAGTGCCGTGGTCACAAAATTTTCTTAACTTAGCTGCTTGAAGAGATATTTATATTTTTGACAAACTGTTTTGACTACGCCTATGGTGTATGCGGTGGTATCATACTAATTAATTACGAAAAAATGTATTCAAATATTAACAAAAGGTACAAATCTAGTATCGACGTATAGTACATTCATATCAAGTACATATAATATCTGAGAAATAATTATCAAATTCAATAAGAAAGCCCTAAAAAGGTGGAGTGGACTGTTTATTTACTGATGAAACGTAACTCCTGGCTCTTTTTTATCGTTGCGGCTTTTACACTTGAAAGCTGAACACAACACCATTGCAATAAAGTTTATACAAAGTTCACTACACATAACAAACTACTAAATATCGCTAAAATTGTCGAGCTGTTGACGAGCTGGTGACTCATCTGTAGGCTCCAAAATGATGGTGTCTAACAGCACAAATTTTGCTCCAGCCCGTATATGGGCGTTATGCGTCCTTGTATTCTTTAGTCGTTGGTACCAATTATATTAGTGGAAAGCTAGTTTGTTAATTAAATATTAATTGTGGAAGGAAGTCTTGATAGTGTAATATTGAAGATTTTTTAACTGCCACTGAAGGAGATCCAATTATTTGGGACAGTAAATTAGAATATATACATAGCATTAAAATTATATCAGATAGTAAATGGGTGTATCCACATTTTTTTCTTTAGTCTCCTTCCCAGAGCGCCGTTGAATTAACAATAGAGTCAGTAATGTTACTTCACATCCGTTTTTAAACGATATCTGCGAGATTTTCTCCAATTAATTTGGTGTTTGGTGTTCTGATTTACTGTCCTCTATTCACGCAGTTGTGCAGCTCTGAACTGTTCAAGAACGCGACACTCTCACTCCATTCAATTGAGTCATAAAGTTCAGAACTGTTCCGCGCCATACGAAGGCACCCGGCTATCGCGCACAGCTCCTTTCAGAACCGTTCTCGAGTAGTCCAGAGCGTAAAGCTCTGGAACTTGAAATTCGCGAATGGAGGACAGCAATTTACTGTCCTTCACTCACGCAGTTGTGCAGCTCTGAACTGTTCAAGAACGCGATACTCTCACTCCGTTCAATTCAGTCATAAAGTTCAGAACTGTTTCGCGCCATACGAAGGCACCAGGCTATCGCGCACAGCTCCTTTCAGAACCGTTCTGAGTAGCCCAGGGCGTAAAGCTCTGGAACTTGAAACTCGCGAATGGAGGACAGGGGCTACACATAGGCTTTCCTAGGACAGCAATAGCGGACACTGATGTCCGACACAAGTGACTTTAAGTGCCCACAATCTGGGCAAAAAGTCACTCTACTATGTTATATGTAATATGATTTCACGATTATTACCATTATTATAACAAATTAAAAGACACAAGTGGTTAAAAAATATATCATCAAAAGTGAATAATGTTCAATTTTATGACAAAAAAATATCATATAATTATTATATCGAGTACAAAAAGAAATAAAAAGACACTTAAGATACGTGACTTGAGAGAAGTACTTACCTAATATAACCTGTAACAATAAAATGTAAATGTTGGACGCCATTGGAATTGTCTTGTCTTATAAATCAAACGCCCTGATATACATATAATTAATTGCTTAAATCCTTATTGAAAAAATGGTAAAACGTTGTCAAACAATTATAGTAGAAAGACTATTATGATAGTACCCTAACACCCTGTATCGACATTTTCTTCATTTCCTGTATACAAGGATTTTCTCAAAAGTGGCGCATCCCTATAATTTTTTATTTCTTCAGACAATAAAACGAAATCGGTATGTTAGTACATGACATAAATCAGGATTGTGATTGACGTATTCAATTAATATGGTCACTTCCTGTTTCAACAGAAATTACTACAACTTTTGATTTTTAAATGGTACCCACAGTATTTTTTTACTTTATTTGATAGAATATGACATTCTGTGAATAACATACAACATATCATTGTCAGCTTTTGACAAAAAAATAAAAATAGTTATAGGAGTGCGCCACCTTTGAAAAACACCCGGTATACTTATTATTATTATTCTGTACAGAATTACAACCTAGAACCCCGAATAGACATTATCTAAAAGACAAGCAACACAAATTTATAGAAAAATGCATTGATGTTAAAAAATATTTAATTATGTTTCCCCCTGCTAATGTATTTTTTTGATGTAAAATTGGAATTACTTCAGAAACGACTCAACTTAGGTATATGATGTGTTTAAAATTTCATGTAAATTCAAAAACCGAAAAATAATAGAGGGTGTTCTATTTGAAAAAAGCAATTTAGCAGCCAGAAGTGCCCCACAGTGGAAACTATTTTACAAAGAAAATATACCTGGAAATAATCCTAACTTAAAAAAATCAAATTTGTATCCAAAAAACAATAAAGATCCTAAAAAGAATGTAATTGCCCAGTTGAGTGAAAACCCCATATAATTGTACAAAAAATCTTTTGATGCATTCACATTAAAAAGATAGCATATAAAACTAAAGAATTGATATGTATAGATACCTGTTTGACCGTCAGCAGTAATTTTGGACTTCATTTCCGGTATAAGAATTTCTAATGTAGACCTCGCCGCCTCTGACTTAGCTTGCTTTTTACTTGTGCCATAACCCACTCCATACTTCATATCTTTTATAACTACTGTTGCAGCGTAAGGTGTTGCGGCATTTTCAAGTTCTGTAAAAACATAAGTAGGTTGTTTTTTAAGAGCATGCTGAACATACTCATGCAGAATGCAAACGTATGACTTTCCATTTGGATTCATTATCCACTCTTTTTTCGAACTTGGACTAGTTTTATCATTACCATCTATATTTTTAATAGGAAACGTTATTAATTTTGTACCATCTGGTAGAGTAGGCCTCTCTAGCTGCTTTTCATGTCTACGTTTCTTGGCAAATTTCCTTCTTTCCGACCAGGACTTAAATCTCAATACATTTATCGTCTGAAATTCAAATAGCACCTCACAATATTCTCTCAAAGCTGCAGGAGTGAGACTTTGCAATTCAATATTCTCCTGTACAGTTTCTATTCTAGCATTAGGTAAGTTTTCAGATAAACTATTTCTGTCTTCGGATAAATTTGCATTTGTTTTTTGTTTTTCCTCTTCGATTAAAGCACGGCGGTAATTTAGACATGGTATAGCATTTACAGGAATTAAATGCTTTCTTGCTGATCCTGGTCCAAGAAAATATGGTCTAGATAATGTACAAACTCTTGAAGCCTTATGGAGATAAATGGGCATACCACTATTGTGGGTTACTTGTAGCCATCCTTCGGGAAGGACATCAAAGTGATTCTGTGCCTTTTCTATCATAACAATTTTAGTTTTCTCTTCAAAAGGTATCTGTATGTTTTCAGCATCCAGTCCTGCTTCGGTGGCTTTTCTTTTCTTCCTCTCCAAAGCTTCTTCCAGCATTTTCTCGACTTCTTCATCGGGGATGTCGGAATCGTACTCGACAGAGTCATCGGATACATATTTCTCACTGGTTTCGTCTAGGATATGAAATTTAGTTACCTCCTCAATAGATTTTGTGAATGGACATCTAGCACTTGTTCCATTTGTTTTAACAACATTTTCTTCTTCCAGACTGTTTGAAAGATGTGTTTGATTTTGATATTCGTCAGATGTATCGCTCATATTTTGTTCCTGAAGTGTTGGTTGCCACACGGTAACAATCGAAAGAATACTTCAACAGTATTAAATAAAAATTGAAATACCCTTTTGAGGGGCACCGATGGGAACCGATATTAATTCCAAGCTTTTCCACTCTCCCTAAAAATTAAGTTATCATTTTTTATTAGTTTTTTTTGTAAGGCTTAAAATGGATATAACCAATTGTTTGCATAAGTACCAGTGAAAGAATAAAACAAAATCTACCTACACAAACCGCATATTTACATATAGAGTTTTTTTTTAATTTAACATTAATGGCTGTTTAATCAAGAATATTATTAAATATTAAATACACGTTTTAAGTAAAATTACTCCATTCAGTTATCTGAGATTTCTGCATAGATAACCGAACTGATTTCTGAGAATTGAAAATCAGTCACGTCTTTTTTCACCTATGAATCTGTCAAAGAATCTGTCAAAGTCAAAATAACTTACTTTTCAGACCACAGATAGTTTTTTCAGGCGACCATAGATTAGCTTAATTGGTTGAATGATTGGTCCATTGATGGACCTAGTCCAAGAACAGTTAACCTTATTACTTATAGTTACTTATTATATATTAAAAATTAGTTTACCGTTCTTGGACCTAGTCCATATCTCTGCAAGCTCTGCGTTGAAGTTGAAAAAAACCACGCAACAAGGACTCTGTTCCATAGACTCTGTGTTCACTAAAGTCATATACACTTTTATGTGTATATGATTTATATATTTATATATGATTATAGTGCAATTTGCCAGTCACACTAGGTGTGATTCAGACAGAGAAATAGAAGGGATAGAGAATGAGCGTCAACATGCGCAGAAGGTCTAATCAAGTTGGGCGCCATATTCCAGGTCTTCCTGTCATTTTGTATATAGGTGGTAATCTATAAGTAATCAAATTTCAATTTGCTGTTTTCAACCATACGGGGGGCAATTTAAATTTAGTGAAATTCTATCATCGGTAATAAGAGAAACCCGAAGTAAGCTTTTTCCTAGCTTTTATGTCATGTGGTAATCACTAAAACATACAAAAAGCACTGCAAAAAGCATATTCAAATAAGTCTTTTATCTATGTATTCAACCCTTTCAGCATCCGACTGCATAGGGCCTATTGGGCCCTCCCTACGAAATGAGATGATCATATTCTATCTTTTATTCTGTGATCTATGACCGAAAAAAATCTCCGAAATTACCACTAATCTGTGGCCACAGATCAGATGGATAACATCTGTGACTAAAAATAAACATACTATGCATAAAAGTAAATTTATTGCGTTTGTTTGAAAACATTTAACAAGTACATTATACATTAGCATACAAAATAAACAGATTAACATGAGATTATCCATTGGAGGATTGTAGGGTATAGCCAGACATAATCATTCGTTTATAACAATGGAAGTTTTAGTGGAACGTTCAAAGAAGGTAGAAAATATTTAAATATATTTTTAAACTTCTAAAAATTAACAAAGTATATGGTATACAGTTTTATTCGAGTAATAAACAACTTTAACTAGAGAAATTGACATGATTTGAAATAAAGATTATTATTATTATTATTATTATTATTATTATTATGAAAAATAGATCTCGGTTACATATAAAATGCAAAGATTTTAGCTTGCTAATATTGATGTAGATATTTAATTTTTTATATTATGTTTTCTTTTCCTAAGGAAGGGGTAATTTAGAATTTAAATTAATTTGAAACTATTTTTAGAGGAAAAAAACCGCTTGCAAAGTGGCTAAGGAGGACGCGGAAGAGAGCAAAACTTCAAAAGATCTGAAAGTGACAGAAGTAGAAAAAGAAAATGAAGAATGTTCAAGTAAAGATTCCTTTTTAAAAAGTCATGACCAGGACAATACGCACCAGAAATCAAAAGAAAAAGTAATAGAAAATACCATATGTGCAAGAGAAACTAGTATTTCTAAGGTAACTAATATCATTTTTTTATCACACAGTATATCTGCAGAGATTAATTTACAGGAACAGGAAACTACCAAACCAGACATATTACATTCCACAGGAAGTTTGAAAATTTCAGAACAACACTTAAGTCATTTAACTATGGCAGCAGCAGAGGATAAAACAAATAGTAATAAAATAGATGACCTCAACAAAGATATGTCTAAAATACTAAGTTTAGATCAATACCTAAATACAAACATTAAAATATTAAAAACAATAGAAAACATTGATTCATTGCCATCAAAAATTAATTCTCTTTCTCTTGATGGTAATCGCACAGTACAGTCGGAATTTAAGATCCAAAAATTGGATATTAAGCCTTACACTGAACAACAGTTAAGTTCTTTATATTCTAATACAGAACTGGAAAGGTTAGAAGATTTTCAGACGAGGTATATAGAAGCTGAGCTTAAATGTTTGTCTGTAAAGCAGCATTACCTCTATGAACTGCTTACGAATTATTTGAAAGTCAGGGAAAAGATAACTGGTAAGTAATTGTGTTATCTTTATCAATTAATAAGAATTATTGTAAGATATATACCATTATAACTCACTTTATTTATAATAAATATAAGATTTCTGTGCCATGTTGCTATGTATGTGTTGTATTTGAATTGTTCTATTTAACAGTTAATTATAATATGGTATTAAAAGATCAAAATATATAAAAAATGAGGAGATATGTTGTTGAGATTGGTATTATTTTTTTTAGGAAATAAACTAGAGTTAGATCAGCTACGAAAGGAATATAGGGATTTACAAGGTAACCTGTGGACGTTAGAGACAGCTTCAGTTACAGGAAGGGCAGAGTGTCAAGATGGACAAATTGTCTCGGCTAGCCATAGCTACAACAAGAGCATATTACATAGATCTGTTTTTCAAAGCATTACAAGATTATTAATGAACATACAAAAACTGGTATATGAAAATCATATTCTTTTTACCTATTCAGCTGAGGATTTGAAATTGCAGGTATAATCCATTCATAAATTAATTAACAAATTAGGGTAATTACTATATAAATGTTAATACTTTTCAGATTGAATTGTACATACAGTCTGTTATACACAATGTCAGGTCTGTGACAAATTTAAACTTAACTGAACCAGTCTCCTTATCAATGCAGTCGGAGCCGAATCATCTGCAACCCTATTTCAACGAAGTGAGACTGTGCATATCTGTGCTTTTCGCGTTTCAAAGAAAAATAATCCGAGACAGCGTTTTTTTAACAGAAACAAGGGAATGGTTGTCACAGTTGATCACAGTTCTGTTGAAAATTGCAAATTTCCAGGACCATCTCTTTTTGATAAATCACATTTTGAGGTATTGTGGTAAATTGGTGTTTTTTTATTTGATGCTAAAGGTTCTAACTTCTAACCACAATAATTGTACTTTGTGATTGAAAAAAAGACGTCAAAGACGGCTGGGTAATGAAAATCGATAATAATTTAATCGAGGTCAATATCTAGACGTCATTTACTAAAAATTAATATAAAACTTGTCAAAAATTAATACTAATAATTATAAAAGGATAGAAGGTTTCCAGACACAAAAATCTATTTTCAAAAAAATATATTTTTTTAATTTTAAACTACATTATTTAAAAATAATTTTTTAAACTTTAAATTTTTTTTTGCCAACTTGCAATAAGCACCAGTAGTTTTCGCCAACTAGCAATAAGTGGCATTAAAATATAAAGAATAATTCAGGCAAGTAAATGATATCTAGGGCTTGACCTTGCCAAAATTATAATTGATTGTCTTTGCCCAGCTGTCTTTGATGCCGTTTATTTTTTTTTTTTCGATTATATATTATTTAGTGGGATTTCTTTTTTTTTTAGATGTCCTGCTGGCGTGGGATCGTGGGGTTCATCCTTTATTCAAGTTCCTTTAAATGTAGACTCTGCAGATCAACCTTTTGCCAACTTTCAAGTAAATCATTTGCTTGCAGTCTTGTCGGTCGTTTTAAGTCCAATTAAAGAGAGGGACAAGTTTTTGAAAGATGTAAGTATTTTTTTACCATTCCAAATTAATGTATAGTCCGTCCAAAGCATCAGGGAAAATTTCGACAGACCGCATCCAAAAAAAGACATAGGATTTGTCTGCAAATTAAAATGATTGACACAATCGTCATTGTCATGGATCCTATTGTTGGACAGACTATAGTCGGTTCAACGCTTATTCAAAGGTTCAACGAGAGAATATATGACAGTGTCATTCTACTGGGTGGCCAACTAAGAATGGACGCCTGCTGTATCTCGAAATTATTAATTGTGTAACTTTGTGAAGAAAATTCTAATAAACAAATTAGCTAAGAGAAATAGCTGGTCATTACTTTATTCAAGTTCGAAAATGTCCGTTAGGGGGCGCATGCGTTATGACCTATTAGAAAACGGGATTTTCTCTAAAAATACTTACAGGATGTCCCATTTTCGTATGTTTTATGGGGATTTTCGTTTATGAGTAAAGATACAAAGGTGCGGTTTTCAATGCTACTTTTTTTTTATGAAACTGAAAATGGTACGCACAGATTTGTCCTAGCCCCCTTGGTTTCTAAAATACAGGGCGAATTTGAAAATGGTGCATTTTACGACGCTCTTCGTATCTTGGTTATCTTATAAATTATCGAAAAGGTGGAAACTGTGGCCCGTAGAGTGTTTGCGTAGAATCCAGTGGCGTAACAAGTTTTTCACTAGGAGCTGTCATTTTCGAAATACGACGCAAATTTTTATTTTTTCAAAAGGGACACTCTGTATGTTATTTTTTTATTTTATTTCCCTTATTATAAGCGTTCTAAAAATATAATATACTCTATATTTATTTTCGTAAATACCGTAAAAAATACTGTATTTAACTTTTTAACATAATCAACCTAATTTAAAAGAGCATTATTATCTTTGTTTTATTTAATTTAATTTAACCAGAAAATTTAGTTATCTTAATAAACTGGACTCAAAATGAACTTGCGCAGCTTTTAGATAACGCGCTGTTAATCAGAGTTATTGATATTTTTGATGCACTTGTACAGGGTGGGTCAAATTCGACGCTTTTAAAGGGAAACAAACACCTTTTTCTATAGGAGATACTATAGACGAAATCTAATCTCTAGTCTGGGGCTCAATTTTTATCAAAAACATGATGGAGAAAAAGCACATCGATATCTGTTACCGTTTCGGAGTACGGGGTGTTTTTTAAAAATGTGCATTTTTAACAAATCGCAGCAAAAACTTTTTTGCTATGGAAAATTTTGTATTTTTGTGACAACATTTCCAAAGCACTTTTTTACGTAGAATTTAATGGTTGGTTTGGTTAGGTTGGTTGTTTTTTTTAAAATTAATAATTTAAGAGATATCAACAGAAAAAATGATTTTTTATTTGGGTCACCCTGTATATTTTTAATTAAGTGAAAAGAACTTAAAATTACCTTTCCAAAAATATAGCACACTTGATATTTTGTTATAGTTCCCTTCGAAATACAGAATTTTTATAAGTTCGCCACTTTTAACTAGTAGGCTTTGGACCCCTTATTGATGATCTGCCCCTAATGGAACTCGAAAAAATATATTTTCCAGCAAGTCGAGGCAACGCTGTTATCAGGAAATTTTTACAGCCAATTTTAAGAATAATTGAATAGCTAACCAACATCCCAGCCGTTGGCCGTCAAGGCCGCCGGACCTGTTATCCTTAGTGGATTTTTATCTTTGCGGAAGAATAAAGGTTCTAATTTTAAAATTGCCCGTATAATCTAGACAAGACATTAGAAGTACTTAGCAGTTATGCGAGGGTATCTTTCACCTCCACTGAGTTAATGAATTCTGCGAGAAATGTTCAAAAACGGTCCCGTCTGTCCATAACAGGAGACGGTCGACATGTCGAACACCCATAGCAAAATCTCATGTCTTGGTTTGCTATTTAGTTTTATTGTTATTAGATATAGTTTAAATGTGTTGATGTTGTTAAATACAGTTTAAATTGTTGTAAAATTCTGCATCTCTCATTGCAAATATTATTTTCGTTTTAATTGCTGCTCAGAGCTAGAATTTTTTTGCATTACAGACGGCGTCGTTCAAAACCTACATACTTATTCAAAGTGGGCGAATTATTAAAAACTCTAGATCTTGAAGAAGAATCGAGCAAAATATCAAGTATGCTATATTTTTGGAAAAGTAATTTTAAATTATTTTCGATTAATTAAATTAAAAAAATTAAAAATATACAGAGTGTGCTATATAAAAAATCAAATTTTCTGTAGATAATTCTTAAATTATTAATTTAAAAAAATATATACTTAAACCATTAAATTCTACGTAAAAAGGCGCTTTGGAAATATTTTCACAAAAATACAAAATTTTCGATAGCAAAAAAATTAGATTATTGAAAAACCCCGTAACTACGAAACAGTAACAGATATTGATGTGCGGTTTTCACCATCATGTTTTTGATAAAAATTGAGCTCCAGACACCGATATTAGTTTTTGTCTATCTCCTATAGAAAAGGGTGTTTCCCTTTAAAAGCGTCCAATTTGACCCACCCTGTACAATGATTTTACACACAGTAACTAACGCAGAATATATATACGCCGGTAACTAAAATTTGACTTTGAATTAATAATTACTCGATTATTTTGAGTAAGCATTTTTTTGCTTATAATAATGTTTGCATATAAAATGACAATGATCTTCATTTCCAAGCCATCTCTGACGCTGTTTTGGTACTATTACCATTTTTTTAGATATCTCAAAATCAGAATGTTAGTGGCGAAGCAGTTTGGGTTTTGATTGATTCTGATGGCGAAGAGGACGACGAGAATGCTGGAATTTCGTTAAAGGAAAACGATTTAGTAGCATTATTTAACCAGTTACCTTTAGACGACCTATTCAGATGCTTGTTACTGATCCGACGAAAGGATCAACAGGTATATTAAAACATCTTTTAAAAATTATGAGAACCATATTAAGGTTTTCTTTTTTTAGGACTTTTATGATGTCCGTTTATGTAATGAACAGCATATATTAAGGTACTTTGCTTTTTCCACTGTGTTATTGAGATTATTACACACCGGTTTACAAACCTATAACCAGGGCAAGTACAATCAGTTTTCTAAAAGGCTCTGTCGACTTATCAGACATGTTGTGCAGTATGCTACAGATCAATTAGAGCAGTTCATAAAGGTATATATTCTTCAGCATCTCTTAATAATTTTCTTTTTCAAACGTTACAAAAGTATTGGTTCTTGCGACGTGATTCACAATGTAAAAATGTAATTTTAACGTCTAGGCATAAAAATAAAGCACTTTTACGCCTAAGCACAATATACTACTCCTATTAAACTGATATTGTCAGATTCAACGAGTGTACTCATTGCTGGTCAATATACAGGGTGGTCCGAACTGTATTCCGAAAACTTCGGCAGCATATTCTGCACATAAAAATAAGTAAAAAAGTTCTTATAAACTTATATCCTAAAATGCTTCGTTTTTGAGATACAGGATGTAGAAGTTTCATTTTTATTTCGATTTTTTCAAAATAATCTTCGTACTAATTTCGATATTTGGATGAAAATTGGTATCTGGGGTTTTTTTAATATGAGAAATTTGTTTTCAACTTTTTTTAATGTTCTAAAATGCTTCGCTTTGGAGATACAGGGTATAGAAGTTTTATTTTTATTTCCATTTTTTTAAAATGATCTTTGAACTAATTTCGATATTTGGATGAAAATTGGTATCTTGCGTTTTTTTAACATGAGAAATATGTTTTCAACTTTTGTTTTTTTATTATTCTTCAATATATACATAAAAGATGTAGGTGGCGCCCCCTATAACTAGGAGGACATCGAAATCAAATTTCCCATGTTAAAAAAAACCCAGATACAAATTTTCATCCAAATACCGAATTTAGTTCAGAAATTATTAGGAAAAAATCCAAGTAAAAGTGAAATTTCTACACCCTGTATCTCCGAAACGAAGCATTTTAGGAGATAAGTTTATACGAACTTTTTTACGTATTTTTTTGTGCAGAATATGTCGCCGAAGTTTCCGGAATACTGTTTGGACCACCCTGTATAATTACTAGTAATTACAAATAATACCTTACTAGGTATTACTAAACTTACTTAAACTTAATATAAAAAGTAATTCCTTACTAGGTATTACTTTTTATATTATTTGCGACGTTTGAAATTGTTTAAAAAATTATTTGTGAACGTTTGAAAGAAATAACATGTTCTAGTCTAAGAGCTAGCAACGTTTTCGAGAAAGTATTTTAAGACGTCTGGCTCTTTGATATATCTTTTACTCTCTCTGGAACAGCTTGCGGCCCGTCTGACTGCCGATACCCGTTGCGTTCACTACTGCGCATCGGAAGAAGATCCTATATATTTTTTTTTAATTTAGTCCTATAAATTCTAGTATTGAGTATAAATCGAACACGTCTCAGAACATGAACCGATGATTCAGAGTTTGAATCCGGGTCAGTACAAAGACTTTTTTATTTTATTTTCGTTTATATTCTGCTAGTAGTATTAGAAAGTATTAAAATAAAAAATTCTGGTGATTAAAAAAAAACATATTTACTTTTACTATCAGAATATAAACGAAAATAAAATAAAAAAGTCTTTGTCCTGACCCGGATTCGAACAATACCAGAATTTAAAGGACTAATAAAAATATCGGATCTTCTTTCAATGCGCAGTCGGGAACGCAACGTTTACCGGCAGCCAGACGGGCCGCATGCTGTTCTAGAAATCATAGTAAAATATATATCAAAGAGCCAGACGTCTTCAAATACTTGTTTTTCCGACGTTGCTAGCTCTCGTACTCTGTTTGGAGTAAAAATGTACTTTTTTTGTCGCACCAGTAGCGTCGTCAAACGTATAGCTTCGCCGCAAGAAGTGTCATTTTTTCTCCTAATAAAATAATATACTATATGATTAAAAAAAAGACGGTGTCAAATACAGCTGGGGAATGACATTCAATAATAATTTTAGCGAAGTCAATCTCTAGACGTTATTTACTAATTTTTTTTACATTTATACTTGTCAGAAATTAATACTAATTATAGAAATATTAAAAAGGCATAGAACGTTTCCAGACACACAAATCTATTTTCAAAAAATTGTTTTTCTCGAATTTTAAACTACACCTTTCAAAAATCATTTTTACTCGATATAAAAATAAATTACAATCTTAGGGCCAACTGCCAGTAAGCTCCATTAAAAAATATAGAAAGTACGGGCTAAATAAATGACGTCTGTGTCTTGGCCTCGCCAAAATTATCATCGATTTTTATTCCCCAGCCGTCTCTGACGCTGTTTTTTTAGTCGATCGTGTGGTACTATTTTATCATCCTTATTTTGGTTACTTTTTAAAGGTAGGCAACTATACAGATTACGCCATGATCGAGCGATTGCAATGCGAATACGACTCGTTCTTTTTGCGTGCCATATTTACTTTGTACTCGTCCCAAAAACTAGGCGCTTGGCAATTTTTAGCTGTCGTACCGTACAATATGGTAACTGTTAAAATTTTGTGGAAAATATTCTACTTTTTACACGTGTCCGATAAACAAAGTCGGGACATTTTAAATCCCATGACGAATAGCGATTACCGTGACAAATTGTGGGAGAGAGACTGTAGAGAACAGTTTGAGGAAAAGCTGGAGAAACTAGAAGACGCGGAGGTGTATTATTTATTAAATACATACGCCAATATGGCTCTGGCGAGATCTAACGACGATATGGAATTTATTCTAGCGGCTACAATGGATCTCTTGCAAGTAAGCTAACGATCGCCTTTTTTATGATAATTTTAATTTTTTTATACTTTTCTATTCTTTTAGGTAGGATTTATAAGTAAATCAACACGAGACGCTTGTTCAAAATCGGCCAGAATTTTACTGACACATATAACATCAAAACATCCCCATTTGATTTCGAGTGTATTGCGTAAAGTGAAAGATAATCTAGAAAATATTGACGAATTAGTGTTATATTTGTACGAGGAAATTCCATTGTCAGTTTGGATATTGTCAGATAAAGATTTTGAAATTATTGCAGGGTAAAATATTATATATGTTTTTTTTTCAAACGTCACAAAAGTATTAATTTTTGGGACGTGATTGGCAATATAAAAAAGCCATTTTAACGCCTAGGCATAAAAGTAAAGCACTGTTACGCCTAAGCATAAAAATACGAAAATATATTATAAACTGTCATAAGGTGTCAAATTCAACGAGCCTTAACCATAGTTTCTCGATATCTAATTACATACAATAAGGCGAGGGGTGTCTCACTATTGGAATTACCTGTACATTACATTTTCTTGGCAGTCATTGGCAGTCTTATGGCAGTCGCCTATAATAATTACATGGCAGTCATAGGTAGTCTTCTTCATAGTCATTGGCCGTCGCTTAGCAGTGGAAGGATATTTTGGCAGTACGTGTACATTTTTTACCCGAGTGAGACACCCCTCGCAATAAGGTATTACTTCTAAATCTTTTTATATTATTTTGAACGTTTGAAATTGTTTAAAAACTTATTTGTGGCGTTTGAAAAAAAATAGCATGTTCTATTCGGAGTAAAAATGACTTTGTGCCTCGGCTGTATGTCTCTTTCGGCCAAGTCAAATGTACAGCCGCTATTAAAAAGTGTCATTTTTACTCCTAATAAAACGATATACTATTATGTTTCTTAAACTTTTTTTGTAGATTACTATTATATAACACTATTAATGACGTTGGAACAAAATTAGCTAGAATGATACTTTCGAGGCTCAGTTGGGACTTACAGCCATATGAGAAACATTGCGATACAGCGATTCTTGTTTTAAAGGCTGTCAATCAAGAACAAGGATATTTACAGGTAATACTTCCTCTATCTACAGTTTTCCTGTAGGTTTATTTTTGTCATTAAAAGTTTACAATCATCATCATCATTTCCAGTTTACTCAACCATTTCCAATTATGTCAGTTATGGTATAGCCTTCCTTACATATTTAGATAATCTCTTTGTAATTGGGCCCATTTTGTCTAATGTTGGCTAGGCAGGTCCAAGTTATCCCTGATAATTTCCTAATATCATGGTCCCCTTTTAGGTTTGGTCTTCTTCTAAGTCTCTTAATTCCTCGTGGGTACTATGCTGTAAGTTTTGTGGTCCATCTGTTGTCACTTCTTCGTGCCAGGTGTCCTGCTCTTTGCCACTTGAGGGATTTGATTCTGTGGATGTCATCTATTAACTGGGACTTTTGTCATATACGTTTTATTGTTCTATGGTCTTTCTTTGTTATTTCCAGCATATTTCGTTTCATCGAGCGTTGTGCGACCTGCAGTTGCCATATATACAGGGTGTCCCAGAAATGAGTGCAGATATTTTAAGGGGTGGTAGATCTGGTCAAAATAAACATATTTTCTCTTTACCATTTTTAAATTAAATTGAAAATAACCGAGTTATTTAACTTTGAAAATGTAAAAATATAATCGCAACATTTTGAGAACCGCCGGCAGATATCGCCAACTACATCCAATTACCCGGATCAAGCCCGGATTTCAGTTAATTCGACGCACTGTGTTGCCATAGGGACAAGAAAGTATATGTTAAAAGTAAGTCATAAAATCACAACACACCTGGAGTCACCATATGGAGTTTGCAGAGATGCATTACATTTTTAAGATTGTGATATTATTACATAAAATAAATTAAAAGTTAAATGTTTAATAATGTGTTAAAAAATGTGTTAAAAAAGTTAAATTAAAAAACTTACCCAACATTAACGACATGACGAATTGACATTTTTAAGATTGTGATATTATTACATAAAATAAATTAAAAGTTAAATGTTTAAAAGTTAAAAAAGTTAAATTAAAAAACTTACCCAACATTAAAAAAGATACTTATGACAGATCGATGTAACTGTGACAGTTAATCGAAAATAACAGTCCCCATCTTTAACACATTATTTTCATATAGACCTCATCACAATTTGAACCACTGATTTACAAAACACCTTGAAAAGCACACATTACTTTGAATACCTTGAATGAATAAATGTTGAGAATTATTGTCTCTTACCGCCACTTTCCGAACTACTTTCAATCTAAAAAAATACATGTTCACTCAACAATTTTAAATACGTATTTTGTTTTTTCGCTACTTTTTCTATGTATTTCAACAATTCCATCGACAGCGCAACCGTCGCGTCCGCCGTCGGCCAAGAGAGCGGCGCATCACTGGTAACTGCTCCTTTGTCGCGCCGCCGTGTCGAGCTTGCGTCATGCGAGGTTGCCGTAGTTTCAACAATTTCAAATTCAAGACACTCGAAGCAATCAAATTCTTATTAAATTTTAAAAATAAAACAGAAAAACATGAAAGAAAACAAACAAAACACAAATGAATTGGTTATTGATAAGGTCACAAAAAAGAAATTTCTAAAATGTTTATCGTAATTCAGAATTCAATACATCGAAAACAGCCCGACAAATAATCAATTCATTTTTGTTTTGTTTATTTCCTTTCATGTTTCTCTGTTTTATTTTTAAAATTTAATACGAATTTGATTGCTTCGAATGTCTTGAATTTGAAATTGTTGTAACTACGGCAACGTTGCTTAACATCGTCGTCTGACGCAAGCCCGCCACGACGGCGCGGCGACCGGCGACTCAAAGGACCGGTTCACACGCGGCAGTTCTTGGTTGACGGTTAGGCTGTCGATGGAATTGTCGAAATACATCGAAAAAATAGCGAAAAAACAAAATACGTTGTTAACAATTGTTGAGTGAAACATGTATTTTCTTAGATTGAAAGTAGTTCGTAAAGTGGCGATAAGAGACAATAATTCTCAACATTTATTCATTCAGAAAGGTATTCAAAGTAATGTGCGCTTTTCAAGGTGTTTTGTAAAACAGCGGTTCAAATAAAACAGAGAAACATGAAAAAAAACAAAGAAAACAAAAATGAACTGATTATTCGTTGGGCTGTTTTCTAAATTTCTTGAATTGAATTCTAAATTATGATAAACATTTTAGGAATTTCTTTTTGTGACCTGATTGTGAATAATATGAATCATTTTATTAAATTTATTCCAAAATAAAGTTATTTTGCAGCATAACAAAGATTTTCGTAAACGTCATAAACGTAATGTTTTAGTTAATTTTCGGTGGTTTTTGTTAAGTTTTCATAAGGGTAAGTACTAAAAATAATTAATGTGTTTTTTTTTTCTATAATTATTAATAATGAGCACTGATAAAAGATTAAATTTAACATTCCTAATTTTTTGAGTAGAAATTTGTCTATGAATTTAAATGTAGAACTATGCTCCGCCGAACTATGTAGAATGTGGATAACATAGGAGGTTGCAACACTGCAAAGTTTAGATATACCGTAGGGAAATCTCAGGTGAATAAACAAGTGGCACTAAAAAGTTTTTTCAAATTTCCCGGAAAATGTCAAGAAAAATTTTAAATTTTCAACATTTTTTTTTCGCAAAAAAAACCTCGTAGGTGTGTTTCTGGGTTTGAACTATGCTACCAGTTAAAATATTTGCACTTATTTCTGGGACACCCTGTATAATGTCGGTTTTAAGTCTCCAGGTTTCGCATCCATAGGTCATGACTGGTAGTACACTTTGATTGAATGTTTTCTTCTTTAGATAAAGTGGCATTCTAGATTTGAATATGATTGAGTACCATATGTACTCCATGCTAACTTAATTCTTCTGTTGATTTCTGGTAGTAGAGATCCTGGGATGTGTGCCAGTTGTCCCAAATACATACATACATTCTTCTACTACCGTATGATCGAATAAAAACGACGTCAGCGATGGCTATAAAATGAAGATCGCTGTCATTTTATATGTAAAATTATGCGGGACATGTCACCGATTGTCATTTCCAAGCCAACTGGACGCAATTTTTTTTCGATCATACGGTATTTCCAGTGTTTGATTGCTTCAGATGTTTACAAAAAAAGTTAGGTATTATTTGAATAGTACATTTTTTACTTGCCAATTAGCTGATATTATTTTTAGACATACATTAATATTGTATATTAAAATTTTTACGTTTATTTAATACTAAATAATCTTTTTTAGTGGGGTTGGCAAACTATTTTAAGACTGAAATTACATATTAGTGATAAACACTTCACAGAATTGGGAAAAATAGATCAATTGGAGAAGTTTGATATACTTTTAAAAGGTAAGCCTTTTTTAATTATTTTTCCTTAAACTAAAACAAGTATGCGAAAATAATTTAAAAATTAAGGTCTCCACACTTCGGTTATTTTGCTCCGTTTTAACCGCGCATTTAAAACCCCGCGGGTGGAAAGCACGGGCAAGCAATCTCATTTTGTTCAGTTCATTTTATCCGCTCCGTAGTTAAGAACGATGAATTCGAGAAACAACTTGCTAGCAGTGGCGTCGGTAATTGCTGTAAAAAAGAAAATCCAGATAAGAAAACTGGACCAAACACTCACATACACTGACGTTTTTAACTGAACTGTCCTACTCGCTCGGTTAAAACCATGCAAAATAACCGAAGTGTATGAGCGCCTTTACAGTATAAAAAATTGTGTGTGCACTATGTGCGAATATATTTGAAACGAAACTTCTTACTGACAGCTCTTAAATTGAAGGATTTGAAGGACATGTTTGAAAAAGTGTAGTGTGAAATGTTGGAAAAGTAATAAATTTAAAAAAAATATGTTTTTTACGTGTAACAAATAGTTTTATAAGCGTAAAATAAAACGTTAATAAACAATTAAAATATCAATAATTTTGATAAACACGTGTGGACGGCTCACAAATACACGTAGTGTCACTATGTATTTCTAAGCCATAGGCTGTCCTTACTATTTTTCGTTTCGCTAGCTTGTATGTCACGGCCTTGAATTTTTACTCCCAGCGTGCGTAAAGAAGTTTCACTTCAAAAAAAAATACATCAAAATAATTCAATACTGATATGAACATTAAACTGAAATTTCAGGAATCAGTGATAATCATCCCTTGGCTGGATTTGTTGCAGTTTTAATGACATCGTGGGGCCATCTAGTTCCCCTGATATGCAGTCACGGTTTAAATCAAATACTTAATTTACAAATTAACCAAAAACACGAAGCTGCCTTGTTCGCACTCTATCAAATAATTCCCATATTTATTACCAGCCAGGAATGTATCATAAATTGTGCAAAGTTTCAGGAAATTTTAACGAACCTAATCAATGCGGATCGAGGATATATTTCGTACGCGAAAAGTTTTATTCTCACGCAAAACACGGTTTTACAACAGTTCGGAAATATGATCGAAACACAGATTGTAAATTACGTATATTATGGTTTGAGTACGCCTAGATTATTGGTAAGTATTTTAACAATACTGGTCTGCATGAAAATCGGCCCTGACATACTTCCCGAATCTTATGTAAAATGACCTTCTAAATAATAACATTATTTATTATATATTGACTCCTCATTACCCCCTATTTTTGAAGGAGACACCGTACCTATTTTCACTGCTTTTCGATAGTTTAGTTGGACGAAAAGGATTATTTTTGCCTCTGCGACAGCAGAGGCTCAGATGGGCACCATAACTGTAGTTGTTAAAACAACGCAAGGAACTTTACAAGGTTGAGTAACCTCCCCTTTGCTGTGGAGCTTGGTAGTGGATAAACTACTAGACGAATTAACACTAGCGGGAATACACTGCATTGGGTATGCAGATGACATAGTCAATGATCGCCCGGAGGAAACATGAAGGCACCTCGTGTGATATTATCCAAAGAGACCATATCACTGAGAGATGATGCTGAACTGTCTGACTAAGCATCAACTCAGACAAAACCGAGGTCGTCCCATTCACCAGAAAGCCAAGTCTGAAAAACTTGAAAAGAATCCAACTATATGGAAAAGAAATACTGTCATCACAGGAAGTCATATATCTGGGAATAACTCTGGACAGTAAACTTCTATGGAACAGGCATATTGAGAACGTTACCAGCAAAGACACAAAGGCTCTCATGAATCTCATGATATGCAGCACTGGCATTTTGCACTGGATGTATACCATGATAGTAAGATCCATGATTACTTATGGAGCAGTTGCTTGGTACACAAAACTAGAGCAAAGGACGGCATCTTCTTTGCCATTGTTGATATAAAATCTCCTTCGCTTCACATTTTTGGTATCAGACTTAATCATTCTAGACTTAACACCACTGCACATTGTCATTGGTAGATATGCCAATTGTCAGCTCAGGGGCTTGGAACACTCTCAAAAAGAAAATTTCACTCCTCGAACTCCTAGTGGATGACATACCAAGAATGTACAACTTTGAGAAACACCTCAATTATCATAAGAATCAGCAGGAATGGTACCAGGGCTCGAGAAAAATATTTCTTGCAGACCAGTGTAATATGAATTTCTAAATTCCTAAATAAATATAAACAGGTTTAAACTAATTTTTACTAATGCAGACTAGGTTGTGGATGAATTCCTTGATTTCAATACCCAACTGGAATAAAGACACCGGCATACTATATTTGTTGGACATAATAATTAAAGCCGCATTTTTTTACAAGGATTCCTTAGAGATAATCTACGAAACCCTAAGAGAATTATATCAAGTAATAGTTTTTTAATTCCCATAATAGAAATTTTGAAATGAGATGTTTTAGTGTGGAACTCCGCAAGAATCTGCATCTATTATCAATATCTTCAGAAGAAGTAACCCCGCAATAAGTATTCTGCCCAATTCCTTAGCTAGTTATCCTTGGCTGGCGTATGTTTTTCTCGAAATAGAACATCAAGAACGAGAAGTGCGATCCGGATTATGGACGGAAGTGCTGATCCAATTGTCTAAACAGAAAGGAAAAATTAACGTGGATAATGCGATTAAGGTTAATCTTTTTTTCAAATACAATCTATTTTCATAATATAGTCTGTCTAACGAGAGGATACACGATACTGACAGTTGTATCTGTCGTTTTAATGCATTGGCTCGTTGGACAGACTTATATTTAGGATAAGTGTCCTATTAGATTTTCTGGAGAACTATTTATGGTAAAAATCTAAACTTTTGGTTAGGAAAATTATAAGTAGAATCCTATACATGCTCCATAAACGTCTAATAGGACACTTACAGTGAATAAGCCTATAAATTGACTTTTTTAGAAATCCGCTTCCGTTGTAAAAGTAACGCCATTTAGTTCCTCTTGGTTATCTATATATAGATGGGCTCAAGAATCTCTAGACACACCCTTAGACCATCCACTGTTACCTCTTTTATGGCAAAAGTTTTTTACATTATTCTTATCAAGAATTCCATATACAAGGTAAAAATAAAATATACTTACTATATTTTACTCTAAACTCTACTCGGCTATACCGGGTAGTCCATCGTCGTTGGAAACAGGAAATCCCATGCAAATGTTGAACTGTCCAAATATGGACTCCTCTGTTTATTTTACAGGGAAGTTGTAAATAGTTTTTTAAAGTTCTGCGTATGTTGAATGCATATTCTGATTTGAACAATTTTGGACAAGCTGATTTTAACTAATTTAAGAACAACTGCATTTATTTTTAAGTTAAAACTAAACACATAACAATGCAAAAGCAAATTTTAACATGCCTTAAGTTGTCAACTTACGATTTTATCATTGTTAAATATAATTTATTATGATGTCTACACCATTACGTTATAGTACCTACGCTTAGTGTCTCCGAAATGCATTTTGTAATTTAAAAACTTGTTCAAATTAGGCAAAAGCCTAACGTATAGAAAACACAAATTGACATTCACAAAATCATAGGTTGATAACTTAAGTTATGTTGGCATTTGCGTGGTTTTGCATTGTTACCTGTTCAGTTTTAAGTTAAAAATAGATGCAATTTTTCTTATGATAATTAAAATCGGCTTATACAAATTTGGCATGTGTATTCAACATACGCAGACCTTTAAAAATCCTATATACGACGTCGCTGTAAAATTAACAGGGGAGTCAATATTTGGACAGTTAAAAATTTACACGCGATTGCGTATGTTTCCCACGACGATGCACCACCCGGTATAATAAATTTTACTGCTATTTTGTCTAAGCGGTAACTTATATTATTATCATTTTTTTAGTGCTGCAGATAAAGTTTGTGTCGGAGAAAAATTTTTTGATGGAATAATAAACTTTACCTTTTTAAAAAGAGTGAAAAGACGACTCCTAGAGGTTGTAGATTTTTACAGAAACAAGTATGAAAATGAGGATACCGAAACAAGTAGAAAAGAATTTTATAAATCTTGCTTTGGGTAAAATGCTTTAAAAACACACTTTCAGCCAATAATAATACTTTTGTTTTTTTAAGTTTGTTCCAAGCATATTTGTTGTGGCTGGAGGAACCACGGTTACAGGATGGCAATCTTTTGTTACAAAATTTACCGCCACAATACAAACCCGATCTACTATCTCGAATCGTTGAAGAAAATAGTAATGTAAGCTATTTTATTTATATTTTATGCTTAATAGTTACGGTATAAAATTGATTAATTCGTTTTAGACTCCGTGGTATGAATTTCTTGATAATGATCAGATAAGAAAAGACCAACAGAATTGTATAAAAATGTGGCGGGTAGCTAATTTTCGAGAAAAAAATAATGTCAATCAACCTTTATCTAATGCCGGTGTTGGCATGGAGAGCACAGATCCTGAAGAAAGAATCCTAAGACGGTACGAACATATTTTTTATTGGACGAACATATATTTAATGAAGCTGTTTTCCATAATTCGGTTACTACTTACCTGCTAATAATTTTAGGTTATCATCTTACGAGAGTCCTAAGTGTCCACCAAACTTTAAAAATAAGGCACCTATACTTCCCCAAGTTAATTTTAGTTGTAAAGAGACATTGTTTAAAGTCCTTGAACCAAATTTTAAAATTTTGAGACAATTTGCACAGTAAGTAAGCTTAATAATTATATTGCTACATTTTAAAACGATACTCCATTACCTTACAGTAGTAAAAAACAGTACTAATGTTGGGTTTATACAACATAGTCGTAATCATAATCGCAATTTTAGTCACACTCAGAAAAGTTAAAAGCCATTATTTTAAAGACCGTTTATATAATAATATATGAGTTTATACATCACAGTTGTAATCATAACCATAACTTAATAACTTTGGAGTTCGAAAATTTTAACTTTTATGATTGTGATTAAGACAAAAATCGAAGATCGCATGCGCGGCGTGAATTTTTAGGGTTAGAGAACATTTTTTTTTTCCATGTTTAATAATTATGATAATTTTCATGTTTGAAAAACCCGAGGAATAAAATTTAAACAAAAATGTCATAGATGAAAGAAGTAATCAAACAATGTTTGTACTAATACAACAAATAACGTCTATAGCGTGGAAATATCAGTTTTTTACACCAATGCTAGAACTACACTATGCACTAATACTATAACAAGAACATATATATATATTGGAGGCAGATGCCGAATTCGGCCTATGTCCGAAATAATTAGACATATGGCGATTTGTCCATACTAAACTTGCGAGATGCGTGCAACTTCGTGGTTATAAATAGTCTTTATATAACTTCTTTGGGGAGGGGGTTAATCTTTTTTGGTATAATATAACACCAAAAGATTAACACCCTCCGCATAGAAGTTGAAACCAATGCAATCAAAACTCTTCCGCGTAACTTTGTGGATATAGGTAGGTATATTTAATAATTATAATCGCCATATGTCTAATTATTTCGGACATAGCCCGAATTCGGAATCTGCCTCCCACATATACACTAAAAGAAAACAAATTTAAGCAATATTAAACACAAAGAAGAACGGATTTGCAAAATGGGCGCCAATATTCAAAAACAGCTGAAAACAGAACGACAAATGACATTCTCTTGTCGATGCCAAATGACACTCTTGACTTGACATCCGTTGTCAACATCAAGATTTAAATACCAACTTAAAATATTGTTTAATAGCTCCGCTCGTGAGTAGTTGAAAAAGTAGAGAGTGCCCAGGCTCTACACCTTTGAATAAGAAGACTAAGGAAGGAGCATATCAAAAATCTTAGGTGCACCGCGATGGGCCTCAAATATGGCCGACTTAAATTCCGGTTTATCAGTGCCGTTCTAATTTTATTTAAAAAATGTAAAACTATGATGTAGGGTAGACGTGGGGTAGACTCAATAATATGTTGTTTTATTTGACGTTGTGAATAAATGTTGGTAGTTATTAAAATTGTTACAAAAATATATAATTTTAATAAAAATAGATAAGTTATAATAATTATTTATTAACACAAACATCCGATACGCTACTGAAGCAGGTAAATCTGGTAAATCAAATTGACGTATCTAAATTCTTTGACATCTAATCTTTGACAAGTAGTAAATAAAAGCAAAAATGCAAGAAAAAATATATAATTAGTTAATTTAAGTTAATTTCATAAATGATCGGTTTACTACACGTATGTAGTCACTTACTAGCGAAAAGTTGTTCCATTATTTCACTCGATTTTTGCCGAGATCTACCGCACGCTACACAACCAACTATTTTAGAGTCTTTTTCGATAAATCGGGATAGTGTCACTGTTAATTTAAGTTCTGCCACAATTTCCATCTAGATTTACACTACCTTTATACAACTATCAGTAGTAGAATAAATAATAAATAACATAAAATAAGCTCCGTAAAGACTGACAAATCCACAAAATTTCAAATCAAATTCAAATGTGTCAAATGAATCGTCAAACAGAACTGTCAAGGATCCCCACCCTAGAGAGCTTTTTCCGCCCACCATGCATGAATACATGGATAGCATTATACTCCTTCCTTAGTCTTCTTATTCAAAGCCCTACACTTAATAAAATTAGGTTAAAAAATTCATTCAAAATTATAATTACGACTTTGTATAGATGATGTTGTATAAACACATATTAAAATTGTGATTGGGACTGTACTTATGACTACGACTAAAATTGTGATTATGATTACGACTGTGTTGTATAAACCCGCCATAAATATTTCATTTATTTTATTTCAGTAATCACACAATGAAAGTATCCGAACATAAAGCGCTTGATTGTGCATATCAGGAACTGATACCACAATTATATCGATCTGTTTTGAACAAGGTTAAGAAAAAAATACCGTGTAAAGGTAAAAATCAGACTGTGCATTGTTCTGGGGCGGCTGTGATAATTTTGGAAATGCAGGTTAGTTGATTGTAGAATGTAGCCAAACGGAACATATGATTTAATAGCTTATAAAAAAACTAAGATAGGAAGATGCAAGTCTTTTTGTTTTACAATATATTGTTTGGATGCTACAGCAAGTCAAAGAGTAAAAATTTACATTTTTCAACGTCAATATTTCAGAAACGGTTACAGATGTAGAGATGTACATTGTATTGGAGGGAAGTTAATCACCTTACAGATCTATTTTGTCCCCCTTTCTTGAGTTATAACTCATCATACAGCCCCAAGGCTTTGACAAAAGCCAGTATCTGAGACGCTTTTACAGAGGTTAGTTCTCCATCTCCGATATCAGTCGTACCAAAGTGTATGGCACGAATGGTTGTCGTCCTGGTGCACTCAGAGATAAGGTGTTCTGGCGTTTCCCCATTTTCACCACAGAATCTGCATTCGCCGTTGTTTCTCAGCTTCAAACTACTGGGGTGTTCATTGAGGAGACAGTGTCCTGTTAAAAAAACTCTGACAATCCGAAGATTGTGCTTACTTAAATCAAAGAAAAGTTGTGAGATATTTTTTGTGTGTCTTAGACGGATGATTCCCATTCCAGATTGCGGATGGAATCTTCTAGGTTGTTGAGTTCCGTTTTTTCCACTTGGGAAGCAGAACGGTTCTGGTCCAGTTAATGGAGTTCGCTCGTTCTCTAGCTAGATCGTTTGCTTTTTCATTATCTTCTATCCCTTGATGAGCTGGCACTCAGATTGGAGGACCTTATTTTCTTTGCCTAATATGTTCAGCTTCTCTAGGCATTCTTTGACCAACTTCGAATTGATGGTTATTGAGTCAATCGCTTTTAATGCTTCTTAACTAACCGATAAGATGGTTATTTCTTGTTTCCAATAGTTCCTATCTAAGATCAGTTATACGTATCTTTCGATAGCGTAGATTTCTGCCTGAAGGATGCTGGGGTATGTGTCTATTGGTTTGGAGTATTCAGTTTTCGGCCTAAATGCTGCTATCTCTGTTACAGATCAGACATCAGACATAGTTATTTTTATTAATGTTTTTTTTGTAGGAAGCAAGAATTAATGAAAGGATTCAAAACGAGATAGAAATTAATAGAAATGCTTACGAGTCTCTCCTAGAAAAGTCGTTACAATTTCTGCCCATTAATTTGTACGTTAGTTCAGTAACCCTTCAGCATTGTGTGAGGTATGAATTTCTTCATTATAATTTAGTAATAAGTTAAATGAAATATCATACAACACTTTTTTTATCATTAACAATGAATTTTTTTATTAGGTACAATTTTCTTACATAACCTATGTTATTTTTCAGAATTTTACAACAGCAATTAGAGCATAACCCATCGACAGCTGAATTAGGCGTCGAATTGTTCTATTACATTCTTTCTCTGTTAAATGAGGAAACACTGGCGTATTTACCTACGAAAATTTTATTTACGTCATGTCTAGAAAAATTAGGACAATCGCACATTTGTGGCGTTGAGTATGAATTGCCAAGGTAGGTGAAATCGAATTGACATATACAGTTCATACCAAATAAACTTTTAGTCACGTGATTAAGCTTGACCGGCACAGCGTTGCCCACTTTTACATATTTTCTTCTAATCAAAATATTTTAAGAAACAAAAATAAATTAATTATAAATATATAAACAGTTATTATTTACATCAACAAAACTCACCTTCTTAACAGCGCTTAAGGGACATAAAGGGCCATTACTACCGCTTTCCCGTTCAAAATATTCTAATAAAGTTGCGATGAGTTTTTTACGGTTATTAAGCTATCTTGTACACTTCGCGTTAAAAGAGGTTCTAAAAAGAACAATGTTCGACTGCAAGGTCTGCTAGTAAACATTTTCAAGCTTAAAGTATCACAACACTATTTATTTAAACCAAAAACTTGTAATACAAAACTAAAGTGTCAAAACGAATGACAATGTCAGGAAATAAATAAATAAATACGGCAACTTGACATTTTTTACAGCAGGGCTACCATCTGAATCATCAGCGCGAAATTTAAATCCCTGTTAGTCAGCACGGCACTGAATATCTCCACGGTTGGCAACAATGATTTTAAAAATCGCGCCCTCGATTACGTAACTAAAAGTTTAATTGATATGAAATAGTTGGAGATCCCTGGTAGTGGGTATTTATATCTAATATCTATTTTTGTTACACCTGAATTTAGTAGTATTTTTGGTTTATTTTGATATTATTTTATCTGTTTTAGACTGTTGCAGTGGATTTTGAAAGAACCAAACTTGGGCAGTTTTCTTGCTCCGCATTTTTCTCCCGTCAATATCGGCACTTCTAATATACTGTTAATGTATTCAACTATATGTACGGAAATTGCCCAAAAGTACGATATCAGTTTTGCGCTTTTATCTAAGGTACGGTATGTAATACCGTATGATTGAAAAAAAAACGGCGTCAGAGATGGCTGGGGAATGACAATCAATGATAATTTTAGCGAGGCCAATCTCTAGATATCATTTACTAAAGATTGACATAAAACTTGTCAAAAATTAATACTAATTATAGAAAGATTAAAAAAGGATAGAACGTTTTGAGACATACAAATCTATTTGCACAAAATATTTTTCTGGAATTTTAAATTACACCATTTAAAAATCATTTTTACTAAATATATAAAAATAAATTGCAACGGCGTCTAGGGCTTGACCTCGCCAAAATTATGGATTGTCAATTGTCATTCCATTTTTTTCGATCATGTGGTATAATTTTTAACATTAAACTAAAAAAAACAATCTTTGAAAATACTCAAAATTAAGCATTTACAATTGGTAAAATTACCTCAATAAAATTATATTTCAGTTTGATATTGAGAAATGGTTGAATACAAAAATACCCAAACTTAGCCAAAGATCTCAATTTATTGAATGCATTATAAAGGCATTATCGACTTTGGGATACGACCCACCTGTCGAGGCTTTGATGTTACATGGACTGTTTAGAAAACACTTAACAACAGGTATGGTTGAAAAGATAGAAAAGTGGAAATTTTTATAGTATTTTTATTAAAAAATTGTAGTTTTTAATTTTCAATTTCCCGAGCATTACGGAGAAGTTTTAACCCGTCTTTTGAAAGCAAGCAGTGGGAATTCCGAATCAAATTTGATATGTACCACAGTATGGATCGATATATTAAACTCTCTCGCTCAACCTGAGAAAATACTTGTGAAAGCACCTTTAAGGTAATTATTGTATATTTGAAAGCTTAAAATACTATTATTTTTTAAATATTTTTTAAGTTGAAAAATTTGAGTTTCTAACAATTAGACACCCGTTTTGGTGTCAATTTAAAGGCCTCCTTCTTAATGTCCCCCCTAGTAAATATGAAAGCCAACTAATTTAATTTGCAGAGATCAACTACGACAGTACGCTCAGTACCAAAAAATGTTGGGTCATCAAGAACTTCTAGAAACTGCCGATTTACTCGCTCGGTACTTCACACAGGAAAGGTTTCAGTACGGCCTGTACGGTCTATATCCGAAATGTCGTCAATATATGGATGTATACGTTCTGTTATTCGGCATGGTTGGTCATGGTCTAGTGGTTGATGCGTTAAATAGTCATCAAGGATTACTAGGTAAAACGGGATTGTTTTATAACTTATGAGAATTACAGTCTAAAAAAAATATATATTCTTTACTAAGCATTGTTTTTGAGTTCCAGATATTTATTATTTTTATTTTAGGTGATAAAATATGTGAGAAAATTTGGCCCTATTTGAGGGAAATGTTCGCGCCTTGGTTGATTCCTTATTCCATGCAAAACTGTAAAGATAACATGGCCTCCTGGATTAAACAGTTAGCGGATGACAGATCTGTTTTGCTCCCTTGGATACCATCGGATTCTAGTTTTGCTCAGAAAATGCTCTATGTGTTTTACGAGTGTATTTTATTCATTATTAATACACTTCCGTGTAAGTTATTTTAAGATTATGCATATATTTAAACAGAAATATGCAATATAGTATTATTTTTAGCTGCAACAAATATACTGAGCTACTTATGGCAGTGGTATGTCGCATCGTATGCTCACGTATCAGTAAAAGATCATATTTTGACGTTAGTACACGAAGTATTTGTAAAATTTCCTTGGGAAAATTTTTGGCCATCCCTTGTAGACGTAGAATATATGTTAAAGGTAAGTAGGTATTATTGAGTGTGCTTATGTGTATATGTACTGTATGATCGAAAAAAACGCGGCGTCAGAGGGCTGGAGAATGACAATCTACGTTAATTTTGGCGAGATCAATCTCTAAACGTCATTTACTAAAAATTGACATAAAACTTGTCAAAAATTAACACTAATTATAGAAAGATCAATTTGTAGACACACAAATCGATTTTCAAAAAATTGTTTTTTTCTCGAATTTTAAACTACACTATTTAAAAATCATTTTTACCCAATATAAGAATAAATTACAACCTTCTTAAAAGCCATTAAAAAATACAGAGAGTAACAACAAACCAAACCAGGCCAAGTAAATGACATCATTTTTTTTTCGATCGTATGTCACAGAATCAGGGAATATTTCAAAGGACAACTTGCAAAAAATTAAAGAAAAGATAATTCGTCTATGATTTAAAATGTCAGACGCAACTGTCACTGTCAGAGATCTTGGCGTTGCAGAGACTATATTTTTTAAATATAGTCAAGTTTTTCCTGTATCAACAAATTTTAGGATCTTTTTCATTATTTCCCAATACTTAGTTAAATGTTTTTTTGTAGGTGTTAGATCAGTACCTTCCAGAATGTCATTCGTTTTTGGGTTATATACTTGTTTCCGTCCCTTGGGTGAAATGGATAAACAATTTCAACGATGCTCCTATGCAGATTAGGATCAGAATTTATTATTCTTTTTTGAGTTTGCTCGTTAAACTCTCGGTCGAGCCAAATGTACGAAAAAACTACTCAGAAAGAACGAAAGTATTATTTGTTCAAGCTGAGGCGTTTGACTGGAAAGTACTAGAGCCAGCTGCTTTCCAACAAATTATGGACTGGTGGGTAATGTCTTGTGACAGTGGAGTCATTTTTAAATCAGATCCGTTGGACCTAGAATGTAGACTATTACAGTAAGTGTTTTTTTAAGTACTCTACCTAACATACTTTATTTTTTCTATTATAAAATTACATTTTAGCTTACTTGAAACTGTTTCCGGATTTGATAAGGGCTGGCCAACATTAACAATTAACTTGGAACATAAGAGACTGATATACGTTAGAGCTAATATTAAATTTTTATCCATTTACGTTAGTAGGAATAGAAATTTATTATACTCTAAACAACGTGACATACAAAATGTGATACTAGGTGAGTTATTTATTCAACCTTACTAGTTCTAAAAAGATATATTTCAAAGTCGTTTTTGAAGTAAAACTTCTTACGCGCACTTTACATATAAAATGACAGCGATCTTCATTTCATAGCCATCGTTGACGCCGTTTTTTCTCGATCATACGGTATTTGTTACACGTAAAGAACTATTTGTTACACGCAATTCTTCAAATCCTTCAATTTAGTAGCTGTCAGTAAGAAGTTTTACTTCAAATATGTGCGCACAATTTTTTTTAATTTTTTTCTGAAAGTTTTTTCTATTTAATAATATACCGGGTGTTACAAATTCAACTCTCAGGGTATCTTAGTTTATTGATACATTTCTAAAATGAATTTTGTTAATTTTAGGGTTTCTGAATAAGACAGAACAAGTAGTAAGTACCAAAGAAGAGATGCACACTTTATTAGTAGAATTGTGTGGCATCGTAAATATTAGCGACATATCGTTACTTGCCACTAACGTTTTAATTCAATGGATACAAAACAAACCTGGAGATAGTCTAATTGTTAAAAACTTGTTAAAATGTATAGGTGTATGTATGCACGATCACGAGGTACTAGCAGATTTGTTGGAATTGGTTATAAATAGCTATTTTTGCAACACAGGTAAGAAAGTTTATAAAATAATATCTATGAATATTATATAATATAATTTTGTATCTTTTTAGTATCTTCCGAAAATTACGAAGAGTCAACTTGGACCGAAGTCGTCGAACTTGTAAATGTTATAACGTCAAAACCATTAGAACTAGAACAGGTGTTGATTAACAAAGGAGCCGTATTAAGTTTAAATGTCATTTTACTGCAGAGAGTCAGAAGGAACATGGATAAAAAAGCTGTATTGATTAGCTGCTTAAATTGGATTGAACAAATTAAGATAAAGTAAGGTGTAAATAAGTTATTCTTACAGATACTTAAAGTAAGGTGTAAATAAGTTATTCTTACAGATACTTAGTAAAGACTAATATTTGAGATTGTTTAGGATTAAATAATACTTAAATGGGAACTACTAAAATTATTAGAGATCATTAATTTTAATTCATTACTAGTACACACTCCAAGAGTGACTGTTGGTCAAATGGTCAACACAAATCCATGTGATCAATAAAATAATCTGCTCCTTGGTTGAATGTTATCTAAAGAAGGGTTTTCTCTCTTGTAATTTTAATCTACTACCTATGTTGCCATATCATCAAGAAATTATGTTTTTTGTCTAAAAAAAAATGCCAAAAAATCTTTCAAATATTTCTAAATTATGAAAAATTTTTTTCGTGAAAAAAATCATAACCGTGTTTCTGGGGTTCCCTAAAATATTTGCGTTTATTTAAGACTCACCCTGTATAGTCGTTGGTAGAGTATTTGCCTGTAGTTTACGTTTACTATAAAGAAAAACGGCATCCAGTTGGCTTGAAAATGACGATCGCTGAAATTCCCTATATAATTTTACATATAAAATGACAGCGATCTTCCTTTCTTTGCCATCGCCGACGCCGTTTTTTTGCGAAATATTGTACTATAAACATCTCTGACATATTACCTCTTATAGCATAGCAATATTCATTATTATAATTTTTTGAAGACAAGTGGGCTACATCATAACATTTTTTACACATTTTAAAATCTAAGATCTTATTATTATTTCAGTGAATCAGTAGAGACGAAAGTTCCATTATTATGGTTCAGTATCTTAAGCCTTGCTCTAGATCTGTGCGATGTGGATGAAACAACTTCTTCAACATTGCTACTGAGGTTCGTCGATATTCTCTTGCAAACGTCCGAAAATAAAGCAGGAACTACATGGGGCAGGGGCTTATTAAGTGCAATTGGACTAAGCAAACAGGAAGCATCGACATTGAAGTAAATTGATAATACCTACCTTATAGTTCGCTACTTATATTAATTTCATATTTTTAATAACAGTTTTAGATTCGTATGTAAAGCTTTGGCGGGTTATATTTTGGCTCAGTTACCGGACATGAAGGGGAAACCCCAAACGGTTCGCAGGATAGAAAACGCACCCGGAACAGTTGGACAACCTGGGGGAAATACAGACTGTCCCAAAATTTTGCTTACGTTAGATTTCGGCCAAACGCAAGGGAAATTGAAGGATGCAGCGCAATTGGCTCTCAATATGGTAATAATATCGTTTTGTTTTTAGTTTATTATTCTTTCTGTTTTGGCAAAATTTGTAAAGCATGTTGAAAAAAGTCTCATTGAGAGAGACTACTCTTAAAGACAAATTATATACATAGTTTTTTTTATTGTTTCAGATTCAGGAACCAACAAATTCGCTCCATAATATAAACTCATATTTATGGTTATTGCTTAAACAGTTTTATGTTAAAGGTTATTTGAAGGATGTCAATTTATAAAATTAAAATTATTCTTACAACACATTTAAATATAGTTATTTTCATACCTGTTCCTATATTTTTTTGTTAAATATAAAATAATTTATAAATATTTTGAAAACTATTGTATTTAGATATAAACAACATTATACAAAGTTATCTTTATTGTTGACGTCAAATAAATTAAAAGAAAAATAAGTGTTTCCATTTCAAAAATTGACATTTTATAGATTTGTTAACTTTATATTTGCAAGATTTTTCTGAGCACCCTGTATTATATTTGATAAATTATTGCAAACATTAAAGTAGAATAAAATATTCTCAACAAAAATACATTGATACTGAAAAGTATTTATGTTTCAAAGCTCAAAAATTATATAGGACGTCCTCTTTAACATAACCACAGAATAACGAAATGACAGCTACTTTCGGTTAAGTGGCTGTCATTTCGCGAAGAAACGGAAAAATATTCTAAAAGGGAGATACACTGGGATATTGCATTAACTTCAAACATTCCAAGTTATATCTAAATTAGATCTTAAAAATCTCTTAATAAACCGAAAAGAAACGGCTTCAAGACGGCTGGGAAATGACAATCGACGATAATTTTGGCGAGGTCAATCTCAAGACGTCATTTGCTAAAAATTGACTTGTCATAACACTAATTACAGAAAGATTGAAAAAGGATAGATGGTTTCCATAAACACAAATCTCTTTCCAAAAAAAAATATTTTTCCCGAATTTTAAACTACACCATCTAAAAATAAATTATAACTTTCTTAAGGCCAACTGGCAGTAAGACCCATTAAAAAATAAAGAAGAGCACGGGCTAAGCAATTGACGTCTAGGGCTTGATCTCGCCAAAATTATCAATTGTTATTCCCCAGCAGCCTTTGATGTCATATGGTACATCAAGTACAAAACAGATAGTAATTAAAATAATTGAAATGGATCTAAAATATATATATTTTTCTAAAATTTAAAAATAATTTATTTTAATCATTAATTCTTTACAAATAACAAATATTCCCGCAAGTCAAGCAACTATATAGGGTTATTATGCCTTACAGTATTATAATTATCTTTATATATTTATAATTATAAAAAAGTTATTGTACAATATAGCATTTTTTAAAATATAATCTTAGAATACTATTAAAATGCACTTGAAAAAGCTTAAGGACACTTTAAGGCGTTTTGGCATTAGGTGTATAAAACAAATTTCACTAAAGAGGTATTAGCTAAACACTGCAATATTTATCTCACTTCTACAAATAAATTTACATTGTTTACATTATTTATATGATCATCGGCGGTAGAAATTAACAAATCTATGTACAAAAAGCGAAAAACAACGGACTGGAGGGGGGCTCGATAACGCTGATGTAAAATCTGGAAAAGAATAAAACATTTATAGTTTCTTCATCGAGAGCAAAGTTTCTTTATTAAAACTTTATAATAATTCCAGTACATAGATAATTTTATTTCTTACTCAATTTAGTATATTTTGTCCCATTTTAAAAGACACAAATGTTGCATTTATTAATCTTCCGGTATATTTATATTAACGCTGCTGGTAGGAACTTTGCTTGTTGCCAGTTTACCATTGTATTAAATGACCTGTTTATAAATTGAGGGTTGTTGTCAATCGAGTTCAGTTTTTTGTCAAAAAAAAAACGCCATCGCACGAATTCGGCACACGTTCGAGTACATTTCTATTAAAATGGAGGAAATATTAAAAAAAAAGCTGAAGAAGCGCGAGTATGACGAGCGTTACATCCACCTAAAAGTTAATCCGTTTACCGAAAGGGATATAAAAAACAACTTCAGTGGCTGGGACAAAAAATACTGTAGCAAGGGATGTTGATGAAACTGTTCTCTTGTGAATTTATTATATTGTGGAGTTATTGATATAAATAAATTATTAGAGCAGTTAGATGAGTGTCCATTTTCATTTTATATTATTACTCAAAATCTCTATTGTATTTCATGGTTGTAACCTATAAAAGGTAAAGGGAATGATGGCATTAATTCCTGTTAATAAAGTGCCAAAGGAGTTATGACTATTTATGGTCAGCATATATCGTAAAAAATGTTACCTTATTGGAAACCTTGACGTTGTCAAAACAGAGTTAAGGTTACACCTCGTCTGTAGCCAGCGTAGGCGACGTCCTCAAGCCGTCACCTCCAGCGCCATCTGCATCCTCTGATCCTACATTACTAACTTGTTTCGAAGAGGCCACTTCGGCCTCAAGTGCCCTGATGCGATTTTCGTGCTTCACTATCATGGCCTTAAGTTTCCGAATTTCGTCAGCGATTTCTTGAAGAGCTTGATCCTACAGAAGAAAACAGAAAAAAATTGTTTTTGGCCTTGCCATATTACGTCAATACATGACGTCAATTGTAATGCAAAGAATTAGGCCTAAATGATCCAAAAACTCTTAAACGGATTTTGTGAAAACAAAAATACTTACTGAAACTGGTGCACCCGTATTTCTGCTACTGGATTTGTTTTTACTGGATACTTTGTCAAGTAGGTTGCTTTTCCTAGTGACACTGAGCGAGCTTTTCGATTCTGGCGGTCTGTAGCCGTCCTTTAACGAAATGAGCAGTGGTTCGGCATCTTTGCCGGCTATCCATTCGTCGGCAGACAGTGCTGCCGTATCTCCTAAGGTGTCGGGATATAAATCTTCCTGAAACAGCTCAGATTTCCGTGGCACTGTCATGGTTATAACCTAGAAACCGCATTCAATATAAATATACACGTGAACTGGTCAAGAATTTCTATAATCAAAGTATGCGCTCTTGGTTGCGTTAAAGAAAATAAAGTCTATCCACGGAGTCGGAGGAGATTTCGACAGTCGACATAATAGCAGAAAATAAAAAGAGGTACATTTTTTCATTTGCATTTTAAAATAACAGACACAACTGTTACTGTCATGAATCCTTTCGTTGAGACCAGCCAATATTTAAATAATAGTAAATAAAAATAAATTGAATGAATGTCGAAAAAAGAGAGAAAAAAGGGTAGAAGAAAAAAGAATAATAGACTTGGACTTATAAAGTCAAAATTAAAATAAGTTGTTAAAAAATGAAAAGTACTTACTTGGCACAAGCCAGAATTATTCAGTCTGTAAAATCTGGCAATTTCACAGGAAGTAACGTCACATCCTCTCTTTGGCATCATACCAATACCTCTCTGAGGGTCTGGTGTTTGGAAAGTGTTTATGTAATGAACGAATGGGGGTTCGGCAGTAATTTCAAAGTACCTTGAAAAATGTAAACAATTAGAATTACAATTAAAATAATCCCGCAAAAAAAATCAATCAACAACTTTTAAAGAATTCATCCTTTAGAGAAAATAGTCGTTTCGTTATATATGTATGTAATATAAAATTAGGGAAAGAAGATTAATTTCTAGCTTATGCTGAGGAGAAATAGCGTTAAAACAAAGCATTAATGTGTATTGTTTTTTAATTCTAGGTGCAACTTTTTACAACAAAAAATTAATTTAAATTAAATTGGTTTGCATCCTTTAATTTTTTGTAATCTCTAGGATCTCCTAATTATAGCTTAGATATTAAATTATTAGATCCACCATAAGTAGTTCTGTGGCTAATCCATTTTCCGCCTCATATTCTTCTTTTACGTCTTGGTGTTTTAAATAATAAAATTTCTGTTAATTCTATTGCCATAATTTCTAAATTTGACGGACATCCTAACGCACTGTCCAGGGTTGGGTAACGACGCGTAGAAAATTAATTTTCTAAGTGTATGTAGAAAACTGCATAGGAAATGTAGAATATTACGTAGAAAATGTATAAAATCTGAGAACAGGTATAAAATTAATTTTGTATATTTAAAGCCGTTTTTTTCACTTTAGAGGTTTCTTCCTTTCTATTTTCTTTAAATATTAAAACAATTTTCTTAAAATGTTAAAACTGTAATATGTGCGCGCGCTATCTCTATTCTGTGACGGTACTCCCTGAAGATAAGAGACAATAATCGATCTGAAGACTATTAGAATATTTTTTTTTCTGTTTAATCTGAAGACTGTACAGAAAAGTCTGATTTTTTTTTCTTTGAAAGTTTTCGTTGTTCCTTTTTTTAATTTACCATAGAAAGCCTGTGGTTTCATAAACTATATACATATAAAAATAATTATTGTAGTTTGTGGTTTTTACTTTCATTATGTTAAATGTTATTTTTTGTTGTTGTTCTATTTGAGTCTTACCAAAGTTTACAGAATTACATAGAATTATTCTGTAAACTTTGATCTTACTATTGAACACTTTTACGATATCTGTAAACTTCGATTATAGTGTATAACAAATCAAGCAAGATTTCGACAGTCGACATCCAGAACATGACAGAAAATTCGATATGCCTGTGAATTATAATGACGCAACAGTCACTGTCACGCATCCCCCCGTTGTACATATCAATTTAAAATAATATGGAAGTTAATAGTTAAGCTTTTTTTAACATACCATAATATACTATCCATTTGTAAATAATAAATAACAATTAGAAATATCGTTATTAGTTTATTTCTTGAACTAATCGTTGTAATTGTGAAGTATGTGAAATAAATATAAACTCAAAAAAGGCTTACAATATACAAAACTAATTTTCTACGTTTGGACATGTAAAAAATGTAGAAAATTGGTTGGTGTAGAAAATTAATTTTCTACGTGTAGAAAATACGGTAGAAAATATAAAATTTTCTACCTACCCAACCCTATCCAAACGAAACTCAGTGAAAAAGTAATAATACCATATACATATCAAATATATACAGATTATCGCCTATCCCTGCAATGTGTTGGAGTTGAAGCCGAGTTAAAGACAACTAGATTACCGGTCCATGTATATTTCACATAAATTCGTTTGTTAGGTAGATACTGGCGCAACAGCCAAACTCCAAAATTCTGAATACCGATTAGCCTTTATTCTGAGGATTAGCCAATTGTCGAACGGGAGCGCAAACGGAAGCCGTACGAAGTTGGACAGAGCCGTACGAATGAACAGCTGGTGCTAGCGTCTAGTCTCTAATTGCTCTAGTTATCCCATCGATAATTCAAAATCCAGGCTTGCGCACTAAGCTTGAGCAGAGCTAACTGAGCGACTTATGCAAATTCCTTCAGAAGATTTATATACCCATTTTACCGGCTTGGCTTCACAGAATGCCGTTTGGAGTCAATATGGTTAATTTATAAATATATGAATAATACTAACCTTATGACCGAATCTCCTTTACCACAGAGATACACTAGATTCGTATCAGGATCGTACAAAGGAAACATGACTCCGTTTGAAGTGTCGAGTTCGACCATCACTATAGGTTCTTCCAAACAGTCTGGCGTTCGCAAACTGTACTGTCGTTCGGATCTTTTCGAGAACCCCGTCGTAAACACGAGACCGTGTCGAAGAAATATGGCTCTGGTCGCTTTGGACCCTAAAAACAGAAACGTACAATCAGTATACCAGGCGACAGCGATGTTGTTATACAAACCGCTTTTAGACGATTAAATTTGAAACTTGGATTAAAAATATAGTTCGCCAAAACTTATATTCCGGTGTTTTTGCCGGAAAGCAGCCTAAAACAAGAATTTTAAATGACATACTGTTAGGTTATTTTAAACATTTGCCGAAAGATTATAATGTTTCAATAATGTATCACAAGTTGGATTTTTTATATTTAATTTTCATTGGGTTATTAAAATATACAGTGTCCAAAATAAGAATGAAGAGTACGGAGATTTCAAAAGCGGGAAGAGATACGAGGTCGCTTAAATTAGAGAAAAGTTGCACCTTTTTGAACCCTACGTCACGTTTCAAAATCTAAAAAAATCCAATTACTTCCAAAGATATTTGAAAAAAATTTTGTGTGCACTATGTGCGCATATTTGAAGTGAAACTTCTTACTTCCGTCTGTCCGTCTCGAGTACCTCTATCCACGTGCCCAGTTTGGTGTCAATCGACCCATAATTAAAAAAATCCTGATGATTTCGTCCATTTAGAAGCATCGGTTCGTTAGCCCGTCCCTAATTATGCCGAAAGCGATCCTCATTTTTCTTCAATATAAAATCCTTAGTCCCACCCCGATGAAGATGTAAACGAAACGTCGTATCCAAGTTTGCAGGGAGGGACCGTGTGCACCGTTGGTCACATAGCCTATAACCACCAAATTTGGTCGTGATCGGACGATATCAATTTTTGACGTTTCTTACGTCAAAACTAACTGTCTTCGAGGTCACATAGAACTCGAGTTACGAAGCTCCAAAGACCCATCTGGACTTCCTCAATGACTTATTACTTTTTTTCTCGCTAACTCGTGTTTCGAGGTGTCAAGGCGATGTCGTGTCACGGCCTTGAATTTCTAATCCCATCGCGCGTAAAGAAGTTTCACTTCAAAAAAATATTTTTTTCCGATTTTGTTTTTATTTATTTATGGTTATTTGAAACCGATATGAAAATACAAATTTTATATTCCCATTGCTACTTTTCCTGCTCTACAAGTTGATGTTATTAGATTTTCAAACTGCAGTTTCGTTTTTGTGGATTTTTATTTTATTTTTTAGAAGCTTATGACCTCTCAAATGTAATAATGTATCACACTTACCCAAACCTGTTGTTTGTTTTTTACGCACACACATAATCAAATTGATCCATATACCCATCTCTCTCCAACGCATTGTCTCTTATTTTTTCGGCACCCTGTATAATATTTGATAAATTACTGTAAACATTTATATCGAGTACAACGTTTACTAAAAGACAAGCGACATGAATTCACCGAAAAAATACATTAATGTAAAATATTTAATTATCATGGCATATTGGACAGAAAATTTGAATTATTTTATAAACCATACAACTTATGTAGTATATATGACGTTATGCACAAGATGTGTTCAGAATTTCATGTAGGATTCAAATTGACAGCCACTTCCAGTAAAACTGGAAGTGTCAGAAAATTAGACTATTAATAATCTAGTTGCTTGAAAACTCCTGTATAATATATTCCATTAATTTCAAGCAATACCAACTTGTGATTTTGTGATACACCATTAAAATAGAACTCTTAATAAAGTAATAATCCCCATAAAGTTCTTAGATTTGAGTCGGTTCCAGAAAAAAACGCAAATGATATAAATTATTTTTTTAATAGAAAAAGAATGAATTTTAATTTTGAAGAACTATATTTTAAATCCAAATTTCATATTTCTTTTTTTTTGCATAGCGATTTTGTTGTCACAAAAATTTTCAATTTATATTATTTCTGTGACTTAATTAATAAAAAACTGTAGTAAATTGTACTGCCGTTATCTATGTACCGCGATATCTCCCTAAAGATTGATATTACCCTTTGAACAAAAAGATTAAGGAAGGAACATATCAGAAATCTTAGACCGAACGCGACGGGGTCGTATAATGACCGGTTTATCAGTGCCGTTCTAATTTTATTCAAAACACGTAAAAATATAATAATATAATGTAGGGTAGACTTAAATAAATTATATAGTTACTGACGAAAAGTTATTCCATTATTTCCCTGGATTTTTGACCGAGGTCTACCAACGCTACACAACCAACTATTTTAGTCTTTTTCGATAAATCGCAATAGTGTCACTGCTAGTTTAAGTTCTGCTACAATTTCTTTGTAGATTTACTACCTGCTGGGGGCAGGACCAGGTTTGAGATATTTGGCAAACCCATGCTAGACCTATCAGACCTAGGAGACATATCGTCCTCAGACATAACGGCCTATGTTAAAAGGCTGGGTCTTGAGGGTGAACTTTGACGCTCTTTGTATATTAGAGCTTGTAGAAACTGAGCCACAATAGGCCCTCGCGGTCGCAGTGGAGGGTCCCATGGGACCCACTCTTAGTCAATACAATACAATACAATAGTAAGTAGTAATAAGTCAGTAAAGACTGACAAATCCACAAAATTTCAAATCAAATTCAAATGTGTCAAATGAATCGTCAAACAGAGTTGTCAAGGATCCCCACCCTAAGGCCCTCTCTCCATCTACCATGCATTAATACATGGATAGCATTATACTCCATCCTTAATCTTTTTATTCAAAGACATTACCCAATGTTTGAAACACATCAAATTATATCGGGTAGTGCATTGTCGTTAGGTTAGGTTTAAAAAATGGTTTTTTAAAGGTCTGCATATGCTGAATACAAGTACCAAATTTGAGCAATTTTGGACCAGCCGATTTTAACTAATTTAAGAAAAACTAGATATATTTTTAAATTAAGACTGAACAGGTACAATGCAAAACCAGGCAAACGTCAACATATCTTAAGTTGTCAACCTATGATTTTATCATTGTCAAATGTAATTTGTTGTGCTCTCTACACTATTACGTTATAGTACCTACGGTTAGTGTCCCCGAAATGCATTTTGTAATTTAAAACTTGTTCAAATTAAGGCAAAAGCCTACCATAGAGTTGTTGCCTGTTCTGTTTCAATTCAAAAATAGATGCAGGTTTTCTTAAATTCGTTTAAATCGACTTGTTAAAAGTTGATCAAATTTGGCATGTGTATTCAACAGACACAGACCTTTAAAAATCTTCTTTACAACGTCCCTGTAAAGTCAACAGGGGAGCCAATATTTGGACAGTTCAAAATTTGCCTGCGATTTCCTGTTTCCAACCCGACGATGCACCACCGGTACACATAAAAAAAAACAATACCTTCATGAGCTAGAGCTTCCGAGGTTACTATCCCCGTCCTTGGGTTAATTATTCTAATTTTTTTGTCTTTACATGTTGTGAGCAATTCAGATCCGTCCCAGTTAAAACAAGCGCTATAAACTATATCTGGATGGCAGTCGATTTCCACTAAAGCTTCACCAGTACCTTAAAAGATAATCATAGTCGAGTCAAATAATGCTCTATATAATTACAAAATTATAAAGAAACTTTAAATATAATTGAGGGGCTGAGTTCCAAAACTAGTTTTATCCAAATTCGTTAATTTTCAATAATCGCAAAAAACGAACAGCAACTTAATTACTCGTGGAACAAATGCACGACTCTAACATGTAAATTATACAGGATAGAATGAATTATGCCACAAAAATGATGCTGAATATTGTGCAGGGCTGTCGATACTAGACTGTAGATACTTTTACTCAAAATTACTAAAAATGGATAAGACGAGTTTTGAAACTCAACCCCTCAATTATAAAATATTTATGGGCGCAAATTTAAAACATACCGACGTTCCATATGACAATTTGATTGTCACTTCCTGCTGTCAATAGGACGTTTTGAGCTGTCGGGTGCCATAAAACCAAGCCCACCCTTCTTTGATGGTATACAAGGTCAACTACAGATTCGGTTAGAGTTTTAATAAGACCTCCGTCGGGTATATGCCACACCTACAAAAGTGGTAACAAATTTTCGTTATTGCTTATTCATTACTTGTTCAATATATACCAAAGATATCTAACTTAAAGAAGACAAAACTATTGACATTTTCGCGATCAAAGATAGTTTTCAACAAAAATCCGTATTAACAAATTTATGCGGATTGTGTATAGATCTTACACTGTATAGATCTTACACTTAATAAGCATCATATCGATCAAACAGTAACTCTATGAGTCACTGTTTGATCGAGCTCGAAATAACAATGTAAAAATTAAATTTAAAAAAAATCTTTTTGTTTGTGTTTAAAAGAAAAGTAATATCGTTGGATATGTAATTTAATATTTTATAAAGGAAATGTCCTTGTAGTCCAATGTCATATGATGCTAGTTTTTAAGGCCTTTTTGTGCAAAGGATGTTTTTTTGCTAATTGACTCAGTCAAACTGTCCTGATGAGTGGAATAAAATTCTCGAAAGCTTGACAAATTTGAAAAAGTAGTTTTATTACCCTATGTGGTGATTATTGACTGCATCCTCACTTAAATTTTGAGTTTTTTATATGTGTATAGGTATATCATTTTAGTTAAAATACATAGATTATTCCTTAGAAATTATTTGTAGTTTTCTAATTAAATTAAATTAAAATTTATTAGGGAAGTAACTGTGACAACGCTGCTCCAGAATAGTAAAATTTTGATGGATTCATTCAAGTTATATTTAAGAGTACGGTGTTGTGAATTCTGTGCGGTGTTAGTAAACTTTTTTGTTTTTAAACTAATTTTTACTGTTTTTCTTTGTGAAAGAACTGTTTAAAACATCTTTAAATATCTATGATGGTTCGCTAGTGCTTCGTTTGTAAAAAAGGGGACTATTCTAGTTCCGAAATGATATTTCGGCGGTGAGTGACGTTACGTATTTTTTAGCTTTAACAGTGGTGTATTTAAGTTTTAAGTGGGTTATTCCAAAGAACCATTATTTAAATTAAAATTACTACACAAAGACAGAAATGCACACGAAACTCAACAGCGTTGCCATATTTATGCACCCATCTCTTTTTAATTCACATAAAAGAGTTAAAGTACATATGATTCTAAACAAATAGAGTTTATAAATGGAGTGTTTTGTCTTCCCTTTATTTAAATATATTTGTTCAATACCTTCACGACGCAATCTTCTGATCCACTTGCAATAACGTTATCGTTGTGCGGACACCAAGCAATGTCCAAAACGGGCCCTTTATGGCCACCGACAAGGGGATGGTCGGCGGGTATTCTTCCAACCTGTTTTTACATAATATCATGTTAAATATATACCGTATGATAAAAAAAACGGCGTCAAAGACGGCGTGAATGACAATCTATCATAGTTTTGGCGAGGTCAATCTCTAAACATCATTTACTAAAAATTGACATAAAACTTTTCAAAAATTAACACTAATTACAGAACGATGGCGATGAGCACCATACCTGTATAAAACTACCGAGTGAAAAAATATAGATTTCCGTAATTTTTTACGTATAAAATGTAGGTAAAAGTAGCTACAAGCAACCCTTCTCAAGATATTTACAATGGAAATAGTTAATACATGTTGAGTAAATACCGTATGATCGAAAAAAGCCGCCCAGTTGACTGGGAAATGACAATCAATCACATTTCCCATATAAATTTACACATAAAATGACAGCGATTTTCATTTCATAGCCATCGCTGATGCCGTTTTTTCCATCATACGGTAGTTATTTGACTGAAATGATAAATTTGGGAACTTTTTATTTTTTTAAATTATTCAAATCAAAATCAAAATCATTTATTTAGACTGCACTTATAACAGAAAAATATTCCCATGACAACAGTACAGTAATTACAAATTAAAAAATACAAAAATAAATATACAATAAAAAAGAAGAACTCTCAATAACATTAACAACGAGACTTAATAAAATAGTTGAAGATTATCTTTTTATTCTTATCACAGATAAAGTCAAAATCAGAGTGATTTAGGGCAAATTTATTCACCGCCTCTAGGCACCTGTTTAATGGTGAACTAACCTACGAGATCTTAAAAATTACATGCCTTTTTCTTAGTCTACAATCAGGTACTACATAATAAATCATTCCAAGTAGGTCCGGCACAGGAACACATTGGTGAATAATACTAAATACAAACGACACATCACTGAACTGCCTCCTTTCCTTTAAGGGTGTTATGCTAAATTCTGCTAGTTGACTGTGTTTTTGCAGAAATAGGAATAGAATTTTCATAAATTTTTCTTTGAAAAAATCCTGATAAAACAATTTCTGTTGAACATTTGACATAAAAAAATTCAAATTTATTATTTCAGTCTAATAACTATCTAGTCAACATGTTTAATTTATATGTCAATGATGACATGTATTGATTATTTCGATTCGAAATACCTCGAGAACTTATACGTAGCAAAAAAAACAAAAATAACGACGGAAATGTATATTTTTACTCCGTAGTTTTATACAGGTATGGACGAAAAGTTATTACTCCTCAAACCAGTTATACAGGGTGTCCCAGAAATAAGTGCAAGTATTTTAAAGGGTGGTGGATCTAGTTAAAAGTAACATAATTTTCTCTATATGGTTTTTCAAATAAGTTCAAAATAACGGAGTTATTTTACAAAAATTTCCAAAAAAAATGATTTTTTGCTAAAATTTTGAGAACCACAGGATCTCTTCTGGATTTTCTTTCTTGTAAATTTAATCTACTACCTCTGTTGCCATATTATCAAGAAATTATGTTTTTTAACTAAAAACTAAAAAAATTTCCAGAAAAATTTTCAAGAAATTCCGAATTTTCAAAAAAAAAATTTCGCGAAAAAAACCTTATAGGCGTGTTTCTGGGGTTGAACTATACTACCAGTTAAAATACTTATTTTATTTTAAAGGCACTTATTTCTGGGACACCCTGTATAATATGTAGGCGGCGCCCTCATCAAGTAGGAGACATCTTGACATCAAAATCAAATTTCCTATATGAAAAACGTCCCATACACAAAATTTCATCCAAATATCGACTTTAGTTCAGACATTATTTGGAAAAATGCTAAATAAAAATGAAACTTCTACACCCTGTATCTCTGAAATTAAGCATTTTAGGACATACATTTATAGGAACTGTTTTACTTATTTTTATATGTAGAATAAACTGCCGAAGTTTCCCGAATACTATTCGGCCCACCCCGTATACTATTTGAGATTTCTGACTCAACGGCCAAAAACAAACAGAATAACATGGTTTGTAATCGTAAAAAACACACAAACTCTGTGACAATAAACAAGAGATATCTTACCTTGTTGCTTTGCGGTAAGACAATAAAAGCACCACCGCCTGCGCTCTCAACAATGACAGCTATAAACTTGGGATTGACAGCGCAGAAGGTCGAATCCCATGAACTTTTCGATACCCGAATATTGTCATAACATTGCTCTCTCTTCAACGCTTGTCCGTACACGTGTCGAAATTTTGAAGTTCTTACAACACGAAATGACATCTAGACGTAATAGTAAATATTTAGATTAGTTACAATGTATGTACAGGGTTGATTACACTATTCGATATGAAGTGTTGTAGCTAAATATGGTTGTCATTGAAGGAATACTAGAGTTGCAATTTAAAATTATTTTAATAAGGTACAGAGTGTCCTAAATAAATAAAAAAAATATCAATTTTGTATTTTTTTTAAGAAAAGCCTTTATATTATTACATTTTTTGTTACATACAAAATTTAATTATCTATCAGGTTGTATTAATTTTTAAATACTATCTCTTCCAAGTTTTCATAGAAAATTCATATCTTTATAATTCAAACGCTATTTATCATTATTTATCAATATATCCAAGGAATTTTGACATATTAGATTTTTTTTAGACAAGTAACAAAAATAAAATAAGTACAAATGCAAATATTTCTATTGTTAGATCATTTATTTAAAAAAAATAAAACTACTTAAATATTTTTGTAAAAAAGGACCAATTAAATGTTGTTCCATTATTCCTGCTCAAACAATAACTGATTATTTGATTTGATTAATAATCGTTCTAAATAAAACAAAGGATTGAATTTTGCATGTGCAAAAATACAGGATGTTTACCATTTAAACTAAGCAAGATATTACCCTTTAATTATTTTGGTAATTATTTAAATTTAATATTTAGACGCCCTGTACAAAGCTAGTATTATTTTATTATTACTACACAGTATTTAGCTAGTAAATAAAAACAACTCCAATGCATATTTGGTTTTAAAAACTTAAATAAACTTAAAGAAATTTAACATTAAAATTGTTATTGCATTTTCACAAAATTCTAAATATTTCAGAAGCGGTAAAATTTAAGTCAGGTAAATCTTAATCAAATTTACTTTTTTTTAATCCTAGAAACTAAAAATGTAATAATATACAGGGTGTTCCATTTTAAAAAAATAGACTAACATTTTTCAGAGATTTAAGACACTCTGTATCTTTTGAAAATAATTCTAAATTGTAGTTCCAGTTTCCAGTAGTTCTTTAACAACTCCAAATATACAATTTCTAAAGATCTAATCATTAAGCTACCCGTGTCGAATAGCGTAAATAACCCTGTATATATCGCTGCTACATATCTTTCAAATCCTGCCTCACATAATATTTATTGGGAACTCAATTTGCAACTTAAAAAGCAGGGCAATGTTATTTTTATAAATTATATTTATAATAAAAACATAACCTGCAAATAAGTATTTAACGTAAAACTATAACAAACCTTAATTCGTACACTATAAACTATTATTCTACTAAATAAATTAACAAATTAGAATAATTTTAACTAACACTTCTTCGTAAACTCACAACACTCACTAAGTTCTTTAGAAAAAACCATATTTGGTTATGTGAAATTTTTGAAACGTCAAAATAACTATTCCTAGCAATGCCTGTTATTATATTTCAGGAATAAGAAACTAAAATCACTTGTGGCGACATCTCTTGACAACACCTAGAATTTTTAGGTCTTTTAGTCCATAGATATTAACTTCCAATATCCCATCCAAGGCCTTGATAATACTCTGTGGTATTTTGTTAATTTCAAATTTAGTTTGTTCCCAATACATAGGTGGCGCAAGGCGTTAAATTTACAGCTTTACAGCCCTAGAATGATCCTATCTATCTATGACATTATTCTATTCTATAATTTATTCTATAATCGTGCTATAATTATGTGTCAAGGTCAGTAACTCCCCTCTATGGTCAATGTCATCTTATCACGTCACGTCAAATGTCACCTGAATGTCACATCAAGTCACATGTCACCATCTCAAAATTTTTTAAAAGGTTCGCAAGTTGTTTTTTTTTCTAAAATTTTTTGGTTAATTATTAATGAGATGGGCATTTAACAATTTTTCAAGTTGAATTGCAATAAAGGAATATGGGTGTCATTCATGCTAAGGTACGTAATTTTACCCTAGACTGACAGTTAATATAATATTAATGAGATCATCAAGCCAGTCACACATTTTAAAATGTTATAAAATTATAAATACTAATTATATTGGAAATGAGATGATCTGAAAGCCTATTCTGTTCACAGGTTCTAGATGAGACTGCAACAAATATTAAACGTTTTTCGAAGCAAACTGGAATAGCGGAGCCTTTAGAGAAACCCGATATTCGTGAAGTAGATTTAGAAAATATTCAGGTAATTTTAAAATCTGGCAAAATGCTACTTTGGGAAACTATTGGCTATGTAAATAATTTTAAACTGTAGCTCTACATTTAAAAAATAATAATTTTACTATGACACTCTGTCCATATTATTAATTTATTTAATAGGTTACCGTTGACAAAATAAATGTTGACGGTTTAACACGAACAAAAGATGATATCATTGAAGATTGCATTAAGGATTTGTTTCAAGCACAGCATTTTCAAGAAGTTCTTTTAAAAGCTCATAAAGTAAGTATTAAGTTGAATTTGCTATTAAGATTTTTGATCCAATGTTTATATAACAAAGTGCACTTTATTTTTAAGAAGGGATCACCCCTTAAGTTTTATTGCTGTTGTTTCGAAACATCCGGTATAACAATATGTTTTAATTTTTAGGCTCGAATTAAACTAGAGGAACTGGGTTGTTTCAAAAATATCGGAGTATATATTGACGTGAGCAAAGGCCCGAAAGCAAGATCTGACGGTTTAGAAGTATATGCGATTTATTTATTGTTTTGTACATTATAAATATGACATTCTTTTTAGGTGACGTTTGACGTTAAAGAGCAGAGACGTGTAACGGGGGGCGTTACTACCCATATTGGAAATAACGAAGGAGTGCTATTGGTGGGCTTACGTTTACCAAACTTATTTGGAAGGGGTGAAAAAATCCAGCTGGAATACAGTCATGGCTCGAAGAAAACCAGTAATTTTAATTGTTCATTTATTAAACCGTTTAGAGGAAAATATAGACCTACGTAAGTAATTGGTTTTTGTAGGTTTTAAATTGATTAATTTTACAAGATTTAAAAAAACGAGTTCATTAAAAGTGTTTTATGATTTATTTTATATAAGTTAATGTGTTTTTTTCCAGAATATTTTTCACTTTTTGCCTTCTCTCTGGGACTTAATTGCTTATTGGCACTCTATACAGGGTATTCAAAAAACATATGCCAACTGTCATGGGGAGATTCGTCTCATGGGTTCGATTCTGCTTCGTTTCGTAGCTACAGGAGGTTAAAGTCTTCATCTTTTTTCAATTTATTATAATTTTCTTAAGTGCTTTTACCTATTTCAATGAAACTTTAAGGGTAAAAGTTACTATAAATGCGACATATTTTAAGGCTAAAAAAGTGTCGACATATTCACCAGGGACGTGCATATGGGTTGTTACTGGAAAATTTTTCAAAAAAACTGCATCCCTTGTTAGCAAAATTGTGTAGACCGTTAAATGGTGATTAAAAGTTGTCTCTTGATATTTTGTCGATTTCGGTCTCTTTGCTGAGGTAAACGCAATTTAATTAATTTGCCTTAATCCAATTCTAATAGCAACCTTTAAAAAATTTTAACACATTACCTTGCCAAAATGTTAAATCAATACTCCTAAATAAATAATAATTGATTCCTCATTAAAAAATATGAAAAAAAGGTCCTAAAAACATGGGTGTGAAAATGCATAGTTTTAAACAGGTTGTTAAAAATAGGCCTTTTGTAATTGTCTTAAAAATCATTAATTATTTTTGGGGGGAATCTGCTGTAGGTAGGCACTGTACATCAGTGCTTTAAATTTTAATAAAATTTAGTAATAAATTACATAAAATAAATACTTTACTAATTTTATTTTCATTTTAATTTTATTAATTGTGATCAATAAAATTGCGTTTATCGCATCGAGGAGACCGAAATGGACAAAATATCAAGATACAACTTTTAACAGGCATTAAATGGTCTACACAATTTTGCTAATAAGAGGAGAAAAGTCAGTGGCGCACACGTTTTTTTTAGAAAAATATTCTAGTTATAACCCATATGCACGTCCCTGATGAATCTTTCGGTACATTTTTTAGCATTAAAATATGTAATAAAATTTAGTAATAAATTACATAAAATAAATACTTTACTAATTTTATTTTCATTTTAATTTTATTAATTGTGATCAATAAAATTGCGTTTATCGCATCGAGGAGACCGAAATGGACAAAATATCAAGATACAACTTTTAACAGGCATTAAATGGTCTACACAATTTTGCTAATAAGAGGAGAAAAGTCAGTGGCGCACACGTTTTTTTTTAGAAAAATATTCTAGTTATAACCCATATGCACGTCCCTGGTGAATCTTTCGGTACATTTTTTAGCATTAAAATATGTAGCGCTCATAATAATTTTTATTAAATTTCATTCGAATTGCTAAAAGCACCTGTAAGAAAATTATAATAAATAAAAAAAATGAAGATTTTAACCTCCTGTAGCTACGAAACAAAGCAGAATCGGGCCCATGTTGATAAAAAAAAATAAATCTTATTTTCACGCGAGGGATATCCCCACGAGAGATGACACATGTTTCTTGAAACGCCCTGTATATTTTTAATTTTCGAATTCTGCATGAAATTTCAAATACGTTTTGTGTATAATTTCGAATATCCTTTTTTTAAATTAGTATCTAAAAAATATCCTAAAAAACTTTGTATGAACCAGTTGCATAAAAAACCCTTTTTTAGTTTGACCGCTGCGATATTACAAAATCAGTCGGAATGGCCTAATTCGGGTTATAAACAGCAAGAAAGAGGCATCCTTTTTGACCTCGGATTCTACTCCAATTCTCTGGTAATTGCAATTTAGGTGACTTACTTTTTTGGAACGCCTAATATTTAACGGTTTTTTAGTTCAAACACAATCTGCAATGGGAAGGAATCGTTAGGAATCTTTCGACGTTAACTCGAACAACCTCGTTTGACGTTAGAGAACAATCTGGTGTTTCTTTAAAATCATCATTCAAGCATTTACTTTCTATTGATCTTAGAGACGATCATATTTTCCCTAATACAGGGTAATATATTAAAATATGACGATATAAATTCACAACGAAGTACTAAGGAAATTAAAAAATACTTAAATAATCCTTGATTTTAGTTCTTTCGTTCAACTAACATCGGAGTTGGCAGGAATTGGAGGCGACGTTGGATTTCTTAAAAACGAAGTGTCCGTTCAAGATAACTACTATCTTTTTGACGGGCATGTAAGTATTCTCATTTCAGATGTAATTGTTCGTAATTTCGTTTGATTTCGATTTTTCAATTCAATTTTATACACAATATATCGTACGATCAAAAAAAACGGCGTCGAAATGAAGATCGCTGTTAATTTATATGTAAAATTATAGACATTGTTACATACAATGACTAAAGAATCCAAGGACAAATAACACCCGAGAGCAAATTGTGACGATGTCACCAAACAGTGCCGTGGCACATATTTTTCTTAACCTAGCTGTTTGAAGCAATATTTATATTTTTTGATAATTGTTTTGACTACGCCTATGGTGTATCATCCTAATTAATTACGAAAAAAACGTATTAAAATGTTAACAAAAGGTACAAAACTAGTATCGACGTATAGCACATATCAAGTACATATAGATGTTAATTGAAATTGAAGAATAATTATCGAATTCAATAAGAAAACGCTAAAAAGTTGGAGTGGACTGTTGATTTACCTATGAAACGTAACTCCTGGCTCTTTCTTATCGCTGCTGCTTTTACACTTGAAAGCTGAACAACTAATCACCATTGTAATAAAGTTTATACAAAGTTTACTACACACAAACTATTAAAAATCGCTAAAATTGTCGCTGGTGACCAAATGATGACTCATTGTTTGCCACCAAAACAACAAAAAAAAGGGTCACAAATTCTGCTGCAGCCCGTATAGGGACGTTATATGTCCTTATATTCTTTAGTCATTGGTTACATAAACCACGTGATGATTAAGATTAAAGCCCCGTTCTCAGAACTGCGACTGTCGCCAGCGACACGACAAAAGAACCAATCAGATTTGTACAAAATTCAAACAGCTGTCAATTTTAAATTTAGTACAGCTCCCATTGGTCGTTTGAAGTGTCAATCAGTGTCGCTGTCGACACGACGCAGTTCTGAGAACGGGGCAAGCCTCGTTTTTAGAACGACGTTTTGTCGCTGGCGACAGTGGTTGACACTAGTAGTGGGAAATATCGAATGAATACCATCGAAACATTCGATAGTTGCAATTCATTCGAATAATTCGATAGCTAGTAAAAAAACATTCGTTGAAAACTATTCGAATAAAAATTATCGAATAGATGCGTCATCTGCCTTGAAATATTGTATTCTAGTAATTCGGCAGCAAAAACCATTCATTTATAAAATTCATTTATTCATGAAATTCATTTATTCGTCAGGATCGATTATAATAAAATATTAACTGGATTTTAGTTGTCGCCCGGCGACGTAGGTTTCTTTCCGAGAAACCCGACAGCGGTCGGTGGCAATGCTATGAAAGAAGCCGGCATCTTTGATTTTTTGCGGAGTCATATAAAGATAAGGACACATTATTTTTTTTATTGGTGCTAGTATTTACACAGAAAATACATTATGAAGGGCGCTGTTGCCATATATTGGTATTAGTTGATATTAGCAAAGAATATTATTGTTTGGCTTTAGTTAGTTAGGGCAAGTTAGGCATAGTATGTGTCTATATATTTTGCATTTTTTTTATTAATATTCTGTTGTTACACTCCAATAATACTTGTTTTTAAGCAAAGACTGGTTTAATAAAAATAATAATAACAGTAATAATTTGTTATACCTATTAACAACAAAATTTAAAATAATTTAATATGAACATTTTTTTTATGTAGTAGCAAAATATAAACAACAAATTAGATGTCAAAATTATTTATATTAGATCCTATTTAAAAATAATATAGTTTTTAAATTTTTTGGCAACGTTGGTTTATTAAATAATAATAATTACAGAACTAATTTGTTATATTAACAACAAACTTTAAAATCGTGAAATATAAATATTTATTAATTTTCTAAGCATGCAGTGTAATGGAAGGAAAATATAAATAAAAAATTAGAAATCAAAATTATTTATATTAGGTACTTTATATTACTATTTAAAAATAATATTTACTTTTACTGGCATTTACTTTAAAAAATAAATGAAATATTTCTTCGTAAAAAACTACATGTAAGAGAATTAGCATAAACAAAATACAAGCATCGTCAACTTTTTTTTTAAATTGGCACGTGTAAAACTTTCAATTTAATTTTCTCACCCCATAGTATGAGTTCGATAACCCCATTTACTTAACCACATTACTTAAATATGATTATTAAGTTCAACTAATTCATATTTTTAAAACATCTAAAATACAAATATGTATTTTTAAAATTAATTCTAAATTCATCTCATCTCTCTTAAAAATTGCTACTTCTCAAAATTTCCCATTAAAAATAGACCATATATACCATATAAAATAAAATAATTGAAAGATCGGGCTATGGAAAATCACACAAATTTTCGGAAAAATTTTGACACCTGCACACGCACACAATCGTCAATTAAAAAAACTACTATTTTAGTATTTTAAATATTTTAATAAACGCAAAAATAGCACAGTATTTATAAGGTGAAGTTATAAAAATTTGGAAGAACTAATAATGCACTGACGCACACAAAAATCAAACGAATACTAAATTTCATTTATCAAAAGCATTCGATAGTCGTGGCTCAACGATAACCATTTAGTTGCACGGCGAGGTTGTCACATATGCTTTAGTATACAAATGAATGAATGATTTTATTCGAATAAAACCATTCGATAGTCTAATTCATTCGATAGTTCCCATCGCTAGTTGACACTTCAAAGAACCAATGGGAGTTGTTTAAATTTAAAACTGACGGCTGTTTGAATTTTGTACAAATCTTATTGGTTTTATTTGACGAGTCGCTGGTGACAACACGAAGTTCTGAGAACGGGGCTTAATTCCTCTTGAAATAAATGTAATTTTATATCAAAAATTACATTTTTGCATAGCAAAAGATAATTAAATATTTTTCAGTAACAGTGCGTATTTTTCATAAATTTATGTTGCTTGTGATTTAGAAAATGATTTACTCTACTTAAATTTTTACTCCACTTAAATATTTATCAAATATTATACAGGGTGGTCATAAAAATGTTTAAATATTAGGTTAACGAAACTATAAAATTGGTCAAGTGCGAGTCGGACTCGCGCACGAAGGGTTCCGTACCATTATCTATACAACATTAGACACTATATTATTATAAACTTTTTTTCCGATTTAGCTGAAATTTTGAATGCGCGTATAAGTAATTTAAAAAAAATGAAGAAACACATTACTAAATCAATAATAAATATGTAAAAATTAAATAAAAACGATTAAAAAAAAGTCGCCTTGACTAGGATTCGAATCTGCCTTACTACGGCTCCAACGTCATAGCAGCGTAAAGTCCTAACGGTTTAACCACGCGGCCACCGAGGACTTGAAAGATTCTATGTAAAATTTTTACTTAAAAGATAATGTTTAGTGAAAGTACTTTTTTATTTATAAACATTTATTTTATTCTGTTTTTAGTATTTGTTATTATAGCGGCAACATAGATACATTATCTGTAAAAATTTCAACTGTCTAGCTATAACGGTTCATAAGACAGACCTTTGTGACAAACGGACGGACGGACAGCGAAGTCTTAATAATAGGGTTCCTGTTTTTACCCTTTGGGTATGTAACCCTAAAAACTCATTTTTTTTAAACAAAAAAAAATAATTTTTAGTTAATTTGTCATCAAAACTAAACCTAAATGTGAATATAGTTGTTGTTTTTTTACCTAACGTTTATATAATAAACTACCTTTTATTTTTAACACGGAATAACCTAAGGGAATAACCACTGAACGTGTTTCCACTTACCACTTAACAACCACTTAATGTGTTTTGAAACACCCTGTATATTGACCGTGAACATTTTTTAATGTATGAAACTTCGATTTAACAGTAGAGTGTCTCCAACGGGAGGTTACATGACAGTGACAATTTTGTCTGTCATTATTTTATTTATTATCTGTAATTTTTTTATGTTGTCTGTCCCAATCTTTCCTGACTCGTTGGGCTTGACTTTAGTGTCATATTTTTTAGGTTTTACAAGCCAGTTTTATTGCTGGATATTTATCGAGTATCAGCAATACGCGAAAAATCAGTATAGCAGACCGATGCTACCTAGGAGGGCCCCTATCGGTTAGGGGATTTGAAACTAGAGGCGTTGGCCCGCATTCAGACGGAGATGCCCTAGGTACAAATTCTTATTGGGCCGCAGGTTTACATCTCTTCACTCCGTTGCCATTTAGACCGGGAAGAGGTGGATTTGGGGAACTTTTCCGAACGCACTTTTTCCTCAACGCTGGCAACGTTGGGAATTTTAACTTGGGTATGTTATATCGATAGATATAATCGATTTAAAATAAAATCAGTACTTTTTTTATTCTAGTTAAAATGAACAAATCCGATATAATTCAAGTTCTAATATCGAACGTCAGGATTTCCTATGGAGTTGGAGTCGCTTTAAAACTGGGAAACATAGCTCGATTGGAAGTAAATTATTGCTTTCCTTACAAGTTCGACAAAGGCGATCAGACCCATCCGGGCATACAGTTCGGTATTGGAGTGCAATTCTTGTGAAAAAACATTTTGTAAATTTGTAGTTTTGATTTGCTATGGCTACGATTTGAATGCTATGTAAATTATTAAATATATTTGTTGATTTTTATTTATTTAAAACTTGATATTACTAGACATTCTGTCAAATATGTTCGTAATATATGTTATTTTTGTACATATCTTCTTATGCCGGATCAAAATTTAACAGCTGAGTTACGTGAAAATTTAACACAACGTTGATTTTTTCCTTAGGTTTAGGGTGGGCCTAGTTTGGAGGTCCTTCGGTGACGTAAGCATCGATGTGACGTTGGCGATTATTTGATGTCATTGATCAATTCCACAGAATTTTACAGCCCTTGACATGTGCAGCCTAAAATAATAGATGTAAAGGTGAAGAAAATTTTCTAGAATCTCTATATCTCTGAGCTACAAAAGAATGTCTCCTAAGCAGGGTTCGGAAAACTACATGTTACTTTTAAAACTACATAAACTACATTACATGTAGTTAATGTAGTTTATGTAGAGGGTGTAGTTTATGTAACGTATGTATGTAACTTTCAAATATCAAAGGTTTGAGGTGAGGTTATAATAAGTTGAAGCTTTAAAAACACATAATGTATTTAAGAAAACAGAAGAAATATGGCTTTAAATATAATATTTACATCAAATTATCTCTATTACACCTCATACAAATGAAAATTATTCATAATATCAATACATAGTTTATTAACGTAGTTTTCATGTAGTTAATTAACGGGAAAAGACGTAGTTTTTGAAGAAAAACTACACGTAGTTAATCAGGTAAATTACGTCTTAATTAACTACTTCCGAACCCTGCTCCTAAGTGACGTAAGCGTCCACGTAAACACAGTGTTGATTTCACATAAACGAACAATCAACTTTTTTCAGAAACAACCCTGGTGTTCAATTCTGAAATAAAACCTGTATAAACTTTGTACTGGCATTTTATTGGTATAAAATCCTTGATTATAGATCAAAGAATATACCTGCTGGTAATGGTGCGGATCGGTGGCTGACCTTGAAACGAGTTTTTGCTCCATATAGTCACAGACACTACGCATGCGCACATCTTCGATGTTGCCAGATTGCAAGTTATTTTAGAATTATTTTCAGTAGAAAACTAATATGTGCTTTTCAGTGTTTTTTGTCAACATATACCGCATGATCGAAAAAACGGCGTCCAGTTGACTGGGAAATGACGATTGAGGACATTTCCCATATAAAATGACATCGATCTTCATTTCAAGTCATCGCTGACGCTATTTTTTTTTAATCATAGTACGCGGTATATTATTTATATTATTATTTTAATATTTTGCACAACACGTGAACGCTTATATTATGTATTTTCATAGTCAACAAAATTAAATAGAAATAAAACTCTAGATTCCTATAATTATTTCTAAATGCTGTAGCTCCATGTCATGTTCATAATAGTTTTTTTTACATTCCATCAAAACTACGGAGGCCTTAAAGAACCTTTTAGCCTCCGTAATTAAAATTGTAGAATTGGCTTCAGCATCATTAACAGTTACCTTGTTTAATTCTGCTTATACATATATTGCATTAATTTTTCTGTTACCTTAAGATCTCTCTATTCTTACACCTAATTTATGTGATTTTCTTAGCATAATATGATTTATAAACCATATTTTTCCTAATGGAAGGATGGAATAGGATATGCAAAATTAAGATATTTTAACATTTATTTATTTATTTTCCAGACAAAGCATAATATAGTACCGTATGATCGAAAAAAAAACAGCGTCCAGTTGGCTTGGAAATGACGATCGATGACATTTCCCATATAATTTTACATATAAAATGACAGCGATCTTCATTTCATAGCCATCGTTGACGCCGTTTTTATTCGATCATACGGTATTAAGATTAAGACATAACAAATATTATAAGAAAGATCTTAATATAAATCACAAACTAAGTCTTAATTTGGTCTTGTATAAACACAGGTATAAAACTAATAAGATCAAAACTCAACCTTCACCATATTGTCAAGATTTGGCATTATAGGAAACAAGAAATTACAGTAAATTAAGAAAAGAATATCAAAGTACACGATATTAAATACTGTAATGTATTGTACGACACAAACCATCTCCCTTCTAAAGAGAAAAAGATAAAACATAAAGCTTATTTTCGTCTTATCAACACACTCTTTGATAAAATATATGTCTAAAACTGCTATTAATCCACTAACTTGATATTTCTAAAAAATTATGATACAAACATTATAATCAAAGTATATTATACCTATTAGTAACATTATAGGTAAAATACTACCTCTATCTCCCATTGACGTGTATTGTTATATAAGTCTCGTCATGGTAGTATTTCAAAACATCAATACATATAATCAAAACTATTGTTGCCTGTAAATAACTAGAAATTAAACAACTTGAAAGAAATAAAATAATTCTAATAAGTTTAAAACCATTAAGAAAAAATCCGTAAATGATAATTTTTAATTCTAATGTAAATATATAAATAAATATGTTATTATTATTACAATTTTATATATTCATAATACTTTAATTTCACATCTTCATTATCCTTCTTACCTTAATTTTGGATATCAAGTTAAATCTGAAATTATAAAATTAATTATAGAATTTGTATTATTATTGATTAACAATTAACACTCAAAAAAAAAAAATTTTCAACTACAAATAATTCGAAAATAACCTGCATTTTGGCAACATCAACGATGTGCGCTTGCGTAGTATCGATGATCAAATGCAGCAAATATGGGCTTCAAGGTCAGCCACCGGATCCACACCTTTACCATCTTTATATCTCTGGGCGTTAAACAGGAGGTCTCTTCAGGAGTGACATAAGCATGACATAAGCATCCACGTAGTAAGTATAGCGATGATTTGACGTAATCGAACAATCACTTTCTAGAAATAACCCTGGTATTCAACGCTTGAAATTGAAGTAAAACAATTTGTTCATATTACTGACTTTTGTAAATGATTTTTAATTTTCAAACAAGTGCCCCTGTTAAATAATCTTTTAATATGCTATTTTAAATTTCCCGTTGAATATAAATGCCATAGATTAAAAATAAAGAGTAGCAGTGATCTAGAGGGCGCCAGCAATTTTCGAACTAGTCAACGTCAACAGTTTTGACGACATCGTGGTTACCCTTCTGCAGTTAATTTGACCATAGACTACATGCAGAGGGTACAGAGTTGACGCTTGTCAATTGTCAATTTCCTGTTTTTCGCAATTTGCTGTCATCGTTGCGTTCGTGTTGGTGAATTTTTGATTCGTTCCTGTTTAAAATATAACTATTTATTTTCTTTCCGTGTCAATTTTCTTAATTACGTACTAAGTATGTCTTCTGGTCGTAACGATTGTAGAATATATGTAGGCAATTTACCTCCGGATATTCGTACGAAAGATATACAAGATTTGTTTTACAAGTTCGGTAAAGTGACTTTTGTCGACTTGAAGAATCGACGAGGGCCACCATTTGCTTTTGTAGAATTCGAAGATCCTAGGTAAGAATAGCTTAAATTTTCATGTAGTACCTATTAATAATTAATAAATAATTTTAAAACATCAAATAGGTTTTGAACAAAATGGCGGAACATGTCCTTTAAAAACCATTGATATTATTCTTTTAATTTTTCTTTTTTGTGTGTTTATCAGAGACGCCGAAGATGCTGTTCACGCCCGGGACGGATACGATTACGATGGTTATCGACTAAGGGTTGAATTTCCTCGAGGAGGCGGTAGTGGTGGTGGTGGAGGCGGTGGAAGCCGCGGAGGCAGTTTTAGGGGGGGCGGCGGTGGCGGACGTGGAAGAGGCGCCAGGGGCCCCCCTGCACGCAGAAGCCAGTACAGAGTACTTGTTACGGGTTTACCACCTAGTGGCTCTTGGCAAGACTTAAAAGTATGAGTATTTTTACAATAGTTAGGGCGGATTTACCCAATTTCTTAATTGCTATTCCTTAATTCTTATTTCTTAGTCTGTAATTTGTAACTCTTAATACACAATTCTTTATTCCTTTTTTTAGAGACAGTTAACCAATGTCTTAATCCTTATTTCTTAATTCTTAAAACTGACACTAGTAGATCAAATCAAATCGTTTTTGCTTCGCTGTGTTATTGTGTGCAATGAGGTCCATACAAAAAATTGCAGCACTTTCGGGTTTGTTTATAACCATGGCTTGTTGTGTCGCTACTCTCGTGAATCGCCACCGAGGTTGTAGGTGATTTGGGGTTCGCCCCATGAATAGAAGAAAGGACATGGAAGGCAATTTTGGAACTCTAATACAAGATATGTCTTCCTTGGAATGGGACGAACAACAGTTCACAAAATACACAAAAAATTAACATTTCAGAATTTCACGTATGCGCATCTACACGTTTTCCTTAATCGCTAAAAAGTTAAAAGTTGGGAACTTTCAAAATAAAGAATTACGAACCGTGGTTAAGAATTAAAGATTAAGACATTGTATAACCAAACTAACTGCATAACACGTATTTTATCTTTTTATAATTTAGCGAATAAGAAATAAGAATTAAGGAATAGCAATTAAGGAATTGGGTAAATCCGCCCTTAAACCGTATTTTAATATACCCAATTATCAATACAGGATCACATGAGGGAAGCTGGCGATGTTTGTTTTGCCGATGCTTTCAAGGACGGCTCCGGTGTCGTTGAGTTCCTAAGATATGAGGACATGAAATATGCTATTAAAAAGTTGGACGATTCCAGATTTAGAAGTCATGAGGTATGTTATCTAAATATATTATTAATTTAATGCTGGGAAATGGATATTATAGAGAAATTAATAAAAGTTGATGTTCATGTCTTTAATTAAAGCTGTTACCAAATTAAATTTTTAGAAATGAAAATTTGTTTGAAACATAGAGCGCACTTTTTCATTTTTCTTATAATCCTATATGCTAGTTAAAAAACAGGAGTTATTAAACTCTTGTCAAAAGTAAAGTAAAAAATTTTGCGACGTTCATTCGTCAAATATTTTGAAGATGTGCAACTTTTACTGGTTTCAAAATTTATAGGGTTCTTCAAAACTGTATCGCTGTTATATATTTTATAGGGTGAAGTTTCGTACATTCGTGTAAAAGAGGACAGAGGTGGAAGCGGAGAGGGTCGTAGGTCGGGCGGCAGATCCCGATCTCGTTCCTATTCGCCGCGTCGTCGTGGTTCTCCCACGTACAGTCCCGTCAGGCGTAGCTATTCCAGAAGCAGGTCTCGCTCTTAACAGGTTCGTATATCTATACAGTCTATTTCAGACATTTTTTTTAAATCACGGTGGTCCGAATTATATTCAAAAATGCTTTGTTGTGTAGAAGTTTCATTTTAATTCGATTTTCCCAAATAGTTTCTGAACTAATATACATTTGGATGAAAATTGGGGTCTGGGAGTTGTTTGGCATGAGAAATTTGATTTTGAAATCAATATGACTTCTACTTGTAGGGGGCGCTATCTACATCTTTTTTTATCTGTTTTGAAGAATAATAATTTTTCGTCCGCACCTGTGACGTATCTAAAACTACTGAGTGAACAAATATACTCTTACGCGGTTTTTTACATGAAAAAGGTCTCTTGGTAAAAACCTCTATGAGTAATGGTTCTCGAGATATTTGGAATCGAAATTATCAATACCTGTCATAATTGACATAAATTAAACATGTTGACTGGATAGTTATTAGACTGAAATCATAAATTTGAAATGTTTTTGAGCCAAAGGTTCAACAGAAACTGTCTCATCATATTTTTCACTAAAGATTTACTATCCTTTCAGTCAAATAACTATCTAGTCTCTCTCTCTCAACATGTTTATTTCTTGTCAGTAATGACATGTATTGATAATTTACATTCCAAATATTTTGAGAACAGTTAGTCAGCAGAAATGTATATTTCTTCACTAAATAGTTCTATACAGGTACAGACGGTATTATTCTTCAAACCAGTTAAAAAATATGTGGATGGCGCCCCCTGCAAGTCATACTGATGTCGAAATTAAATTCTCATGGCATACACCCCAGCATTTTAGGACATAGATTAATATGAACTTTTTTACTTTTTATACTTTTATTTATCAGTAGAATATGCTGCCGAAATTTCGCACAATTCGGACCACCCTGTAGATTAAGGAAGGACAACAAAATGTTTATTAGAAATGTATATACTTATAGTAATTTTAATAACTAATTACATTTATTGATAACAATAAAATAAAACCGACAAATTATTGGGTCTAAGTTTTCTTTTTATTTTTAGGTGATTGTTACAATGAAGGAGGTCTGGTTTATAACGAAAATTGTCTTAATTTTTAAACTAGTTTTTAATAAATCAGGAATATTTCTTGAAAGTTCTATTAGTTATTTAACTAACGAGAATAATTTAAGTTTTATGAGGTTAATACTAAAATTAATCTCAATTATATAATTTGAATATTTTTGTCATATCAGATAGTTATCTTAGTTTATATTTTACTAATTTCATAAAATTACTTAAATGATAATGGATTTATTATCGTTGGGTTATTTTTAAATATATTTTACCTAAATTATTTGCTGTCTAACCAGTTTTTATTTGATATAAAAAGAAAGTTAGAAATCGAGAGCAATGCAAGTTTATTTTTTCCTCTTATTCATTAAAAAAAAACAAATTGATGCAATGGTACGGTAGTCATTTCTAAAATATATCTATATTATATAGTTACTTATTTTGAATTGGAATAGCGCTGGTAAAAATGTCTTTATTACAATTATGCCTTTGTTATGTTGAACTATTGTAAGAAGCAAATATAATTACACTAATACATTTTTTATTTTTAATGTCGAGGCGTCGTGGGATAAATTTGATTGGATAAAATAAAAAAGGAAAATACTGGCTGGTCAAAATCACATTGGAGCAAATTTCTGAAATCACTGGATTATATTAGGAGGGAGTAGATATGAGAGGAGAGATTGTCAAGTTGGACAAACACTAAACATTTGTTTTTAAAACAAAAAAAATTAACGTGTAACTTTTATATCTTTCCTTTACATGCCCGTTTACGGCCGTTTGCACCGCTTACGCTGAAGTTAACTTCAATTTTAGGTTCGCCTTAATATAATTAACTTGATTTAATAGGTTAATTTTATAATCATTTTAATTAATTAGGTTGTTTAAATAATAACCAAGATTAGGTTAGTTAATTAACTAGCTTAATTAAAATTAAAAATATAATAATTAACCTAATCGTGTTGTTAATTATGGTGTTTTGATTAATTAATTAATTGACCTAATTATGTTAGTTTAATTAGTTGAGTAAATTACTTAATTAGGCCAATTAACTATAATTACATATAAAGTTAATCTAATTATATTGAGTTAATTAAATTAAGGCGAACCTAAAATTTATGTTAACTTTTAGCTATTAGGTAGTTATTACACAATTAGGTAAATAATTAAGTTAATTGATTAAAATTAATTAACTATCCTTATCTTACTATCTTATTTAAAAGTTACATTTTTACGTAGATATCTTGAAAAATTATACTATTTTATTTTCGATATAACCTAGTCAATATCTTTAATATTGACTAGGTTATTTGTTGGCAAACTTAGTTTGACAAATTAAAAAGAGAAGAAATTTGACTAGAAAAATGAACTTGAAATGACAAATTTTTCCCTATCAGATTTTTTTAGTATTATTTATTTTTTGGACACACTAAATGAACCTTGGCAAAGGTTCCATACAATCGAATAAAAAGGGCATCATAGACGGCTGGGGAATAACAATCGATGATAATTTTGGCGAGTCAAGCCCTAGACTTGGCCCATACTCTTTTATTTTTGAAAAGAAACTATTTGTTACAAGTAACTACTTTTTACCCATAGAAAACTTTTTTATAGTTGCGCTTATTGCCAGTTGGCCTCAAGAAGGTTGTAATTTATTTTTATATTGAGTAAAAATGGTTTTTAAATGGTGCACTTTAAAATTCAAGGAAAAAAAAATTTTTGGGAATAGATTTGTATGTCTTGAAACGTTCTATCCTTTTTTAATCTATCTACTATAATCAGTGTTAATTTTTAACAAGTTTCATGTCGATTTTTAGTAAATGACTTCTAGAGATTGACCTCGCTAAAATTATCATCGATTGTCGTTCCCCTGCCGTCTTTGATGCCGTTTTTTTTTCGATCTTACGGTATTTATGACTACTATACGGTTTTAAGAAGCATTTGTGCAAACGGCTGTAAATAATATTAATGTCAAAAATACATAAAAGGAAATAATAAACGGTTACAAATATATTTGGAAAATGATGTCCGAAAAGGAACATAGGAACACATTTGTAAAAAAGAAAAGGATAGGATCTAAGGATAACGTGGAACAATGGTAAATAATATATGTTAATCTGAATAAGTATGTTTATTGCAATTTAACATTATTTTTATTTAAAATGCAGTATGGCAACAAATGATTATCAGCTATATCTTGTTTAAAAAAAGAGTATAAAAATATATATCGTCTACAACTAGTCTATTTTGTATTTCTTTGTTATAACTGAAGTCAAGTAGCCAGAATTTTTTTTATATAAATCATATAACTGAATAACTCTAAAGTTGTCCTTAGAGTGACTATATTAAATGTGCAGGTAATTTATTATAAACATTGATTTAAGTTCATACCATACAATCAATATTTCACTCTGATTCACTATCCATATCAAATATGAAAGAACTTATAGCTGGAAGTCATTTTTCGTTTTGAGTTTTTCATTCTTTTTTGCGTTTTTCATTGTTTAAAACTTAACCAAAAAAAAACATTTTCTAACTAAACAATACTTAAAATTAATGTTTTACCCCAGGTCTGAAATCTGGTAATATTGGAGGATAAAGGATAAACGTAAAAGGATATGTTCCATTTTTAAAGGATTTTGGCATTTTTTTAAGGACGTGAAATTATTAGGAATTGCAATATCGCTCAGATTATATTTGCTGAGTGGGATTTCGAACTTGGAATGTGTCGCCCCCCTAATTTAGTCTATCTAGGATTAGGAAAGCGAATGCGTAGCGTTAGGACTTCGGGGATCTTGTATAGGAGGATGACGCTCAGGTATTTTCCTTTTTCCCATGATTTATAAATGTCGACGCATTATATTTTACCTTTGCATGATAACTCTTTTTATACTTCCCAAAATAAAAATATATGTACCAACAAGTGTTTTTTTCTTTTCCTTAATTACTTACAGGGTCATCCAAATTGTATTCGTGAAACTTCGGCATCGCATTCTGCAGATAACAATAAGTAAAAAAGTTCGTATAAAATCATATCCTAAAATGCTTCGTTTTAGAGATACATTTTCTAAGTGATTTCTGAACTTGATATTTAAAATAAAATTGGATTTTTTTTTACACAAGAAATTTGATTTTGGTGTCAATATGACTCCTAACTTATAGGGAGTACCACCTTATATTTTTTAACTGGTTAGAAAAATAATAACTTTTTGTCGGTACCTGTATAAAACTACGGAGTGAAAAAATATTCATTTCCGCCGTTTTTACGTAAAATATGTCTTGGTAAAAATCGCTACGAGTAACGGTTCTCGAGATGTTTAATAATCGAAATAATAGTGTAAGAGCTAGCAGCGTTTTCGAGAAAGTATTTTAAGAAAGCTGGCTCTTTAATATAAATTTTTTAACTTCTTTCAATGCGGCAGTAGTGAACGTCTATCGGCAGCCAGACGACTCGCACGGTGTTCCAGGGAGCATAGTAAAATATATATCAAAGAGCCAGCTTTCTTAAAATACTTGTTTTCCAGACGTTACTAGCTCTTGTACTATGCTCAATATACTAAAAATTAAACACGTGGATTAGGTATTTATTAGACTGAAATAATAAATTTAAAATGTTTCTATGCCAAAAAGGTTCAACAGAAACTGTTTTATAATTTTTTTTTTAGAAAAACTTATGCTTAATTTAAAAACATAAAAGTTCCCAAATTTATCATTTCGGTCAAATAACTATCTAGTCAACATGCTTATTTTTGTCAATAATGACATGTATTATTGACTATTTTTATTTCAAATATCTCGAGAAGGGTTACTCGTATGTTAAAAATGACGGAAATGTATTTTTTTACACAGTAGTTTTATACAGGTACAAACGAAAAAATATTACTCTTCAATAAACAATTAAAAACATTTAGGTGGCGCAGTCTACAAGTGGACTCCAATTTTCATCCTAATATCGCCCGTAGTTCAGAAATTATTTGGAAAAAATCGAAATAAAAATGAAACTTCTATACCCTGTATCTCCGAAACGAAGCATTTTAGGACGTGATTTCATACAAAAACTTTTTTACTTATTTTTATCTGCAGAATATGCTGCCCAAGTTTGCCGAATACAATTCTGACCATCTTGTATATTAAATTTTTAAAAGGCGTTTGTCAAAGAAGCTGTAATAAATCGTATTATTTTATGTAAAATTTCTGATCCTACGAAAACTAAATCCCCTGTTTTACACAGAGTGGAGGTGTTATCTCTTCAACATTATTGATCGGGTATATTATACAACAATATATTACTACAACCAACAATTTTATTTGTCTATCTATCTTTAACATCATCAGTACTAACAAATTTAAATAGGAATTTAAGAAGTGGACCGTACGCAACTGGCCATAGATAATGTACGAAAATTCCAGCATAGTTGCAATTTGCAAACGCCGTTAGATACCTGAAATATTTAAAATTTAATTGGTCATAAAATAATTACAAAAATCTTACCTGGGATACTGTAAAAATACAAAGGGTAGGAGTGCCCATCCAATAAATATGAATGTGTATAATCTGAGTAGTACTATCACAATAATATTAACTATTGGGTTTCTTAAACGTTGTTCTAGTGTTGGATTTGATTTCACAAACGATTTTACCTATAATATGATAAAATATTAAAACTATAGAATATTGATTTTTTTTGTGTAATAAGCGTTTTTATTGTTTTTAATTGTCACCGAATTTAAGCTTCATTTTCGTCTTATAGTCTGTCCAAAAAGAAGTACCCCGACATTGACAGTTGTGTCTGTCATTTTTTGGTTGTCTGTCGAAATCTTCACTGATTCGTTAGACAGACCATATGTTAACTTTATATAGATCTATTTGACTAGATTCTGTATCAGTTCAGTTATACAGGGTGGTCCGAACTGTATTCCGGAAACTTCGGCAGCATATTCTGCACATAAAAATAAGTAAACAAATTTGCATAAATGTATGTCCTAAAATGCGTCGTCGCTTAGATACAGGGTGTAGAAGTTTCATTTTTATTTCGATTTTTTTCCAAATAATTTCTGAGCTAACGTCGACTCCTACTTGTAGTACTTACCTTGTTAGTACTTGCCACCTACATGATTTTAACTGTTTTGAAGAGCAATAACTTTTCATCCGTACGTGTAAAAAACAACTATTTAGTCAACATGTTTAATTTATGTCAATGTCATTTATGACAGGTATTGATAATTTCGATTCCAAATATCTTGAGAACCATTACTCAAAGCGATTTTTACCAAGAGACCTTTTTTACGTAAGAAACGTCGTAAATGTATATCGTTTTACTCTGTAGTTTTATACAGGTACAGACGAAAAGTTATTACTCTTCAAACCAGTTAAAAATATGTAGATGGCGCCCTTTACAAGTCAGAGTCATATTGACATCAAAATTAAATTTCTCATGTCAAAAAACTCTCAAACACCAATTTTCATCCTAATATCTATGTTAGTACAGAAATTATTTGGAAAAAATAAAAATAAAAATGAAACTTCTACACCCTGAATCTCGGAAACGAAACGTTTTAGGACATACATTTATATGAACCTTTTTAGTTATTTTTATATGCAGAATATGCTGGCAAAGTTTCCAGAATACAGTTCGGACCACCTTGTATACTAAATATTTAGTACTTACGTCTCTCTCTACAAATATAACAATAAATTCATGTAAAAACGTTAAATAATATCCACTATGAAGCCCATGCCACACTGCTAAAAATAGTAAAACTGATGCTTGAGACACATACTTATTACCCAAAAACTTTAATCTTTTATAGATATATTTAGCCACCTAAAAAAGAAATCAATTATCTTGTTAATTCATGTGAACAGAAGTAAATTTACCCATTGATTTGTATTCAAATTGAATGATTGTATATAGTGATTGAATTCTGTACAATTTTCAAATATGCTCAAATTTATGTTTGTCACAGCATCCCATTTTACTTCACCTTTATCGTTTTTATTATAAGACAGACCTATAAACGTATAAAGTTAAAAATAAACCAAAAAGTTAAACTATTAACCATACCAAACATGATGCAAGCTCCTTCTGTTAATAACCAACATGATATGTATTTATACAGAGTATACCTTCCCCAAAGACCCATTAAAATCAGCTTTTTAAATATACACATTTGAGCAAAATCGTCCGAAATTAATAGGTCATCAGACACATAAAATGACAGCATTTGAAATATAGATAAATAAAGCAATCCTTGCCCAAATCTGAATAGTGATGCCATTAATGAATCTGGAGGCAGTTCTTTTCCATCAGAACCCTAAAATACCATTAAATACTCTCAATATTTATGCAGAAAATAAAAATCTATAATTACCTTGGAATTAAATTTACCATTGGAGAAGTCCAAAAATTGTGCCATCGAAAATTGTGGACCTACAAGAAATCCACTAGGGAAGAAACTGTGACCGAGCATTTGCAATAATGTCGGCACTTGCTTTAATGCAGTCTTATTCGATGAAATACCTGAAGCATATGTTCCATCATATGCATCAAAAGCTACACCAATAAGTCTAAAAGGAGTTTAGGTACTTTATTCAATATAACTATGTAAAACTTACCTTAAAACTAGAATGCAATAGGGCATTGTCCAGGTAATATCATATGTCTCACTGCTTGTTAAAATATACCCTTAAAATAGATTAACTAAAGAAAAGAAATAAAAATATATATGAAATATCTCATACCAGTTAACAAATATGAAAAAGTAGAAATAAATACTATTCCCACGCTCAGTGCTGATGCCTTAAGTAAACTAATAACAAAATATGTAAAGACCACTGAAAAGAAACAGTGGAATATACCCCAACCAAAATTCCAGAAACCAATTGCTAAACCAGCCAGTGTGAAGAAAACACATTGTAGTTTTTCACTCTTCTTATACAGGTATAACCGATGTATTAAAGCCAAAGGATATCCTATAAGGTATTTGTAAAGTTTCAGATTGACAAGACGACAAAAAATATGTATTATAATACCTGCTAATATTCCAAGAAGTAATTTTAATGCTGGTTCGGTTACTCCTAATTGTTGGCAAAACACTGCCATAAGAGTTCTATTAGGGACAGTCATTTTGAGCTTTAAATTCAATAGAATATCGAAGACTAGTGATGCATATTAAGTTCAAATAAATAATTACATAAAAAAGTTGGAATAAACCATAGACTGAACTTTAATTTAACATTTTAAAACTTGGTTTGTCTCAGAAATATGGGAAAATATGTGACATAGGATTTATCACAAATAACATAAAAAGCTTTTTTTTAACTATGGAGCGGCATATGGGGCACAAAACACATACACAAGGAGAAGTGCGAGCGCCTTGCTAAATATTGGAAAGTGAAATTGACGTTTAAATTTGACACTGTTGACAAGTCTACTGCTACTAGCGCCCCCAATATCGCTTGTAGGAACTACGGACTAGATTGTCATTGACTATCGGATACTACTGCAAGCGCACATCGTCGATGTTGCCAAATTGCAAAGCTTATTTTCGGAATTATTTGCAGTTGAATTTTATTTTTGCGTGTTAATCAAATAATAATACAAATTCTATAATTTGCAGATTTATCTTGATATCCAAAATTAAGGTAAGAAGGGTTATGGTTAAGAATTGTTTATTTTTTTAAGACTTTTTAGTTCGTTTAATTTAATAATTACTAAAACCAGCAGTTCCAAAAATATATTTAAAAATAATAATTATCTATTAACATGGATTTGGACGATAATGGGTAAGAATACTAAATTTATTTCTATATTCGGTATAAAATTGTTTATTAGGTTTTTAGTTTGCGATGTTTATAGTAAATAATTTTTGATGTTCATTGCCTCTGAATTCACATGAGACAGAGATGAGGATATCTATGGAAAAGTAATCACAAGAGGTAATTGTTACATCATTTAAAAAATGTTGGAAAGTTTATTGTTTCCCATCGAACATAGAAAATGCCAATGCAGATGAATGTATTGTAATTGTGATAGAAGTAATTCAAAGGGTGAAGTTTATTATAATTAGTGGAAGTAATTTGATAGGGGTGAAGTTTATTATAATTAGTGACTTGTGCTTCTTTTTATATGTAGATGTTTCAGGTTTTGAGAATAAATCGGTTGAGGCGAATACAAGACAAAATTTAGAGGAAGATGCGCATCAAGGATTATATAGCTCAAATTTCTTTTAATGGTAGTAATGTATTCATCTTAATACAAATTAACTTTTAAGTGACTGAAATATTAAATAGTTTACAATATGGTATATCACTAATCCTATATTTTACTTTTAGGTACAATTAGGGCCCGATACATATTCAAAAGTAGAATATTATTTTATATTAAATGAAATCTTATTGTACCAACAATCAATTTATATATAATACCAGAGATTAAAAAAGGTCACAGAATAATAGTTGCTTTTTTGATCCTACAAAATAAACTATAGAGGCTACAACAGTATTTAAAAAAATAAATAAAAAGTTATGTCCCGACCGAGATTGAACTCCGGTCTCTCGCTTCCCTAGCCCGACTCCTTATGCACTGCTCCACAGTAACTTGCTTAGCGATAATTCAATGACGGTATATAAACAAAAACAAGTTTATAACAATATCTTGACGATTTGAACTGGCGCGCGAGGCGTGCTGACCAATAGCGCCTGTTATCACCTGTGACGTAGCAACCAACCTGCGCAATATCATACCTTGTATTCTTTGTACCATGGCTTTGACCCTTCACAAAGCGTACCCTTGACCTGCCTTGACTCTTCGACTCTTGTTTCTTGGTTTCTTGCTCTTATTCTTGTTTTGACTTTTGATCCCACTTGATTTTTGACTTTGACATTCTCTGACTTTGACAAATAGAGAGATTGCGCTTTGTGCTGCTAGGGCTCTTCACCTCTATATAGCTAGGGCTAATCTTAACGGGGCCTACTTTGTTTACGTTTATTTGGTTGTATGAACCCACCCTATCATACCTTATTAACAGGCCGGAGCTATCCGGCCTGTTGATAGGGTATTATCTTCGATTGGATCAGGATTGGATGTTAAGTTAATCAAAGAGTTAATCAATGCTGAAACAGGATTTGCCTTAAGCAGGTATGAGTATAACTTGGTAATACAGGTAATACCAATACCCTTTCTTTTACCAGACGCAACTAACTTATCTCTGCTTAATATATTATACCGGTAATGGTGTGGATCCGGTGGCTGACCTTGAAACGAGTTTTTGCTGCATATAGTCACAGATACTACGCATGCGCAAATCGTCGATGTTGCCGGAGTGCAAGTTATTTTGGAATTATTTTCAGTAGGAAACAAATAATTTTAATTTTCCTTCATATGTGTTTTTCAGTGTTTTTTTGTCAATATATACCGTATGATCAAAAAAACGGCGTCCAGTTGGCTGGGAAATGACGATTGAGGACATTTCCCATAAAAATTTACATAAAAAATGACAGCGATCTTCATTTCATAGTCATCGCTGACGCTATTTTTTTCGGTCATAGTACGGTATATTATTTATATTATTTTAATATTTCGCACAACACGTGAACGCTTATTATGTATTTTCATAGTCAATAAAATTAAATAGAAATAAAACTCTAGATTCCTATAATTAATCTAATTGCTCTAGATTATTATGCAACGTTTAAAAAGGGCTTTATTAAAAATTCGGGAAGTGCCCAAGTTTTTTCTTTTTTTTTAATTTTTAAATGCTGTAGCTCCATGTCATGTTCATAATAGTTTTTGTTAACATTCCATCAAAACTACGGAGGCCTTAAAAGGCCTTTTAGCCTCCGTAATTAAAATTGTAGAATCAGCTTCAGCAACATTAACAGTTACCTTGTTTAATTCTGCTTATACATATATTGCATTAATTTTTCTGCTACCTTAAGATTTCTCTATTCTTACACCTAATTTAGAATAGCATATATGATTTATAAACCATATTTCTCCTAATGGAAGGATGGAATAGGATATGCAAAATTAAGATATTTTAACATTTACCTATTTTATAATATAGTATTAAGATTAAGACATAACAAATATTATAAGAAAGATCTTAATATAAATCCCAAACTAAGTCTTAATTTGGTCTTGTATAAACACAGGTATAAAACTAATAAGATCAAAACTCAACCTTCACCATATTGTCAAGATTTGGCATTATAGGAAATAAGAAATTACAGTAAATTAAGAGAAAGAATATCAAAGTACACGATATTAAATACTGTAATGTATTCTACGACACAAACCATGTCCCTTCTAAAGAGAAAAGATAAAACATAAAGCTTATTTTAGTCTTATCACCACACTCTTCGATAAAATATATGTCTAAAATTGCTATTAATCCATTAACTTGATATTTTTAAGAAATTATCATGGAAATTATGATACAAACATTATAATCAAAGTATATTATACCTATTAGTAACATTATAGGTAAAATTACCTCTATCTCCCATTGACGTTATTGTTGCTATAAGATTCGTCATGGTAGTACTTCAATACATCAATACATATAATCAAAACTATTGTTGCCTGTAAATAACTAGAAATTAAATAACTTGAAATAAAAATAATTCTTATAAGTTTAAAACCATTAAGAAAAAATCCGTAAATGATAATTTTTAATTCTAATATAAATGTATAAATAAATGTTATTATTATTACAATTTTATATATCATTCCTTAATTTTGGATATCAAGATAAATCTGAAATTATAAAATTAATTATAGAATTTGTATTATTATTGATTAACACTCAAAAAAAAATTATCAACTGCAATAATTGGAAAATAAACTGCAATTTGGCAACATCGACGATGTGCGCTTGCGTAGTATCGATGATCAAATGTAGCAAATATGGGCTTCAAGGTCAGCCACCGGATCCACACCTTTACCATTATACCCTTATACCACGGCTTATACCCTGTTTGATGACAACTCGTTGATGGTTCTAATCTTAGAAAAAAAATCTTTTAAATATGATACGATCATATATATAGCATGCCATGGAGTGGCTCTATGGAGTGGCTGGCTGGACGTTGAAAAAACGCGGGACGAGAGTATCCAAAAAGAAGAAGACGAAATGTCATTTCATATGTCATATGTCATAATAATCTATATGACAGTAAGATGACAGCTTGGCTGTTTATGGAGAAAAATTTGTTTTTCGTCTGAACTCAAACTGTGAATTTTTTTAGATATTTTATTTACTAATTGGTACATTCTTTACTTTTCAGCTTTCTTAATTATCATAAGGGGGGTTTAGTGTTATTCAAGTATCGAAGTTAAGTAATTAGGTTAGTTATTTCAACCTAATACCAAAGTAGCGTATGTAATGGATTATTTTATATTTAGGAATGTCTGATTCCGAAGCTAGTAATTATTCTCATAACGACCAAGCATCTGACGCTGGTTCGGTTAGATCCAGAAGTTCTAGAGGCAGTGACAGATCGAGAGCGAGTAAATCCTCATCTAGATCAAGATCCAGGTCTCGTAGTAGGTCAGGATCACGGTCTCCAAGTAGAAGTCGTTCGAGAAGTAGGAGCAGATCAAGGCGCAGGTCACGGTAAGATAATTTTTATCATAATTTACCTTATTTATAATGTTTATAATCTCACTAGGGTTAATTAGTTAATGTAGTAGTAGTAAGTAGTAATGTCACATCGTCATGTTTGTATGACTATGTGAAATTTCTAAATAAAAAAAATTATAATTTTATGTAACTTGAGTAAACAATGTCTTATGAATTAAATTAATTATGAAGCTCTGAGGAAGCAAAAGAAGTATCCGATCCGGAAGATGTTCAAGAAGAAGAGGAACCAGAGGGGCAAAGTCTTCACGATAGTGAAGAATTTGATTCTGAAGAAGAGGACAGTGATGAAGGAGGAAGATCTAAAAAAAGGAAAAAGAAAGACAGATATGGTGGATTTATTATTGACGAAGCTGAGGTAAAATAATTCAACAGTTATTTTAACTATATATTAGGCTATATCGGTTGTACTCCAATTTAGGTAGCTTTTATTGAATTTTAAAATTTGTTCTTTGTTTTTAGAACTGCTAAATATGTCAAAAACCTTACATTTCAGTCATGTGATTCTCTAACGAATCACACCTTTATTTTTTTCCTAAAATCTGAAAATTAATTAGTATGCAGGGTGTTGAATTACAAAAATCGCAGCTTTTTATGTGTAGCTTTTCAGGGGACACCCTGTAGAACGCTGTATATTTTTAGAAAATGATCTAAATTAACCTACATATTCTCACAAAGTTTCGTTTTAATACAAACTGTCATTCTTGGAGCCTCTGCATTGTATGAGAATATTATGTACTGTCATTGTTGCTGAAATATTTTAGGTGGACGATGAAGTGGAAGATGAAGACGAATGGGAAGATGGAGCTCAAGAAATCGGTATAGTTTCCAACGAACTTGACGAGTTTGGACCCACAGCTAGAGAAATAGAGGGCAGAAGGAGAGGCACAAATCTATGGGAGTATGTTATAAGTTTAATAATTTAAAACTTTGTATTATTTTTGTTGTAATTCAAGTGCACAAAAAGAACACGAAATTGAAGAATATTTACGCAAAAAATATGCAGACGATGGGGCCGCAGCTAAACATTTTGGCGATGGAGGTGAAGAAATGTCTGATGAGATCACTCAGCAGACTCTGTTGCCTGGCGTTAAGTAAGAACAATATTACTGCATTAACGAATAATATTAATAAAATGTCTTTTAAAGGGATCCAAACTTATGGATGGTTAAGTGTCGCATCGGTGAAGAGAAATCAACGTGTTTATTGTTGATGCGCAAATTTCTCGCGTATCAAAACACCAACAAGCCGTTGCAAATTAAATCAGTAATAGCCCCCGAAGGGGTGAAAGGCTACATTTATATTGAAGCGTACAAACAGCCTCATGTAAAATCAGCAATTGAGAATGTAGGTCATTTAAGGATGGGTATTTGGAACCAGCAAATGGTGCCGATTAAGGAGATGACAGATGTGTTAAGGGTTGTCAAGGAACAGACAGGTAACAATAAGGTTTTTTGAAATCTTAGTTAGATACCACCTTGTATAACATTAGACAATTTTTGATTTTTTATTATCCTGTATGATCGAAAAAAAAACGCTGTCAAAGACGACTGGGGAATGACAATCGATGATGATTTTGGTGAGTATTCAATCTCTAGACGTCAATGACGTAGTAATGACCAAGTAAATGACGTCTAGGGCCTCGCCAAATTATCATTGATTGTCATTTCCCAGCCGTCTTTGACGCCCTTTTTTTTTCGATCGTATGGTACTTAATCTAAATAATATTTCTTTATTTGAATTTCGTTGTGGCACTGGCCATAGACTGATATATATTTTTTAACTGTTGTGTTATCAATTGATATCAAATAAATATACAGGGTTTTGAAAAAATGCATGGCCAAGTTTAAGTAGATAATTCCTTATAAAAAAATATGAAGAAAGAATTCCTGTAAATATGAATCAAGAAATGAATAGTTTTAAAGATACACTATGCTAAAACTTTTAAAAAAATTGTTTTTTTTTGTTATTATCTTTAATACTATTTTTTATTTTTGAATTTGCTGTATAGGTAGCACTAGACATTAATGTTATAAATTTTAGTTTGTGTGTGTGTAATATCAAGTATTCTAATACTTTACTCTAATTGCAAATTGAAATTTAATTTTTCAAAATTTTTTTTAGTGGTGTCCAAAGACCTGCAATGAATTGATTTTTTTCTGATGAACAGTTCTAGATATGCATAAAAGTTGTATTTTAGTCGCCTTATCTAAAAAAATATAAAATTGGAAAAAATGAATAATCAGTAACTAGCGAAACATTTTTTGTCGTTATTCCTTTGGGACGCCACTGAAGTTAATAATTTGAATTTAATTAGGCATAAATTATGCCCTTCATAATCAAGGATTATGCCATTGTTACCAGAAAAAACATTGTCAAATTTTAAGAAATTTGGCTACAGGGTATTGAAGACAAGTACAAAAAAAAAATTATTTTAAATAAATTTACGGGCCAATATTTAAACAAAACCATATTTTTTAATGAGGGATTACTCTCTAATTGCGAAATTTGGCTGTGTATTTTGGAGTACCCTATATAGTTATGGATTGATTTTAGGTTTGAAATCGAAACAGTGGGTACGTCTTAAAAGGGGTCTATATAAAGATGACATTGCACAAGTTGATTATTTTGACATGGCCCAAAATCAAGTTCATTTGAAAATTTTGCCCAGAATCGACTATACGCGACTGAGAGGAGCGCTACGAACCAATCAATCGGTAAGATTTGATTTATTTTAATTCAAATATGTCAGAATTGTTACTACATCTATTATGTATTAATTATGGAGGGCTAAGAAGGAGTCCAATCACAATAAACTGATTTTGGTACCCTTAGCTTCATATATGTCACTGATAACTATTTTGGTATAAATTATAGAGTCAAGTTATTCTTTGTGCACATTTTTAATAGAGTTAGCTTTTAGAAAGTTTTCTTTTCTAATTGAGCAACATTGAGTCTAGCCAAAATTGTGAGTACAAAAAAGTGTAGATATTCTTTCAATAAGAGGATTCCTGACAATGATACGTGTGTCTATCATTTAAATTCATTGGAAAATTATTGTATTTTCTGTCGAAATCTTCCCTGATTGGTTGGAGAGACTTTAGGACTCCACATTAAAGTCCTCCATTAGTATTGATTTATAAATGATAACTTCAGTACTTTTTTTAGTTTTAATGGGATCTAATTAATTTTAGGATGCGGAATCCGACAAGCGAAAGAAAAAACGACGCCCAACGGCCAAGCCCTTTGATCCAGAAGCTATCAGAGCTATAGGTTACTAGAATAATACCGTATGATCGAAAAAAGATGGCGTCCATTTGGCTTGACGACGACGATCGATGAATAGCCATCTTTGACGTCAATTTTTTTTTCGATCGTATTGCACAATTCTAAGAGTTTTTATGTCAATTAATAGGTGGAGAAGTAACGTCAGATGGAGACTTTTTAATATTCGAAAGCAACAGATATTCCAGGAAGGGTTTTCTATATAAGAATTTCACACTTAGTGCTGTTATAATTGATGGAGTGAAACCGACTCTGGCGGAATTGGAACGGTTCGAGGAACAGCCCGAGGGAATTGATTTGGAATTGTCAGCTGAAAAGGAGGATAAAATTGTTAGTCATTCGTTTAGCGCCGGTGATAACGTGGCAGTAAGCGAGGGTGAATTGATCAACTTGCAAGGCAAAATTATAAGGTAATTTTTCAATACAAAAGACATATACACTCACCGGCACGAACACCTGGCACCTTAAAATGTTGATGTACTTTAAAGCTGAATATATTTTGTTCTAGTGGGCCGATTTTGATAATTTTTTAAGCAATTTGTAGCTAAATTATTTGACTTTTTAGTATCTCTTTCTAAATGCTCCTATATGTCAATAATTATAGTAGGGAAAACAAAATGCTTGGAAATTTTTGGTGAAAGTTTGAAACATCCTGTGGAATATATTAACAAAGCAAGGAATTTAAAAATTATTTCATCCTCTACGTACGACTTTTCTTGATAGTTTGTTTTTTTATTCATCTCAATAGCTTTATTTTTATTGGAGATATTCGCTTTTTAGTAAGACAGTAACGATTTACAGCAATTTTAGCATTGAAACCATGATTTTGGGTCCTCACACAACACACTTACAAAATATTATTTATTGTTTATATGCCACTGTCATTGAAAAGTCATATTATTATTGTTTATTGACGTTTACTCTAGTAGAGATGGGTTTAAGTTCTGATGGGTTTAAGATCGGTTATTGCTGCTTTAATTGATTGTGGTAGAGATCAACTTTTGGAGTTAAAAACGTCTCTGCTAGGGATTAGAACAAAAGTATTCTTTAAAAATTTGTTGGCAAAAAATACTCAAAAAGCCTTGAGTAATTCATAGACGCCCCTCTACTTATTAATATTTTTTTAGTATCGATGGGGCAATGATAACGGTTATTCCTAAACACGCAGATTTAAGGGATCCTTTGGTATTTCAAGCATCTGAGCTAAAAAAATATTTCAAAATGGGAGATCACGTCAAGGTTTTAGCAGGTTTGTATTGTATATTCAATTTTTATAACACTGTCTATATCAGAGCTGCAACAAGTCAGTTTTAAAAAGACTTAAGCTTGATTTTCATGTGTTCGTTATCTGTTGATACGATGGTCCGACGGCGCGGCGCTCCGATTGGTCATTGCGTTTTCGCGCCACTTTCATCCGTAAATTTTTTACTCGAGTCCGTCAACGGAGAAAGATCGTACGATAACGGACGTTTTGACGCATTTTTGACAAGTTTAATTTAACCTTAATAAAAATATAATAGTACAAGAGCAATAGACGTCGGGGAAACGAGAAGTGGAAGAAAGCTGGTTCTTTAGTATATCTTTTGCAATGCTCTCCTCACCAAAGTGCTTTATCAATAAATAATAAATCAATCATCAATCAATAAATAGCATCACATCTGTACAGGCTATTCCATTTTCGTGTGTTTTATGGGATTTCTCGTTTATGAGTAGAAATACAATGATGCGATTTTCACATTACTTTGCTACTTTTTTGTGAAACTAAATATGCTCCACATGTTTGTCCTAGCCCCCTTAGTTCCTGAAATACAGGACGAATTTGTGATGCGCAGTAGTGAACGCAACGTCTACCGGCAGCCAGACGGTCCGAACTTTGTTCAGGAGAGATTTTCTCTCTTTGTTCAAAAGATAGATTAAAGAACCAGCTTACTTAAAATTCTCTCTCTCGAAACTCTTAGACTATAAGAAAAGCAGCGAAATCATTATGGAAATGAAAATATAAATTGACACCAATCACAAACAAATCGTATATCCGATGAACGAAGGCATGAAAATGCAATAAATTTAAAAACTGTGTAATTTTCTAACCAATCGAAGTCTTTAAATGCAACAAATAAAATTAATATTGACATAAGTCATTAAAATGACTTATGTCAATATTAATTTTATTTGTTGCACAGTCAGAGAGAACACTAATAACTAAAGTGAGAGAGACCGATCAACGTTAATTTTTGAAGACTGTATTAGTGTTACCGGCCTTTGGCGTCTAACTCGAACTATGAGCGCATTATCGATATATTAGCACAGATAACACATAATCCAGATGGCCATTGCTTACGGAACAGCATGTTTTCGATGAGACAGTTCCCTATTAATGACACAGAGGGCGCCTATAGCCAAATCTAATAATATTAAAACGAACGAATTTGGAGCCACACCACGGCCACGCGATGTGAAGCGACTTAGCCGGTTGTTCACATTTATAAGCAAATTCCCGGTCAAACCCAGGGAAAATGTATATTCGGACTTTAATACTAGACAATTGGATATGAAAATACTAGTCGCAGTGGATGTTTGAAAGTCAGAATTTCTAGATGCATATATATGCTATTTATAGCCATGAAATTTATAATTTAGATTTTATTTTTATTATTTGTCTCTTAATTTTCGGCTAATTCATTAGCTGAAAATAAGGGTAAAGGTTATCTATATAGTAATAAATAAAATTTGGCACATAGGTTCCTTAAGTGATGTAAATGAGCACTAAGAAGGGATTTTTTGAAAATTCGACCGCTAAGGGGGTGAAATTAGGGATGAAAAGCTGCATAAAAATTTGTTAAAATCTGGTTTAAGAGTATGAAATTTTTCACGAGTGCTCCTTGACTGACGTAATTGAACACTAAGGGGCAATTTTTGGAAATTCGCTCGTTAAGGGGGTGATATGGGGGGTACTTTTGTATACAAAAAAAAGCATGTCCTAGGACTACGAAATTTTGCACAGAGGTGCCTTAAGTAGCGTAACTTAACAGTTCGATTATACAAAGCGATTTTAGGAAATTCTTCTACTAAGGGGTGAAACTGGGGGTGAAATTTTGTATACTTTTTTAAAATTAGTCCGAGGAGTTTGAAATTTGGAAATTGTTAATTAAGCGACGAAAGTGAGTACTCAGAAACGAATTTTGGACATTCATCCCCTAAGAAATAAGGGATGAAAATTGGTATAAAAATTTGTCAAAATCGGTTTTAGAAGTATGAAATTCTGCGTAGACGTTCCTTATGTAACTTAATTTAGCACTAAGAGGCAATTTTAGGAAATTTTCCCTCTAAGGGGGTGAAATGAAGGGTGAACGTTCTGAAAAAAAATCTGTCCTAGAAGTATGAAAATTTGCACAGAGGTTCATCAAGTGATGAAAGTTATACTCAGAAGCGAATTTTGGGCATTCATCCCTTAAGAAATAAGGGATGAAAATATGTACAAAAATTTGTTAAAATCGGTTTTAGAAGTATAAAATTGTTCGCAGACGTTCCTTATATAAGGTAATTTAGCACTAAGAAGCAATTTTTCGAAATTTTCCCTCTAAGGGGGTGAAATGAGGGGTGAACTTTCTGAAAAAAATCTGTCCTAGAAGTATGAAAATTTGCACAGAGGTTCCTCAAGTGATGAAAGTGAGTACTCAGAAGCGAATTTTAGGCATTCGCCCCATAAGAATTAAGGGATGAAAATTTGTACAAAAATTCATTAAAATCGGTTTTGGAAGTATGAAATTTTGCGCAGACGTTCCTTATGTAACGTAATTTAGCACTCAGGAACAATTTTTGGAAATTCGCCCTCTAACGGGGTGAAATGAGGTGTGGACGTTCTGAAAAAAAATTGCTTGTTATTGCTAAATTACGTTACATAAGGAACAAACAGAATTTCATACTTCTAAACCCGATTTTAACAAATGTTGTACAAATTTTCATCCCTTATTTCACTCTCTTAGGAGATAAATGTCCAAAATCCACCTGTACAAAATTCCACACTCGTAGGACTGTTAGTTTTAACTAACAATTTATTAAAGTGCAACTATATAAAAATTATACAGGGTGGCGCCTCTCATACGACTCGGAGGCTCCAAGGAGAACGACCAGTTCGTATTAAAATGAAATTTTGTGAGCATATGTAAGTTAATTCTGCGCACGTTTTAAAAATATAGAGCGTTCTACAGGGTGTCCCCAAAAAAAGTTACACATCAAATTTGTGTTTTTTTGTAACGGAATACCCCCTTTATTAATTAATTTTTAGATTCTAAGAGAAAAATAAAGGTGTATTTTATTAGGGAAGTATATGACTGAAATGTAAGGTTTTAGACTTACTTAAGATTTTGAAGAACAATTTTTAAATTTCAAGAAAAACTACCTAAATTGGAATTTACTCTATTGCACTTTAAATCAAATTAAACCCTGACCCATAAAGTTATACAGGGTGGGGCAAAATTAATGCTGAACATTGGTATAACCTGTATAACTCCTTTATTACCCACCCTGTATAACTCCTTTAGTTTAATTGAATCACCCAGAATATTATTCCGATATTCAATGGGAAATTCATGTCACTTCCAAATACTATTAAAGTTGCCGGCCTACCCCTCAAACAAAGATTTTCCTAGATATTTTCATTTCTATGATTTAGTGTGAATAGATCTTTATTATTTGATAAAATCTAGGGTGGCTGTGATATGTCTGACGTTACTTCAACATAGCTGTCAAATTAGTTCAACTTTAGCAACTAGTTATCATTTTGTGTCAGTTCGTCAGTTGAAACAAAAAAAAATCTAAGAAATTTTCCGAAAATAGAAACTTATCCTACATCAGAGAGAATTGATATGATTCTATTAGTTAGCTCCTGATTTTATCTAGCCTGGGCTTTTTTATTTGATTAACATATATCAAATAAAAAAGCCCAGACTAGACAGTGTTAACAAAACTCGACCAAACCAAACCAAACTATTGTCTGAAACTGCATTTTTTTACTTACTAAATATGAATTTTACTTTGTTTTGTTGATCTTTGAAAGGTGTATAAAGTCGAATCATTTTAGATTGGACATTTAAATTTTATGGGATTTTCGGGATCCCGGAATTTAATATCGGGATTTCGGAGATAAACATACACGCCGCCGGGATCCTGGGAGTTCGGGATTTCAGGAAACTCTAGTCGTGAGATTAATGATGTACAGATGCATGTCATGTTGATTTGGAAGTGACAATCGATAAGATTTATCATATAATTTTACATACCTATTAAACGACAGCGATCTTCATTTCCAAGCCCACTCCCATGCCTTTTTTTTCTATCGTACGGTATATTCACTAACTGCATTACCTACTTATAATTTATAACAGTTTATATTCACTGATTCATTTATAATTTGTATCCACTTAATATTACTTGATTTATCCATCGTAAACTTTGCATAGATATAGAAATATAACGATGGACAACTCTTAATGTGTTAAATTATACCCTACGATCGAAAAAAAAACGGCGTCCGATTGGTTTGGAAATGACGATCGATGACATTCCCCATATAATTTTACATATCAAATGACAGCGATCTTCATTTCATAGCCATCGCTGACGCCGTTTTTTTTTCGATCATACGGTATATGGTAAAAGCCATCGATCACCATTTCTAAGGTAACTTAACGCCGTATTTTTACATACAAAATGTGCAAAAAAATTCTATATGAATGAACTCACAATTTTCTATCCACTTTGTACATAAATTAGGATCTCTTGACGCATGAAACTTAAACACATGTACACCTGATTTCCGAGAAATCTACAATTGTAAAATTGACACTTATTACCAGATATTTTAATAATAATTATCACTAATCACACAGTTGTAATCAAAGACAGTCAAAGGTATATAGTATATTACCATCACAGATTACCATATATTACCCGGCTTTTAAAATATCCATTAAAAACAAAAAACAGTAACGACATATCTAAATATTCTATCCTTGTCGCATATGGTTCGTTCCTGTATTATTCTGTGATAAGGGAAGGAATAGAGATTTTCTGTGATAAGTGGTAAAGCTAGGTTTTCATATGTACAAATTTGGCAAACTTTCCAGGAAATTCGGTCATATTTTTATTATAAAATTATTTATCATAAACAAATTTATTGTAAAAAAAAAATTTGAACGTATATTCAAATTTTAAACGTTTCAATTAATAAATAACGTAAATCACTTTTAAATTAAATTTAAGAAAAAAAAATCAAAATTAATAAAACGTAAATCACTATAACAAATCATTATTTTAATTTCAAATTTATATTTCGAAGTTATATTACAAGTTATTTACTGTTGTCTTATACAGAGTATATCAAGACAAATGCGAAACTTTAAGGGGTGTATTCTTTGTTATTTGTCAACATTTTTAAAATAAGCTGAAGAGGTTGAAATAAACTATTTCTAATATTCGTTAATTTGACAAAAAACTGGAGCAACGATATGGAAAAAATGGATAGATTTGTATATTTAGAACGTTTTTATGACTTTTGAATTTTTCCATAAAATTCATTATTTGAGGTTAAAAAAAAATGTAAATCATTATGTATTGGGACCAAAAAATATTTTAGCAAAGAAGCTGTTCGCCTTAAAAACAGTTTTATTTTCTACTACTGTAAAATATTTTTGCAAACGACATATAAAGATAATTGATTAACAAACATGTTTTAAGCTACCCTTCCTAAATCTTCCTTAAAATAAAAAGATTAACAGATGGGAATACATATTAAACCGTATGAACGAAAAAAAAAACGGCGTCCAGTTGGCTGGGAAATGGCAATCGATGACATTTCCCATATAAATTTACATTTAAAATGACAGCGATCTTCATTTCATAGCCATCGCTGACGCCGTTTTTTCGATCATATGGTATATCAAATAAAGTATTATTAGAAAAGCTCACTAGATTGTTTTCTAGTAAAAAAGACCTTATTTTGTCACAACAGGTGACATTTTTTTGTTTTAAATCAAGTAGGTTTTAAAAAAACTACAATAGGTAAAAAAGTTTCTAAACAAATAGAATATCCAAATTAATTTATTTCCAATGACAATAATGTGTAAGTTTGTAATTAAAGTTAGTTAATAAGAATAATAGGTGTAGTATATTTCAACATCATTCACTGGTTTTAAAAACATCAAAAAATATGCATGTGTTTTCATAGTATAAATATGAATTGTTCCTTACGTTAGTTCTTATTGATATAAAAGCAAAAAAGTATAAAAATTAAAAGCTGCAATTTTATTAAAAATATGTTATTCTAACACATATTTTTTTAACTGTAATGTTCTAAATTGATCAAAATATAAATGTTATTTTTTTCCTAGGAAAAATAAAACTTCATAACTTAATTTTCATAAATAAATTTATTTCTATTAAATTTTATAGAGCAATTTGTATTACAGTTTTATTTCACATATTTTGTAATACTGCTTCGGTGCAGTGCCCCATTGCTATCTGTGAGTTCATTTAAATTATGACGACATTACTGACTAGAAGATAAAAATGTACCTAAGTACCTTAATATTATAATCAAAAATGACTAATTTTGTAAATTATTACCTATAATGGTTAGATGAGTTGTGAATGTAAACTTCTTTACGCTGGTTTCTTGAAGTTAGGTGATATTAATTATCTTCGCATCATCATGGGCTCTAATCAACTGTAGAGTATTCGTCAATCAACCTGAAATATGTAATATTATTTACTTTATATTTACGAAAAATTATCATTTTCTTTTTATGAAAATTTTGAGTTTAAATTTAAATGTGATTAGAATAAATATACATCAGTATTTAACATTTTATCATAAGTAATATTCTATATATTATCTGTGATTTTATGCTAAAATGTTTAGTTTTGTGAAAATATTACTTACCTATAATATTTAAACGAGTTCCTGAATGTACAATTTGTTTATCACGATGTCAAGTTCTAAAATCTTGTATTGGTTGTCTAAAACTGTTTGATTTTGCTTAGTTATATTGTATCCTATATTTTATTAAACAAACTCGAAATAATGTTTATAATTACCTTCATCAGCCTTCATATCATTAAAGTGATAATAATAATCACTTATCATTATCAGTCATTATGTAGTTATTTGTTCATTTGTTGCTCTGTTTGTTGTTGTTTGTTTTCAAAGATCATTTTTGAGGTTAATGTCATATGAAACTTTTCGTAATTAGGGAACTGGTAATTGACGTGTGACGATAGATTAATAAAATAATAATGAACGTATTAAGTTAAATATTTATATATTAATTTAACATATCTATTTCATGTTTATAAATTACATAATTTTTAATTTGGTATAGTACCTTTAATTTTATATATTCATAATGAAATGAAATATATTTCGATATAACGTTTGGCAACCACGCAACTGAAGTGCAAGCGACATCTGTGCAAGAGAAGCAAAACCTCCCAAAAAAGTGAGAAAAGAAATCTAAAAATTTCAGATTATTCAAATGTCACTCCAATATTTTTCCAAATTGGAGTGAAATTAGGGTGACAATTTTTAACACGTAAGGAGCCATCTGGATTATGTGTTATCTGTGATATTAGGTTACATTCATACCTATATACTGGCGCCAAAAATTTAAAATTTGTATATTTGAACCGAATCTTAGTCTTTCAAGTTTATAATAAGAAATCTTCGTAGTTTTTTTAGATTATTTTGTTGACAACGAAAATTTATTATTAGACTTTAAAGCATTAAAACCTATAAATAAAATACTGTTTAGGAACATAATAATTTATTTAACTCCATACTCCTTGCCATACTCCAACTCAAGGCTGCAATCTTCAGTATCTTTTTTATCTAACTTGGTTGGGAGTGAACAGGGAAGCACGGTTGGGAGCTCGTACAGAGTATCAGTAGGTATCCCGTAGGTATTCAATGTTTTTGATAGTCTTTATTCTATAACAACAACCTAGCAGTTAAAGAAAATAATTTGTATTACTGGAAATAATACCGGGTATAATACCTAGTCGTTCCATAGGTATCAGAAAAGAATGTGATGTTTTAAATTAAAAAAAATAAATTAGCAATGTACGATTATTATGTGCACTCACTATTACTATTAGGTATGTTAAAATAATTACCGAGATAAAACCTTTAAAGGAAACGTTTTGTCTGGGTCTCAACCACAAAACAAAAATTACAAAAATGCCGAATAATCGTGGAATCTGAAATAATCAATAATGACAATAATCTTCTCTTCTAACAAGCTAAAAGAACAGGCACGTTCAGTTAAAAACAATTTATTACTCCGATTATCAACAGATTGTAGTTATCTCCTTCTAGAGCTAAGAAATAGAAAAAGCTACTGACAATCTAATTAATCCTGTCAAATGTTTAACTTGCAAAGTTGAAAACTTCCTTTTTTGACCGCCTAAACGCTATGCGCGTCTGGGATGCGCGGTGACAAAATAAACTTGTCTACGAAATGCCCTATTCCACAAGCCCTCTCACTTTAGTTATTAGTTTCTCTCTGACTTAAGTCTTTTGAAAAAGAAAAAATAATTTTTCTATGAGCTTGTAGCTCTGTTCTATATTAAGCTATGTTGTTAGCAATAGTTTTGTTATTTTTGTCTTTTTATATCCGTATTTTAAGAAATATCTGGCAATTAGAATGTATTTTTTCTATTTTAAAAATAACTTCCCCATAAAATATTATGCCATTAATATTAAGTTACATAAATGGGTACTATCTTATTTTTAGGTCGATATGAAGGAGACACAGGCCTGGTGGTACGCGTAGAAAACAACAGAGTCGTCTTAATTTCCGATCTTACCATGCACGAAATGGAAATTCTGCCGAAAGACTTGCAGCTCTGCAGCGACATGGCCAGTGGCGTAGACTCTCTTGGCAAATTCGAATGGGGCGATCTGGTAAATTTGGACGCTGAAACCGTTGGAGTTATCGTTCGATTGGAGAGGGAAAACTTTCATGTGTTGAATATGCATGGTAAAATAAAAAATATATATATTATATAATATATATATTTTTTTATTTTTGAGTTTATTGATCATTAATGTTTTTTTCTTGTAGGGAAAGTAGTAGAATGTCGGCCGGGTTCGTTGCAAAAACGAAGAATAAATCGATTTACTGCAGCGTTAGATTCGTATCGCAACAGTTTACATAGGCGTGACATGGTGAAGGTAATCTTATTAAGATTTTTCTTTGAATAAAAATATTAAAGCCCCCATACACTTTGATTATTTTGGTAGGTTTTAACCATGCAGTTCAAACCGTGTGGGTAGAATGCACTAGCTAGCAATTTACACACACTGTCTCATTTTGTTCAGTTCATTTTATAAGAACCATGGATTCGGGAAACAACTTGCTAGCAGTGACGGCAGTAACTGCGGTAAAAAAGAAAATCCAGAAAAGAAATAGAAGAAAATGGTGCAATGTGCCGAAAAAATATACAGTATGAGTCGTAAATAAGTGCAAATATTTTTAGGGGTAGTATATTTCAACCCCAGCAACGATCTATGAGGTTTTTGTTGCAAAAAAAATTAAAGATTTAGAATTTTTTGAATTTTTTTTTGGAAATTTCTTTAATTTTTGGTTAAAATACATAATATCTTCATAATATGGCAACATAGGTAGTAGATTAATGTTATATCTCTGTTATTTTGGACTTACTTGAAAAACGGTAAAGAGAAAATCTGTTTCTTTTATTGAGATCTACCAGCCCTGAAAATATTTGCATTTATTTAAGGGACAACAAACGGCAACATTGTTGGATGCCATTACGGGACGTCGTTGCAGCCCGTTGCAGCCACCCTAAGACAGATATTGAACGAACGGACGAAATTGGACCGAACACTCGCATATACTGACGTTTTTAACTAAACAGTCCTACCTGTTTAGTTAAAACCGTGCAAAATAACCGAGGTGTGTGGGGACCTTTAATTTCAAGTCTGTGACAAGTCGTTTTTAGAATACATAAATAGAATTAATGTAAGAATGATCAAATTTAAATTATTTTTTTTTGCTCAAGAAGATTCGAAGTGAATTATCATTCATTTAATGGCAAATAATATTTTAGGTAATCGATGGTCCTCATTCTGGATTCTCTGGAGAAATCAAACATCTATATCGTAATTTCGCATTTCTTTACTCTGTTGAGTTTCTCCAAAACGGGGGTATTTTCGTGTGCAAGACTAAACATCTGCAATTAGCCGGAGGTAACAAAGTTATCGCCAGTGCGGATATGACGACCGGAATGGAATTTATGAGTCCCAGAAGGAGTTCTCCGATGCATCCGTCCAGTGGTGGAGGCGGCGGAGGTGGTGGTAAGTTAATAAGTTCAATTATTTATTGGCAACATTAAACCATTTTACATTTATAAATCAAGTAAAAAAGACATAAATGTATAAAAGTAATGAAAGTTAGATTAAAATGTTTTAACTGGTAATATATTTCAATCCCAGAAACACGCCTATGAGGTTTTTTTCGCGAAAAAAAAATTGAAAATTCGAAATTTTTTGAAAAATTTTTTGGAATTCTTTTTAGTTTTTAGTTAAAAAACATAATTTCTTGATAATATGGCAACATAGATATTAGATTAAATTTACAAGAAAAAAGATCCAGTGGTTCTCAAAGTTTTAGCAAAAATCATTTTTTTTGGAAATTTTCAAAGTAAAATAACTCCGTTATTTTGGACTTATTTGAAAAACGATAAAGGGAAAATATGTTTCTTTTATCGAGATCTACCACCCCTTAAAATACTTGCACTTATTTCTGGGACACCTTGTATACCCTGTACATTACAATTATGTATAGGAGGTGGAGGTGGAGGTTTTGGAGGTCCACGTGGTCCAGGAGGAAGAGGCAAAGTTGTTCGCGACAGAGATATCATAGGAAGTACCATTAAAATTACAAGGGGTCCGTACAAAGGAAATATCGGTATTGTCAAGGACGCTACACAGAGCACGGCTAGAATTGAACTACATGCATCATGTCAAGTAAGTTTTTTATATAAAAATGTAATAGCTTAGGTTTAATATATATTTTTTCCAGACTATATCCGTCGATCGGAACAATATAGCCGATGTGGGAACACCCGCGAAAGACGGTTCTATATCGAGTTACGGTCGTACCCCGGCTTACGCAGGCTCACAAACGCCGCTATATAGGGACACGGGCAACAAAACGCCTATGTGCGATTCTGGTTCGCGTACTCCATTACATTATGGTTCGATGACTCCTATCCATGACGGTTCCCGAACACCGAACGCTAGCTCTGAATGGGATCCTACTATTTCCAATACGTATCCATCGCCTGCTTATAACCCCGGTAAGTTTTTATTGATATAGTCTGTCCGACGAGAAGATACATGACAGTGACAGTTGTGTTTGTTAATCTTTCCTAATTCGTTGGACAGACTTAGTATTTGCAGAAATGCCTGATCTATTAAACAAATATACAGTTCATACCAAATAAACTTTTAGTCACGTGATTAAGCTTGACAGGCACAGCGTTGCCCACTTTTATATATTTTCTTTCCATCAAAATATTTTAGGAAACAAAAATAAATTAATTATAAATACATAGACAGTTATTATTTACATCAACAAAACTCACCTTATCAGCACTTAAGGGACATAAAGGACCATTACTACGGTTTTCCTGTTCAAAATATTCTAATAAAGTTGCGATGAATTTTTTACGACTATTAAGCTATTTTGTAGAGCATTTAAAGAACCACTAGGGATACAATGGGGACTCTTAAGCAGGCTAGAAGACCTGAATTACGCAGACGATCTATGCATCTTTTCCCATTCACATTCGGATATGTCTCAAAAACTTCTTAGACTCCAAGAGGAAGCTAATAATGCCGGTCTTTAAATCATCGTGGCGAAAACCAAAGAAATGAGGTCAAATACTCCCAGCAACCAAGATCTATACCTCTCCAACCGAGCCATCGAAAGAGTTGATGAATTTCAGTACCTGGGAAGTATGGTTCACAGCGATGGGGGCACAGAGAAAGATATAGAGGAAAGGATTTTGAGGGCACAAAGAGCTTTTGGCATGCTTACACCTGTGTGGAACTCCTCTATATATAGCAAAAAAACTAAAGTCCAGCTCTTCAATAGCAATAAATAAATAAATAAATGAATAAATCTTTATTTAGCTAAAAGCTATTACAAAAAAAAAACCTATAACTTATAATTATTACAATATCATGTGATTCTTAAGGTCTTATATTATATTTAAATTCTTTTACATTAGCGGAACGTTTTACATTAGTTGGTAAGCTATTGTATGACATCACACCACTGATAAATAATGACTTCATTAGAAAGTTATTTTTAAACTTTGGTACATGGTATTCATTTCCTGTTCTCAAATTATATGACATCATGTCCCCTCTTTTTACCAACTGTTCCTTGAAAAATGTCGGTGTTAAGTCATTTAGAATTTTATAAATGAACATCAAATTAGCTTCCAAGATCAATTGGTCAACGTTCAGGAAGCCAAGCTCGCAACACATAAGTCGAACTGGAGTATATCTGTTACAACCCAATAATACTCTCATTGCCCTATTCTGTAATATCTGTATTCTGTGTATATCTTCTTTGTTACAATAGCTCAACAAAGATATACAGTACGAAAACTGAGGATATATTATTGAGTTGTACACCATCCGTTTTGACAATCCAGACAATCGAGACGATATCCTATTAAAGTACCCAATTTTTTTGCCCAATTTCCTACACATGTAATCTACGTGATGAGATAACTTTAACTGAGGGTCTAACTGTATACCTAAATATTTAAATATATCTACTTGTTCAATATTTACAGATTCGATAGTAATGTTAAAATTCAACTCTTTAAATAATTTACAATTGTGTTGGGAACCAAAAACCATAAATTTCGTTTTATCTGCATTTAGTTTTAATTTTTTAAATTTCAACCAATTGTCAAGCTTTTTTAGTTCGGAGTTCATAATATTTACCACTTCCAGATAATTGGTTCCAGACACAGATAATACAGTATCATCAGCATATAAATTTACAAAACTGTTTCGTACATATTTGGTAATGTCGTTTATATACAATATGAAAAGTAAAGGCCCCAGCACGCTTCCCTGAGGTACCCCATAACATATTTCCATCTGCTGTGACACTCTATCATCTATTTTTGTTATTTGGTAGCGCTTATCAAGATAACTTCCCAACCACCCAAGCGCAACTCCCCCAACTCCGTACACTCCGCACATTTCAATTAGTTTCTTTCGATCTATCGTTTCAAAAGCACGCTTTAAGTCAACAAACACGCCCAAAACAATGTTACCTTCATCTATGTCTTTTTTCCATTTCGAAAACACAAATTGACACGCACTTTCACACGAATGTTTATTTCTAAATCCAAATTGTCCCTGGCAGAAAATATTGTTCTTTTCAAAGTATTCAGTCAATTGTTCGTGCACTAATAGTTCTAACACTTTGTCTATGATTGGAATTAAATTCACTGGCCTGAGTTCTTCTAGTTTTTTCGGGTTATCCACTTTAGGTACAGGAACAACTACACTGCACTTTAAGTCTTTTGGTAGAATTCCTGACTCCAAGGAACTATTCACGATATGAAGTAATGGATATCCTATTACATTATAGAGTTTTTTAATTAGTTTTGCACATATTATTTCATCACCAGATGCCTTATTTTTTTTTAATTTCTCGATAGTTGTTCTTAACTTATTTAATGTAATTTTTTCAAACCTGTTAAAACTGCTATGAATCTCAAACGTAGCCTCTATAAAATCATTATCTGGGTTGGGGATGCTACTAGCTATTTCATGTATACTGTCCACAAAGTATCTATTTAAAAAATCTGGTAAATTGTTATGAGGTATACTTTCAATAAACGAGAGCTCTACTTTTTTGGCTCGTTTATTTACTATTTTCTTTAAAATTTGCCACACCCTTTTGCTATCGTGTCGGTTTTCATTAATTTTTCTTTCATAGTATTGTTTTTCTTTCTTTCTAATCAAAGCAACAACCTCATTTCTGCATTTCTTATAGTTATCATGATCTTGCACGTTGTTAGTGTATTTAAATATGTTATATAATCGGTCTCTTTCCTTTTGGGCACCAATTACTTCAGCATCGATCCAACTATTATCACTTTTTCTTATTTTCACTTGCAATGGCGCTATTTTTTCAACAACTGCTGTAATATTGGTAACAAAATCTTTGTATAGAGTATTCACATCTACAGCATTATAGTTCCACTCTTGCAGAAAAAGATCGCTATTTATTTGGTTAATTCGTTCCTCGCTTAAATTTCTAACAAATTCTTTCTCTTTTGAGGCTGTAGCACAGTTTAAATTTATTCCCAGTATCTCATGATCGGTTATAGCCGGATACACTCTATTAGTTTCTTGGATATATTTCATGTTACTATAAACGTGATCAACTAGAGTACTGGAAGTCATTGTTATTCTTGTTGGAGAAGTTATTATTTGCTTGAAACCTGCAGATTGAGCACTTTTAATAATACTTTTCGCATAGGTTGAGTTCTCTAGCAAATTAATATTAAAATCGCCTGCTAAAATTGTATTTGCACTCATTATATAATCTGTATCGAATAACTTATCCATAAATTCTATAAATTCTACAGGTTGTCCATTGGGTGATCTGTATACTCCTCCTAAGACAATAGATTCTTTTTGTGCCTTTATTTTTACAAAAACAGCCCAAAATTGCTTATTCACCTGGAATGTTTCAATAGCATACGACTGTACTGATTTTTTTACATATGTCAAATCTATTATGCTTTATGGATGCGAAACATGGAAGGTTACGCGTGGTCTCATGGATCGCCTACAGGTGTTTGTTAACAAGTGTCTTCGAAGAATATTGAGAATTTCCTGGCCCAATCAAATTAACAACGAAGAACTGTGGAGAAGAACATCACAAAATCGAATAGATATCGAAATTAAGAAAAGAAATTTGGGCTGGATTGGGCACATTTTGCGCAGACCCCACAGAGATATCGCTAGACAGGCACTTGAATGGAATCCACAGGGAAGACGTGCCAGGGGAAGACCGAGGAATACCTGGAGAAGAACAGTAACCTCTGAAGCCCAAGAGGTTGGGAAAACATGTAGAGAGATCAAACAGATAGCTCAGAATAGGATCAGATCGAAACATCTCTTAGAAGCCTTATGTCCCACGAAGGGATGACGGGATGACGGATGAACATATGCATCTGGGCATCTTTTTGGTAATTCTTACAGACAGTAACACAACACTTAAAAACCATTGTCTACATTTAAAAAATACGAAAGAACAGAGCCGTATAAAAATCAAAAACAAATTTAAAACACGATCTACGGATAACGGCCAAAATAAAATATAAATTGACAACTGTTGACAGGTTAAATTTTCTGCCTTCCGGCTTCATCAATACGGGAGGAATCAGCAACGATGAACTAGCGATCCTGAAAAAAGAAAAAGAAAAGGAGAAGCAAACGAGGCACAAAGGCGCCATTTGCAGCTGGTCCGGCAGTAGCTTACAATTTGAAGCGTTACTACCGAAACCGCCGCGGAGGCGTTCCAACACACCTCGCCGCTATCACCCTGGCCCAGAGAAAACAATAAACAAAGGAAGTTATCGTGGAAACTATAAAAAAACGAAGAAAGAAATTTATTGGGCAAGTCCACAGAAAGATTAGTCATGATACATGACTAAAACATGACTACCCGTAGACACTCAGTGTTTCTGCCTTCCGGCTTCATCAATACGGGAGGAATCAGCAACGATGAACTAGCGATCCTGAAAAAAGAGAAAGAAAAGGAGATCTCTCCTTTTCTTTCTCTTTTATTTTTAGTTTATATATATATATATATATATAAGTTATCTATCAGGTATATATAAGTTATCTTGTACACACTTCGCACTAAAAGAAGTTCTAAAAAGAACAATGTTCGACTGCAAGGTCTGCTAGTAAACATTTTCAAGCTTAAAGTATCACAACACTATTTATTTAAACCAAAAACCTATATAATATAAAATAAATAGGAAACTCAATACATTTTGTCCGGACCGAGCGGTGGCGTCATCTCGTGGGTCTAGTAACGAAATAAAACATAAATTTAAAACGGATAGTTTGTATTTTTTTCGATTTTTTCCATTTATTCAAGTAAATTGATTCAAGAAAGAACCAATTTACTCGAATAAATGGATTTAAGTTAAAATGACAAAGGGGATATATCAAAAACACAAAAAAAAACTATAAGAAACCATCTTTATTGAACTGAATATAATAACAAAAACAATACAAAACATTATAATAATTAAATATATCTAGATCTATAACAATTAGGGCAACCTATTTTACAATTAAGTAACAATCTTAAAGGAAGGGAAACTATCTTGGTTTATAATATGTAACACGTGTTAACACTTACTGTTATCTGGGCATCTTTTTGGTAATTCTTACAGACAGTAACACAACACTTAAAAACCATTGTCTACATTTAAAAAATACGAAAGAACAGAGCCGTATAAAAATCAAAAACAAATTTAAAACACGATCTACGGATAACGGCCAAAATAAAATATAAATTGACAACTGTTGACAGGTTAAATTTTACATTTGACGGTAAAAGCTAGGTAAAAACAGGTAAAATTTTAAATTTTGTAATTTTTTTTTGCTAATTGCGCCCCCTCGTGCGTCTAGTACTGGACTATCGGCTACAACCTGTCACTTCCATAAGAGTTTCCTAGGCATGGTCAGGAAATAAATAAATAACTCTGGCAACTTGACATTTTTTACAACAGAGCTACCACCTGAATCCTCAGCGGGAAATTTAAATTCCAGTTAGTCAGCCTGGCGCCTAATATATCTATAGTTGGCAACAATGAATTTATAAATTGCGCCCTCGATTACGTAACTAAAAGTTTAATTGATATGAAATGTATATTTTGTATATTGTATTTTTATACTTTTGTTTAAATTTAGGCACTCCCGGTATGAATGCGTTCACTCCACAAACACCTGGAGGTATGATCTATGATTCTTATAGTCCGTATCCTGCTGCAAGTCCAGGATACCAGAGCGCAATTTCTACACCATCTCCAGCTACAGGTAAATATACGGAGTGTCGGAAAAATTTACGACCAAATTTCAAAAGCTCATTGCTCATAAAAACATTATGAAAAAAAGTTCCTATAACATGGTTCCGGAAATGGACCCCAGAGAACTGCATTGAATAGTTTTATTTATTGAAAACAGTTCTAGATAGTTGCTTAAGGCAGTATGACACGGTCAAAGTTACTTGAACCAAGTACTCTTGGATTCTGCCATATAACTGTACTTATAATAATGCTGCGCGCGTCTCACTTGTACACTGCTTGTATAGTATTGACTGTTTGATCAAAATCAAGTTGAAACGCTAACACTAAAGTAAGTAGGCTGGCTTCCAACTTACTTGGATCCTGCTAAGCCGTCCAACTCGACTTTGATAAAACAGTTGTAACAGCGTAAAAGTGGGACGCGCGCTACAGGTTAGGTTAGGTTAGGCTACTGGGGTTTGGAATCCTGTTTGATCCTTCACTCGGAGGCTTGTAAACTAAAACTTCCTCTCATTCTTTTGCGTTAAAGTACTTCCAGTTCTTTGCAAAAAATCTCGATGTCGCTGAGATGTTGACTTCTGCTGCTTTCTCTAGGCCCTCCAAAAAACCGAGGCTCTAAAGTCTTAAAGCCTCGGTTTGATATGTTTCTCATATCAAAAATCTCTCAAGACACCAATTTTCAACCAAATATTGACGTTACTTCAGAAATTATGTGGAAATATCGAAATAAAAATGAAACTTCTATACCCTGTATCTCCGAAACTAAGCATTTTAGGACATACATATGTACAAACTTTTTTACTTATTTTTATCTGCAGAATATGCTGTCAAGTTTCCGGAATACAGTTAATAATAATAAATAAGTTCGCACCACCCTGTAGATTTGTTATAATAAGATATTTCTCATTATTTAGGTTATGGACAATCCCCAACTCTTAACAATCCTTACAACACCCCGAGCTCGGGCTACAGTCCAAATAATCCGTACAATCCGCAGACTCCCGGAGCAGGGCTAGACGTTTTACCAATGACAGATTGGCATACTATTGATATTGAGGTAAAATTGTACATGTATATCGCAAGAATCTTAAAACAACGTTTTTTTTAGGTTAGGATAAGGGATAGCCACGACGATGTCGGCCTGGTAGGACAAACTGGAATAATAAGAAGCATTTCTGGAGCTATGTGTTCCGTATTTCTTCCGGAAGAAGATAGAGTTGTAAATATTTTAGCAGATCATTTGGATCCAGTTCGTCCTCAAAGGGGAGATCATTTTAAGGTGACATTAAATTAAGATTAATTACTGTGTTTTTAATCTAATTTTTATTTTTTGTAGGTTATTATTGGTGAGGAGCGAGAACAAATCGGTGAGCTGCTATCGATTGATGCGCACGAGGGAGTAGTTAAAATAAAGAACGATATAACTATGTTACCTCTGCAGAATCTATGTAAAATTCGTAAAACTGACTAAAATATATTATGTACTATATTTACTTGAAATAAACGCACGTTTAGGCGTTTCAGCAAACTTTTGGCTAAGTAATAGTCTGTTAGCTTCTTGTTTTGATTGAAGAATTTTTAAATGGTGCCCTGTATATTTTTCACATATAATGTGATTCCGATATTTTTTCTTCCTCCAATAAAAATTGTACAAGCATTTTTAAGTCTTCTCAGAAATCTGCGATATCTATCAGGAACACATAAGAGGTAAACGTAAATTTAGTACTACATGTTAATATAGCACCGATCAACGATATTTCTGCTATCTCTAGCAATTCGACCTCGTTTCAGAAATTAAAGCCCCAATATTTCGAAAACCATAAGAGATATCGAGGAACGGAATAACGCATTCGATAGGGAATTCAACCCTCTATAAGGGCGCAAAATTAGGGTGCGATCGGAAAAAAAAATTTTTGGCGAAAAATGAAGGCCTGATTGCACCCTAATTTTGACCCTTATAGAGGGTTCCCTATCGAATGCCCTATTCCGTTCCTCAATATTTCTTAGTTTAGTTTTTTTTTAAATCTAACAGCTTTGGTTAAAAGTGAATCTTGAATTTGTTTCAGGAACATATATAGAGCGAGGAAGTAAATAGGAGCAAACTTGGTATTGGTACTATTCATTAGAATAAACAATTCATTTATATTTTTACCTCCTTGCTCCTTTATGTACTCCTAATACAAATCCCTGATATTTCGTTTTTAATAAAAGTTGCACGAAATTGTTTAAATCCTTTTAGAAATAAATCATTTCTACCAGGAGCACATAAGTGTGCAGAGAGTTATAACGTTACGTTAAAAGTAACGATAACGTTATTTTTGTCCTAACGATAACGCAATTTTTAAGCGAAATAAAACAAGTTTTTATGTTTCTAATTTATACCGTTTAATGCAAACATTTAAATAACATTTATTTATAAAGTGATTAAATAAGCAAAAATAAAAATAAAAAAGCTCTTCCAAATAGTTATTTCTATCTTATAAATTATCAAAAAATTAATAAACTTAAATCATTTTAATAAATTACACTAACAGCTTTATTCAAATATAGTATGATACCTATATAACGATACAAGCATCTCATAATTATCCCACTATATTCCATATTGAGACTTACGCATATAATATGATACATAATTTACTAAATAATCATTCAGTATGTACAAAAAATAATTACAATATTACAATTTGAGCTTCGTTTTTTATATCCCATCTATAGTAATCAATAATAATAGTACAATACTTATAAAATCACTTTGATAAAAATAAATTACATTGTCATTAGAGGGCAAGTTCCTTTGCAATCCACAATTAATATAATTTTTTGGTGGTTAAAACGTACAAAAAGTGACGCACAATAATGATATTTTCGAGAGTTATCTTATGACAAACAATAAAAATAATAGGATAGATGAACTACTTTATTTTAACTTATAGTATAACTCCATCGATTCCACCCCGTCCTGTCAATAGAGGGCTTAGTGTTCCAGGAACTTTTTGGCCTGTTCTATCTACCTCATAACGCGTATCTAGCGGAAGATCTGTAACAGAAATAATAATTAATCAAATATAACCTTGATAAGGTATCCAGTTCTTAAAAAACATATTAAGTAATTTGCCACTGAAAGAGTATTTTTTTCTCCAATGGCGCAATAGTCTTTTTCAAGTAACTATTAGTATAATGTTTTATATCAGTCAAATACCATACAAAATATAATAGGGAATGACAATCGATGATAATTTTGGCGAGGTCAAGCCCTAGACGTCGTTTACTTAGCCAGTACTCTTTGTTATCTTTTAATGGCGCTTACGCCAGCTGGCCTTAAGAAGGTTGAAATCTATTTATTTATTGAGTAAAAATGATGTATAAATTAAAATTCGACAAAAAATATATTTTTTTTGAAATAGATTTACCTATGTGTCAGGAAACGCTCTAACATTTTTAATCTTTCTGTACTTAATACTAATTTTTAACAAGTTTTGTATCAATTTAATGTAAATGACGTATAGAGATTGACCTCGCCAAAATTATCATCGATTGTCATTCCCAAGTCGTCTTTGATGTTTTTTTTCGATCATAGGGTTAATTAAATTAAAATTAATTGAATTAATCTTGAGGTCATTTTATATTCAAATTTATTGAATCAAAGTATAGGTTTGAAACAAAAAATAAATTTAGTTGAAAACATTAAGTGATGTAAACTATACCGGGTGTTTTTCGAAAGTTGCTCACCCCTATAACGTTTTTATTTTTTCAGATAAAAAAAACGAGATTTGATATGTTAGTATATGACATAAATTATATAGGATCGATTGACGTATTCAATAATTGTTTTCCGGCACTTCCTGTTTCACCGGAAATGACGTACCGTAGAACTTCACTAATTCGAACAGGGCGTCAAATCAATTACAAATCGGACACAATAGTTCGGCGTCTCTTATCAACCAGACCATTTTGATATTTTTACCTCTTTATTCGGGATGCCAACAAAATTCAAAGGCAAATGAATGAGAGTCCGCATTTTTCTTCGACGGTTAGATGCAGTATATGTAGTCTTTTCTTTGTAGTACAGGCTTTGGTACAGGAGTAAGGAGTATCGTATATTTTTAAAAAATAGAGCCCACTAAACGACTCTTACTGAAGAAATGCAAGATTTTATTGCATTGACAAGGATGGATATGTAACATTTCTGTTCCGTATGTAATAATCCATTTTTTGCTGTTCCGAAATTTAATATTTCAGATATAAAAGTCACATACCAAAAACAAAAAAAGATCATATCTACCAAAAACAGGGTAAGAAATAATATACTTACTTGTTTCGATTACTGCTTTGGGAGGTAGAAATGACGTAACAAATATGGCGCATATCACCAGGAAAGCTCCAAAAACAAAAGGCGGTCCTGGCACGAGCTAAAAAAGAAATATTTATGGTTAATTTAATTTATTATTTCTTTATTTTTTTAGTGTTTAATTTAATAAATATGATTACCTCAGCATACGTTGCAGTGTCACCTGTGGAATGTGTAGCGTTTTGATTATCTCCGTCATTTAGATCTACGTGAAACAAATAAAATATGATGCCAAACATTGCAGGTCCCAGTCCAGTACATAAACCTCTCATTCCTGTGACCATTCCTGTGATTTAAAATTCATTATTAATAATATATAACACATTGTATATTTTTATTTATATTCGCTAAATCAGAGGGCTTTATGGGACGATATGAATTATAAATCCAACATATTTGATAATTAATGGTGAAATTAAAATTAATTTTACCCATAGAATATGGTAAGTTAGGATCTGTTTATTATGGGAAAATACTATACGATCGAAAAAAAACGACGTCAAAGACGGCTGCCACTCACTGACAATTCGGTGAGGTCAAGTTTTTTAATGGTGCTGGCTGCCAGTTGGTCTTAAGAGTCTCATACGCTGTACTGTCGGGTCGCTCTCAAGGGTCGGGTAAAGCGAGTGTGTGGCTGAAGGAAATATATATCACATTCCAGAAATCTGCCTAAGGCTTAGCCCGATCCTGTCGTGTTAAGCCATACCCAAAATTCCAAACATACGTGCCTTGATTAAGGTTTGCAGAGCTTCAGCATTTACCATAAAATAGCGATTGTTACAAATTTGTTACAAAACCATACAAATTATATATCGCTGTAATCACAAAACTTCAATCTATTTCCGTATTGTAACGGAATTTTAAATTATGTCTTTATTTTCGAGAAAGTTTAGTCCAAACATAAGGAATATTTTGTTGATGTTTAACCATCAAAATCTTAAAAACAAAAAAGTTGTCTAAAAATGTGCTACAATACGGATATAGTATAATCCTTTATCTTTAATTTCCTTCTTCATTTGTGTAAAAATACCTAGCCAGTTTTACATAAAACGTTAAATGCCGGACGCTTATTTTGCTACTTTTTTGGACTAGTGAAATGGACTTTTAAAGTTTGTAATTTATTTTTTATTGGGTAAAAAAATATATTTTTTTAAAATAAATTTCTGTGTCTGGAAACCTTCTATCCTTATTTAATCTTCCTATAATTGTGTTAATTTTTGAAAAGTTATATGTCAATTTTAATAAATGACGTCTAGAGATTGACCTCGCCAAAATCATTATCGATTGTCATTGCCTAGCCGTTTTTGACGCTGTTTTTTTCGGTCGTATGGTATTTAATAAATAATTAAAAATATATATTTACCCTGAACAACTCCCTGCTTATCAGCCGTACTATGAATGGATACAAAGGCCGATATCGCCGGGTAAGTAATCGAGCCAACAGAAGCCAAGAAACCGGCCGCCCACATCATCCATGTAGTCGTACCGAAACCGTACCACAAGAGCTGCAGCAGCTCGAAAAACAGTCCTAGCATGATGGTGTGCTTGGCTCCGAAATTTTTTATTAAAATACCTATAAAAATATAAGTAAAATAATTAATAACCTACTTTCATATGAATGGGCACATTCACAAGAAGCCACATTCACAACCACTTGTGTCCGACATCAGAGCAATAAATAATGATATGTAGAAGGTGCATATTGCTTAAATTCGACTTAGTCAGCCCGGCGCCGAATATATCCATGGTTGGCAATAATGAATTTAAAAATCGCGCCCTCGATTACGTAACTAAAAGTGTAATTGATATCAAATATAGATTTTAAACAGCGCTTTGCCAAATCTGAACACCGGTGTCTGACACAAGTATCTTCGTGTGACAGTGCTCTTACCTAGACAAAGTTGTGTAAAAACTGCTAGTAACCCTACGAGACCGACGAATACCGCTACAACATTGGAACTCCAACCCATCTTCAGTTTTAAATAAACGAATATACAGCTGTACTGGCCTGCTTCCGGTAGATAACTTAGAAAAACGGCTATGCACAAGAGTAGAATAGTCGAATCTTGTCCAACGTTTCTAGAAATAGAGAAAAAAGTATGTACAGTACTATGGAACCAACAGTATTTTTTCCTGCATAAATGAAATCCAATAAATATGAAAAATGTGACATATATATCTTGCTGGTCATCCAATTTATGTGGTCTGGATTTTAATGAGTGTGACAGAGAATAATATAAATGACCGGTTGACAGACAGAGAGACAAAATCAAAAGCGGCATACAGTGTTGCCGGTTTTTTACGTTTGTAGGAAAATGTGTGTAGAAAAATATAAGCTATTTTAAAAACTTTCATGTATACTACTGAAATGATGATAATATATCTAAACTAAATATAATCTATTACAGCTGTAGTAAAACTAATAGTGAAAAATAAAGTACCAACCCTAGATGCAACATTTTTCGTAAACGCCTACTTTGCGGTTTAAAATTTTGATGCAAAATCCGGCAATACCGCATAGAAGAAATGCGTCGACCCAATTTTTATCTCTTTTTAATAGATTTGATTTTCCATTAAGCTGTCTACATCACTGTCTTACATGCAAGACCGCAACGTAAAATCCAGACCGCACAGTTTCGATGACCAAATCGGTATAAGTCCTGCCACCCTTTTTTATATTTAAATTTAAATTTCCTGTAGGAAAGTACCTGAGGGATGAAAAGGGATCCGCTTGTTCCCAACTTATAGGCGAAACTCGAACTTTCTCTGATAAGGACTCAGGGACGGCAACCAGAATGAAAAATACGTCTAATATTGCAACTGCCGTTGCTAAAGCTACTACTAGAGAGACTGACCATCTAAAAATAACGTAATTTATATTACAAGCGTGTGTTTACCAAGTATAAACAATTTCTTAACACAAAAAACTTTATAACGTCTGCCCAAGAGAAGATTTCGACAGAGGACATCTAAAAAATTACAGAAGTGAATTAAAATGTCAGACATAACTGCCACTGTCACGTATCCTCTTATTGGACAGATTCTATATTATGTTTGAAAAACTTATACCGTATGATCGAAAAAAAATGACGTCTAGTTGGCTTGGAAATGACGATCGATGACATTTTCCATATAATTTTAAATATAAAATGATAGCGATCTTCACTTCATAGCCATCGCTGACACCGTTTTTATTCGATCATACGGTACTTGAAAACGATATCTATTTTTTATATACAGGGTGGTCCAAATTGTTATGTATAAATGTAAGTCCTAAAATGCTTAGTTGCGAAGATAGAAGGTGTAGAAGTTTCATTTTTATTTCGTTTTTTTCCAAATCATTTCTGAACTAACATAGATATTAGGATGAAACCTGGCGTCTGAGAGTATTTTGACATGAGAAATTAAATTTGATGTCAATATGACTCTGACTTGTGTAGAAGGCGCCATCTACATATTTTTTAACTGGTTTGAAGAGTAAAAATAAGTAAACATGTAGGTGGCGCCCCCTACAAGTAGGAGTCATACTAACATCAAAATCGAAATTCTCACGTAAAAGAATATCCAATTTTCATCCAAATACCGGATGATCGAATAAAAACGGCGTCAGCGATGGCTATAAAATGAAGATCGCTGTCATTTTATATGTATGTAAAATTATATGGGAAATATTATCGATCGTCATTTCCAAGCCAACTGGACGCTATTTTTTTTTCGATCATACGGTATAAACATTAGTTCAGAAATTATTAGGAAAAAACTAAATAAAAATGAAAGTTTTTTCCCTTGTAGCTCCGAAACGAAGCATTTTGGGACATACGATTTATTTATACGAACTTTTTCACTTATTTTTATCTGCAGAATATGTTGTCGATGTTTCCCAAATACAATTCGGACCACCTTGTATATCAAAAAAAAGATTTATTTAAAAAAAAGTAAAAAAAATCTAAAAGTCGTAAAAAAGTTGCCTTTTTACCTTTCCATTAAATAAGCTCCCAAAGCAGGAGATATAACCATACTGGCTGCAAAAGTACCACTAACTAATCCGTAGGCAAGTGATCTTTCTTTTTCGTCTGTCACATCAGCTACATAGGCAAACACCACACTAAACGTTACGGCAAAAACACCTAAAATGATTTTATAACACAACAAATAATATAAACATATAAATCCATTACACAATCTTACCTGATATTGAGATCATTGCAAAAAACCAAAAAGTGTTTATCGTCATTAGTGGAATTGGCAGGCAAGTACAGAAAACTGTGACTAGTAAAAATAGTTTTCTAGAAAACAAAAATAAGGTCTTATGTATTTTTTTTACTTTTGATTAGTTTAATACTAAATTAAAGAAGGGTATATTTATACCCCTGATATTTATCGGGTGTTTCTCAAAAGTGGCACACCCCCATAACTTTATTATTTTTTCAGATAAAAAAACGAAATTTGGTATGTTAGTATGTGACATAAATTAGAATTGATTGACGTATTCAATTGCTTTCGATCACTTCCTGTTTCACCGGAAATGACTACAACTTTTTGATTTTTAAATGACACTCCATATTTTTTTACTTGATATTATAGAAAATGACATTCTGAATAATCACATATCATATGTAAACTTTTGACATTTTCAAGAAAAAAATAGAATTTAAATTTCAATTTAGAATATCACGGCCATAAATGTAACGACAATTTGACTCGAAATAAAAGTGTGTGTGTACCAAATTATTCGTTAAAAAATGCTTCTTCCAAAAATGCTGATGAGCCACCCTCGTTTCATTTGAAAAAAAATGAATTACAAATAAAAATACAATTTGGGCATGAAATATGATTTTTTTAGCGAGAATAAGAATGTCAAAAGTTGATACATGATACGTCATTATATTCAGAGTGTCATTTTCTATCAAATAAGGTAAAAAATACCGATGGTGCATTTAAAAATCAAAAGTTGTAGTCATTTCCGGTGAAACAGGAAGTGACCGAAACGAATTGAATGTGTCAATCAATCCTGATTTATGTCACCAAAAAATTAATCAAGTTACAGGGTTGAAACTTATTTTTAACTCTATGGGTGAAACACTCTGTATATATAAATACCTTCCACAAACGTCGCTCAAAGCTCCAATCAATGGAGCGCTTAAAAAACTAAGAATTCCTTTGATACCCATGATTAAACCGTTCATTAAGAACGTGTGATCAGGAAAGGTGGAATTCAGTACCGAAATCACGGGCATCGTTAGAAGACCCCATGCGAAGAATTCCAAAAATATCACCACTAGGGCGTGGTATAGTGAAGGACTGCCAATACCAGAAGTCTGAAACAAAGATTAATCATAAATTACTTTAAATACTAGTTATCGTCGTTTTTTTCTACGGATTACAATAAAGTATATTTATAATTATTATAAATTTTTATAAAAGTAGTAAATCTTAGAGGCACCATTTTACGAAAAAAAAATCTAAGGTTGGTGGAGTTGGAAAATATTTCTACTAAAATTTATGTAGGGGTGGGGGAGTTTTCACCCTTACAGTTCTTTTAATTGAGTTTTGTGAAAGTCAAATTTTAAAGCGTATAGCAAAACAAAGGCACCCCGAATGTCATCTAAATCAAAATAACGGTTCTTAAATTATCTTAATGTGTTTAATTTTTTCAAGTTTAATGCCCTCTAACGTACAAGCGAAGTACTTTTGTATAGAGATAAACAAATGTATTCAGTAAAGTTATTTTGATTACAAAAATATGTAGTAGTAATGTTCTATGTTCACGGAATGGGACCCCTTTATATTTTTATTTTACAATCTTGTAGAATATTTGTTTAAATTTTTATCATAAATTTTCAGTAAGTGTTTGTATTACACCCCTTCTAATATCATTGGTATTAACAGTATTAAGTACAGTGTGTCCCATTTTGGTTGTGAAATCATACGGTATCTCCGTTATTAGTGAAGATAGAAAGGTGCGGTTTGCACAAACCTGCCCCACTTTTTTGTCAAACGGAAGATGCCGTAAACAAAATTTTCATAGCCCTCTTTGTTTCCAAGTCTTTTTGCAAATTTTGCTACTTGGGACACCTCCTGTATCTCTGTTATTGTTAAAGCTTTCGAGAATGTGAAAACTGTTTATTGTAGAACTTTTTACGTAGAATAGAGTCTGTCTTGCCATAAGCTTCTCAAAAATATATATCACTCTATATTTATTTTCACTATTTACTGCAATATTTAAAAGTTTTTATTAAAAGATCATATTTATTAGTAGGCCATGATTGATAATAAAAGAAACTAAAGAATTATTAAAAGTATACTGCTATCTGTCTCTTGTTTTATTTTGGGACCCGCTAATAAATTCTTTATATAATAGCCTTGTTTACAAGGATATTAGGAAAACTTAACTCTCTACCGCTATTTTTAAATCTTGGAATACGTGTATATACGTACGAATAATCTATCGTATCGGAAATTTTAGATATTCCTTTAGCTAATTTACGTGAAATATACGAAAGACAGTGTTGTGTTTCTCGGCAGAGTCGTCAGGGAACGACCGTTACGACAGAGACAACCTATCTATCGCTCGTGTCGCACTCGTTATAACTTAAAACAATAACACAACAATAACAAGACATTGTCTGACCGCATGTTCCAGCTATTTATGAATGAGATGCTCAGTCTATATTTTATTTTAAGTCTATGGGCTTCTACGTATAAATCAATTAATTATTAAAAATTTTAAGAATGTGTGTTTCAATATCCTCTTGATTAAATTGAAGATTAGACCGAAGTACACTTATCATTCTTATCCCGTATTGTTGTAGAAAGAGTAGAAATGACAATGAAAATTAATGAATTCCCATAAAATCAAATGGCAAAAATAAAAATCAAAAATAGCTTAGTAAATCCTAAGGAAAACTTGCGCAAAGATATTTAATATTTATGATCAACCTTATTTTGATTCATTATGAACTTGCCTAAGGTATTAGGTATTCCCTGAATCAACAAAATTTGTATACCATAAATAAATTTCTCCAAAAAAATCCTTTATGGGTATTTCGCCACTGCACTGCAAGAAAATCTACGAAATAAAATAGTTATTTTTTGTAAACACTTCTACGTTAAACCTAAACGGACACTGCTTGTCAGAATTTGTTTACAGTTATACAAATTTGCCTAACAAAGAAAAATTTTTTTTTAACAGAACGTCAACGGTTTCTTGTAGACGTATCTGTTTTAAAAAAGTTAAAGTGTTCTCGAATAGTTGAATTTAAATATTATAAATAGTTTTTTTTTCTTTATTCTTTGTATTTTTTTTGCTTCCGACGACGGAAAGAGATAAACTTTCCGAAACGTTAAGCATTTTTTCCTTTGTTAGGCAAATTTGTATAATTGCAAACATAACTTCTGACAAGCAGTGTTCGTTTAGATTTAACGCAGAAGTGTTTACAAAAAATAACTATTTTATTTTGTAGATTTTCTTGCAGTGCAGTGGCGAAATACCCATGAAGGATTTTTTTGGAGAGATGAATCCGCCACATAGGTATAGACATTTTTCATAAATAAATTGTTTTTTTAATAAAATTAAAAAAAATATGCATTTGTAACATTAAAAGTATGTATGTATATAGAATGCCACTTTATCTAATAAAACATTCGACCAATGTGTACTACCAGTCATGACCTATATGCATGCGAAACCTGGACAGTATACGTAAGCTTCCGTTCCGTATCAATTCCATACTTTTTATTGTAAAATTTATATCATTACGAAAGTTTTATTTTAAAAATTTGTATTTTTTGAAAAAGGTAATGGATTTAATTACGAGGTGAAAGAACAAATAAATATCAGCAAAATTTTAACAGAAGTGGTACAAATGTAATAACTTGACAACACTGTTTCCGATACGCTTCAGTCCGTCCGCCAAAAAAATGTATGGAAGGAAAGGATACGGAACGGAAGGGAAACGGAACGGATAGTGTGCATGGTGTGCACTGTCCTATTCATTTACATGATATAATATTGTATGTAAACGGAAGGGAGCTGATATGGAAGGTATAGTGGGAATCAACCTTAAAACTGACATTATAAGGAAACTGCAAGTCGCACAATGCTCGATGGAACGAAATATGCAGGGAATAACCGAGAATACCGAGAAAAACCGTAACAAAATAGAGTGGGTATGACAAAAGGCCCAGGTAACAGATGTTATTTATCCTTATAGAATAAAATTCCTCAAGTGGCAATGGGTAGGACACCTGGCAAGAAGGATGGATAACAGATGAACCACAAAAATTACAGCATGGTACCCACGAGGAATTAAGAGACTTAGAAGGCTAAACCTGAGATAGGACCATAATATTAGGAAATTAGCAGGGGTATCTTGGGCTAGCATAGCCAACAATAGACCCAGTTACACACACTACACTACGCAATAATTGGAAATGGTTGAATAAGTTGAAAATGATGATGCTGATGATATAGATTTATTTATAGGATACATTTATTATACTTTTTTATGGGTTAACATACGGTGCTTGATTCTAGAGTCTGTCCAAAGAGTCCAGAGAAGATTTCGACAGTCGACAATGGAAAAATGACAGACCACAACTATAACTATCATTTATCTTCTCGTTGGACAGACTATACTTTTATTACTTTATGTGACAAATTACAATAAAATGTATTTTATTAGTAACAACACCAAAATTAATTGTACTTACTGGAATACTTAAATACCATCTTTTAAATCTACGAAAATTCAGCACATAACGTTTGAAACAATAATAGAATAGTATCATACACATCTTATATTCACTAATTTATGCGTTAATAATATCATTTTTCAGTACATTCTTCGATATAGAATACTCTCAATTATAATATAGACTCAGAAACAAAACTAGATTCGAAATAATAATAATAATATGAATTAGAAATAACTATAAATTAAATATCGGGTCTGCTATTGCTACAAAAACAGACTGATTCATATCATCTACCTTAAAAATTGGTGTGTAACGTTGGAATCGTAATCTCAGTTTATCAATGATAAGAGTTCTAGCCCTAGATCATACTAGTTTCAACGAAGCCGCCACGCAATTAGATTTGGATAATAAAAATGTTTTAAACATCTGTAATATGACTAAAAGGTTTTGCATTCAATAATTTTTATGGAACCAACTTAGAAAATTGAATGATTCAGATTAATGTTATTTCCAAATATACTTTATTTTCAGAGCATTTTTTATTACCCATGAAATGCTAAACACGTTTTGTATGTGTAAAAGAATATTATTAGAAGATTTCTTGTATTTTTAATTTTTTTTTCAAAAAAAGGCAGAAAACACATTTTTTAAAATTTATTTATTAATATTTTTGAAACTATCAAAACATATTTAATATCTTAGGATTATGTAAAGTGATCAGAAAGGAAGCCAAAAATGCAATAATATACAGTAGGGTGCGCCAAAAAAAAAATATATTTTTTTTTCTACTTCCTATTTAAATAACACGGGTAAACAATTTTTTAATTTTATTGCATTCTAACAAATCAGCATTTTATAAAAATCAATACATATTCTTGCAGGAAATTGAACGGTCTTCAAAAAAGGTCTGATATGAATTTTTATTTAATCAACTCGTTTGAAAGTTATTGAGGGTTAAAGTTCAACTTCAAGCCGTATATGATAACTTTCACAATTTTTTATATTTTATCACGAAATAATGGCTCAAAAACATAAAATAGGATATTCTTATGTCTATGTTTTTCAGCCACCCTGTAAAAGTAAAAATATTTTCCTGAAATACATCCTAAACCCATATTAGATTGACACTTGTACAAAAAGTTTTTTATTATAAGAGCTACAGATGCCCAACTCACTATTGCCAGACCCTTATAATGTTCCACAGACAAACTATAAAGTAGTTTGTGGTCGTTCCTTAGATCTTATTAAGATTTAAGGGTCGTTCTTGCGTCAACTTTTTCATAGACAACCCCCCTTATAACATCATGCATAAAATAAAAATAACTTCAATTTGGTATATAAATGATCAATGAACGTTATGAACCATAATGTCGTCTCCAAAAGCAATTATTATTATTATTATTAATTAAACATACTGGCGGAAACTTTTTGATTGGCACCCTGTTAAAAGTGTATTTCCCTATTCGTAAATATATGTAAAAATTAGGTTTTGATTACCAACATGATGGGAGTAGTAATCCTGCAGTCAGATCGTCTACTATTATTTGTACTAGGCAATGATAGGCCATTGGCAAAGAGTTATATGGTGGAATATAAAGAGCTATATTGCAATTTGAGACACCTCTCATAATCTAAGTTATCTGACAACATATTAAAAAAAGGTAAAAATGGATTCTTATAGAACTTTTTACTTGGAATGCATTAACATTTTGAAATATTGACCCATGTTTAGAGTTTTTAAATAGGACACCCTATATACTTGTCAGGATTTAATTGTACCTTTTCAAAAATATATGTTTATTTTAATAAACAATAACAAAATTCATAATTTTACTATTACGTAAAACAAGCTGTTCACATTACATGAAACTTCCGATGATTTCTCCAGTAATGAACCATGCCACACAACATTAAAAAATATTGCAGTCCCATTATGTACCTATATGTTCTAAATTCTTACTAAGAAAAGACAGAAAACAAAAATAGTGTCTCTGTGAAAGATTCTGTGTTCTATATAATTAGACTTAACTATTATAGTAGTTTTGATTTTTTCTCTTAAAGACAAGGGTACATTAGGGGGTATCTAAAAGGTGAAGTGTATTTTATTGTCAAGATACATTTAATTACACGAAAAAGGTCACTAAGAAGCTGAATTCTCTTTGGGTTCTAAACCTCAGTGGGGGACAATGGGGACATTTAACAAAACAACTATTTATATTTTATAGTTTTCTGATTGTGACGAAATAAAGTATATACAATAAGTTATAAACTTACCGTGACAACTCCATCCTTTGCAATGCTTTTCCTAGATTTTATTATCATACCAGCAACTCTTTTTGACGGTTTCGCCTTCATTTTAAAAGTCTTTTTTCAACTAATCCAACACTAAAAACTGTGTACGTTCTGAAATAATACCCATTACGAACAGCCCCAAACTACAAGCTCCAATAACATTAACAATAAAATATTTTATCTGATTTTATCTCAAAAATATAGTAAATTCCCTTTAACTAATCCATAAAATACCATAACCTTGTTTTTATTTTCTAATCTGACACATATCTGACACACAATCTGACATTTGACAAATCAAAAAATCTAAAAAATAACTAAAATAACTGAAATAGGGGGTAAAGTTAAGAAGAATAATCTTCGTATATGAAGTGTTTATCACAATCTGTTGTGGTCTGTAAAATTAAGATGGCGCTGCTGTAGCAGAAGTTCTACTGGTCCTACATTTGAAAGAAAGTAGCAAGAATTGTTTATAGCACGAAATAATTAAAAAGAATTAGATTATTTGTTCAATTTCACTGAAATAGATAATATTCGATTTGTAATGGGGCGTATATCACTCTCCTTGAGAGTTTAGATTATTTATTCTGTGGTTTTTGACAAATTTTACTCAGCCAAGTTCAGTTTGCACCCATAATTTTCAATGCCCTATTTTATTTCTGTGGTGTTACTTTTTACGTCATTAAAAAAATGTCATTTCTCCAACCTCCAAATGGAGACGTCAATTTTATTTTCTCCAAAATATTTTTATTGATTATGTAACGTATTGTTGGTATTTTCGATAAAAAAGCGTTTCAGTTAGCTACCTAGTGTGTATTATAAATAAAAGGGGTATACCATAAGAGGAGAAAATGACAAAAGTTTGTCGTTTATGTCTTACAAAGTTGCAAAGAGGTACAAAATACTTCAACATCAATGCAGTTGAGAGTTTCACAGGCTTTATGCCTTACAGAGACCAGTTGACGACATGTATACCAGAAATGGTAAGTAATTACGGGTAATTCTTTACTATTCCGTTTACAGCTATTTTGAAATTCTGTTTAAAATAGTTTTTTTTACTTTTCTGTTCATTTCAACACATTTAATACATTAAAGGAATATGACTACACTTTATTGACTGTATTCTATTCATAAGTTAAAGCAAATAATTCTAGATAGGTGTTAAAGGTGCTTGTCAGTATTTATTTTACATATTATTCCATTTAATTAAATAATTTAACAGCTCCAGCCAGCCATGGACCGCTAGCGACATCTCTCGATAACAAACGAAACAATGAACCTTAATGGAAAGCAGATTTCTATATTCTCATAACTAAACTGGGAATAGCAAATTTCTATAGGGAGAATACACCGTATGATCGAAAATAAAATGGCGTTCAGTTGGCTTAGAAGTGAACATCGTTGATATTCTCCATATAATTTTATATATAAAATGACAGCGATCTTCATTTCATAGCCGTCGCTGACGCCGTTTTTTTTTTCGATCATATCGTAGTTGATAATGAACAATAGCGAGAGATGGCACTGTAAACGCCGAAAATTCTCGTTAAAGTGTTTTCTGTGGGCACTGTGGGCATATAAGTAGCAGTTAAGGCGGGAACAGTCGGTTTTGAAATGGTGAAGCTGAACGAAATCGGGTGAAAGTTTTAAAAATCGATAAAATGCCAGACTAACTGGTTTTAGCTAATACGAGCATATTTAAAATGTTAAATTTCTTACAATAACACATGGTAATTTTTTTTTCATTTTAGGCTTTGGACTTAATACCGAATCCAGTTATTTGCAATAACTGTCGAACAGCCCTGAAATCATCGTACGTTTTTAAGTCAAGATGCCTCCTAGTAGAGAAAAAAATTAGGCAGCACGTCGAAAGCCATCCTTCAAAAACATTAATGTATAATCTCGCCGATATAGATACTTCAAGTTTACCCAAGGCCGCTAAATACGAATCAGAAATTCAAAGGTACTTAGAAATTACATGAGGTGTTTTTGAGTATTTTTTCACCCCCATCCCCCATTTATCTTGACACCCTCTCCCTTCCCCTAATCTCACGTGAGATCTTTAAAAAAAATTATTTTCAGTATACAGGGTGTCCTAATATTCCGTGGACATAGAGCTACAATGTATTTTTGGTATCAAAATAAGTTCATTGGGCACAATTTACCGTATGATCAAGAAAAAACGGTGTCCAGTTGGCTTGGAAATGACGATCGATGACATTTCCCATTATAATTTCACATATAAAATTACAGCGATCTTCATTTCATAGCTATCGCTGACGCCGTTTTTATTCGAACATACGGTACTTCTATACAAATGTGCTTCGTTTGTCCGCTAGAGGGCATCTAACTTTAAAGAATTTAACACATTTTTTCAGGTATTTTAAGAACCGTTATTCCGATTTGAATGAGATTTTGGGTGTCTATGTTGTGCCCTAACATTTAACTTTCACATAAATCAAGAAAAAATACGCTAAAGGTGAAAACTACCCCCACCCCTACATAAATATTAGTATAAATATTTTCCACCTTCACCGACGGCCGACGGAGGTGGGGGTAGTTTTAACCCTTCCCGTACTTTTTCTTGACTTTTGTGAAAGCCATATATTAAAGCAATTGACAAAACATAGACACCCTAAATCACATTCAAATCCGAGTAACGGTTCTTAAAATATCTGAAAAATTGTGTTTATTTTTTTAAAGTTTGATGCCCTCTAGCGGACAAACGAAGCACTTCTGTATAGAGGTAAATTGTATCCAAAGAACTTATTTTGACTCCAAAAACACAGATCATACAGATTATAAACTTTGTTTTTTCTTTATAGTTTTTCGTGGTTTCAATTTTCGGAATCGGGCACTAGTTAGGATACTAGTTTGCGCACATTGCACGCCCACTTATGGCCTCTAAAATTGTGAACAGCGCCTGACCGGCACAGTTATTAGAGAGATATCGGAAAACCGAATAGCGACATGCAGTATTTACGCGTACCTTATCATGGTTACGATATGCGCGAGTCAATTTTTAACGCAACACCCGCTAATAACGTTACCGCCTGACGTAATTTGCGGATCAATTACATCAAGCGCTATTTCTAAATAACGTTCAAAAATTGCTTAAATGGGCATGTGCGGGTACATTTGACAACCGGGGCCGGCCGGCGCCGAGCGGCGGGATCTTTTATTTTAGGTTATGTTTGAATTGTTTTGAATTATTACTTTAGTTTTATTAGGTAAATATAGGATAAGTTTTAATTAAATAAAATGGCCCAAAATATGGATTCCACCTCTTCCATTATTAAAGAACCTATAAAGAGGCTTAGGTTTACAGCAGATGACGACTTAGCTCTTCTAAGAGAATTTGTTGCTTGTTGCCCTAAACCCACTGGCAGACGTTGAACAATAAAGTACTGAAAATAAGCACTTTAGCCCTTTAGTTTTGAAATACCTAGTAAACAAAACAATTTCAAAGTTTTAAATTCAAAGTTAGGTTAAGTTTAAATAGCGGACGCGACGAGAACAGAATTCTTTCCGATCAGATAAAAATTCTTTCCACCTCACGTAAAGGAAATAACATCCTTATATTAACGTCCATGCACGCTATTCGGTTTAGCGATATCTCTCTATTACACTGTTTATTGTTATTTTACGCGAGTTTATTTTTGCGCACAGGAAATTTGACTCGTTTGCACATCGTCATACAAAAAAAATTTCGTACCAATTATTATTAGGGATAAGATTTTTATCTGTATACATATAAGCTTACTTCGGGTTTCTCTTATTACCGATTTTGAACCGTCCTAGAACTGTGATGCGTATGCGCAGAAGGAAATATGAGGACATTATTTCATTTGCGCATGCGCTGCAGAGTTCTAGGACGGTTCAGGATCGGTAATAACAAGAACCCGAACAAAGCTATAGTATACCTAATCTGTGCCAAAAATAAGTAGTAGTTTTTGAATATTTGCTATTATTTATTATTTTTATTAGTAAGTATTATTTATATTAGTATATGTATAATTTTATATGTCCACGGAATATTGGGACACACTGTATATGCGAAATTAATCTGATTTCCTCACATTTTTGCACTGTTTTTTTGACCGAAAAAATTTCGTAATATTTACCGAAACCGCTATCGCTACCCCCTCTATCAGCCACTTGATATTTATTTAGTAAGATTCCGCTTGACGCCCTGATTTCACTCACGAAATTAATGGACGCCCTCTTAGTAAAGCCAATGGATATTGGATTGATTTATTTATTTTACTAGAGAATCTCCCCACAAGAAGCCAGTCGCAATATTACCAAAAATCGAGGTAGCTGAGCAGCCAGTATCCTTGCTTTCAAATCTATTATCATCTGCTACTGAGTCGGTCCCTTCATCTGATCCAAGAGAGCCAGAGTTTTTAAATATATCTGAGTCGAATTTTGAAGGTTGGTATACAGGTTCATACACGGGGTGTTTCGATTCCTCATTAAAAAATATGAAAAAAAGTTTTGATAAATATGGGTCTGGAAATGAATAGTTTTACGAATACAGGATGGTAAAGCTGTTAAAAAATATGTTGTAATTATCTTAAATAAAGTTATTTTTTGGATTTTCTGTCCGTAGCACTGAAAATTAGTGTTAAGAATTGTAATTTGGGGGATCAAGTACTTTAATAGTTCTCTCCAGTTGCGAGTTGAAATTTATTTTTTGAAAGTTTTTGTTTAATAGTTTCCAGAGACCTGCAATTAATTGGCTTTATTTTTTTTTTCTGGAAAACAGTTCTAGATAGGCATATTACACAAGTGAAAAAAAGTTGATTTTTTAGTTACCTTATCTAAAGGAAATATAAAAATTCCAAGAAAAGTCATAGGCGCACTTTTTTTTCTCAATTATTTTCGATAAAGTGTCTCCTGTGACGCAATTGTTAAAAATTTTAATTTAACTAGGCTTAAATTAAGCCATTGGTACTAGAAACAACATTGATAAATTTCAAGAAAGTTGGAGATTAAGATAAATACAAAAAATGTCATCCTGTATCTTTAAAACTATACATTTCGGGACACATGTTCATAAGAACTTTTTTCCATTTTTTTTTGAAGAGGAATCATCCTGTATATGTAAAAAAAGTTACGACTTATAATGTTATTCCTTTAGAAGAAAACACAAACAGTGATAAAATACCGGCAAAGAAAAAATCCAGAGAAATTATTGGTTCGGAGCTCATGTCTTGTAATCGTTGTGATAAGCAATTTTCAAGTGTTTCTTTGATGCATATTCACAAGATGCGAGTCCACGAGGAAGATTATATTTGTAACTTTTGTAATGTTGCCTTCAAAACATTACAAAATCTACGAAGACACAATCAACAGTGTCAGAAATGTAAGTGAATTTATTCTGTTATTTTCAATGACATAAGAATACAAGGACCAAAGGTATTTAGCACCAGTGCCGTGCCAGAGGGTTAACATAAAAAATGCAGAATTAAATATTTTTTGGATGCTTTTTAATTTTATTTTTTTCATGTCGGGCTTTTATAATAAAACGGATTATTAATTTTTTTAGCTCACAAAATTAGTTTGTAAATGGAACCAGGTGTCGACTAAATTGGGGAATTTACTAAATTTAATTTAGTACTTACTGTTATGAATTTTTAGACTTATTTAGTTATGAATAATATTTCTTTATTTGTGTTATTGATAAATGTTTTGCCTACGCCTGTGGTGGATACTACTTTTTTAGGTGGTTTTAATACCGATTATTTAAAGAAAAAAGTATTAAAACGTTAACAAAAGATACAAAACTAGTATGGACTATTAGGCAGCACGTATAGTATATCAGAAAAATAATTACAAATTCAATAAAAAAACCAAAAGATGATATAAAACCTAGAAAAAACGTAATTCCTGGTTCTTTCTTCTCACTGCTTTTAAGGCACGTCCATAGTGCACCGGCTTACCGCTCTTCGTTGGCCGGCTTATTTTTTTCGTAAACCTGCGCCATTGAAGCAGGTGGTGGCCATTAACAACTGCTTGTATGAAGCGGGAATGTCATTTGGTATCATGGAACTATCCCGTGGGAATCTATTATGTCTTTTTATTAGGTAGTGATAATGTTCATATTAAACTGATACAAAAAAGTACTAATATACAGGGTGGTCCGAACTGTATTCCGGAAACTTTGGCAGCATATTCTGCAGATAAAAATAAGTAAAAAAGTTCGTATAAATGTGTGTCCTAAAATGCTTGGTTTCGGAGATATATGGTGTAGAAGTTTCATTTTTATTTCCATTTTTTCCAAATAATTTCTGAAGTAACGTCGATATTTGGATGAAAATTGGTGTCTGCGAGTTTTTTGACGTGAGAAATTTGATTTGATTTAAGATCAAGTTATTATAAACAATTTGCAAAAAAGCACTACAAACAATTCCACTATTTTATAATCTTAGAAATATTCAGAGTACACTCAAGATAATTCATACTTATAATTGAAATATATTATTTATTTGATAGTCAACTTACGACTTAAAAAAAGCTAATAAACGTGCTTATATTTAGTATTTATAGATTTGTATTCAGTTAAGATAAAAAATGAAAATAAAAAAATATCACTTTTGGCCAGGTTTATAGACCAAATACCCCTATATGCGGCGCCGGCGCGGCGTTTGAATATGGTTAGGTTAGGTTAGGTTAGGTAATCAGGTAAATTTCCTCTTAATTAACTACTTCCGAACCCTGCTCGCATCTCCGAAAAAGCCATATAACAATACACGTGATGCATATACGCAAAGTTACGCATCACGTGTATTGTTATATGGCTTTTTCGGAGATGCGAGATGTGAGCGATATTTGAAGATGCGAGTGATCAAGAATAGGTACCCTGAGCCGGCCCTGGTTGCCGGTAAGCAGAAACCTGCCTCCACTATGTTCGTACCCTTATGCCCACTTGCACCGTTTGTATAAACTTTGTTTAGAGGCTAAACAGTGATTAACTATACATATTTTATTATCGTTAATCACTGTTTAGCCTTTAAACAAAGTTTATAGAAACGGTGCAAGTGGGCAATAGTCTGCGATAAAGCGAGAAGTGGGAAGCCGGTGCACTATGGACGTACCTTTACACTTGAAAGCTGAACGATCCGTTTATGTGCGTTACGCGTTCTTGTATTCTTTAGTCGTTGGTTATTTCATTGTTATTTAATTCAATTTTTTATTTAACCTCTAGTGAAAAGTGTTAATACGAGCGATTCCGTTCTGTCAAAAAGGCCGCATCTTCCAGCAAAAGCAAAGAATCACCTTAAGAAGTGGTTATTTAGACATACGGAAGTAAGTTTTATATAGATTAAATAAATATAGTATTTTTACATAAAAACATGTACGTTTTTAAGCATCCTTATCCGACAGATGTGGAAAAGCAACAGTTAATGAAGGAGACGAATTTATCATTGTTGCAAGTGGAAAATTGGTTTATTAATGCCCGAAGAAGAATATTGTCCGATTTAACGCGACTGAAATATATGAGGAGAAGATCTCGACGTAAGATAGAGTCTATTATAATTGTACAGGGTGTCCCATTTTCGTGTTTTTAACAGAGTTTATTGTTCATGAGTAGAGATATAAAGATGCGGTTTTCACATCACTAAGCTACTTTTTTGTACACACACATATTTGTCCTTAGATTCTGAAATACAGGGCGAATTTAAAGTTGTTGCAGTTTTCGACTCCCCTCGCAGTTATCTTGAGGTGCGTTTAGACTTGATCACGCACGCACTGATCCTTCGCGAATGCTCTAGTGTAAACGCCTGTGCGCGCACGCTCACCCTTTTTTCGGCGGTTTTTTGGTCGGTGCTCAAAGGGATTTTGAGTTCGCGAACGCCGAGTTTGCACCGGCATGGCAATTTGTTTTGTGTGCGTGCGTGCGTACATTCACCAACACAACTCTGGTGTTCGCGTGGATCACTTCATCAGTGGATCACTTCATTCGTCGAAAAATAAGTTTTTAATTTAAACGAAGCCGAGAACGCGAACGCTCAGCTCGTGCGTGCTTAAATCTAAACGCACCTTTATATAGCTGTTATTCTTGAAAAGGACCCTAACTTGAAAGGACTTGAAAAGAACAAAAAAGTAGCACTAAGTGAGTAAGTAAAACAGCATCTTTGTATCTCTACTTATAGCTAAATAAAACACTAATTCACTAATCATAGATGTCACTAATAAGTAGAAGATTAAAACACATTTTTAGGAAACATATGAGGCGTCAAGTTACAAAACCCGCCTTATCAATTAAAAAAAAATAGCCTAATGACATGTATTAGTAGCGGAATCTATATAAACATAGTTCCAAATTGCAGTAAAAGTCGCCTATTGCTATATAAAATTCACTACAATTTACGTTACTGCATCAAAATCCTTCTTATATACTTATATTTACTTTTTATTGTCATTATTGTTGCAAATACCGCATTTTTTCTTAGGCTTTTTACACAAGTGTAATATTACTACTGATGTCTTATCTATTTCAAATCCTTACCTAATTTTAATAAAGTAGTATATCTAATAAATCAAGTTAGGATGCAAATATCTTGCTGTAGCAAATCCCAGAATATGCATCGTACTGCTACAAAACCCGCCTTATCCGATTTATTTTTGTGTTTTTTCTCTTTAAAAATGAATTATTAATTTTCATTTCTAGAAAAACGAGATACAAAACAATGATTCCACTCAGTGGACACGTTTTTTTTTTGTAAAATAACGATTCAAACATTTGATAAAACAGTTTTTGCATAATATTATCTCAAAACAACATTTTTGAGATAAGACAGGTTTTGCAACTTGACACCTCAAATGTAATCACACCTCTTGTTTGGTCCACAACCATGCGAGCATTATCAGCAAAAGCTGCTGATGATGCTAACATAGTTAGCGAAACGCGCGTCCAGTGCAATGATTCCAATCCTCAACTGTAATCTCACTCTTTAACAAGAAACCCTGTAAAACACACGAAAATGGGACGCCCTGTACCTTTTAAAATGTGATTTTTATAAGTTTCTTTTTTCTTTTCTTAGCCTCAGACCGTATAGAGCTTGAAGAGTCTGAGGAGGTGATGATGCGTTATAGAAACGAAGGAGATATTCCGAATATTCGATTGATTAGTGATCTTATCGATCCATTGACAGCCGGTTTGGATGACGCTAGCGAGAGCCCCGATACTCACAATAACAGTACTGAAACTGAAGATGAAAATTCAGGGAAAAATATAAAGGAAGAAGAGTCATCTGAAAATTCAGAGGAAGAGGAAGATCCCCTAGAAAATATTCCGCTTATCAAGATCGCTAAAAGGATTAAAATAGAAGTAGATGAACGATAAAATAGCGTTGCTTAATTATAAGATAGAATAATGAAATCATTTTCAAAGTGAATTAGATATTGGATTAAACTAAAAAAATATTTTTTTTGTTGGTAAACAAATACTTTTTATTTTTACGTTCGCACTACAATTTATTAGGTATATATGTATGAGAATATGGTGTATTTTAGTTCCTTAGTTTTTATACAAATTTTCTTTAATATATATTTTCCATTTTTTAATAAATTTCTTCATTTACACTGTCATATACAGAGTGTCCCTTTAGGTTAGGTTAGGTTGCTGGGATTTGGGATCCTGTTTGATTCCTTACTCGGAGGCCTTGGATCCATTGCGATGTCGCTGATGTTGGCTTCTGCTCTGCTTCTATCAACTAACAACTAACTTCTCTCAACTAAACTATCAAAGAATAATGAGACTTCTTATAAAATTAACACTTTTATTTCATTAAAATTACAGGTAATATTTTATAAATTACTTTAGAAGTATTTACAATATATCTATTTGAAATTAAGCTAACATTTCATTTTTTTTTCATATCAAGGTGTGACAATTTGGAATGTTGATGTAAATTATACCATATGATGAAAATATAAACGGCGTCAGTTATCATAGAAATACTAACGATGACATTTTATATGTAAAATTATATGGTGAATGATATCGCTCGGCATTTCTACAAAAACTTAAACGCGGCGCCTTTTTTAATCATACAGTGTTGTCAAAGTAAAATATACAGTTTATGAATGAAAATTGTCTGGTATTTTGGCTAGATTATTAAAAATGTTCTCATTTGTAATAGTTACATAGAATATTTGTACAGTATCAGAGATAAAGTCCGAATTATATGGGCCTTTTTTTGTGCACGTCCTTGGGTGAAATTTGACATCGACAATAGTTTCTGCTTTAAATTGCAATAAAAATGACATTAAATTAAACATGCTGTTTTCGAGGATCTGTCAAATTTGACATTTAAATTAATAAATCGTTGAAAAGTTAGTTCAGTGCAAGAATACTATAGAGATAAGGATAGTTCGATTCCTACGTCGTAAACTATCAGTTTCTTTATTAGGGGCCAAAATGATACTTCTGTGGCGAGGCTGTACGTTTGACATACAGTCGAGACACAAAAAGTTATTTTTACTCCGAATAGAACATGCTTTTTTTTTCAAACATCACAAATAAATATTTTAAACAACTTCAAACGTTCCAAATAATATAAAGATATTTAAAAGTAATACCTTGTAAGTAATTATATATCTAGAAACTATGGCAGAGTCTATGGTTACGCTCGTTGAATTTCACACTTTAGGCCAGTTTAAGAATATATTTTCATACTTTTCCTTAGGCGTAAAAGTGCTTACTTTTATAGCTAGGCGTTAAAATGAGTTTTTTATATCGTCACAATAACTTAATACTTTGGTGACGTTTGGAAAAAAATAGTATATTGTTTTATTAGGAGTAAAAATGATACTTTTTGTGGAGAGACTGTATGTTTGACGGACGAGCGAAGGTCTCTGAGTGACGTAAACATCCACGGCGACGATTTGACGCGATCGAACTGTTTTTAGAATATATTATAGTCCTTGAGTTCAGTGGCCGAATTTTCAAAAACTTTATTAGATTTGGCGTTATTTAAAAAAAAAAATAATGCCCAGTCAAATTTGACCAAGAAATCAATTAATAAAAAAGTTCCATATGAGGCGCACTTTATCTGACACACTGTACATCTATATATTATAGTTTTTATAAGGAGTATTGTATTATAATTAGTAATGATATTTCAGTTTTACCAGATTTATCTGAATATTGTTAATAACGTTAATACTTTACTATTAAATCTTCAATTCACAATTTTTTTTGGAAACACTTATTACATAAAAAATAGGAAATATTCACATACTATTTTACATAACCTTAAACTAATGTAGGTATTAGAAAAATCCACCGAAAATGTTTTTAACTATTTTTCTTATCCTACACTACCACTAGCCGCGCTACTACCACTAAGTTTTCGGCCAATCAGACTAGAGGATTGTTTGTAGACAGTCGAAGCGGCGCTCAGGTAAAAGTCTTCTTCGTCGGCACTAGAGGGCGTTGGCGAGCGAGTTGGCGGTGACAGAACAGGGTCGTCCTGATCTTGGTCTTGCAGTATCTGTCGAAAATCTTGTATCGACTCATTCAACGACCACAGTTGTGATAACAGGGACAAATCTTGTTGCCGTAGACTATACTACAAAAAAAAACATATAATTAGAATGTAGAATATAAATGAAATACCTTACGATCGAAAAAAGGCGTCAAACACGGCTCGGGAATGACAATCTGTGATAATTTTGGAGAGGTGAAGCCCTAGACGTCATTTACTTTGCTTCATCTCTTCTTTATTGAAGTGAAACTTCTTTACGCGCATAAAAAACTATTTGTTACACACAAAAAACTATTTTTTACGTGTAAAAAATTATTTTTTACGCGGGAAAAACTATTTTTACCGCGTAAAAAATATTTTTTTAATTTATTACTTTTTCAACATTTCAAACTACACTTTTTTAAACATGTCCAGCCGTTAGTAAGAATGGCGGTTACTGCCATTAAAAAAGAAGAAGGTTGTTATTTATTTTTGTATTGAGAAAAAAGAATTTTTGGAAATAGATTTGTGTGTCTGGAAACGTTCTATCCATTTTGATCTTTCTTTATTTAGTGTTAATTTTAGACAAGTTGGATGCCAATTTTTGGTAAATGACGTCTAGAGATTGACCTCGCCAACATTATCATTGATTATCATTTCCCAGTCGCCTTTGACGCCGTTTTTTTAGATCATACGGTATCTTTACTAATAAGCGAGATAACCCTCTGCTGCAACCAAAAGGGGACCCTCTGTACACGGTGAGTCAACGATAAAGTTTAATATTTCGTTTGAGAGGTATTAAAACTGTTAAATATAAAACAAGTTTTCAGGTATGGCAAATAATTACGGTGAGTAGCTATTGTTTCTGAATTTGGTGTACTCAAATCTGGAGGAGTTTTATAGATATGAAAAGAAATATGCTCAAAATAACTTTATGAATTTCAACTATTTAAAATTAAAAAATCTAAAATTTTTAAATGGCACACCTATATATTATAGTTTAGAGCCAATAAACTTTTAGAGTAGCCTTTTTATAACATAAAATATCAATATTCAAAAAGATCATAACCGCTTCTCAATAAAAAATAACAAAAAATAAAAACCAACAGATTTACTTTGCAAGGCCGTATAATTTCACTTATCGTATATTATCTGAAGGAGAAATTTCCATATTAATCAAGCGTTACATTTTATTGGAAATTAACTTTTCACGTGAATTTAACACGTGAATGATATTTAAAACGGTATTTATCCTTGTCTTTTTTTTTGTTTGCGAACGTTGGTAGTATTTAAAAACAATTTTCTCACGTGTAAGTATTAAAAAGATAAAAACAACATTAACTAGGTATACCAGCATATTACTATCACTTTATGTAGGCACGTGAATGCAAATAGAAGAGGTTTACAGTTATTAGTAAAGAAAAAACAAAAGTATAACTAAATGCCGGATAATAATAAAATCGTTTGTATTTTCTTTTTGAGCACTGATTTTATTTATCAAAATGAAATTGGCAAAACCTAAAGTAATGTACAACGAAGTGGTAGAGAGAATAGACGTTCCAACATAAAACACAATACTGGAAATAGTAAAAGAATATTTGGGACAACTAATACACAGCTCAGGACTTCTACTACCAGAAATCAACAGAAGAATTAAGCTAGTATCGAGTACATATGGAAGAAACTTTTTCATATTAAAATCTAGAATGTCACTCTATCTAAAGAACAAAACATTCGATGAATATGTACTACCAGTCATTCATAACCTATGCATGCGAAACCTATACACTTAAAACGGACATTATAAGGAAACTACAGGTAGCACAACGCTGAATGGAACGAAATATGCCGGTAATAACCAAGAAAGACCGTAAAAGAATAGAGTGGATACGACAAAAATCCAGGTAATAGATGTCATCAACAGAATCAAATCCCTTAAGTGGCAATGGGCAGGACACCTGACGAGAAGGACTGACAATAGATGGACCACAATAATTACAGCATGACACCCACGAGGAATTAAGAGAAGAACTTGGATACATAATTAGAAATACATAATATTACAATATTGTTAATTATACAGGGTCGCTGATATGTAAACGGTCGATTATTAGGTAAAATATACGAGGTGCCGCAAAAAGTTAAATATAAAAGTTATAGGGTTTTTAAATATCTATTAGCGAGTAATAAATTTAAGTATACAGGGTCGGTCATAAAGTCGTGGTACTTCAAAGTTTTTTTTTAATGGAACCCCCTGTATATTACTGCATATTTCAATTCTTCCTTCGATACTAATAAAAAATCGAGATACACATAATGTACCTCAAACCAACCGTTTCTGAGTTATTGACTTTTGCAAATATCACTTAAACAATTCGATTTAATTAATTTCGATGTGTTCGGTTTCATTTAACGATGCTATTTTGCGGAAACTGTGATACTTAATAATATTTGAGATTCGTTATCAAGTTAGCATTTATAGATGTATAAAATGAGATTATATTAAGTCTGGAAATTACAAAATTTTCGTTTAACATTTCATAATCAAAACTTCATAATTCGGAAATGGTTGAATTTAGGTACATTATGTGTATTAGAAATATTGCTTGAAATTGAAGGAAAAACTGAAATATGCAATAATATACAGGGGGTTGCATTTACAAAAAATAATTTTTTATGTGCCACAACTTTATGACCGATCCTGATACTTGAATTTATTACTAGGTACTAGACATTTAAATACCCTATAACTTTTGTATTTAACTTTTTGCGGTATACCTTGTATATTTTACCAAATAATCAACCGTTCCGATACATAACAGCGACCCTGTTCGGTGTAGAGACAGAAATTTACACAGAATTTTAAAATAAAATAAAAAATAGGGTGTTTTATTTAAAACAAAAACAGTTTTATCTGTCACACCTATTTGAAATACCCTGTATACTCAAAAATAATTTAAAATTGTATGTCTTAACATTCCCTTAAACTTTCATATTTAACATTTTTTAATACCTATCAAAATAAACGAAATAATAAACTTTATCGTTGATTAATCTTGTACAGAGTGTGGACGCCCTGTATATTTGTCTTCTTACACTATTCATAATCAAGTACAATTCACCTTTGTGATTAGAAAAAAGATATTTTGAAAATAATAAAAGAGAAAACGAGGGTATAGATATTTTTTGAAATTTCTCTGATCTAGCCTAATTAAAATTCAACTTAGATAGTATGTAAATTTTGGAAAAAACCATGTCACGATACATATTGGTAACGTACCTACAATGTCACGGTGAACAGCCGGACTGTTATAAATCGAATGTATACATGAACCTCGACGTGAATATAAATTACGTACCTACAATTTTTGAATAGGAAGAAACAGTAGTTCAGGTAAAAAGTTTCCCCAGCTAGTTGAAAATGCACAAATTTTTAAAAAATACGTTATTTGTTTTATACATATTAGAATTTGAATGCATGTAGATTGAACAAAAATACTAATTTTTTATAGATGACTAGTTGAAGCCTGACGCATCCGCCACGACATCAGGAAAATACTTTTTATTTTTTGTCTAATTAAATGAAACACAAAAAATCCGGCGACGACAGTTTTTAGTAGAGCCAATTAGCTATCTTTTAGTTAGACACAGATAAACATTAGCATTTTATATATGTAGATTGTTCGTGAAAACTGTTAAAAACTAAACTATACCGGGTGCGTCTCAAAAGTGGCTCGCCCTTATAACTTTTTGATTTTTTCTGATAAAAAACGAGACTTGGTATGGTAGTATATCACATAAATTAGGATTGATTGACGTACTCAGTTGTTTTTGGTAACTTCCTGTTTCACCGGAAATGACTACAACTTTTGATTTTTAAATGGCACCCTCGGTATTTTTTTTACTTTATTCGATAGAAAAGGACATTCTGAATAGAATGACATATCATATGTCAACTTTTGACATTCTTGCTTAATAAAAAATCGCATTTTAAACTTCAATCTAGAGTGAATTTTCTATCGAATAAAGTAGAAAAATACTGAAGGTGCCATTTAAAAAACAAAAGTTGTAGTCATTTCCGGTGAAACAGGAAGTGACCAAAAACAATTCTGTCCAAAAACAAAGTCTGTCCAAACGAGAGAATATCTGACAGTGACAGTTGTCTGTCGAAATTTTCCCTGACCCATCGGACAGACGGTAGTTCAGACGTGTATTTATTTTGTCGTTCACCTTTTTTTATTTTTTAATATAAGATGTTAAAATATTTTTTATATAAACATATATTTTGTTATAAAATATATTTCAATAGCTTTTATTAATTTCTATAGGGACAAAATAACTAAATATACAGAATTGTTTAGCTAAATGTTTAGATTTTTTAAAATTATAAACGTTGGAATCATTAAAGAACTACTAAAGCTACGATGTAAAATTCTTTTCAAAAGGTGTCTCCCAAATAAATAAAAAATATTAAATTTAAAACTGTATATTATTACATTTATAATGTCTATGATTAAAATAAAAGCAAGTTTGATTAAGGTTTTACCTCATTTATATCTTATCGTTTTTGAAATAAATATTTATAATTTTGTGAAATCGCAGTAACAATTTTAATGATTAATTTCCCTAGGCTTGTTTAAATTTTTTAAACCAAATACGCACTGAAGCTTTTTTATTTACTAAATATTGTGTTGCAGGAATAAAAATAATTCTACCTTATATTGCAAGGTGTCTAAAAATTAAATCTAAATAATTACTAGCTTAAAACCGCCAATAATTTGTTTAATATAAATTAAATACCCTATATACTGCAAGCATCAGATGCAGCACAATTTAATTGTCTATCAAATTTTAATACACACTTCTTTCGGTAACTTTTCAGGTTTTCGTAAGAAATGCATATTTTTATAATCTGGACTTTATTTATCAATGTACTCATGGAATTTTGGCATTTTAGATTTTTTTTAATAAAATTTAATCATTTATATATTACTATATAATCACTTGAAGACATTTTTGATTCGCTTTGTATTTATGCATCGAATTTAACGAGGATTGTGGCGTTTGAATAACGGTGTTCATTTCACGAACGATGCAATATAAAGCATTTTCAGACCGTGGTAGTACCGGCGACCTCGTGGGTACGTCTATTATTGTTGTACCTTTCATCTTAAAATACCAGTTTCGACACGAACGCGTTAAAGGTTGTTGTTAGATGAAAATATTTTGCAATACGTAAATGTAAATCAAATTCTACTTGTAAATACTGTAATTTTGCAGAATTTTTGTAAGATTTTTTTTCAAACATCACAAATTATTTTTTCAATAATTCGCAAATAATATAAAAAGTAATACCTTGTAAGTAATTATGCAGGGTTGTTCACCACATACAAGGACTATTAGAGCTACAAGTTAAAAATATTTTTACAAGATACACAGTGTCTTAAATATAAAAAAAATATTATAGTTGTATTTTTTAAATGGAACACCCTGTATATTATTTTATTTTTAGATTCTACGATTGAAATAAAGGTAAATTTGATTAAGATAACACTTAAACCTTACTGTTTTGAAATATTTTCAATTTTATGAAATTACAGTAAAAATTTTAAGGCTTCATTTCTTCAAGGGTATCAAAGGGTTTAATACTAAATATTTACTGAAGTTTATTTATTGATCAGATATTGTGTTGCAATAATAAACAAAATACTACCTTATACCGAGTGTCTAAAAATCGATATTAAATAATTACTAGCTTTAAACGGCAATAATCTTATATACAGGGTGCGTTTTCTACAATGTTCTCTGTGGGTATCTCGGAAAGTACTAGAGATAGAGAGTCGGTTAAATGGGGAAAGAATTGCAGTTTTGGGGGGTCATGATGATAAAACAGTTTCTATTGAACTTTTAGCACAAAAACATTTCAAATTTATGATTTCAGTCTAATAACTATTTAGTCAACATGTTTAATTAATGTCAATGATATCAGGTATTGATAAATTCGATTCCAAATATCTCGGAAAACATTACTGTAGCGATTTTTACCAAGAGACCTTTTTAAGTAAAAAACGTCGTAAATGTATATTTTTTAACTCAGTATTTTTATACAGGTAGGGACAAAAAGTTATTACTCTTCAAACAAGTTAAAAAATATGTAGGTGGCGCCCTCTACTAGCAGGAGTTATATTGACATGAAAATAAAATTTCTCATGTCAAAAAACTCCCAGACACGTTATTGACGTTACTTCAGAAATTATTTGGAAAAAATCGAAATAAAAATCTTACAAATATACGCCTTTAAAATTTTTGAAAAAGTTCATGGCTTACTAGATATTTCGAAAAAAAAACAAATTTAGGCTATTTTAAAAATTGTCTTTAATTCCATTATAATATATTTTAGACAAAAAGTTTTCAGATAAAAGTTGAAGATAATCACATCCTTAATAAGATTGTGTCCTCCGTTTTTTTCTAAAGCCTGTCATTTTTGACATATGACACAAACACAGGTTTTTTTAAATGGAAACCATAGTTGGCCATGACTTCATAAAAAGCGCCATTTTTTAGGCTTTTCAGCGTTATAAGTTATAATATGTTTTTTTTTTGAAAAATGACTGAGCCAATTCTTATAATTTTTAAACAATTTCACTTAGTTAGCCATGAAAACAGGTTCAATTGTCGTTGCTTTCAGAGATTCCAAACTGTCACATCCAAACTTCGTAAATTAAAATAAACAAAAATTGCAAATATGAATTTTTAGTAGGATTTGTGATTCAACCTTTCTTGGATACTAGCGCATCAATAGAGTGGTTCCAACATGACTTTCATTATGACACATTCCCCCATAATGAAAGATATGTTAAAAATTATTTATATTATAATTATGCAAACTCGGGGATAGGAAGAGGTGGGCCAATTGCATGGGCCTCCTCGATCACCTGACCTATCCATTTTAGATTTTTTTTATGCGGTATGGTTAACAACAAGGTTTACAAAAGAACTTATGAATTAAGAGAGGCACTCGAAGAGGCGGTTCGGGAGAAGTTTAAGTCGACCGGTCGTTCTGTGAGAATAGTTAGTAACTCAGTTTTAAAAAGATGCATTTATATGTACTCAAAACAATGGCGGATTTATGAACATTATCTAAAATAAATTCATACTTACAAATTTTGTTTATTTTAATTTACAAAGTTTCGATGTGACAGTTTCACATTCCTGAGAGCAACTACATGAACTTGTTTACATGGCTAACTAAGTGAAATTGTTTAAAAATGATAAGAATTGGCTATAACTCAGTAATTTTTCGAAAAAAACATATCATAGCTTATATCGCTGAAAAGCTTAAAAAATGGAGCTTTTTATAAAGCCATGGCCAACTATGGTTTCCATTAAAAAAAAACATATGTTTGTGTCATGTTAAAAATAACAGGCTTTAGAAAAAATCGGAGAACACAAACTCATTAGGGATGTGATTATCTACAACTTTTTGTCTAAAGTAGATTATAATGGAACTAGGGACAATTTTTAAAATAGCCAAAATTATTTTTTTTCGAAATATCTAGTAAGCCAAGAACTTTTTCAAAAATCTGAAAGTCGCATATATGACCCCACAAAACTGCAATTCTTTCCCCATTTACCAACTCTTTATCTCCAGTAGTTTCCGAGATACCCATAGGAAACCCCCAAGATACCCATCGTAGGAAACTCACCCTGTATACACCCAATACTTAAAAACTCTTATACTTATAAATTTTAATTTATATTTTATTTATATTATTATTAATATTTATTATTTTTAAATTACTTATAAATATTTTAAAAAACTACTTACCATTTCTCGTCTCAAAATGGCTAACTGTGTATCCATATTCGTTGTTTTCGTTGTGTTTAGTCCGTCATTAATCGATTGACTGGAATATGTCGATGATACATGATGCATAGGCGTCATTTGAGGTCCCTGATTGGATCGTATGGAACTAGACCTTACCGGGGTTGCCGGATTTTGTCGTTGCCCTTGTAAATGACCGTCTATGAAATTGAATCCCGACAGGGATTTAGGCAGAGGAGGTAAACCGTGTAAATGCGACATTTTGGCTATCCTGAAAGAGGTAGATAATATAATTATTAATATAATAATAATTAATTATTGAATTATAATAACACATTATACAGGGTGGTCCGAACTGCATTCCGGAAACTTCGGCAGCATATTCTGCAGATAAAAATAAGTAAAAAAGTTCGTATAATTGTATGTCCTAAAATGCTTAGTTTCAGAGATACAGGGTGTAGAAGTTTCATTTTTATTTCGATTTTTTCCAAATAATTTCTAAAGTAACGTCAATATTTGGATAAAAATTGGTGTCTAGAAGTTTTTTGACATGAAAAATTTGACTTTGATATCAATATGGTTCCTACTAGTAGAAGGCGCCACCTACATATGTTTTAACTGTTTTGAAGCGTAATAACTTTTTGTCCGTACCTATATAAAACTCCCGAGGGAAAAAATATACATCTCAGTGACTTTTTACGGAAAAAATTTCTCTTAGTAAAAAGCGCTACGAACAACCGTTCTCAAGATATTTAGAATGGAAATAGTCAATACATGTCATTATTGACGAAAAATAAACACGTTGAGTAGATAGTTATTTCACTGGAATAAAATAAATTTGGAAAATTTTTATTTTTTTTAAATTAATCATAATCTATATATTAATATAAATATCATCATTTTTCTGCAAAAAATGATGATAAAACAGTTTCTATTGAACTTTTAGCACAAAAACATTTCAAATTTATGATTTCAGTCCAATAACTATTTAGTCAACATGTTTAATTAATGTCAATGATATCAGGTATTGATAAATTCGATTCCAAATATCTCGGAAAACATTACTCGTAGCGATTTTTACCAAGAGACCTTTTTTAAGTAAAAAACGTCGTAAATGTATATTTTTTTACTCAGTATTTTTATACAGGTAGGGACAAAAAGTTATTACTCTTCAAACAAGTTAAAAAATATGTAGGTGGCGCCCTCTACTAGCAGGAGTTATATTGACATGAAAATAAAATTTCTCATGTCAAAAAACTCCCAGACACGTTATTGACGTTACTTCAGAAATTATTTGGAAAAAATCGAAATAAAAATGAAACTTCTACACCCTGTATCTCCGAAACTAAGCATTTCAGGACATACATTTATACGAAGTTCTTTACTTATTTTTATCTGCTGAATATGCTACCGAAGTTTCCAGAATACCAAACCAAACCAAACCACCCTGTATTATAAAAAAGTTTTTCCTCTTGTAAAGACAATCCGGGGACATACTGTAAAGCGTTAAAATAAGGTTATACCTTCCGTCGTCTCTTATTACACCCTGTAGTCATTTCCATATACACCATATTCATTTTACATCACAACTTTTGTCACAACGTTGTTCGCGATTTAATTTTTCTACGTGTTACAATATATTAACGGTTGTTTATATTTTTTATTACGAGTCGGCAATTTGCACTTGTTACCTATCCTCCGCTACTGAAGTTAACCCCCCCCCCCTCCTCTAAGAATTGATGAGGAAGCATTTTAACACTTTTCTTTATACTGTTTGATCGAGAGAAAAAACGGTGTCAAAGACGGCTGGGTAATGATAATAATCAATGGTAATTTTGGCGAGGTCAATCTCTAGACGTCGCGTCGCTTACTAAAGATTGACATAAAACTTGTCAAAAATTAACACTAATTATAGAAAGATTTAAAAAGGATAGAACGTTTTCAGACACAAAAATCTATCCCCCAAAATACATTTCATTTCATTCGATATAATAATAAATTACAACCTTCTTAAAGCCAACTGGCAGTAAGTGCCATTAAAAAATAAAGAAGAGTATGGGCCAAGTAAATAACGTCCAGGGCTTGACCTCGCCAAAAATTATCCTTGACTGTTTTTTTCGACCATATGCTATATTTCAATTATCGATATCTACCAGACCTGAAAATATTTGCACTTATTTAAGACTCACCCTGTATGTGTTCATAACAATTTAGACACTAATACCATTAAAATTCTAGCAGCTACGATGCAAATAAACGTTTCTTACTAGATATATTTTTTATTAGTACATCCTGATTATTTTATACAGTATGTAATATATTTTTTAAATTTATTTCAAAAATAAAATCATTTAAATTTTACAAATACAAACAAAATATATTTGATATCAATTAAACTTTTAGTAATGTAATCGAGGGCGCGATTTTTAAATTTATTGTTGCCAACCATGGACATATTCGGTGCCGGGCTGACTAACTGGAATTTAAATTTCCCGCTGGGGATTCAGGTGGTAGCTCTGGTGTAAAAAATGTCAAGTTGCCACATTTATTTATTTTCTGACATTGTTATTCGTTTTGACATTTTAGTTTTGTATTACGAGCTTTTGGTTTAAATAAATAGTGTTATGATACTCTAAGCTTATAAATGTTTACTAGCAGACCTTGCAGGCGAACATTGTTCTTTTTAGAACCTCTTTTAGTGAGAAGAGTGCAAGATAGCTTAATTGCCGTAAAAAACTCATCGGAACTTAATTAGAATATTTTGAACGGGAAAGCGGTAGTAATGGTCCTTTATGTCCCTTAAGTGCTGTTAAGAAGGTGAGTTTTGTTGATGTAAATAATAAATAATTGTTTAAATATTTATAATTAATTTATTTTTGTTTTCCTAAAATATTTTGATTAAAAGAAAATATGTAAAAGTGGGCAACGCTGTGCCGGTCATGCTTAACCACGCGACTAAAAGTTTATTTGATATGAACTATACCTACCTTTTATAATCAAATTCAAATCCCTCATCGTTTTGTCGCCTATCCTCCTCAATCGTAATATGACAACTGGACATTTTCACTTCTTTACCATCATTCACGCCGTACCAATCGTTAGTGTGAATCTTCTCTTTGTCATTTTTTATTTTTTCATCCCCATACAAATTCGCCGATGGCATTCTTTGCCGTTTCATTATTTTCTCCTGATCGTTTTTCATGTTTTGCAACTCATCAATAAGATGCTCATGGTTTAGTTGATCGGTGAATTTAACTTTGCGTTCATTAGTAGACGTGGTACTACTACTATTATCATCGCTAATTACGATAACAGTTAAGTTATTGTCCCCCGAAGAATTTTCAACGTTATTAGAAATAATTATTTTATTTTCATTGTCGTCTTTTATAATATTCTCGGTTAAAGACGATCGATTACTGTCGCTGTTTGAATTCACTTCTAGTACCGAAGCGAACATCTCATCGATCAGAGTATTTACGTGGTTTCTGTCGTTAAGAGTTTTACTCCACTGATCGTCGGGAGTGTTGTTTTTGGTACTACGTAAACTATCACAGTTATCCGAGAGTTTGGAGGATATGCCGCTTTCCATGGTACTCGTTCGACTATCGTAATCCTCATGACATTTGCCTGTAAAATAAAAATGTTTATTCTTGTTATCTTAAACTTTAGCAACGAACAAATTTCTCACATTTATCATATAACTAAGCATATCTTAGTTTATCTTAAGCATGGTCTCATAACAAATACCAAACGAAAAAAAAACGGCGTCAAAGACGGCTGGGGAATGACAATCGATGATGATTTCGGCGAGGTCAAGCCCTCTAGACGTCATTTACTTGTCCCGAACCTGCTCTTCTTTATCTTTTAATGGCGCTTACTGCCAGTTGGACTTAACCGGTTGTAATTTATTTTTATAATAAATAAAAATGATTTTTAAACGGCGTAGTTTAAAATTCGAGAAAAAATAGTATTTTTTCAAACGTCACAAAAGTATTGCCAAATTTTTGCGACGTGACTGACAATACAGGGTGAGCCTTAATAAGTTCAAACAATTTCAGGGGTGGTATATTTCGACCCCAGGAACACGTCTAGAGGTTTTTTTCGCTAAAAAAAGATGTTGAAAAGCGTGCATTTTCATATGTGCATTCCCCCCCCAGGTATAAAAGGGATGCAAATACAGAAAAAATCCGGTGACACTCAAATTTTTTTCAAAAAAAAATCATTTTTTTTTTAATTTTCAAACTTAAATAACTCGGTTATTCTGGACTTATCTGAAAAATGGTAAAGAGAAAATATGTTTCTTTTATCGAGATCTACCAGCCCTGAAAATATTTGCACTTATTTAAGACTCACCCTGTATAAAAAGTCATTTTAACGCCTAGGCATAAAAGTGAAGCACTGTTATGCCTAAGCACAAAAGCACGAAAATATATTATTAAACTGACATAAAGTGTCAAATTCAACGAGACGTAACCATAGTTTCTCGATATAGGTATTATTACATAGAAGGTATGATCGAATAAAAACGGCGTCAGCGATGGCTATGAAATGACGATCGATGACATTTCCCATATAATTTTACATATAAAATGACAGCGATCTTTATTTCATAGCCATCGCTGACGCCGTTTTTATTCGATCATACGGTATTAGTTTTAAATCTTTTTATATTATTTGGAGCATTTGAAATTGTTTAAAAACTATTTGTGACGTTTGAAAAAAATAGCATGTTCTATTCGGAGTAAAAATTACTTTTTGTGGCTCAAAAAGTGTCATTTTTACTCCTAATAAAACAATATATTATTTTTTTGAAATAGATATGTGTGTCTGGAAACGTTCTATCCTTTTTTCATCTTTCTATAATTAGTGTTATTTTTTGACAGCTGTCATGTCAATTTTTAGTAAAGCACGTCTGGAGATTGACCTCGCCAAAATTATCATCAATAATTGTTATTTCCTAGTCATTTTTTTTCGATCATACGGTATTAACGACATCGTACAGAGTGTACCATTTACATTTTAGTTGGAAGTGAAGGTAATTTATATTATTTATTAGCTTCGCTTATTAGTAAAAATAGAACATTGCGGTTTTAGCAAACCTTACATCGTTTTTTTGTAAAGAAGAGACCAAAGACGCCTCAAACTAGTATTATTGTTTCTTAGTTTTTATCAAACAGAGTGATTTTGAAAATATTACAATTTCAGACACCCCTCGTATCTCAGTTGTCCGACGAATTATGAAAAAGAGTTAATATTATATACGGGGTGTTTCAAAAAACATGTGCCATCTCTTGTAAGGAAATTCCTCACGTAAAAATATGATATATTTTTGTAGCTACAGGGGATTAAAATCTGCATTTTTCCGATTTATTACAATTTTCTTCCAAGTGCTTTTAGCGATTCAAATGAAATGTTGAGGGTAAAAGTTACTACGTATATGTTACTATATGTGTATAGTACTAAAAAAGTGTCGACAGGGACGTGCATATGGGTTATTACTGGAATATTTTTCTAAAAAAAGGATGTGCGCTAATGACTTTTTTCTTTCCTTATCACATTTGTATAGGCCGTTTAATATTCCGATTAATAGTTGTATCTTGATATTTTGTCGATTTCGACCTCTTTGATGAGATAAACGCAATTTTATTAATCGCAATTAATAAAATATGTCGCATTTAATAGTAACTTTTACTCTCAAAATTTCATTCGAATCGCTAAAAGCACTTGGAAGAAAATTATAATAAATCGACCAAAAATAAAGGCTTGAACACTCTGTAGCTGCGAAACAAAGTAGAATCGGACCTACGTTGATATGAAAAATAAATGTTATTTTTACATGAGGAATCTCCCCACGAGAGACGACACATGTTTTTTGAAACACTCTGTAGAACTTTTTACGCGGAATCCAGTCGCTTAATGAGTATTTTAATATTTTCATTTTTGAGATACCAGACCAATGTTTATTTATGTAAATAGGACACCTTGTATATTTATCAAGAAATTTATTTGTCTTTTTATAAACTTTTCAAAAATATATATCAATGTAGATTTATCTATGACTGTAACTATACCGGGTGCGTCTCAAAAGTGGCTCACCTCTATAACTTTTTTATTTTTTTAGATAAAAAAACGAGATTTGGTATGTTAGTATATGACATAAAATAGGATTGATAGACGTATTCAATTGTTTTTGGTCACTTCCTGTTTCACCGGAAATGACTATAACTTTTGATTTTTAAATGGCACCTTGGGTATGTTTCTACTTTATTCGATAGAAAATGACACTATGAATATAATGACATTTCATATGTCAAATTTTGATATTTTCGCATATGGTTTATTTAAAATTGTAACATGCGGTTCATAACGACAACTTGACTCGAAATACTAAGTGTGTGGTACCAAATTATTCGTAAAAAAATGCTTTTTCCAAATACGCTAAAGAGCCACCCTCGATCCATTTGCAAAAATTGAGATAATACTATGATTAAAAATACGATTTGGGCATCTTTTAACCGGCCAGGACAAGACACGAAAAACATTAGACGATCAAAACTATTTTTCCAAGGCTTCTTGATTAAAAATCAAGCGTGTTTTCAGCACAGTTTTAAACGAAAATGTCAAAAGTTGACATATGATATGCCATTCTATTCAGAATGCCATTTTCTCTCGAATAAAGTAAAAAAAATACCGAGGGTGCCATTTAAAAATGAAAAGTTGTAGTCAATTCCGGTGAAACAGGAAGTGACTGAAAACAACTGAATACGTCAATCAATCCTAATTTATGTCATATACTAACATACCAAATCTCGTTATTTTATCTAAAAAATAAAAAAGTTATAGGGGTGAGCCACTTTCGAGACGCACCCGGTATACTGAATAAATAAATGAAGTGTGGAGAGAAAAAGACATTTTTAATCGATATCTCCACTTTACAAAATTATTTTCTAAAATAAAATAAAAATAGTACATCAGGTACTCACCGTCATGCATCACGCTGAATTTATCGTCACCAATCGAATTGAAATTGTTCTTCATTAATTCGTCTTTCTCTTTAGCTGCCAAACACTCGGTATCCTCTATTTCTACTTTCTTACAATTATTATTAAGTATCAAACCAGGACCTTTTTTATCGATCACTTGCGGTCTCTGGCAGATATCATTCTTTAAAACTCTCTACTCTGTTTAAATTTGTTTGAATATTCTCCGATGTTCTTCCTATGTAAATTATCGATTCCTTATTTTGATTGATGTCATTATGAGTAGTTCTCTTTGAGCTGTCGTTTCGTTTTAGGATCGAATTCGTTCTTTTTACCTCCGTTTGGTGACTTTTCAGGTTGTCAGACAGGTACACTACAGGTCTGGAACTATGCTTGTCCACCGCAATGCTTCCTTGGTAGTAATTCTGCTTTTTTAACATGACTTTGACTTGATCCACGCCATCCGATGGGGGTGGAGGTGCTTGCCGGGCTGGAGATTTCGTTTTGTTTCGATCCACCATTTTATCACTGAAAGAGTAGTGAAAAAACATTTATATAAAGTGCTTCATATGAAATACAAAACCTATTAAGTAAAATTTAAATACCGGGTTATGTATTCGCTTAGGACAAAAATAGGAAATCCCATGTAAATTTTAAGGGTGTCGTTTATTGGCTCCCTTATCGATTTTAGAAGAAATTTTTAACGCACTGGATTAGATCAGGCTACCTATCAAATTTGAAACTCTTCCGATAAGCCGTTTTAAGGTTATTTGCAAAATTAAGTACTTAAAAAAAGTAATTTGTACCGGGTGGCCAACTAAGAATAGACGCCGGCTGTATCTCAGAAACTACTTATAGTATAATTTTGAGAAAAAATTGTTATAAGTACATCGACCAAGATAAATCGCTGGAAAGTATTTTCAAGTTCAAAAAATTTCCGTTAGGGGGCGTATCTGTGATGGCCAATCAGAAAACAGGAGATTTCTTCAAAATATTCAGGTGAAGAGGTATTTTAAATACTGCTATTGTAATCAATAGGAAATTTGTAATTTTTTTGATATAGCCTCTTTTGCTCCATCTCATAAAATAAAGTGGTGGGGGAACGTGAAACTTTCTTTTATTAAAATAAGGATACCTCTGGTTTGAGTTACCCGATTTAAACAAACTAGGGCTCGTTTACACAGTATACAGTATACATTTTGTTTTCATACATTTTTTCGTGGTAGCTAGTGGGCGCTGTTTGACATCATAACAAATATTGCGCTTTTGCATAAACAATTTAAATAGCAAGTTATATATCTTTTTGCACAGTCAAATGGAGCACAAAATTTCCAAAGTATCAGTGCAAACCGCAATTTTCTATCTCCTCTCTAACGGAAGATTTTAAGGGAAAAAATCATGTGAGGCTGCCGCCTAGGATTAAAAGGTATAAAAATTATAGTAGTAGGCTAGGAACAAAAAGAGGTAAATTGGTTACGTCAAAATAACAAAGCGGTTTAGTTTTGTTTCCAGGCATTCGAATTTCGAACATTTTCTGAGAAAAAAAATGACGTCATAATTTTTTAAACGTGTTTATGTAACATTATCGCCCATCCATATATTTTTTACTACTATCTGGTAAATTATATGTACGTAGTTGTCAGATTAAAATATCCGGAAGTCGGAAAATCAATAATTTTATTTAAATTTTTAGGAATTTCGTGCCGCCATATTGTTTTTAATAGAAAACGCGCGAATTTCGTATGGCCGAAAACTACGGTTTATTTTCATGCTAATGTCATTTAGTTATTAATCCGTTAAGTTCGTTTTTAATTTCACTGGTTTTCGTGTTTTACCTGTTGTTTGCGTTATTTATTATATATATTATTAAGTTTATGTTGTTTGGGTTTTCATATAGCAACGAAGGTGCGAATCTTAACAATAGGCACTACAGGTCCAAATCTATCCTTGATGCAAGTAGTTCAGCACCAAGACCGTTGGTCGGTAAATGTTTGGGCCGGTATTCTAGGAGGGTGAATCATTAGACTTTTTTATTCAGCTGAATGGAGGAATCCACAATTTCTAAGAGAGGGATTGCAAATTTTGTTAGAGGATCCATCAAGATGAAATTGCATTTGTTGCCATTTCAGCATGATGGTTCAATTGGTGCAGTTCTGCGCCTTATTTTGTTATGAATGTGTGTTGCTTTCTCAGCAACCATTTTTGGGGCAAACCCTTCCAGGACTTAAAAAATTTCTGTAAAAATTTGTCAAATCCTGGAAGGTAAACCAAGTACCAGTACTAGATACCTCGTAGCAATATCCGTAAAAGAGTTTTAAGTGGAGAACAAGAACCCGAGACCTCCACGAGCAGAAATGAGAATAAAATTCAAAAGAGAACTGAAAATGAAGTTTGTCCATCAATTACCTTAGTGAATTGATCAAACTGCGACATTAAAATTAAAATGAACTCAAAAAAGTTATTAAAAAATATAAAAATAATATTTGTTTATAGTGTCATAGTTAGTGGTAATATTATTCTGTGAATTACTGTAAAAACTCTTTAATAAACATTTAAACAAAACATTTAATTCGACCGTAGAAAAAATGTTGCAGTCATGACTGCAGCTCTCGACTTCGTCTTGAGCTGCAAGACTCATGCGTCGTCCAACAAATATATCCTTTTTGCACTATAGTTACACAAATAACTATTTTAACGACCTAATTTCCCAAATACTTTAAAAACGGCTTAGCGGAAGAGCTCCAAAATTGACAGGTAGCCTGATCAAATCCAGTACTTAAAAAGTTCCATTAAAAGTTTCTTGTAGAATCAATAGGGGAGCCAATAAACGACACCCTTAAAATTCACATATGGGATTTCCTATTAGATGTCCTGAGCTGATACATTACCCGGTATACAGGGTGAATCTTAAATAAGTGCACATATTTTAACAGGGCTGGCAGATCTCGATAAAAGAAAACATATCTTCTGTTTGCCGTTTTGCAAATAAGTCCAAAATGACAGAGTTAGTTTACTTCGTAAATTAAAAAGTATGATTTTTCGCTTAAATTTTGAGAAACACTGGATTTTTCTGTTTTCGTTCCTCTAAATTTAATCTATTCTATACTACAACACTGAAAATTGTTTTTTTTTCGAAAAACACAAAATTTTTATTTCGAAAAAAAGACATCATAGGCGTGTTCTTGGGTTGGAAATATACCACCTTTAAAAATATGTTCACTTACTTAAAACGCACTCTGTGTAATTTGCAAATATGACAACTAGAACACAGGGTGATTCCAGGTAGTCGTTTTCCATAAACCGATGATAGATTTTTTTGAAAATTTGGATACTACATATAATATAATGCAATGAAGTCCTTGATTTGAAACTATAATTGAGGCAGTTGCAAAACCCATCTTATCCCAAAACCGCTGTTTCGAGATAATACGCAAAAACTGTTTTAGCCATAGACTTAAAATAAAATATAGACTGAGCATCTACATACCAAATCTCGTTATTTTATCTAAAAAAATAAAAAAGTTATAGGGGTGAGCCACTTTCGAGACGCACCCGGTATACTGAATAAATAAATGTGGAGAAAATAAAAAAGTGTGGAGAGGAAAAGACATTTTTAATCGATATCTCCACTTTACAAAATTATTTTCTAAAATAAAATAAAAATAGTACATCAGGTACTCACCGTCATGCATCACGCTGAATTTATCGTCACCAATCGAATCGAAATTGTTCTTCATTAATTCGTCTTTCTCTTTAGCTGCCAAACACTCGGTATCCTCTATTTCTACTTTCTTACAATTATTATTAAGTATCAAACCAGGACCTTTTTTATCGATCACTTGCGGTCTCTGGCAGATATCATTCTTAAAACTCTCTACTCTGTTTAAATTTGTTTGAATATTCTCCGATGTTCTTCCTATGTAAATTATCGATTCCTTATTCTGATTGATGTCATTATGAGTAGTTCTCTTTGAGCTGTCGTTTCGTTTTAGGATCGAATTCGTTCTTTTTACGTCCGTTTGGTGACTTTTCAGGTTGTCAGACAGGTACACTACAGGTCTGCAACTATGCTTGTCCACAGCAATGTTTCCTTGGTAGTAATTCTGCTTTTTTAACATGACTTTGACTTGATCCACGCCATCCGATGGGGGTGGAGGTGCTTGCCGGGCTGGAGATTTCGTTTTGTTTCGATCCACCATTTTATCACTGAAAGAGTAGTGAAAAAACATTTATATAAAGTGCTCCATATGAAATACAAAACCTATTAAGTAAAATTTAAATACCGGGTTATGTATTCGCTTAGGACAAAAATAGGAAATCCCATGTAAATTTTAAGGGTGTCGTTTATTGGCTCCCTTAACGATTTTAGAAGAAATTTTTAATGCACTGGATTAGACCAGGCTACCTATCAACTTTGAAACTCTTCCGCTAAGCCGTTTTTAAGTTATTTGCAAAATTAAGTACTTAAAAAGAGTAATTTGTACCGGGTGGCCAACTAAGAATGGATGCCAGCTGTATCTCATAAACTACTTATCGTATAATTTTGAGAAAAAATTGTTATAAGTACATCGACCAAGATCAATCGCTGGAAATTATTTTCAAGTTCAAAAAATGTCCGCTAGGGGACGTATCTGTGATGGCCAATCAGAAAAGAGGAGATTTCTCAAAAATATGCAGGTGAAGAGGTATTTTAAATACTGCTATTGTAATCAATAGGAAATTTGTAATTTTTTTGATATAGCCTATTTTGCTCTCATAAAATAAAGTGGTGGGGGAAGGTTAAACTTTCTTTTATTAAAATAAGGATACCTCTGGTTTGAGTTAACCGATTTAAACAAACTAGGGCTCGTTTAAAAGAGTTTTGCTTTCTTAATAATCTACAGTATAAATTTTGTTTTCATACATTTTTTCGTGGTAGCTAGTGGGCGCTGTTTGACATCATAACAAATATTGCGCTTTTGCATAAACAATATAAATAGCAGGTTATGTATGCTTTTTGCACAGTCAAATAGAGCACAAAATTTCCAAAGTATCAGTGCAAACCGCAATTTTCTATCTTCTCTCTAACGAGAGATTTTAAGGGAAAACATCATGTGAGGCTGCCGCCTAGGATTATAAGGTATAAAAATTATAGTAGTAGGCTAGGAAACAAAAAGAGGCAAATTGGTTACGTCAAAATAACAAAGCGGTTCAGTTTAGCTTTCAGGGATCCGAATTTCGGACATTTTCTGAGAAAAAAAATGACTATAATATTTTAAACGTGTTTATGTATACTCTGTTTTTTTTCTCAGGTAAGATTTCGACAGACGATGACAGAAGAAAAGCAGATGGCGTCCCATACCAATATATTTATTTTACTAAAAAAGTTTCTAATAATTTTAAAGTTATCTATGGATGGGTTTAAATATAAATCCGTCATGCGTCGTGTCTTGTTGTTTTTAACCAGTTTTATTGGTTTATTTAAAAAATGACAGATCGTATTTCAATTTTATTGGTTTGATGGAACGATGAACGACAAACGGACGCCGATGCGTATGAACTCGCCTCTTTAGATTTTTGTCATTTTGACGCTTGTCAAAGTCTTGCCAAATTATAGGTTATAATTTTGTGTCAACTTTTGTTAAATACCCTGCGTTTTGGAAGATGATGCATTTTGATTCGTGTTATTACATGTGTTTTGTGTCTTTTGAAGTCAAGTGGAGGAAAAATCGAGTGAAAATTAACTGTAGACCCAGAGCAGAGTTTATGGTTAATACTCGCTGCCCTGGCAGAAATTCTTACACCAATGAAGTTGCCATCGATAAAGTTTGTATACCATTTCGTCGTAGATAAGTGCATCTCGTATATGGTAGAAGGATCAAACTAAACACATACTAAAAACTGGAGTAGCTGTAAAATATCGACATCACACGATAGGTAAATAATGGATTTTAGTACTACAGAAAAATAATGTCAAAAGGTACTGGTTTAAAAAAATTAAGATTAAAGTTAATTAATCAACCTTTAAGGTATAAAATTTGGTAGGTGTTATTATTAATAAAATAGTTTGTTTTATTTACCTATGTTGTTTTATTTATTCCTGTGGAATATTACAAATTGATAGTTAGAAAAATAATGTCAAAAGGTACTGGTTTAAAAAAATTAAGATTAAAGTTAATTAATCAACCTTTAAGGTATAAAATCTGGTACGTGTTATTATTAATAAAATAGTTTGTTTTATTTACCTATGTTGTTTTATTTATTCCTGTGGAATATTACAAATTTGTATTTGTACATAAGTTATATTGATAAATATAATCATAAATGCGGGTAGTTTCGTAAAGCTTGAAAGTAAATAATAGTTCTTTTTTATATTTTTTTGGTATGTTGTGTCTTGTTCTTGTTTGTTTTGTATTAACACATACCGTTTTTATTAAATAAAATAACTCGATTACATTTTTTCAGTTTTGTACAGTTTTTTTCACAATATTTTGAAGTAATCACTTGCCATCTTGTCAATCAAATTTTAAATTTATCCTGCTATGCGTTCCAGTTGTACCAACTTATTTCTTTGTAAAATAAAATAAACTACTTTGAAATTAAAATGACAGACACATCTATCACTGTCAAGGATCTTCTCGTTGGACAGACTATAACATTATCGCCCATCCATATATTTTTTACTACTATCTGGTTAATTATATGTAGATAGTTGTCAGATTAAAATATCGGAAAGTCGGAGAATCAACAATTTTATTAAAATTTTTAGGAATATCGTGCCGCCATATTGCTTTTAACAGAAAACGCGCGAATTTTGTATGGTCGAAAACTAGGGTTTATTTTCATGGTAACGTCATTTAGTTATTAATATTAATCCGTTAAGTTCGTTCTTAATTTCACTTGTTTTCGTGTTTTACCTGTTGTTTGCGTTATTTATTATTATATTATTAAGCACATTATTAAGTTTATGTTGTTCGGGACGCTTTTCATATAGCAACGAAGGTGCGAATCTTGTTGCTCTATCCTTGATGCAAGTAGTTCAGTACCAAGACCGTTGGTCGGTAAATGTCTGGGCAGGAATTCTAGGAGGGTGAATGATTGGACTTTTTATTCAGCTGAATGGAATGAACTATTCACAATTTCTAAGAGAGGGATTGCAAATTTTGTTTGAGGATCCATCATGATGAAATTGCATTTGTTGCCATTTCAGCATGATGGTTCAATTGGTGCAGTTGTGCACCTTATTTTGTTATGAATGTGCGTTGCTTTCTCAGCAACCATTTTTGGGGCAAACCCTTCCAGGACTTAAAAAAATTCTAAAAATTTGTCAAATCCTGGACGGTAAACCAAGTACCAGTACTAGACACCTCGCAGCAATATCCGTAAAAGAGTTTTAAGTGAAGAATTAGAACCCGAAACCTCCATGAGTAGAAATGAAAATCAAATTCAAAAGATTACTGGAAATGAAGTTTGTCCATCAATTACTTTAGTGAATTGTTCAAACTCAAAAAAGTTATTAAAAAATATAAAAATAATATTTGTTTATAGTGTCATAGTTAGAGGTAATATTACTCTGTGAATTACTGTAAAAAAATTTTAATAAACATTTAAATAAAAATTTTAATTCGACCGAAGAAAAAATGTTGCAGTCATGACTGCAGCTCTCGACTTCGTCTTGAGCTGCAAAACTCATGAGTCTTGCAACAAATATGTCCTTTTTGCACTAGTTACACAAATAACTATTTTAAGGACCTAATTTACACACCTAATTATGACAGGTAGTCTGACCAAATCCAGTTTTTAAAAAGTGCCATTAAAAGTTTCTTCTAGAATCAATAGGGGAGCCAATAAACGGCACCCCCCAAAAATTACATATGGGATTTCCTATTAGATGTCCTGAGCTGATGCATTACCCGGTATACAGGGTGAATCTTAAATAAGTACACATATTTTAACAGGGCTGGCAGATATCGATAAAAGAAACATATCTTCTGTTTGCCGTTTTTCAAATAAGTCCAAAATGAGAGTTAGTTCTCTCTCAAACATCAAAAAGTATGATGTTTCGCTTAAATTTTGAGAATCACTGGATTTTTTTTTGTTTTCATTCTCTAAATTTAATCTATACTACCCACTGAAAATTGTTTTTTTTTCGAAAAATACAAAATTTTTATTTCGAAAAAAAGACATCATAGGCGTGTCCTTGGGTTGGAAATATACCATCCCTAAAAATATGTTCACTTATTTAAAACGCACTATGTATAATTTGCAAATATGACAACTATAATACAGGGTGATTCCCGGTAGTCGTTTTCCATAAACCGATAATAGATTTTTTTTTGAAAATTTGGATACTATTTACTATACATACAATGCAATGAAGTCCTTGATATTAAACTATAATTATTGAGGTGTCAAGTTGCAAAACCAATCTTATCCCAAAACCGCTGTTTCGAGATAATACGCAAAAACTGTTCTAACAAATGTTTGATGCGTTATTTCCGAGTTTTTTTTACAAAAAAACGTGTCCATTATGGGGAATCATTGTTTTGTATCTGGTTTTTCTAGAAATAAAAATTAATATTTAGTTTTTAAAGAGAAAACACACAAAAATAATTCGGATGAGGCGGGTTTTGTTGCAGTATGATGCATATTCTGGGTTTTGCAACAGCAAGATATTTGCATTCTAACTTGATTTATTAGATATACTATTTTATTAAAAATAAGGATTTGAAATGGAAGGTCAGTAGTGATTTTATACATGTGTAAAAAGCCTATGAAATAATTCGGGATTTGCAACAATAATGACAATAAAAAGCAAATATAAGTGGATAAGATGGATTTTTTCTGCAGTAACGTAATTTGTAGTGAATTTTATATAGAAATAGGCGACTTTTGCTACATTTTGGACTATGATTCTGTAGATTTTAGGATCCACTATTAATATATCTCATTAAGCCATTTTTAATGGATAATGCGGGTTTTGCAACTTTTTGTTTTGCAACAAGAATTTTGTAAAAATACAAATTAATTTATTGATAAATACGTATACTTACAGATATATTTTTGATATTTTTATTATCGTGTTATTTATTTAACGTAAGTGCTATTTTTATATTTAATTTTATCTTATCATTTATCTTTAAAATTAATCTTTACCTTTCTATGAATTAATATGAACTGAACATTTTCTCACTAAATATATTTTTTGCTATTTTATTAATAGTTGCCTAATACCATACAATCAAAAAAAAAACAGCGCCAAAGACTGCTGTGGAATGACAATAGATGATAATTTTGGCGAGGTCAAGCCCTACACGTCATTTATTTGACCCGTAGTCGTCTTAATTTTTTAACGGCGCTTACAGCCAGTTGGCCTTAAAAAGGTTGTAATTTATTTTTAAATCAAGTAAACATTATTTTTAAATGGTGTAGATAGAGATGGTTAAAAATTCGAAAGAAAATATTTTTTTGGAAATAGATTTGTGTGTCTGGAAACGTTCTATTCATTTTTTTTAATACAAAATTTTTAAAATATTTTTTAGAAGTCTTTCAGGTATCGAAATGTACCACCACAAAAATATTTGCACTTTTTAAGACTCACCCTGTATAAATCTTATATTATTATACGGGAGATACAGGATCTCCCTAAATCTAAGAAAATGTGAAAATTTGCAAACATGATAACTATACAGGGTGATTCATGCACGGTAGTGTTAATTTTTGACATGTTTTATGTCAAATTTTAGTAAATGACATTTAGAGATTGCTCTCACCAAAATTATTATCGATTGTCATTTCTTAGCCGTCTTTGACACCGTTTTTTCATAGTAACATATGATAATATAATAGTACGCGGTATTTTTAAGATTCACATGTCTTCTTTCTCACTCCCAATCAATGAACTTAACCACGAAAGAAGACACATGACACATGACACATTCTTCATTCTAACCTCGTATTTGGCCAGAAAATAAATAAATATATTTAAACAACCAACAGTGATTCGCATTTAAGTAAATCGCTAAAACAATAATATTTGCAGAACATTTTAATAACAAATTTGCATCAAGAACTTCACTATTGGCCTGTGTACTTGTGTAAACTAGTTTATAAAAATAACTCTTACCTCTCTGTAGTTTCATTTCCATGTTTAGTTTTTGCTAGTGCTTCGTGGATCAGAGATTTTGACGGTCTGGGTGGTACTGGAGGTGGAGGTTTATACACTTTTCCGGTACTTTTCTCGTTGGAGCGCATCGCGTACTAATAAAATCACAACATCGAATAGTTAAAGCACTAATATCAACCGCACTATCTCGACTAGAACCCCCCAAATTAATCACTCGTTTAGATTATCATAAGATGAATCATTCTCTACATATGTTGCTATGAATTACGCGACACTCATCGGTACGAAAACAAGCGCGTTGACTTTACGGTACCACACACAAACGGTACGAATCTCTCCGAACGACTAATAAAACTAAAACAGCTAGAAGAAAGGTACGACCGAGGAAGGACACAGCCAGCTGCGTCCGAGCGAACAGGTGAACCCGAGTGGGGGAGAGAGGTCTTTCTGATTCTTTAGTACCAGTTGGTACTTTTTCCGTACTTCGCAGGCCGTAAATATGCTGTAAAAATTCAAATTTCAAGGGCTGATTCGTTTGTAACGGGATCTTTGAAAAATGTAATAAGAACTCGTTATATGGTTGATTATTTATCAGTAAAATGTTTGAAATTAGTACCACACGATCGAAAAAAACCGGCGTCAAAGACGGCTGGGGAACGACAATCGATGAGGATTATGGCGAGGTCAAGCCCTAGACGTCATTTACTGCGCCCGTACTCTTCTATTGTTTAATGGCGTTTACTCCTTACTGATTGTTAAATGGCGTACCTAGTTTAAAATTTAAGAAAAATAATTTTTTGGAAATAGATTTTGTGTTTGGAATTAATCTAATTTTTAACAAATTTATTGTCAATTTTTAATAAATGACGTCTAGAGATTAACCTCGCCAAAATTATCATCGATTGTTATTCCTCAGCTGTCTACGATGCCGTTTTTTTTTCGGTCATATGGCTCTACCAATGCGTTATGAAATGCATTTTATTGTTCTGGTTTTGGAAACAGTCTATAATTAAGAGTAATATTATTATATTTTATGACATTCAAATAAAAGAAAATCACAATTTATATGTTATCTAGCAGACCCGCCCAGGTGTTGCTGTGGCTAAGGTCAGTGATGGGCAAGTATTTGCACCCGGCATATACCCAAAGGGTCAATAAATGGTATATTGAATTTGGGTAAATACCATTATACCCGGTATATACCCAATCATACTCACGTTTTTAATTTAAGGTATTCTAACAATTTTAAAAAAACAATTTGTTGTTAAACTAAAATTATTGAATTACTAATATCGCTATTAAAACATAGGGGTTGATGGTAGAAGGGTGAAAATTTAGGATAGTACATAAGTATTTTTAATGCCACATAATAAAAAAACAAAAATAAAATTTGGGGTGGGCCCTAAGGGTGGGCTAACTCTTATCATTTAGTGGTATAAAAAATAGATAACTTATTCTCAGACCTACTAAATATACATATAAAATTTCAGCAAAATCGGTTATGCCGTTTCGGAGGAGTATGGTCACAAAAAAGTTAAAAAAAAACTATTAAAAAATGGGGGTTGATGATAGAAGGGTAAAACTTTAGGGTTGTATGTATTTTTTAATGCCAAATCATAAAAAAATAAAAATATTTTTTTTTGTCCAAATAATAAAAAAAGGGATGACCCACCCTTATCACTTAGGGGTATAAAAAAAAGATAACAACCTACTCTCATACCTACTGAATATACATATAAAATTTCATCAAAATCGGTCATACGGTAAAAAAAACTGTGACTCGCGAATTTTATACCTACATAATATTAGATTTATATTAATATCAAGCGATATTAATATAAATATTAATATTAATATTATTTATTTTAATATTTTAAATTATAGAAAAATATTTAGATTTATATTAATATCAAGCGATATTTATATTAATATCATCGATGTTGGGATACACCGACGTTTGCTAGACGATGCCGATGTTTTATTTAACGTATGTATCGATGTATTGATATATCGATATTTCTTACCGCGATATTTGCATCCCTTCCTACGACTTATTTCATGAAAATAAGTTCACTTGTACAGGGTGTCTCAAAAAAGTGTGTGAGCGAGGGTCTATTTTTAAATGCAACACCCTGTATTTTATTGCATTTTTCTGTTCTTTCTTAATCGCTTCACGTAATCGTAAGTTGTTTTTAAACTTGTTTTCATAGTTCCAGAGATTCATAAATAAAAAAAAAATCATAAATTTCATAGAATTCATAAATAACAAAATAATTCAAAATACCAACTGACGTCCTGAAATCAAGATAACACTAAATATATCGAAATAGCAAAATGTACAGGGCGTTAAAAAATTAATGTTAAAATTGTTAAAATATAAAGTAATTATTCTTGTTTTTTTAAGGGGCGAAAATATATGTATGTATATAAGAATGTGCATAGGTCTGGTCTAGGAGTACGAAATTTTGCACAAAGTTTCCTGAAATAGTGTATGATGACTACAGAGCGTAATCCATGCCCTAAGAGGTAATAGGGGTGAAAGTTTGTTTAAAATATTTCGTAATATCTGGTCTAATACAATAAAAATCAACATAAAGGTTCTTTAAGTACCATAATAAGGCATTAAAAAGTGATTTTGATAACTCATTCACTACTACCTCATTTATTCCATTCAGTAAATACCTATAATTAGTCATAAATTACCTTCATTAGCAGTTAGTCATAGCAAATATTTATACTTTGTTGTCTACTATAAATTAAACTAGATAAGATTCAGTGGCAGAATATATAGCTATATCAAATATTAAAATTTAAAAAATAGCTGTTAAAAAAGATTATTTCTAGTACCTACTGATTCAACTGAACAATTAATTTAAAAAAATACTATACAATCGACAAAAAAACGGCGTCAAAGACGGCTGGGGAATGACAACAGATGATAAATTTGGCGACGTCAAGCCCCAGACGCCATTATTTGGCCCGTATTCTTACTGCCAGTTAGCCTTTAGAAAGTTATAATTTATTTTTTTATTGAGAAATAATAATTTTTACATGGTGTAGTTTAAAATTAAAGAAATAATATTAATATTTTTTTGGAAATAGATTTGTGTCTGGAAACGTTCTATCTTTTTTTAATCTTCCTATAATTAGTGTTAATTTTGACAAGTTTTCTGAAAATTTTTAGTAAATGACGTCTAGACATTGGTCTGGTCAAAATTATCATTGATTTGTCATTGTCCCCAGCCGTGTATGACGCCGTTTTTTTTTTTCAATAATACAGTACCGGTGTTAACACATTAATAATTTAATTCATAATAATAGGTACTTACGTTTAATAATAACTTTCATTCTGTTGTCATCTCTTAGTTTTAAGACTGCTCAGATATCAGATATAATAAAACATAACTTTACTTTTTCACATTATTCGAAAACGTACATTTAAATAAATATTTTAAATTAATAATTTAATGGACAAGTTCTGTCCATCAAAAATTAGATAACATATTTTTGAAATAATTTTTATTATAGTTTAACTACGAACTAACTAGTTAGCCCTTACTTTTTTAATAATTTTACCCTTGCTTTACAGGGCATTTAAAAAAATAAAATAACTCTTCATTTTAGATCTTTTAACAAATAAGTACATACCTAATTCTGCAGCTAAGAACTACTTAATGTTGAATTTCCATTCCTGTCGACACATGGGACATTGCTGATTCACTGGTTGGGATTGTAACCACTTGACGATACAGTGCATATGAAAGCAGTGGGAACACTGGCCCCAGACCAAGGGACAATCGTCTCCGGGTAACTTGCAATCTGGGCAACAACCGTCAAAGGGCATACGACAAATTCCACAGTTATCGTCGTTAGCTACCCATTTCCACGAAGCCACTGTGGTCCAATCTAAAAAACGGTTTAAAAATACTATAGAATTGGCGAAATATCACAAGAAAGTAACGAATAAAGTAAGTTCTACATAGCTGTTCGTTAAATTTAACACAAATTTTTATTTAATTCATAATAATAGGTACTTACGTTTAATAATAACTTTCATTCTGTTGTCATCATGTCATCTCTTAGTTTTAGCTGGTTTTAAGACTGCTCTTAGAAGAGATATAATAAAACATAACTTTATTTTTTTACATTATTCGAAAGCGTACTAAATAAATATTTTCAATTAATCCCTCTGATTTTTTGTAAAAAATATACAAAAAATTAACGAACAGAGACTAATAGGTTAGTTTAAAAAGAAAATCTCTGGAAAATCATAAGAAAATGTAGAAAAGGAGAGAAATATAAAAATCAACTGTCAATTCTGTCAAGTTCAAGGAGCGTGGTGACATCTTTTGGGGAACAGAGACAACTACGCCAAAAGCAAACTTGTTTGCTTACGTCTTTGCCAGTCTTCGCTTTCGTGTTTGATTTGTATGTTATCTGTGGTATGACAAAGAAAAATATTGAATTTTTGACATGACTTTGACATGATTGACAAGTGAGAGATTGACAGCAGTTGACAGTTGACATGTAAACACGGGAAAATCCTTGGAAAATCAAGGAAAAACTTTACGGCCAAGTTTTGTTACATGCCATAGTAATAAATGTATTTGTTTGATATTTAATGAATATAATAATTCGGGCATAAATCACAGTGATTTTAAAGTAGTTATCTGGTCGTTTTCTGTTTATTCAACTTAACCATGTTAACTTCTGATGGTTGTTTTTTTAGGTGTATTGTTTAGAAGATTTTTTGGAAGCTTTGTTATAATTATGTAAGTAATTTATTTTAGTTTGTTTTCCATAGACGTTGTTTGCACTATTAACACTATTAGCACTAATATCTACCTAGAATCAAATTGTAATATAATACATTGCTTTCTTCTTTTCTGCTAAAAATCATATTTATTGTATAATGATACTACATATTTCAATAATTCTTTCTTAAATTGTAATTTTTTTAATTATTTTTATGTCTCTTGGGTTTAGGAAACTTGTAAACAGATATTTCAATTATTTTGTTTAAAAATTACAGGTAATGATATACACATATAAGTGAATTGTGGCGGTACCATGCTCAGTGTTCCTACGCCGCCTACGCCTGCAGGGCCCCTAAGTGATTCGATTGCAGTCACAGCTCCGCCTCCTTCTGTGACACAGGCTGCTTTTGCCCCTCCGGATACAGATCAAGCTCAGTTCGAGGCCGATAAAAGGGCAGTCTACAAGTAAGTTAGTTTAAAGCCTGTACTACACATAAGGTTTTTATCTGTCAGTCTTGTCTGTTCAGTCAAAATGTATCAAGTAAAACATTGTGTGTAGTAGACTCTAGAGAACTGACTGGATCATTCAGTTTTACAACAGAACTGTTGTTTTGTCTACACTGAAAAAAATATAAGTAAATTTACAAAAATAATATAGATATATTATTACATTACTTAATTACTTTACATTAATTAATTACTACTACATTATTACTTTAATAAGGGAATCTAAAAATCTAATATTTTTGCATAGTTTTGCATAGCATTAAATGATTATTACTAAACAATAGTGTTTTCACAATTAACTTTGTGTGTTTACAAATGAAATTTAAACCAAAAATACAATTTAAAATAACAAAATTCCATGTTCCATTTTCCAAACATAAGATAAAATGCTATGTGCAGAGGGTGTTTAATATATTATTTTTGGTTTGGCACAAGACTAAGAGTGTTTCCAAAAAATTCTTTATGGGTATTTCGCCACTGCACTGCAAGAAAATCTACAAAATAAAATCTAACAAATCTACTAAACAGACGCTGCTTGTCAGAAGTTATGTTTACAGTAATACAAATTTGCCTAACAAAAAAAAAATGCTTAACGTTTCGGAAAGTTATCTCTTTCCGTCATCGGAAGCAAAAATATACAAAGAATAAAGAAAAAAACTATTTAAAATATTTAAATTCGACTATTCCAGAACACTTTACTTTTTTAAAACAGATACTAAGAGTGTAACATTTATATAGGGTCCACCAAAGGTGCATAAGGCATTTGTAGCTTCTATAATAAAAAACTTAGAAATTTAGTTTTTGTGCATACCTGTAGTATGTACTAGTGCCTATTTCAAGAAAATATTTTAAACAGGGTAGCTCAAAAAAGTGTGAGTTGATCAGGATGGGCTTTTTAAATTAAATATCCTGTATATTATAGTATTTTTGCATTCTTCTTTATCACTTTGTATAGTCCTAAAATATTATTAACTTTGTTTTTATAATATCAGAGATATATGAACAGAAAAATTCGACCTTTTTAAAAAAAAATTAAAAATATAAGTTGTGACTGGAAATCAAAACTTTATTAAGTACCTGCTATAACTAATCTGTACTTACTTTATTATAAATATCGCAATTTTCAATCATACACGGTGTTCAAAATTTTATGCCAAACTTTCCAAAATATAAAATACTTTTTCTTCGTTTTTTAATGGAATACCTTGTATATTATTTCTTTGCTAGATGGAGAATTAAAAATGAACTTTTTGTATTTTAAAATTTTTAAAACTCTTTCAACGGTAATCGGTAATTACCAGATAAAAAATATTAGATGGCTTTGATACTGTAGAAAAAGCCATATGTAGTAACTGTAGAAAAGGCCATATGTATGTATTTTTTGCATTTCAAGTATTTTAAAATGTTTAGCGGTTTCGAAAATATTTCCGGTTTTATTACAAATGGCTCTTTCAACGGTAAAATATCAGACAAAAATCACTAGGTAGCTTTGATAAAAATTTACTAGTGAAAAAGCCATATGTAATATAATACCGCTATTCTCTGCGAAACCGTTAAAAATTTTGAAATACTTTAAATACAAAAAATATTAATCTTTTAATTCTCCATCTAGCAGAGATATAATATACAGACAGGGTGTTCCATTTAAAAAAAAAACAAAGAAAAAGTATTTTATATTTTAGAAAGGGATTTTGAACACCATGTATGATTAAAAATTACGATATTTACAGCAAAGTAAGTACAGACCACCTATAGTAAACACCTAGTATAGTTTTGATTTCAGGCATGTATTTTTATTATATCTTTTTAAAAAAGCCTGAAATTTTATTTTTATTTTTTTTACCAATGACAAAATAATCAAACATGTTAAATAATATCTTAGGAATATGTAAAGTGGTCAGAAAGGAAGCCATAAATGTAATAATATACAGGGTGTTCAATTTAAAAAAATCATCCCTATCCACCCACAGTTTTTTAAGCCACTCTGCAGAAGTTAAAATACTTTCCTGAATACATCCTAGTACTTACTTTAGGTTTGCACTTAAACAAAGTTCCTAAGTTTTTTATTATAGGAGCTATAGATGCCCGACGCACTGCCAAATAACCCCTTTCTACCATTTTTATATTATTTTTGACACTAAAAAATGTAGCTTTTATTACGGCGCGTTCTCACGACTCGTGTACTTGGCAAGTATTTTTTATTGGCATACAAGGTCTGGCGAAAATTCGGCGCAGTTCCTATAATAAATAACTTAGAGATTCTGTATAGATGCTCGACGCACCATGTATACCCTGTATACCAATTACAAATGTTTGTCAAGTACACGAGCCGTGAGAATGCGCCATTAGTTTAAGAAATTGTTTTTTAGACATCCTTTGTTCCCACTACTGGCTCTTTTATTCGAGCGATGCGAATTGGCAACACAGTCATCCGAACCGCAAAGTAGCGATGCGTTTAATTTAGATATACAAGCGTTTGTGCAACATCAGGAGAGGGATAGGAAACCATTTTTAGCCAATGAGGTGGAGATAGATGGCTTGGTATGCTTTATACATATTTATATATTATAATTTTTTTTTGTATTTAGTGATTTTATTATTTTGCTTAATATTTTTGTTTATACGATTTTTTAATGAGTATTCATAATTTTAGATGATAAAAGCAATACAAGTTCTTAGGATACATCTTCTGGAATTAGAAAAAGTGCAGGAGTTGTGTAAAGATTTCTGTAATCGATATATAACCTGTTTAAAAGGAAAAATGCAGTCAGAACACTTGCTTAGATCGGATTATTCTCAAGGTAGGTTTTAAAGCATGTCTCTATATTTTACCAATATATGTTAATTGTATTTGCTTTTTAGATATACTAGGAACAACAGCTTTATTGAATAACATAGAATCCAACAACAATATGTTGTCTCACAATAACTCTGAGAGTGGTTCGGATTCTAATAGTCCTCTTCAATTCTCCATCAGCCCATCTCATGCAGTAAGTTTCAATTTTTTTGTTATTTAATAACAAGCTAAAAGGAAATACAGGATCCTGCAACAGTGCTTCAGACATCTGCAGCTCCTATAAGAAAAAGTGCAAACCTAAAGTATGTTCTTGGATGTATTTCAGGAAAATATTTTAACTTCTACAGAGTGGCTCAAAAAGTGTGAGGGAATCAGGATTATTTTTTAAAAATGGAATACCCTGTATATTATACATTTTTGGCTTTTTTTCTACTCACTTTGCATAATCCTAAGATGTTATTAAATTTGTTTTGTTAGTTTCAGAGATTTTAATAAATAAATAAATCATATTATATTTTTTAGCCTTAAAAAATATTAAAAATATAAGAAATGTCTTGAAATCAAAACTACTTTAGGTTCTTACTATAGTTGGTCTGTACTTACTTTACAATAATTATCGCAGTCTTAAATCTTACAGAGTGTTCAAAATTCTACGCCAAACTTTCTAAAATATAAAATAAATTTTCTTCTTTTTTTTTACACTTAAACAAAATCTCTAAGTTTTTTTTATAGGAGCTACAGATGCCTGACGCACTTGTTGTTGGACCTTCTATAATATGATGTAAGTATAATAAATACTATAGAGGGAAAATACTGTTTTTGTAAAAAGCTTATGCTAGTAAGACTCAAAAATAAAGAATCACCTAAATTAATGTAAAAAGTGAAATTAATGAAAAATAAGTGATAATTCAGTATGTTAGCTAATAAATATGTTTTTTTTTGAATGTGACATTACTGGTGACACTATTCATAGTTACTTTTTTAGAGCATGTCGTCGCAACCGCCTCATTTAGACGGACCTTCCAATAGTCATTTAGACAATGCATCATATGCGTTACAACATTACAATGAGTCTACGCCATCATTGCTTCAATCAACAGGAATAGCTCCCGATCCATCGCCTGTACCTGCCGTCGTGGATCAGTTAGTTGTACACGGATCCACACCATTATCACAGATAGGTATAAACATGATTGCGTTATATAATTATTAAATACACTTAATAGATACTTAACTATATGTTATTTTGTCAATAATTAAAATACAGTGCAACCTCTTTAATTGGAACAGCCAATTGTAACGACCTAGTATGATTAGCGAATATATTATGTTACTAATATATGACTGTTCTTATATTGACAAACTTTAAAAAAAACTTTAATTCTTTGCTGCTTAGGTTTTTTGTTATGCAACTTGCCTATGAAGCACTTTTAGTAAAAGCTATACATGTATCAAAGGGTGATATTAGTTCTCTACTTTGAATAAAAAGATTCAGGAAGGAGTACAATGCTATCCATGTGTTCATGCAAGGTAGACGGACAAAGGGCCCTAGGGTGGGGATCCTTGACAGTTCTGTTTGACGATTCATTTGACACATTTAAATTTGATTTGAAATTTTGTGGATTGTCAGTCTTTACGGAGCTTACCTATTTTATGTTATTTATTATTTATTCTACTACTGATAGTTGTATAAAGGTAGTAAATCTAGATGGAAATTGTGGCAGAACTTAAATTAACAGTGACACTATCGCAATTTATCGAAAAAGACTCCAAAATAGTTGGTCGTATAGCGTGCGGTAGATCTCGGCAAAAATCGAGTGAAATAATGGAACAACTTTTCGCTAGTAAGTGACTATATAATATACATACGTGTAGTAAACCGATCATTTATGAAATTCACTTAAATTAACTAATTATATATTTTTTCTTGCATTTTTGCTATTATTTACTGCTTGTCAAAGATTAGATGTCAAAGAATTTAGATACGTCAATTTGATTTACCTGCTTCAGTAGCGTATGGGATGTTTGTGTTAATAAATAATTATTATAACTTATCTATTTTTATAAGAATTATATATTTTTGTAACAATTTTAATAACTACTAACATTTATTCACAATGTAAAATAAAACAACATATTATTATTGAGTCTACCGCACGTCTACCCTACATCATAGTTTTACATTTTTTAAATAAAATTAGAACGGCACTGATAAACCGGAATTTAAGTCGGCCATATTTGAGGCCCATCGCGGTGGACCTAAGATTTTTGATATGTTCCTTCCTTAGTCTTCTTATTCAAAGCTAGACTCGAGTCCTGAACTATTTATGATACTACGAACCTGCAAATTTCTACGGAACTCTAGGTGGGCGAATCCGACTCGCACTTGTTCGGGTTTTCTATATATTATTACTTCTTATGTTTTATTTTAGGAACACATTGTGCCTCAACTACGGCACTTCCTTCTGACAATTCCGGACCTCTGTCGCCGGCACCGACAACGCCAGGCGGAAGCAATGACGACTGTGACAGTGACATTTCGAGGGGCGGGAAAAAAACGAAACGCGGTATTTTACCAAAACACGCCACCAGCGTGATGCGGTCGTGGCTGTTCCAGCATTTAGTGGTAAGTGTGCTTAAATTCTCAAAATTGAAATTGTTTAATTTTCTCAAGTATTCCTACTTGTATTATACAGAGTGCATCTTAAATAAGTGTAAATATTTTTAAAGGAGCTGTATTTTGAACACAGGAACACGTCTTTGAGTTTTTTTCGGGAAAAACAAATTGAAAAATTTTGTATGCTTAATTTTCAGTTAATATCCATAATATATTAATATATTACAGTGGGGGGTTGGAATCTCTTTGTTATGCATTTTAATTTTTGTAGCATCCCTATCCTACCGAAGACGAAAAACGTCACATCGCTTCACAAACCAATCTGACGCTACTTCAAGTCAATAATTGGTTCATCAACGCGCGCCGCCGTATTCTACAGCCAATGTTGGACGCTACAGCTCCAACTGGCCAAGAATCGGGCGGTCAAAGCAATTCTCCCAATGGAAAAAAGAAAAAGAATCAAAACAATAATCGACGTTTCTGGCCCCAAGAATTCGGCAACATCCAATCCAATATAGATTGTGGTGAGTCATTTTAAGCGTGTTCCTACCTGTCAGTTTTACTGAAGCAGTCTGACTGATTCAATTTAACTGAATGATGGAACACGACGATTGTATTCACATGACAAATGATTGATATAATCTACAAGTATTTGTTTTTTTTTATCCCCTCAGATGCTAATTTTTAAGTACTTTCATAAATAAATAAGGTAGATAATAGCAGGTACCATGCAGTACATCATTTTTATTTATTTACGAAAACTTAAAAAATGGCTTGCATTAAAAAATGGCCATAAAAAGGGAAGACTTAAGATGGCGCTGCTATAGCAAAAACCTAAAATTTAAAATGTGCGCCGAAATTTTTTAGAACAGGAAATGATTCAAAAGAGATAAATATTTGACATGAAGGCGCGGGTTTCAAAAAAAATAAAAATTTTATTTTCATCTCACATGAAATAACTTATCCATTTTTATTCAGCAGCAATAGACTGGGCCTCTAATATAAAAAAATATTGTTTTATATTCTAAAAAATAAAAACAAAGCTTTTTTGGATAATGTTTGGTTTGGTTGATAATGTTACTTTTATTCTCTTATCTATGGTTATTTTTAACTTTTTAGATTTATGCGATATTAGCGCCACTTTGGTCATTTGGTGAATCCTTATTCTTCCCATTTTTGTGACCACTTTTTCAAATAAAGTCCCATAAAAGATATTTCTCCTCATCTCTACATTCCATATTTTTAATGCATTTCAACCATGAAAAATGTCTTTCGACCCAAGTACTTGTATCTAAATGGTGTAGTACAATCAAAATAAACAATTTGAAAGCAAAAAGGAAATATATATTTGCAAGATTATTCTCCATAAATTATTTTATAATCGCAATTATGATACATATTATTAATACCTGCAATCTATTCATTAATTTATGTTGGTCAAAAACATTGATATAGGCGACCGAAGATTTTGTCTAAGCCCCGCCTTAATACGATACAACTCCGACTTACGTCGCGTCGCGTCGATACCGAACGATGAGTTAGACAGAAGACTGTCATGCGTCGTGTATCGACTCTGATAGTGCTAGAACAGGCGATGTAGAAATCGCCGAACAAAGGCGTTTGCAGTATACTCCAACGGTCAAAATTATTTATTTATATTCCTAAATAACTTCATAATTTATTTTTCGAGACGTCCCGATTTTATCCATTCAGAACAGTTAGTTTGGAGCATTTAGATTTCAGAGCTTACTTGTCCAGAATTTCTAAAAATTTGTATGGGAACCTTATTTATACTTCACAGTTGCTGCGAATTTCTACTTTTATTTCATTGTGATATCATAGGTAGTGATTTTTTGCACGTAATATTTTAGGCATGTTGTCCAGCTCTGATGAAGGAGGAGATTCGTACAGCAGTGACGAGGAGGGCGGTAGTTTAATCATAGATGCCTGTCAAGCCAATGAGGTCACTCAGAATAACGAGCAAGAGGAGAATAATCTAGATATGTACGAAAATATGGATATTGAACAGTCCAAGTTGGGGTTAGGCAATAGAAAATTGTAAAAGCCAAAAACGAAATTGATGCATGCTCATTAACGGTAAGACAATTAACTTTTTATATTATTTTTATTTGCAGAAAAGTTGAAAATGTTTTCTGATAAAACAATTTAAAAGTAATAATAATCCTGTATGTTACTGTATGTTAATATACAGGGTTATTCATGGTAAGTGTTCTGTTAGACGAAGATACATCATGAAGAATTACTTGTAATTTTGGTTGCTGATGTAAACAAATATGAGCTGAGTGGTGCCAAATCTGTTTATAGCTAGATCAACTTTTTTAAATAGAATGCTCCTATACATGTTACATCTTAGGATTTTAGAAAGGAGTATAATGCTATTGGTGTATAATCGATGACTAAAGAATACAAGGATATGTTTAGCGCCCATATACGGGTTGAAGCAGAATTTGTGTTGTTAGACGTCATTTTTTTGGAGGAACCAGCGACAATTTTAGCGATTTTTAATAGTTTGTTGTGTGTAGTGACCTTTGTATAAACTTTATTACAATGGTGATTTGTTCATCTTTTAAGTGTAAAAGCCGTAACGATAAGAAAGAGCCAGGAGTTACGTTTCATAGGTAAATCAACAGTCCACTCCACCTTTTTAGCGTTTTCTCATTGAATTTGGTAATTATTTTTCTGATTATATATGCTATACGTCCATACTAGTTTTGTATCTTTTTAATTTCAATTTTAACATAATAATCACCTAAATATGCAGTATAGTCTATCCATCGAGAAGATCCTTGACAGTGACAGATGTGTCTGTCATTTTAAGTTCAAAGTAGTTTATTTTATTTTACAAAGAAATAAGTTGGTACAACTGGAACGCATAGCAGGAAATTAATATATTTAAAATTTGACTGATACGTGGTTATTTCAAAATATTGTGAAAAAACTGTATAAAACTGAAAAAATGTAATCGAGTTATCTTATTTACAAAAAACGGTACGTGTTAATACAAAACAAACAAGAACAAAACACCGCATACCAAAAAAATATAAAAAAAACTATTACTTTCAAGCTTCAAGAAACTTCCCGCATTTATTACGATATTTATCAATATAACTTATGTACAAATACAAATTTGTAATATTCTACAGGAATAAATAAAACAACATAAATAAAACAAACTATTTTATTAATAATAACACTTACCAAATTTTATACCTTAAAGGTTGATTGATTAACTTTAATCTTAATTTTTTTAAACCAGTACCTTTTGGCATTATTTTTCTGCAGTACTAAAATCCATTATTTACCTATCGTGTAATGTCGATATATTACAGCTACTCCAGTAGTATATGTTTAGTACGATCGTTGTACCATATACGAGATGCACTTATCTACGACGAGATGGTATACAAACTTTATTGGTGTAGTTGGGTAGCGAGGGTAGTGAGTGCCTGGGTAGCGAGTATTAACTATAAATTGTGCTCTGGGTCTACAGTTAATTTTCCCTCGATTTTACAAAATTATAACCTATAATTCGGCAAGACTTTGACAAGCCTCAAAAATCTAAAGGCGAGTTCATACGCATCGGCGTCCGTTTATCGTTCATCGTTCGGTCAAACCAATAAAATGGAAACATAATCTGTCATATTTGAAATAAACCAATAAAACTGGTTAAAAACAACAAGAGACGACGCATGACGGATTTATATTTAAACCCATCCATAGTTAACTTAAAAACTATTAGAAACTTTTTTTTAGTAAAATAAATAGATTGGTATGGGACGTCATCTGCTTTTCTTCTGTCATCGTCTGTCGAAATCTTACCTGAGAAAAAAAAACAGAGTATATACACCATAGGTGTAGTCAAAACACATTTATCAAAAATATAAATATCTCTTCTAGAAGCTAAGTTAAGAAAAATATGTGGCATAGCACTGTTTGGAGATATGGTAACAATTTGGTTTTGGGTGTTATTGGTTCTTGTATTCTTTAGTCATTGGAGGAATCGACATCATGAACTCTCATTTTTGACAGTGCTGTTTGACGTTTCAGTTGACACATTTGAATTTGCCTTATTTATTATTTATTCTACAATTATTGGTTTTACTTAGTGATAGTAAATCTAAAAGGATATTGTGTCAGAATTTACATTAACATTATTGCGAATGACAGAAAACGACTATAATATACCGTATGATCGAAAAAAACGGCGTCGGTGACGGCTCGATGATAATTTTGGCGAGGTCAATCTCTACTAAAAATTGACATAAAATTTGTCAAAAATTAACACTTATAATTATTACAGAAATATTAAAAAAGATAGAACCCTTCCAGACACATCTATTTCCAAAAAAAAAAATATTTTTTCTCGAATTTTAAACTACACCATTTGAAAATAATTTTTACTCAATATAAAAATAAATTACAACCTTCTTAAGGCCAACCGGCAGTAAGGGGCATTAGAAAATAAAGAAGTGTTCGGACCAAGTTACTAGGGTTGATCTCGTTAGGTCTTTAACGTTGTTATTTTCGATCCTATAGTATTATTGTAATAAATAATCTTATTTTTAGGGAGCACTGTTTTTCAATTCAATAAAACTGCGGAGTTTGAATCTACTATTACTGATCTAAGGTCTTTGATTCGTTTCCACTTCTACTGTAAAATTATTTCTCATTGATTTGAAGCAAGACTGTCACTCGCAAACGCCAAAATAAATTCAAACTTGTAAAACGCGACCGTTATATATCTATAAGGCTGATGATTCGTATATTATTACATATTTCCGAATGTTAACTTTTCTATATTCTTTTCCCAGATTGGTTAAATCAGGTAATATGTATTTTTATACACTGTTTGAAAGGGCAACTTTATAATAAATATATCAGTAAAATTAAGGTAAAAGTAACAGTGAGAATATTTTTCATATTTGTTACATCACGTTGGCAAGTATTAATACTGATATTATTTAGACGAGTAAAGCATTTTATTTTAATTCATGACTAATAAATCTGTTGTATTTTTGTGGCAGTCGCCCTAAGAGTACTAATTTTTGAATAAATGTTTTTAAACATTATTAACGTTTACACATTACCTATTTTGTTTAGACTGCGAAGTCAAAGCCTTGTGCTAACGTATTGCTAAAGGTCCCCACAGACGCTCAGTTTTTTCGTACAGGACAACGTGCTGTGCAAACCTGATTTGTACAGGCGTATCGGCACGTGTGTAAGCGTACCTGGCCCGAGCAAAATCAGACCCTGCTTGAATTTGGCTTATGCAAACTTCAAAACCTGAACGTGTATGTGCTCCAGTTCGTTTTTTTTTCAGTTCCTAGACAAAGTTTATTAGTTAGTCGATAAAAAATTTCCTACACTACAGAAAATGAAATAAAAAAAATTAAAGACTTTTTGATGTCTGGGGTGGAACTCTGTAACGAAATAGCGATCGGTAGTAATAAGAATACTCTCGCTTGCCATTTAGTTTGTACGGCCAAGGTCAGTATTCTTTATCGCTACCGATCGCTATTTAGTTACAGAGTTCCAGCCCTGATGACTTTACCACCAAAGCATCGTCGGTAGACGCCATTGCTATATAAGCTAGTTAAATAAAATTCTCAAGGCCTGTACTGCGCAGTTTTGCCTGTAGGAAAAACTGTACGTGCGTGACTACCTTTGAGAAATCCAAACTCGTATTGATAATAGGTTTATAGTCATGACTTTAAGTACTTGTATTTACTGTGAAGTTTGCCCTTTTTTATTACTACTTGTATACGTAAAATATACCTCATTTTTAAACGGGTATTATTTATTTGGACAAAGTAAATAAGTTATATGTGGATTTATAACTGATCTCTATTATTTTGTTATCGTTTTGAGATTTCTTCGTTTATTAATATATTTATTTCTTACTGAATTAATATAATCTTAAATCGTTTTGGTTACGCTAACCCTAGAGTCATAACTACCTTGGGACGTTATTAACGGGAATTAAAATCCATAATTCCCTCTACCTTTTATAGCTAACAACCATGAAATACAATAGAGATTTTGAGAAATAATATAAAATCAAAATGGGCACTCATCTAACTACTCTAATAATTTATTTATATCATGAATGTCACATACCGGGGTGCGTCTCAAAAGTGGCTCACCCCTATAACTTTTTTATTTCTTCAGATAAAAAAACGAGATTTGGTATGTTAGTACATGACATAAATTAGGATTGATGACGTATTCAATTGTTTTTGGTCACTTCCTGTTTCACCTGAAATTACTACAACTTTTGATTTTTAAATGGCACCCGCGGTATTTTTTACCTTATTCGATAGAAAATAACATTCTGAATAGAATGACATATCATATGTCAACTTTTGACATTCTCGCTTAATAAAAATCGTATTTTAAAATTCAATCTAGAGTGCCATGACTATATTAAAAACACTAATTCTTAATCAAGGAGCCTTGGAAAAATATATTTGATCGTCTAATACTTTTAGTGTCTTGTCCTGGCCAGTTAGAAAATGCTCAAATCGTATTTTTAATTATATCTCAATTTTTTCAAATGGAACGCATCATTACCATATTTGGAAAAAGCATTTTTTACGAATAATTTGATACCACACACTTTTATTTCAAGTTAAAATTTTGTTACGAATCGCAAGTTATAATTTCAAAAAACCATTGCGAAAATGTCAAAAGTTGACATATGATATGTCATTCTATTCAAAGTGTTATTTTCTATCGAATAAAGTAAAAAAATACCGAGGGTGCCATTTAAAAATCAAAAGTTGTAGTCATTTCCGGTGACACAGGAAGGTATTTTTTATCACCAAAGGTATTTTTAATATTTCTTTTGGTAAATTGATTCACTTTTAGGTGGAAGTAACGCTGGTCGTACTTCTTCAGCTTTTTTTTAATATTTTCTCCATTTTAATGAAAACGTACTCGAACGTGTGCCGAATTCATGCGAAATGCGTGTTTTTGGCAAAAAACTGAACTCGATTAATAAACAATAATTGTTCAACAGTTATTGTTAATTTATAAACAGGTCATTTAATACAATAGTAACCTGGCAACAAAGTTCCTACTAGCAGCGTTAATAAAAATATACCGGTAGATTAATAAATGCAATATTTGTGTCGTTTTAAAATGGGACAAAACATGCTACATTCAGTAAGAAATAAAATTAGTATCTATGTACCACAGGAATTATAAAGTGGGCAATTATTGTATACGTTATCAGAAACTTTGGCCTAGGTTATTAACACCCATATAATTCCTTTGTGTATACGTTATCAGAAACTTTGGCCTAGGTTATTAACACCCATATAATTCCTTTGATACATAAATATCTATATTATTTTATATTTTTTAATAATATAACAACAAAAAATTAACAATAGAACTTGAATAAAATAGTGCAAATCAATTTTTCTCTGCTGAATCGTTTAAAATGCATATTCCATATATTTCTTATTGACTTTGTCTAGTGTAGCTATATTTTAGGTTATGTTTTGTATGTATACGGCGCTATTTAACGCAGAAACTATAGTTAGCTGCTCATCCAGTATTATATATGTGTATAGTATTAAGATAACAAAATAAATATAAAATATTAGAACTGTAAGCTGATTTACATATTTTTCAATTACTGTGTTGTATACTACGTAGATATAATAGGTTAGAATTTATGTTAAAAAATGCCCCTATACAGTTGTTTAATTGGTAATTTACGAAAAAAAAACAGAGAACGCCAAAACTATAGTTAATTTGGTTAAATATTCCAAAAGTTGATTTCCAAGGGCATTTTTTATTTAATTTGCACATTACCATATGTTACGTTACATTACCATTTGATATTCCAAAATTTCTAATAAGAAAGTGATGTTTATTATAAATAGTTCGTTTTTCAAGCAATTCTTATATTAAATTTAGAGTAATATGTTTTCCGTGTACTCAAAACATCGAAATTAGGAAACAAGATCTGAAATATCATTTTTTTATAGGTAAATTATAATATTATCGTTATAATATTAGAAGTTTTCGAAATACAGTAGTATACGATGTTAGATAACAAAATTATACGGGAATAGTAATTATGGATAAGTATACGCAAATTATACAGGGTTAATCACGAAATTATTTGACACGTGGTATATAGTTAAATTATTAGATTTTTAGAAATTCTGAGTAGTGGTGCCACTACTAGAGGTAAAATAAAATTATTTTCATAGCATACAGGGTGTCCCAAATAAATAAAAATATTAAAGTATATATTTTTTTAACGGATTACCCTATATATTATTACATATTTAGTTTCTGCGATTGAAATAAAGATAAATTTGATTTAGGTTTACTTAAATTTTACCATTTCTGAAATATTTACAATTTTGTGAAAATTGCAGTAACAATTTTAATGTTTCATTAATTTCTAGGTTAAGTTTTTAAGAAGTATTGCGGTTTAAAGTTAGTTATTATTTAAAACACATTTTTAGACTCTTTACAAGGTAGTATTATTTTTATTATCGCAACACAGTATTTAGTAAATAAAAAAATCTTCAGTGCATATTTGGTTTTAAAAATTTAAATACATTTAGAGAAATGGTGCATTAAAATTATTGTTATGGCATTTTTTACAAAATTGTAAATATCTCAAAATAGGTTAAATTTAAGTGAGGTCAGCCTTAGTGAAATTTATCTTTATATTAATCATAGAAACCAAAAATTTATTATAATATACAGGGTGTTTTATAAAAAATACAACTTTCTTATCTTTTTTTATTTGGGACACTCTGTTTCTCTGGAAAATAATTTTAAATTGCACCTCTAGCAGTCCTTTAAGGAGTCAAATATTTAAAATTTCTAAAGATATAATCAATCGAATAATTTCGTGAATAACCCTGTAGCAGTCATATTCGATCTAAACTGTAAATAACATAATAATTTAAGTCGTTTTTTAAAGGTCCGATAAATTCGCATCGTTGAGTACACAGAAAAGTTAAAGTATACTAAATATGCAACTAATATACGTAACAAGTTACAATAAGTAGACTAAGTATACCAAATTTGTGAGAAAAAAAATATATTTCCATCCATATTATAATACATAATTCATTTTCGACAGTTTTTTTAACGCAATCTTTTTATAAAGATTATTTTGTTACAGATAGATATAAATAATTTTTAATATTATCCATTTTTCAAATTTAAACGATCACGTTATCGTTATTTATGATTTTATTTATACAAAATCAAGTTATCATCCATAGACTGTGCTTTTGTGCTTGTACTAAATCACATCAAACTGAATTGTTGGACTTTTCAGTGTTTTTATTTGAAGAAAAGCATGTTTGGGGAATAAAATGTGAATATAGGTAAACTATTTTGTGATAATAAGTTAGTTGTATATGTCTCTATGTTTTTGACTAGTTTTTTTTGAGCGTTTTATTTTCGGGTATCAATATTCCGGAAATAACGCTTACTGATCTGATACACGAATGATTTATGTAATATATTTTCTTTAATTAATTTTAGATTTTTTATATTTATCTTTTTGAAGTATTTTTAACTATGAACTATACAGGGTGGCGCCTCTCA